TTTTGCTAGAAAATTTTACTTATCACTTAGGTTTTCACATTAATGGCATTAAGCTGTATATAGTATTCTCTCTCAATTTTCTAATCTTCTTGGTAATTGTTGTCTGTTTATATGTGCTCAGTATATATTTGTTGACAGTCTGATGGATGGCTTTTGTTTATGGTAGCAGAATGATCCAGTGAGTGCATTCGGATAGCTACTTCCTAGGGAAGACGTGTGGGATAACAATTTGGGTGCTTGGTTTATGCCAAGTATCTCTGCCCTGGTCTGAGGGATTACCCAAATGGTTTCAGGCATGGAAGCAATTCCTGGCAGGTGTGGGAGGACAGTCACTAATATCTGGAGCAGAGTTACTTAGAATCTTTAGGAAGGGAAAGAGTCCTTTCTGGATATCAGGATCCTACCTGATAACATTGGTATGATTTTGGGGCTCTCCAAGGACCACTGGGTTGCCAATTTCACGTAACCTTGCAGTAAAGCCCAAACATTCATCATCACCAATGCAGACAATTGAGATGACAGCCTTGCCTCTAGAAGGTCACCTTGACATGACCCTCTGGGATAGAGGAAAATGTGCAAACTTCCAGATTCCTTACCAAAATATCTTATTCCTTACTCAGATGGCAAGGTATCTTCTTGGAAAACATTTGAGATCCAAGGGAATGTGTGAAGAGGGGAGACAAGAATTGGGGAGACATGGTGGCTGGGTTCCCCCCCATTGCAGGGAAGTGAGACAAAGATCTGAAAACCAGAGGAAGAATAAGATGATTTGATCTTGGGGGTCATCTGGAGTATTATGATTCTTTCAGTTTCAATAATGTGCATAGAATATTCTTCACCAAATTATGGAGCATATTTAGATATTTAGAAAGGAAGCTAGAAGAGATTCAGCCACCCATCAGCCTTATATAAGGGATAAATGGAGTAATGTGAGTAGCATATCAAGCTAAATGTTTTTATTTTGTTTGGTTTTTTTTTTTTTTTCAGACATTGTGAGTGTAAATTAAATAGAGCCCTGGTTGGGCTAGTAGTGTGACATCTTTGGCTAGTCCTTGTGTCCACTCATTTTTGACCATTTGCCACTGAACCATTCATAAGGATGAGCTGATCTCCTTCATCCTTAAAATGAGCAAGTATTTGTTGTGGGTGCTTCTCACACCGATACTCAAACAAGCCAAGCCCTTTAGTTCTACACTAGTGGGAGGCCTCAGTGGTGACCAGGGCACCCCAGTCTCCCTGTAAGACTGGGCATGGTCAGCATCCTGTCTCAGCAATCCCACAATGACTGCCTCCCCACTGCACTCTGGATTCTCCTGTCCTTCCTGTCTGCTGTAGGAAGGCACTAGCTAATATTTCTTTTCCCAACTTTCTTTGCAAAATGTTTTCTATAGAAAGAGAACCAATTGTTAAGTAAATATTATTTCTGGAACTCAGCTATTTGCAAGAGATAGTACCTCAGGCCCACAAGGAAAACATTTCTATCATCACAACTTTGGGGCTTCAGTGGGAAAAGGGTGACAACATTTTTCCATTTCGACAGCCGTTTCTTATCTAAAATTACTAAATGGTGAGCAGAACTGTCCTCTGTAGACTTTTCTCAACTACATGCGCCAAAGCAAACACATGGAGTTTGGCCACGTTGCTGTAGTAGTTTACATGCAGGCAAATCTGAATGGAGAAAATACATCAGAAATAACGCTCTGATGGCATCAGTCTAATGACACAGAAAATGCACCCCAGGCTGGTCCAGGGCCATCCCTGAATTAGGGAGGCACCCTCAAAATAGAATGAGAACAGTTTTTCACTAAAAATAAAAATATTGTATTCAGCTTTACATGATTACTGATGAACTTTCATTGAAAAAGTATTTTCTGAAATAAAATCCATCAAGTCAATTTAATTCCTTATTTTTTTAATTTAATTTTTTAAATTTAATTCCTTATTTTTATTGTTAAATCATTTAGATTTTTCTAAAAGTTAATGAAACATTTTCCATTTTTATTTTTCAAAATTATTTTCCATTAAAAGTTTATAATGAAGAATAAATTAATTAGCTTTGTCATCATCAAATTTTGATGACTGTGGCTCTTGCCACTGAATTTTCTTTTTTGGCCAGATCCAAAAGTTTCCTTTTCTTTTTCTTTATGTTTTGTTTTTTTCCCCTCCTTGTAGTTAAGTTCAATATCCCAGACTTAAATTTTGCAGGTCTGAATTTTGCCAACAGAATTTCTCAAAATCATTTTTCAGTGAGTGACAAAGTTTACAATGTGCAGTTCTAGATATTATATAGATAGTTGTGTGGATTATTTCTACCTGTCATATTCATTATAATTGGATAAAATGTTACATGATTTATTTTTAGCATCACTATTTTCAGAATTTCCTCAATGACCCTCCCTTTATGTAAGAATAAAATAGTAAAATTAGACATTAAATAAGTGCAGGAAATATAGTAGATATTTCCACAGCTAATTTTCAAACAACAGGACAATATACAAGTACAACTCTAACACCTGTGTCATCAGCCACAAGGTTTTAGGGATCAACAAGCTTTTTCCAAAAAGGGTCAAGTCTAAATATTTTTGATTTTGCAGGTCATCTGTTCTCTGTTGCAACTACTCAATTCCTTTGTTTAACACGAAAGTAACCATAAGCTGTATGTAAACAAATGAGCATGGCTGTGTTCCAATAAAACTTTATTTACACAGATGGTTTTCCCAACGTCCTGAAGGCTATGCTAGCCAAGTTTTGGGATAGGGAAGTGTTTGTTGCATTTTTTTTTTTTTATAAAAGTATCCTTTTCTTGCCATGATGGACCATGGACTACGATAAATGGAGAATGTTCATCAGAAACAATTTCTTTTCAACCAATCTTTCAGGAGTATACCTGTTAGTAAAATCCTTGAGAGGAAATTATTCCCTACCCCCCTGGGTTCTTTTTGTACTGGTAGAGTGAATAGATTAACATCAGACAGATTAGTAGGAGAAGACATTTACTGACAGATATATGGAGAATCTACAAGGATATACATTCTAAAATAAGTAGGACAACATAAGGGTATTTATCTTGAGCTTTAGCTTTAGCCTTTAGAGGGCCTCCCTGGTGGCACAAGGGGTTAAAGTCTCAGCACTATCAAACTGTAACCAACCACTGTGGCATGAGTTCAATCCCCGGCCAGGGAGCTAATCTACATGGGACAGCAGACCTCTCCTGTCTCACCCACTGCTCCCCTAATTTTTAAATTTTCACTCCTCTTTTCATTTTTCCCTGGGTGAAATATCTGGACCCACATCTGTGTTCCCAGCCCAGATCTCTCTCCTGAACATCAGGACTGTGTACCCAAGTAGTCATTAATAATCACTTAAAAAAGAAAGCCATTGAGCCTCCCCTGGTGGCACAGCGATTCAGCGCTGGGCTGCAAAGCTGCCCGCAGCCTCTGCAGCGCCGGTTCGATCCCCGGCCTCCGGCGAGGGCCCCACATGGCACGCAGACCTCTCCTGCCGCCTGCTGCTCCCCTCAGCAGTGTACTTCGGTCCTTCTGCCTGTTCTGCTCCCCACTCTGGCTCTGGTGAATTCTCTCACCCTCCCGTGTCTCTGACTGTACCCAGTGCTTGTATAAATAAATAAATAAATCTTTAAAAAAAGTTTTAAATTTTTTTTAAAAAATTAAAAAAAAAAAAAAGAAAGCCATCTCAAATCAGACTTTACATTCCTTCCCCAAAGCTCCTGCACTTCCCGTTCCTCTCTCAGTTACTGGTTTCGTTATTCTCTCAGTCACCTGGGTTTGGAAACGAGATACCTGGACTTTTCTCTACCTTCCCTCCATCGCTCCTATCACGGAATAACTATTTGAGTAAATTTAAAAGTCAAAGGCTAACATGTCACTGCCCTGCTCAGACTTCTTCCATCCCTGCCCTTTGTGGCCCTGACTTCAACCTTTGAGGGTGCTGTTGGGGCTCTAACCCGCGTCCTTCCTTCCTGTGCCGCTCACTGCACACACCCCACATGGGGCATGCAAGTAATTTTCACCAATTTCTTGAGAGTTTGGCCTGAAGCTCTGATTCCAGGAGACTCAGCAGGGAAGACTGAGGGGCAGGGGGAAGAGCGACCATTTTGCTGCTATCACTGCCCTCCCTTGAGAGGAAATTTTTGGCGTCTGGGCCGCTGGTGGCCTCCAAACAAGCCCCAAGCTTTCCCTGTTCTTTGCTACCAGCATATAAACCTCTATCTCTAAAAAAAAAAAAAAAAAAAAAAAAAAAAAAAAAATCCCTTTCTGGAACTTCAAAATCCAACTTGTTTATCCTTCAAGGTTTGACTCTGGAGACATTTCTCCCTGAAAGCTTCCCCAGCACTAATGCCCTGTTCCTTCCCACGGTCTGAAAGCATTTGCTGGTGCCTTTCCATCTGGCTGTGCTGTCTCCGGCTCCCGCACAGGCTTCCAGGAGGCACTTCTGTTCTGTTGTGTGTTTCTCCTGGTGCCTGTCAAAGGGCCTCTCAGGGAGGAGGCGCCTGCTGCTGTTTGGACAAACGCTGAGCTGCTCAAGGCCTCAAGGTCAGAAGTCACCCCCAGGTCACCTGAGCACTGCTCTCCCTGCCCCCACCCCACTAGGTCCCTGGGTGCACAAGCAGAAGCTCACCCTGAGGGGGCTCAGGCTTAGCGTGACTGGCTCTGGCCATCACATCAGGGGCAGAGACACCTCACACCCCTACGTGGGATGTTTGCGTGTGCAGTGATGGTGCCCCCAGCTCTGGCAAACTTCAGTAAATGTGTAACTCCACCACGTACCAGCTCGTTCTGTTCAGCGGCAAAGTGAGCATCGATCACCCTGACTTCCTGGAAGGAGTCCCAGCATGAGAGAGACTCTGGCTTCCTTCCCCCTGGGAGGCCCGTCTGGGGCCTCCATCCCCACGGGTTGGCCAAGTGATGCAACCCTCCTCCCCCAAGCCTGGTCACAGAACAGTCTGGGAACAGCTCCATCCCCACCCCCCAGATATAAATAGGGCCTCCCAGGCAGGCCAGGGGAAGAGGCTGCTGTGTCTTGGGGACTAAAGCAGAAGGTAAGCGAGGCCTCTCCAGCCACAGCCTCCTCAGCTCCTTCGCCCTCCTCTTCAATTCGGTCTCTCTAGGGACAGCTGAGTTGTCTTCAGGACGTAGAGGGCTGGGGGGCGGGGAAGAGCTGCGGGGAGGCAGTGGCTAAATATACCCAGAAGCCAAGAACCAGGGTCGGCTCTGCCGCAGGGGACCTGACCACAGAAGACGCAGAAGTCACCTTTCCTGTGATGCCAGAGGTCCAGACATGAGCTACCTGCCCCTCAGGCCCCACCTGGGTTTCACTGGAGGAGGAGCTGCCTCTCCTCACTATTAGGGCAGCATGGCCGGGTCCTCCTAGCCTTTCCAAGCAGTGCAGGATCCTCCGGAGCTGGCAAGGAACAGGGTTCTGGTGGCCAAGAGTCCACAGAGCCCTCTTCCTGCCTGAAGAACAACAAGTCTCGCTGTGCTGGCAGCAGAGCTAGGACAGAGGGAGGAACCAGGCTCAGTTAGTTCCAGGCTGGGTCCCATAGGGCTCAGATGAGGGTGGTCTCCTTGAGGTGGTGCTGCCTTTGGGCTTGGGCTAAAGACTGGGGTTGTCTGCAGCAATCAGACTCATCATTTTGTCTCCCCTTCGTTTGCTCATCTATAAAGTGGGTTTCATATCAACGCTTGGTCTCTCTTGCTTGTGAGCTTGGTGTAAATTAGAGGGCGACTTTAATGTGAGTGTGCTTTCTAAACTTTAGGGCAAACTAAAAAGGTGAATTCTTATTATTTGTTCAAGAAGCAATACAGATGACTATGGACCGGGGGTGTAGAGTTAAATCCTATTCAGTGCCTTATTAGCTGGGTGATGTTGATCAAGTTACTGAACTTCTCTGTTCCTCTGCAAAGAGACATAATTGATTCATTTAACAACTATGTGGTTACAGTCCTTAGCAGTGCTGGTTGTTACTAACCAAGTACCTACTGTACCAGGTACCTTTTTGGAAATGTGGTGTATATATGCATCAGTGAACACAGCAGAGCAAGAACACTGTCTTAGAGGTTTGCATTTGTGTGTGAGAAGAAGACAATACACACAGCATGATAAATAGACAGACAGATGATGCAGAGTGTTACAAGGTGACAAGTGCTATGTCTGGTAAAAGGAGAGCCGAGCAGAATAAGCACATTGAGTGCCAGGAATGGCGGGATCAGTTGCTTTGTGAAATAGGGTGTCAAGGCAACTTCATTGAGAAGGTGAGGCCTACTGTGGGGATGAAATGAGTTGATACATGAAAAGCACTGAGCAGTGCCGGCAACAATAAACATCACATGAATGAGAGCTGCCATCCTCTCCACTATCGTCAAGTCATAGGGACACCTAGAAGGAGGGGCTAGTAAAGAGGGAGGCCAAGGATGGAGAGGGCATTTCTGTTCCCAGAATACCCCTTCATCCTCAGGACCCTGCAGTGTGCTGACTTAGAACGGGGCAGCAGCAACAGGTCACAGTTGAGAGCAAACGACAGCCTTGGCTTTGGAAATGATTCATGAAATTGCTTCAGCTGAAACTGCCTATGCTGTCCAGGGGCTGAAAAACAGGGCTGCATTTCCATGCACGCCCCTAAACTGCCCCCACCCTCATTACTGCAGGGTGTCTCCTCACTCAGGTTTGCACTGGTGACTCAATTTGATTTGACGTTTTATATGAGTCATGAACTAACAACTCAGGCCTGTAAAGATGGGGAGATTTTATTTTCTGCTTTTCCATGTTGTATTGCTTCTTATGAGAACAGCAGCCTGAGTCCAGGCATAGGCAGAAGGGTCAGATTGAGATCAGAAGTCAAAGTTCTTTTGGCCATTTGATAATGAGAGCAGAGCAAACACGCGATACACTGAAGTTAAGTGTCCTGTGTGGAGACCAGGTGTGGGGGACCAGACCAGGGAAAGCAAAGAGAACTGCCAATCTAAGATGGGGTGTCTGGGTGGGCACAGACGTGCAGGAAAGACTCAGGTGGTTCTGAGTCCATGGTGACTCCAGGGAGGACCCGCCCAGTTCTGGGATGGTTGGGGAAGGGGTGGGAGATGGGGAGGCTAAGACTAACTTGATAGTACAGTATTCACCTTCACAAGAAACGAGTGAGAGGTGGTATATGTTTTAGAACTAGGAAACAACCCGAGTGTCAAAAACAGACAAGTGGCTCAAGAAGATAGAGCCTATATACACAATGGAATACTACTCAGCAATCAAAAAGATAAACTCATGCCATTTGCAGCAACATGGAGGGAGCTAGACGGGCTTATACTAAGTGATATAAGCCAGACAAAGTTAATACCGATCGTGTCACTTATATGTGGAATATAGAAGAAATAAACAAAAGGTCAGACAAAAGCAAACTTTATTTTTTTAAAGATTATTTATTTATGCATACAAGAGCTGGTGTACAGGCCAGAGATGGGGGCGGGGTCGGTAAGAGGATTCACCAGAGACAGAGTGGGGAAGAGAATAGTCAAACTGACTGAAATACACTGCTGAGGGGAGCAGAGGACGAGCCAAGAGAGGTCTGCTGCGTCATATGGGTTGCTGCCTGGGCCAACCAGGGATCGAACTCGTGTTGCAGAGGTTGTGGATTGCTTCATAGTGCGGTGCTTAACCCCTTGTGCCACCAGAGAGGCCCCCAAAAGCAAACTTTAAAACCAAGCTTTGAAAACTGGGCTTTTAGAAGGGTAGGGGAAGGGTGAAAACAGGAGGATTGGGGAGTACAGTGGATTATGGTGGAGGACTGTGGGTGCTTCAGTGGTGGAAGGGCTATGGTGACTACACCTGGGGGGAGCCCTATACTGTCAAAACACTTGCAAGGATGTATAATAATGTTACTTCCAAAACAGTAACTAAAAAAAAAAAATTAGGGGCCTCCCTGGTGACCTAGGGGTTAAGTCTCAGCACAATCATCAGTATGGCCTGAGTTTAATGCCTGGCCAGGGAGCTAACTCATACATGGTGCAGCAGACCTCTCCTGTCTCGCCCGCTCTCTCCTCAAAAGTGTATTTCAATAAATCTGCCTGTTCTGCTCCCCACTGTCTCTGGTGAATCTTCTCAACCCTCATACCTCTGGCCTGCACCCCCAGTTCTTACACACAAAAAATAAATTAGTTAATAAATTTTTGAAAATCCCATTACAAAAAATTTAGAACTAAATGAACCCTCTCTAGGGAGAAAAGGCAGAGAAAGGGCTGCATTAGGCAGTCGAAGCTCCTTCTCTCCTGGGATCCATCTATCATGCAGTGTCCTCAGGCAGGTGCCTGGACTGGGTGGCTCAACCCACAGAGATCTGTTCCCTGAAGCTGGGGAGCTGCGAGTCCAGCATCACGGTGTCATCCAGGTTGGCTTCTCCTAAAGCTTTTCTCCCTGCGTGGGACAGCGCTCTTCTCCCTGCACCCTCGCACGGTCTTCTTTCTGTGTGTATCTGTGCTCGCACTTCTTCTTATAAGGGTGCTAGAGATACAGGATTAGAATCCACTCCACTGACCTCATTTAACCTAAATGGCCTCTAGACTGTCTCCAAATATGGACACATTTTGAGGTTCTGGGGATTAGGACTTCAACATAAGAATTTTTGCATGAATATCATGAACCTCAATAGAAGCTCAAAGATTTCCCTTAAAATCAAGTTCAAATGATTCCATAGTATTCTTTTATTAAGTATTTGATTATTGACTAAAGCATGATGCCACTGATTCACATAAGGTAAAGATAATACCAGCCACTCACATATGTTGTGACGACACTGATATTTTTTACTTGATCTAGTGGACACTTCCATAGTTTTCTTTAAGATTTGCAAATGTCTTAACATTAAGACATCCCAACCACTATAAAATCGTATTAAAACAAAAACACAAAATCAACCCCCTCCCAAATAAAACCCTTCAAAAACTCAGTGAGTTGCACTCCTGGACCCTATAGAGATCTTCCATGGTGCATTGAATCCAGTTCTTCTCTTCATTATTTGTGGACCAGGGCGCAGATGTCTGCTGGGCTAAATGGCTGCAAAGAATATTGGAATAACTACAAGTCTGGTTAATAACTTGTTCATAATCACCTTTCACCTTCACAAAATGGTATTTCAGGGTCCGCAGAAGCAAGCGCCCCTCGAGATGACTCCTGCCGGCGTGAGTCTGGCGGCCGCTGTCCTTTGCCTCTGGAGCTGGGCCGGCCTGGCTGCCGGGGACCGGGTGTACATACACCCCTTCCACCTCCTCGTCTACAGCAAGAGCAGCTGTGACCAGCTGGAGAAATCCAATGCGGAGACACCCAACGACCCGACCTTCATCCCCGTCCCGATTCAGGCCAAGACATCCCCTGTGAACGAGGAGGCCCTGCGGCAGCAGCTGGTGGTGGCCGCCCAGAAGCTGGAGGCGGAAGACAAGTTGAGGGCGGCCGAGGTGGGCATGCTGCTCAACTTCATGGGCTTCCGCATGTACAAGGTGCTGAGCGAGACCTGGAGCAAGGCCGCGGGGGCAGTGCTCTCCCCCACAGCTCTCTTCGGCACCCTGGCCTCTTTCTACCTGGGAGCCTCGGACCCCACGGCCAGCAGCCTGCAGGTGTTCCTGGGGGTCCCTGGGGAGATCAAGGGCTGCACTTCCAGGCTGGATGGCCACAAGGTCCTCTCGGCTCTGCAGACCATCCAGGGCCTCCTGGTCGCCCAGGGCGGGGCTCAGGGCCAGGCCAGACTGCTCCTGTCCACCGTGGTGGGGCTGTTCACAGCTCCGGGACTGCGCCTGAAGCAGCCGTTTGTGCTGGGCTTGGCTCCCTTCGCCCCTGTCACCCTCCCACGCTCTCTAGACTTGGCCATGGACCCCGATCTCGCGGCTGAGAAGATCAACAGGTTCGTGCAGGCGGTGACAGGGTGGAAAATGAACAGGCCCTTGACGGCTGTCAGTCCAGACAGCACCCTGCTCTTCAACACATATGTCCACTTCCAAGGTAGGACAAAGCCTTCATGGGCTCTGCCCCGGGGCTGGCCTCAGAGGGCGGGAGTTCCCAGTCTCCGTGGTTTGACTGGCTGGGTGGGCCAGGCCATGGAGCTGGGCAGGTGGATGTGAGGAAGTACCTGGAGACCACCCTCAATGAGGATAACAGGGGCTGCCCCACTGGGCTCCTTGGTTGAACAGCTGCCCTACTATGTGCAGCTACTATGCTGCATCCTTTTACTTTCATCATTTAATCCTCTTGTGATGCAGTGAAGAGTTGCTACTAATTTTGCTTACTGGTGAAGAATATAGTCTCAGAGAAACAAAATGATTTGCTCAAGGTGGCACAGCCACAAAGGGGACCCGGGGATCAAGTCCCACATCTCCTGACCCTGCGGCTCAGCTCCACCCTCAGTAGGGATGAGTCCTGTCTCTTGAGAAAGGTAGTTTCCTGTCTCTTGAAGTCACCATCTCAGGCCAAAATAACTGGTCTGTCTGCTTGCACGTTAGGAGGGGTCGTTACCAAAAAATCCCGACTACACAAACTCATTCAACAAATAGTCACTGAGGATTTGTTACTTGTCAGATTCTGGGCTGGCTGGGTTTTCATCCGCCAAGTAAGAAGGATGTGCTGGTCCTAAGCCCGGATCACTTGTTCAACAGGGGAGAAGAATCCTGTGGGCAAATTCCTAGACCACAAAACTGCAGGTGCAGTTGTTCTTGGAAGGTGCTCTGGGGCTTAGAGCACCCACAGTAGGGTTGCTGGTTAGTGGACATAAGGATTGGGGGCTACAAGGGGACAAATGCCTCCAAGTTCAGGGTGAACAGGAGAACAGGAACAAGAACAGGAGCAGCCTTGTTTGACCAGAGTTTAGAAGGAAAACGTGGGACCAGAGCAGGCAGGACTGGGAAGATGGACTGGGGCCAGATTAGAGAGTGCATGTGGTGCTGGGAAGGTTGGGAGTTCATTGGTGAGTAGGTGTTTGAGAGGAGAAACCTGCTCAGAGGTCATCCAGGCAGCCTGTGCTGTGTGGCTTGCAGGCAGGAGGTCCACTGGAAGGTGATGAAATACTGCCAGCAAATTCTCCCAGGAGCATGTGCTAAAATAGTGGCTTTGCAACTTGATGGGGGGTTGGGGGGTGCACTTAAGGGACATTTATGAGACTCAGGACTAACCTTGATGATGATGATGAGACCATGTGTAACCTTGTGGGGGGCAGGCAGCCAAGTGAGCGAGTGGTAAAAAGGTTACAGAGCCCATTACACCTTTTTACTCTAATATCCTGGAAGTCTGTACAAGCTCCTGGGGAAAAGACCTTCAGTCTGCCTTTGGGAGCAGGGGGAAGAAGATAGGTCTGAAATCATTGAGGACCCAGCACTGTCAGGTCATGGCAGCAGAGTCCAGTGCAGGGGCCATCCCGCTCGAGACCACACTCCATGGGGGACAGGGAGGCCACGGGCTTGGCCTACCGTTCCTCAGAGGAGCCATGGGAGAAACTGAGCTAGTCACGCCCCCGCCTAAAGATAAAGCCAGGAAACCACTGGTGTCCCCAGTGAGGCCCCACTCTGGAAAAGTGCCTGCCTGCATGAGACACATGCTAAGCTAGTCAAGAGGGGGAGAGAGGAAGGAGGGCACTTAGAAGGAAAACAGACACCCCTGTGCTCGCCCAGCCTCCACCCCTTCCCGCCTCTGCTCTTGCTTTTGAATCTCTCCCTGCCTGGAGTTTCTGGCTAATGCGCACCCCTTCCTGCCCACCCATGCCTTGTCTGCTTTTGAAATTGGCCGTTTGTCTGAGCGCGCTAGGTTCCCCTTAGCCAGCCTCCCGGCAGCACCCACCTGGCCAAGCGCGACTCGGGGCCTCGGAGCCCATGGGCTCCACGCTGGCCTCTGTCCAGCACTTGCTGTCACCCCAAGCTGGGTGCTGGCCCTGGCGGGTCCCACAACACCCTGAGAGTTGACTTAACCCTGAGAGATGGACTGAACCTTGGGCTGAGGGTGGAGCACTGTGTTCCTCAGGTGGGTGGGAAGGATGGGCAGCTGCCCTGTTTCGGATTCCGATGTCTTTTTGGAGGTGGTATCCTTTGTTGATGGAAAAAATAGCTTTTTTTCCCTCTAAACAAACTTATAGGCCTCCTGGCAGGCGGGGTGGCAGCCGTGGAGGAGGGCGCAGCAGCTCTCGCTCACCCTCTCAGGAGCGCGCTTATCCGCCAAAGCGCTTGGGCCCAAAGAACAAGGAGGCCACTGGTCTAGCCCCCTCCCACGGGAGCCCAGGAGCCGGAGCCAGTCAGCACGCTCCCACCAGGAGTCCTGTCCTGCCCGCTCTGGGGAGCCCTCTGATTCAGTAGAAAGGGGGTGCGCTCTGACTCTTCAAACTGCCTCTACTCAGACTCCCCAGTGCCAGGTGCCCGGGGGCCACCTTACTCTCCTAGAAACAGCCCCCCAACGTGTCTTCAAGGAGAGAGGCCCACAGAGGGAGAGGGCACTGGCGTGGTGGTCACACAGACACCGGTGCCAGCGCCTTCGCGAGAGTTTGCTGGCGCGAGGGGAGAGTCACCCTGCCCTCGAGGTCCAGCACAAGGGCGTACGTCAGCACCGGGCACCCCCGGGCCGGGTGTCTGTCCCTGGCTTCCCCGGGCATGAGACGTGTAGCCTTCATTCCAAGGGGCACTGCACTCTGGACCGCGAGATGGAGAAAGCACAGAGGAGGCCCGCGGTCTGCCAGGCTGGCTCTGTGTGAAATGAGCTCACGCCGAGGTCGTGCAGGGCGGCGACCGATGACAGGTGCTCCCGTGGCGGACTCGGGCGGCGGAGCACCTGTCCTGACCCAGAGAATGTAGTTCACCCGCAGCAGCAGGTGTGAACCCCAGTGTGACCCATGGACTCTGGGGATGATGTGGGGTCAACGTAGGGTCATCGGTTGTGACAAATGTCTCCCTCTGGGGCATGTTGCTGGGGGGGAGACTACGCGTGTGTGGGAGTAGGGGGAATAGCTACTTCTTCATTTTTCTGTAAGCCTAAAACTGCTATAAAAAATAAAATTTATTTAAAAACAAAAAGTGAGCATGGCAGAGCATGATTTTCCTGGCCAGGACCGATCAGGATTGGCAGTTGCCTGGTCGGTTACTACTGAGGTACATTCCTTAAGCTCTCTGGGTCTCCTCTGAGGGCCTTAGCTGAGGTGACAGGTTAACCCCCAGGGCCTGACACGCCCTGTGTCGTCAGCATGGACAGCTAAGGAGCTCAGATTGGGCTCGGCTCCTGGGGAAGTGCACAGTGGTCTGGGGTACTCTGGGGGTGCCCTGGGAAGAGAGATGGGACAGGAGCAGGGTCCTCAGCCAACCTAGGTCTCAGCTCTCAGCTGCTGCTGCCTCCTGGCTCCTAGTGCCCCCAGCAATGCGCCCACCCTCCACCTACCCCTGCTCACTGACCTGTCTCCTCTTGTCTCCAGGAAAGATGAAAGGATTTTCCCGGCTGGCTGGACTCCAGGACTTCTGGGTGGATAACACCACCTCAGTGGCAGTCCCCATGCTCTCGGGCACGGGCACCTTCCGGCACTGGAACGATGCCCAGAACAACCTGTCTGTGACCCGCGTGCCACTCAGCGAGAATGCCTGCCTGCTGCTGATCCAGCCGCACTGCCCCTCCGACCTGCGGAAGGTGGAGGCCCTCACTTTCCAGCACGACTTCCTGATGTGGATGAAGAACCTGTCTCCCCAGTATGTCTCCCAGAAACTGCTTGGAACCTCAGGGCTGCTCCCCCTGCAAAGGGGTGCTGTGTGGGGCCTTCTGCCCTCCAGTGGGAGGGGCCCAGGATGACCATGTGGCAGGTTTTGGCTGTGCCCTGGCCAGGGAGCAGGTGGAACCGTGGTGTGGTGGCAACAGATGGGGGGCTGCTGGTGCTCCAGAGTGGAAGGCCTGGCTCCCAGCCTCCATCATCTCTCCACCCATCTATTGAGCTAGCTTTCACCATATCGACTCTGTGTCTGCATTCTGGAGGGGCCAGGGAGATGGGGAAGCATGCTTTCCTTGTGCTTATATTTACCCACCGTGTGGAGACCCAGACACATTTCAATATGCCCTGTGGGAGCAGCCCTTTTTGATGCCACTCCACTCATGTGCACAGTTAGATGCACCCCAAAAGCTTCTTGGGGCTTGATTTCCCAGGAGGGTTTGGACCCCTCTAAAAGACTGGGAATGGAGATTTCTTGGGGTGCTGCCTTGAATCCAGATCTCCCTTGCTTTGCTGCCCAAATTATTTGCTCCTCTTTCCTACGGTGATGGAACCATGCATCACCTTCCACTGCTGCACTAGGCTTGCCCGGCACCAAGGGACACTGGTGACCTGCTCATGTCAGCTCCTTTGTTCATTTTTTTTTTTTAATTGTGGTAAACAAGTGTCATGAACTTTGCCATTTGAGCCATTTTTACATGTTTAATTGTGGCACTAAATACATTCATATTGTTTTGCAGCCATCACCAACCTTCATCTCTATAACCTATTCATCAGTCCAAACAAACTTTGTACCCATTAAACACCAACTCTCCACTCCTCCACCCCCTACCCGAACCCTGGCCCGCCCCACCCTCTAGTCCCTGGCTACCACCACTCTATGTTGTCTGTATGAATTTGACTGCTTGAGGTGCCTCAGATAAGTAGAGTCACACAATAATTGTCCTTCTGTGACTGACATTTCATTAAGCATCATGCCTTCAAGGCTCGCCTATGTGTCAAAATTTCCTTTTTTAAGGCTGACTAATATTTCCTTCTATGGACATACCACACTTTGGCTATCCATACATCCATGCACAGACACTGGGTCACTTGTACCTTTTGGGTGGTGTGGATACTGCTGCCATAGACATGATGTACTGCCAACTCTGTAGGGTTCTGTGTGTCACTGGAGACAATCATGGCTCTAGGGATGCCAGGGGCAGGCAGAGGCTTTACGTGCAGGTCCATGAAGTTGGTGTATGCAATAGTTTTAGCACAAAGGCTGACACTGTTCATTTCCCCCATGTCTCTCTCTTCCAAGGGGGTCTTTGAATCAAGAACACTGCACAAAGGTAGATAGTAGGACAGGATGCACTATTAGGATAACAGCAGTTTTTAATTATCCAAGGAGTACACCTTCAGCTACTAAATAAAGAACAGAGCAAAGATAACTATTCACACTCAGTCACCCAGGGGCCCTTGCTGTTAGATGCTGTACATCTTCCTCACGGTATTTCAGGGGATGCCGGAGACGAGCTTTCGGCAAAATGTCGGGTCAGGTGTCCCTGAAAGGATGAGGGGGCCTAGGCCAAACTTTCTTAAGGGCTGAAGGGAAGGGGAGTGAGGCAGACACAGACACTCTTATTTTGGTGTAAGCATCTCCTGCTGAGGGTCTCAGCGGGTCTTTATTTATACCTTAAGGCAAGAGATGGGATTACATCATCATATGCATAGAAGCAAAACGAAACAATAAGTACATTCCTTTCCCATAGACATTTTGTCGCCTACGTGTTCTTAAGAAAAGAAACTACCTTAAAAGTTAATAGATAATTAAAACTTAGATGCATTATTTCAGCCTAAACAACTACCTAGGTCAGCTAACAGTCCTTGGTGCCGCCCTGTCGCCAAGGCTGCCCTATCAGGAGACATCTCCTCTATCTATATGGCTTATACTTAGAGACCAGTTGCTTTCCGGGAATCAGTTATTAGCATTTTTTCCTACCTAGAAACTCCTGGTGTCATCCACTTTCGGATTCGTTACAAGGCTTCTTTACAGAACTTCCATATGAGGAATATTATGACCAGCTCTGGGTTGCTTATCAGACATGCCCTTGCACAATAATTATTTCCCATTGTCAAGTGGGCCAAATTATTCAGTGTTTAATTTTAAGCAAGTAATTTTCCACGCCATGTACTTACAATATTCTTATACGTATAATTTATTGCCCAATGTATTTACTGAGAAGTTCTTTCTTATTATGACCAAGAACAAAAAACAAAGGGATGTTTAATCTTCAGCCCCACAGTGTGAGACTCTTTAAAAGTCTTCGGCCCCACGGTGTGAGGCCCTTTTCTTAGCTGCTTGCCAGTGTCTTACCTGGCTGGGGCAACAAGGCCACCTGCAGCAAGAGGACATGAGGTATTTTATTGTATCTATTGCTGAAAATTTCCCAGAACAACCTAACTGGGTGACAACCTAATGTCCCCTTCCTTGGGCCCACTTGACAATGGGAAATAATTACTGTGCAAGGGCATGTCTGATAAGCAACCCAGAGCTGGTCATAATATTCCTTATATGGAAGTTCCATAAAGAAGCCTTGTAGCGAATCAGAAAGTGGATTATGCCAGGAGTTTCTAGGTAGAAAAAAGTTCTAATAACTGATTCCCGGAAAGCAACTGGTCTCTAACTGTAAGTCATATAGATAGAGGAGATGTCTCCTGATAGTGTAGCGTTGGTCCTCCAGTGAGCCTTCTTGGTCCTCCAGTGAGCCTTCTAGATACGACCGGGACCTCACAGTGGGCCACTGGGAACCTTCCTAACTGTGTGTCACCTCCCCAGGGTCATCCGCTTGACCATCCCCCAGTTGGTGCTGCGAGGGTCCTATGACCTACAGGATCTGCTCACCCAGTCCAAGCTGTCCACCCTGCTGGGTTCTGAGGCGAACCTGGGCAAGATCAGTGATGCCAACCTCAGAGTCGGAAAGGTACCATGGGGGCCCATTCTGCTTGGGCCTGACAGGGTTTCTGTGTTTCCTCGGGGAAGAGGGTCTAGGTGGGACAGCCACAGAGGAAGCTTCAGGGAGGAAGGTCCAGGGTAGGAGGGAGAGCAGAGCATGGCCAGGTGAGTGTGCCCTGCATGGGAGAGAAGTGGCCAGAGCTTCCTAGGGCTTTCCAGGGACAGGTGGAGCATGACAAAACCCGCCCTACCATGTGTTCTGAGATGGCCTGCCTAGCCTTGAGTTCCTCCCCAGGTCCTAAGCATGGGTGCTGCTAGCATCTAGAGTCAGTGACCCCAGACAGCACCTTGCTGCAGAGAAACATTCAGTAAACTGTCCAGGGCCAGCTGCCAGTGCACCCTGTAGCTGAGGAGTCTGGATGTTCTGAACACCATGGGAGGTGCAGAAGAGAAAATGGGGTGCCTCAGTCCTATCCTGGAGAGCACTGTTGGGGAGGGCCCTGGTGCTGACTGTGCTAAATTAGTGGAATGATCCACAGCAGAAGTTCTGAGGAGCTGGCTGGGGTGGTGGAGTCTGGCTGGTTTGAGGGGTACATTAGGGAGGTAAATTGGGTGGAGTGAGCGGCGCTGAGGGGCATGCATGCTTCCTGGGGGCAACCCGGCACAGTCACCCTGCACCCTCTCCCGGTCCCACTGGCCTCTGGGAGTGAGCCCCATGCTTGCTGTTTTGCAGGTGCTGAACAGCATCCTTTTTGAACTGGAAGCAGATGAGGGAGAGCAGCCCACAGAGTCTGCCCAGCAGCAGGTCACGCCTGAAGCCTTAGAGGTGACCATGAACACCCCGTTCCTGTTTGCCATTTACGAGCGAGACTCGGGTGCTCTCCACTTTCTGGGCCGCGTGACCAACCCACTGAACACGGAGTGAGGCCTGCCCACCTCTGGGAGGCGCTGTGTCTGCGAGAGGGCCAGACACCAACTTGTCACCTGCTGCCAGCCTTGAGCCTTTTCCTCCCACCAGTCAGCTGAGAGCTGGGGGAAGCCTTTTCTCCTTGGGAAACACGCTGCTGCGTCTAATGAGCAGCAGAAACTGCTGGCATCACCCCCAGGGTCCTCGGGTTTATCTTGGGGAGCATGGGGGCGGGTGCTGAGGACCAGGTTTAGCATAAGACTACTATTCTGGGAAGAGTTCCAACAGACCAATCTGTTTGTGAAGGCCAAAAATGGTTTCCTTTTAAATTGAGAACAGAAATTGGGCTTTAACATTAAAAAATACATATGCCTTGGGTTTATATTTAGTTTATTGAAGTTGAGCATGACTTGCCTTAGTTGTTTTTTGGTTTCTAGGTTTTTCTTCTCGACCACTAGTCTCGATACTTGTGCTCTTTTGAAAAACACATTATGAAAAATACCATCATCTGAACTTGTAATAGAATGTAACTTGTATTAGAATGTAATACCATGGCTGCTTATCCCTTGTGTTATTAATAAATGCTTTGTAACAATGAGTAAAAAGAAAAATTCCATCTTTTACTTAGCCACAGAACACATACAGGAAGTCCACCTTTGTCATCCACTGAGACTGACTTTATTTTTTTTTATAGAGGCATGTTTTTATTTATTTATTTATTTGTTTGTTTGTTTGTTTTGTTTTGTTTATACAAGCACTGGGTACAGTCAGAAGTGCGGGAGGGTGAGAGAATCCACCAGAGCCAGAGCAGGGAGCAGAGCAGGCAGAAGGACCGAAGTACACTGCTGAGGGGAGCAGCGGGCGGCAGGAGAGGTCTGCACGCCATGTGGGACCCTCCTCCGGTGGCCGGGGAGCAGCTGGGGATCGAACTGGCGCTGCAGAGGCCGTGGGCAGCTTCGCAACCCAGCGCTCAACTGCTGCGCCACCAGGGAGGCCCCCACTGAGACTGACTTTTAAGAGAAATGATAGACATTGATAGCAAGACCTCAAATAATGTGGTTTTATTTAACATTTGAGTTGGGATTCTTGAGGGTTTTTTTCCTTCCTCAATGTGATGATGGAACAACATTGAGTGAAATGACTGTGTTCCAGGATTTGCTGTATTTGCAATGTAGCTGATGGACCAATCGCACAAAAGTGCTTTCTACAACTGTAAGCCATACTTTAGGGGGAATTTCCACAGAAGGAGCGGGCCAGTACTTAGCCATCATATGGAGAGGTTTTAGGGGATGTATTTTTCTGGATGCTGACATTCCTAAGCAGCAGTGACTGTATGTGAGATGGGCATTTGGGGGTCACTGTGCCCCCACGCTATAGAGAAGGAATGGAAGAGCAGCACACATGCACTTCCACTTTCTGGGCCGCATGGCAGAGGGAGGCTTGCTGATCTTGCTTTGACCCAGTGAAATCCATTTCTGACTCCTGGCCATAAAACTATAAGAAAAAACATCTGCACTGTTTTAAGTCAGAGTTTCATGGTCATTTGTGACAGTTGTGAAAGGAACTCCTACATCCAACTTGACTCCTGCACTCAGAGACATCACCCAGGGGCATCACAGGCAGGTGTCCTCTCAAAGTTGCTCCCCCACCTTCCAGGCTTTTCCCTTTAGTATTGTCCTCAGGGGCTAGGGCTATCATTTATTTATTTTAAAGATTTATTTATGCAAGAACTGGGGTACAGGTCAGAGGCGTGGGAGGGTGAGAGAATTCACCAGAGAGAGCAGGGAGCAGAACAGGCAGATGACCGAAGACACTGCTGAGGGGAGCAGCTGGTGGGCGAGGCAGGAGAGGTGTGGTGCACCATGTGGGTTTCTTCCTGGCCGGCTGGGATCGAACCTGCCCTGCAGAGGCTATGGGCAGCTTCACAGCGCAGCGCTCAACCTGCTGCGCCACCTGGGAAGCCCTAGTGCTATCATTTAAAAGACCAGTGACCTTACAGGCCACTGGCACTAGAGCTAAGGAGGTGAAATGTCCCAGTGGAAGTTTCTGAAAGCACCTCAGTTTGCAGTGCCTTTGGGATACGGTTGCACCCACCTGCCGTGACACAAGGAGCCCCCAGACACAGGCCACAGATGATGCGTCACAGCTTGAATTCACATGACCAGTCACTTCCTTCCAGGGTACAGATGAACTTGAGCAAGAGGGGAGCATCCCTGATTATCCCCAGACTTCCCAGGATGGAAGCAGGAGTGACCTCTGCTCCTGAGGGGATGAACAAAACACAGCACCCAAGAGCTCTGCTCTGCTGCCCGGAGTAGGCTGCCCCCCAGGCATCCTGCCCCCTTGCCTAGGTGCATCAGTCCCTGGGCAGGGAATCTGCTCACTAGGCAGTCCCAAGGGGCCTTCCTGGTACCAGTTTTACTTGGGCTTATCTTTCACTACACCAGGCATTTCCTGGATCTTCTACCCTCTAAGGGTCGCGATGGGAGTTCAGGGTGCAGGAGGGGTCAGTGCTTGGACCTCAGCAGCAGCAGCTGCCCCAGGAGTATATTAGAAATGCAAACCAGGCCCGCCTGACCTCCTGAGTCAGAATCTGCATGCTTGTTGGAAGCTGGGGATGCACACCGGAGTTGAAGAAACACTGCTTTAAATCATACCAGAATCTCCACTCCACGCACAGGCTTCTAGAAGGGGTGGGGGCCACCCAAGTAGGCTCCTTTGCTTGGATCCACTCTCAGGTGGATGCCATGACGCATCCTGCAGTCAGAACTGCACCCTGGCATTTCTTGTTTCTTTTGTGATTCCTGAAACAACTGCAAATGAAGAACTCTTCAATGTGTTGACTTGAGTCAGAGCAGCTTTCCCATCCCCCAGCATAAATCTTCCTTCATTTTACAAATATAAGCAGGGTGCCAACTGAGTCCCTGCTGTGTACTGGGCACTCAAGTCGCCCAACCCGTGATGACATCCTAGATTGTAAATCAAGGATTTGAAATGTCCTGTGTGAACAAAAGCACTGCCATCCCACAGCTAGAGAAAGAGAACATTCGGGATTTTAATTTTATTTTAAAGCAACTGGCAGTGGACTAATGGATTTCTCCTTCTTGGCAGACTCCAGAGGCTTCAGCAGTTGCTGGGAATAAAATGTGACCAGACCCCCTCTGTTCTGGAGCTCTTTTATTAATGGGAATTGGGTCAGGACGTTCCAAGCATACAAAGCACCAAAATTTCACAGATTTCACTTAACACAAAGATATTAATTCTAGGGGTTTGTTTCCTGAAACACATCTTTATAAAATCCCCAGTCTCCCTGGAGTGGCAAAGTGCTTACCCCGTAGACAAGGTAACTATTCAGCCATCACCTTCCATCTGAGACTTTGGCAGGGCCTGACACCTGGCAGAGGGGCTTCTCACAGCAACCATGAGGAAAAGTAGCAGATCCCACATCTCACTGCATTTTAAAATGAAAAGATTTTTATTTGGCAGCAAAACCCAATCTAAACCAATGTGAGGCTGCTTAAGATCTTTGTACTGGAGACGTTTATAGTGTGTGTGGTGGGTATATAGTATATAAAGAGTGTGGTGTGTGCAGTGTGTGTAGAGTATGTGTAGAGTTTATAGTGTGTATAGTGTGTGTACTGTGAGTCGTGTGTGTAGTATGTAGTGTGTGTAGGTTAGAATCCCTGTTTCCCTTCTAAAATGGGAACAATTTAGGTCACTGAACATGCACTAAAGGATTTACATGGTAGATTGTGGATTTTATCATCATCCAGGTGACTTTTTTTTCCCTAACTTACCCTTTTTTTTTTGTTTGTTTGAGAGCAGTTTTACGTTCACAGCAAAACTGAGCAGAAAGTACAGTTATTGGGCCTGCCCGGTGGCGCAGCGTGTTGAGCGCAGCGCTGTGAAGCCGTCCGCAGCTGTCATCACACTTGGCATTTTTACTTATCCAAAAGATTCATATACTCAGCACATACTTTTTGAGAGTCACTAGAGGCATAGGAATGATCGATAAAATCCCCCTCCTAGGAGACTGAGGTTTAGTCCTTCTTCCTGAACACAGAATAGTTGCCAACCACTGCATATCTCAGCTCTGGAGCCTGAAACGAGTGAAGTATGTTTTGCTATCACATATACCCCCCTGGCTGGCCCTTCATGCTCTTTTCCCTTTCTGGTTGGCTGTATTGGAGGGGGAGTGAACCAACGGTGGCCTTAAAAAACAACAACAACAACAACAAAACTATCCACCTTAACCACTGGAACCTATGTATTTGGAAAAAGGATCTTTTTGCAGATGTGATTAAGTTGGGGGTTCCAGGATGACAGGTCATCTTGTATTTACCAGGTGAGTTCTAAATCCAATGTGCTCTTGTGAAGACTCAGGTAAGAGAAAGTCATGAAAACAGAGGCAGAGATTGGAGCCAAGGGACTTCACAAAGCATGAGACACTGGGAGCAGAAGGTAAGGACCCTCAGGGGAAGCATGGCCGTGCTGATAGCCTGACTTTGGCCTCTGCCTCTAGTAGAGTTAATAAAATCTGTTGTTTTAAGCTACTATGTTTGCCGTAGGAAACAATCTAAGCAGTCAGCTCTGGAGGGTGGGAGATGGAACAACACTTGAGTTTGGTACTGACGAAAGCTGGGCAGTAGGGAGTAGGTCTGAGCTGTGCTGGGCCAACCTGGGCAGGCTGGGACTACACTCCCAGGACTCCTTTCCGGCCACGGTTGGAGGTTCTGTTGGCTGCAAGAGAGTGTGTGACTTGGAAAGTGGAGCAACACTGCATGTTTACACTCAGTGGACTAGTGCAGGACCAGGCACTGCTGCAGTTTAAGCCTGTTACGCTGGGCCGCCATCTCTGTTGGCAAGGGGCGTTGGAGCTCTTCCTTCAGCTCCCTTGCACGTCCTGGGCCAGGTGTGTGCACCTTCAAGAAGGCACACGTTCTTCTGCAGGGCACTCCATCCCTGAACTTGGGAGACCTGGAGGCAGCAAGAGACAGATGCAGGTTCCAGTTGGCCTGTGCTCGCTCCCCCTTAACAGCATCTTTCCTTCTGACTGCGCCTGCTGCTACAGGCCCAGCACCACCCACAGAAGCTACAGCCATGCGTAGACTAGCAAGCTGGCTCCCACCACTGAGTGTGGTCAACCTGCACAACAAATCCCTCTGCTGTCTCAGTTACCCAAATTCTTACTGCTCAGCTGCTGAGTTAGATCACTCTTCTGTCTAGGGACAAAACTTTCCAAGGTGAGATCACAGGCTCCCTACAGGGTCAGAGTGCACTTTGGAGATCCGTCCCTCCAGCGTGAGGGGTGCACAGAAGCTCCCAGGGCTCCACATGCTGTTGCCCTGCACTTTTACTGGGGTTCTTTCTCTGTTCCCTCTTATTTCTCTAGCTTTGCTCATCACAGAGCTAAAAAAAAATGTCATTCCTGCCAACTCCCACATCTGCTGTCTTCCTTCATTTATTCCTTTTTCTCCTTAGATGTAATCTTTGAACAAAGAAGTTGAAATGCAAATCGCAGAAACGTGGATGGAACTAGAAGGAATTATGCTCAGTGAAATAAACCAGAAGGAAATAGAAAAGTAACAGATGGTTTCACTTATAGCAGGAATATAGGGGAACCAAGTAAGACATCAGTGTAAAAAAATAGTAACAGTACAAAAAACAGATAATTATAAACCAGAGACATCCTGCAGGGGAGGAGGCGGGAGAGGGAGCAGAGGGAGGGAGGGAGGAGCCCAGGGGACTGAGGTGATGGTGCACGGGTGCACTGGTGAAGGAAACTCTATGGGGACTACACCTGAGGGGGTGGGGGGAAGCAAACATTGTTTAAAAATGAATGATGTAAAAAAAAAAATAATATTTAAAAAAAAAAGAAATGCAAATAAATGCAAAGTTAGAGGAATAAACACACTCTTCAAACCACCACTCAGCTGAAAAGACAGCTGCCTAAGCGCAGCGCGCCAGGTGACGTCCCCGACTACCTTCAAGCTGGTATCGCTTCTGCCAACATCCCCGACTCTCCCCTCCTTCCAGGATTAGCCAGGAAGAGGGTGCCCTTGCTACCGTCCCATGAGACACACCTCCCAAATATCTGAAGGAGGGGCTAGGATGGACAGGACGCGGCGAGAGGCACAACAGAGGGGCACTGCCTGTCAGGAACCAGGTCGGCAGGGCCTGGCGAGGAGGGCCTGACTCATGCTGCATTTCTCCATCACAGGCGGACACACTTTGGGCAGACATTTCTTTATTGAGGAAATAAAGCTTCCCTACTGGTTCTAGCTCCTGACAGAGGTCTGGATGACGAGCATGATCAGAAGCACTTTTCTTAAACACCGAGTGAGAGGACGGAGAGCTGCCACTTCTAGCCTCTTCACCAGGTCCGTAAGTGCACACTTTCACCTCTGAGAAGGGGGTTTCCATACCACGCGGTCACTGCACTGCAGCAGGGAGACCACCTTATATTCATACATATATATTTACTTTAATCATATTTTAGAAATCAGCTCTTCCTCACTAAGATTTACAATAAAAATAAAATAATCTGCTCTGTAAACTGTAGTAGAAAGTTTCAAATGTCTTAAAAACACTCTTCCATACAACGGAAAAAGGCTTTTGTGTTTCTTTTTTTTGGGTGAAAGAAGACCCAAAGATGCTGAGACAAGGTGCATTGGCGTGTTGCTGGGGACTCAGTGGAAGCACTTCTTCGCTCAGAGGCTGTAAGAATAGAGCCGCTTTCTTCCCTGCAGGCTCCCAGCCCAACTTTCCTCTCCATGGGCTCTTCCAGATGCTCAAGGCTGCTCCGCTGTCGCCTGGTCCTTGGCAGCCACAACCAGCTCTGCAAGGGCTGGGAAACTCCTTATGTCCTTTGTCTGCAGGCCCATCTTTTGTATCTGCAGAGGCCATGAGAATGAATGAAGCTGCTGTAATTTAAGCTGAATGTGAAAAATAGACCCTTACAAAACTTCACCTTTTGGGGGTCAAATACTTAACATTCTAAGAAGCCAATGTGCTAATTTATGGAAGCTCATCAAATTAGGTTCTTACTAGGATAAGAATCTCTCCTGTGGACTGGAAAATTCACAACACTAAAAAAATGAACTATTTTTTAAGTGAAGACTTTTCCAAAAAGCATTGACCTGAGCTCTTAATTTAACACATCAATAACCCTTTCTTAGGAGCTGATGCATTGAAAACATTTTAGCAAAGCAACTATTGTAGATGATTCGGTAACTGAGACACAGTACACCCTGTTCCTGCAGCATTAACAACAAATACAAAAAAACATACACGCCAGAAAATCTGGAAAGCTCTGTACCAAGTATTCAGAATCTAAGGGCGTGATGTATCGGGGGAGGAGTCTTTTCCTTCCCCCACCTTCCCTCCCACTTGTCCCTTTCTCCTTTTGCTTATTTATTCTTCATGTGTCTTTAATGAACTTTCTTGCTTGTGAAAAGACGTTAGGTTTCTTTTGTGAAGTAATGAACATGGCAATAGCCTTTTGTTAAGCTGTATCTCTAAATTCACCTCAAAGCAGAAAAATTTAGATTTCACGGATATGTACGAGAAAACTCAGTGAATTAGAAAACCAGGCATCTTCTGTTGGAAATGTTCTGATTTCATTTTTTTTCCTCTAGCAAAAAGGTCTTAAGATTGATCTACTGCTAGAAAGAAAGTCAGTTACTGAATATCACAAAGTTCTACAGCACTCAAGGAAATCACCCCAGGGACTCAGAATGAAAAGCCTTACGCGTAATCCATACCTGCCTCCTACATGATAATATACACATCAGTATTTATCCATGCACTTTCACTCTAAAACCTGAATTTTATAGAAAGTCTAAAAGATCCAGAAGCAAAGAAGATGCACTCAATTTCTTAAGGCCCACACTGAGGGATCAAGAGGCTGATACTTTCATAGTTACTCCAAGTCAAACTAATAAATATTCCAAAGGACCCTGATTGGCCCCAATTATATACCAGGAACTTTCTAGGTGGTGGCCCAGCAGAATGCCAGGTGCCTGTGAGCTCCAGCTCCTGCAGTTTCATGAATGTGAACACTGGTGAACTGAACAGAGGCCAACTGCGCCAAAAATCAACCCCTGGACTTCAAAAAGTCAATTTTCAGTCGTCTGCTGTTCTATCCTTCCCCTAACTCCTAGGTGCAAATCCTTCATCTGCAAGTATTCAGGGACTCTGAGCCTTTTTCGAGCAGATGGGTATCGGACTCGCTAGCTCTTCAGCAGCATCTCTGGGCCCATCTGAACCCCCAGGAGACAGTTGGGCCCTTAGATTTTGGGTTCTGGCTCACTGGACCTGACGTGGCTCGTGGATTACCTGCAATCCCAAGTACTCCACATCTAAGGCCAACTGTAGCCTGATTTTGTCGTCGTCACTCATGCCGCCGCCACTGGAACACACCGGGTTGGTGGGCGTGGTTTTCCTGGCTTGTTTCAGCCTTTTCAGGCTCTCTTCCATCTTCCTCACAGAGTTCAGAACATCTGACACAGTTTCATAGTACCTTGAACACAAGACACGCTTGCTGGTGAGAGACAGACATGTTTGTGTCTAACACCAAATAAGCTAGCTGGCTTTGTGGGCGAAAAAAGAAATTTTTAGAACATAATTCATTTCCAACAAGCATTAGCTATGATAGTTAATGTTTCTTAAGACTGAAAGAAAAAAGGACCTTGACTCCCTAGCGCTGCGTTTACTCAGAACTTAAGAAATATACACAATTTTGTTTAAAGCTTTACTACTGAACAGTAAGAGAAAACCACAGGTCAAACTATCTTTTCTCCATAAAAGAGGGGAGAACTGTAGCTCATTCCCCAAATGCAAGTAACAAGTTTATTCACAACCCATTTTTTTGAAAGAGGAAAAGAATTTCAAATTTTTAAGTAAAATTGCCTTCATAATATTCCCAATACAATTTCCAAATTATAATTGAGTTGTATTTCAAAACTATGTTTACAAGCTGGTTACTTGGCATTTGGAACACATTTTCCCACAAAAACAATAAAAACAATCATGGTTATGTTCTAAACTTACAAGTACCTCTTAAACTTTTAAGTAATTGAAATAAATACAATACTCTTGCAAAATTAATAATTAAATTAAATTCAACAATGAAATTGTTTTAGTATTGCTGTAAATTAAATTTAACAAAACTCAATAATAAACTGAATAATACAGTTTCTAATGTAACTCACTGCTGGCATTTGGGGAAAAGTAGCTTGAATTAGAAATAAGAGGCAATCAACCAGGTGATTCTGAGACCTCCTCCTACTTCATAGATTTTAAACACTGATCCTTAATCAGTTGCAATTACTTCAAAATGTATGTTTTTTCTTCCTTGATTACAATGTAAGTTCTTTAATTATCTGCCATGATTTTAGCCATTTTGGAGTGACAGCTGAGGAAAGAAAGCATCTTCAATGAATAAACTGCTTGAACTCATAGAATGATGTCAGTATGAAGGGGCACTAAGGACAGGAAAGGTGGGTGTGCCCAGGGGAGCATGGAATGTGTCTGGACCCTTGAAAGGTGTATGAGCTGGGAGATGCCAGGGACTATGTGAACACTGGCAAGCTTGGCCCCAGTCAGGCCGAGGCAGGTGACCCAAAGAGCTTCAGATGGGGAGATCCAAGCGGGCATGGCTCAAACGATGCAGATGAGAAGAGTGCCAAGTCCCTGACTTGCACAACAGAGCAATTTTTACCTTACTACCTTATCTACAAGTAACCTGGGAGGGCCTCAGTGATCTCCGACTCACAGCTTTTCTAAGAGTTTACTTTTAAATTACTTACTTGTGAGTACTCTCAGAGAGAGCACCTTCTAACCACTGTTGAATTATTGCTTGTTTGAGTTTATCCTTGTGCCCACTCTGGAGCTGGTAAAAGGGCTTCAGAGCGCTGTCCACATAAGAAGAAGCGGCAGTTGGCACCTCCTAGAATAAGGGGTTAAAGGCGCATAAAAAATAAACAATACATTATTCAACGCTTCAGTTCAAAAGGATACTACTAAGTACCAGTTTTGAGATGTGTGCAAATTCCATCCCACCACAGACGTAACACTAACGTTGTCTACAGAGAAATACTCGAGTATCAGAAGGGAGCTAAAGAGTAAGCAAGGGAGGATGATGCCGAGAGCCCAACTGGATTCAGAGCTGAGCTGGCCACCAATAGCCCAGTTCCCCAGGTTGCTGCTTCCCAGACCTATGTCTGTCTCTTGATCTACTTCCCTCTTTGGCTTTCCTAATATCTATTTTCCCACTTTAAAATTATTTTCCAGGAATGGCACTGACCTTATTGGTTCTTCGGTAAAGCCGGGGCACCTCCAGAGCACCTTTCAGGTAACTGAAGCAAGATTCACTCAAGTCTTGAATGATCCTTTTACTCAAGGGAGGGACGCAGGCTGACAGAGACCTCTGGGAGTCCTCCAGGGCTGCTGTTCAGGCATAAAGATTGTGTTTAATTGCTCTATTCAGGCCCAGATTTAAATTTAATTTTAAATACTACCACAGCATTTAGAGAATGTACTACAGTAAATCAAATCAAATTTTTAGAATTGTACAAAATATTTCATTTAGGGAAGTTACAATCACAGAACAGGACAGAGAAACAACCAAGAGGATTTACAACTTGAGAAGAAAATGGTATTGTAAATATAGCTTATGGTCTCTAAAATCTTCTTTTAAATTATTTTTTATTCAAAGATTTGCTGAGTCTAAAGATTCATTTTTACCTGAGATGGAAGAAAAATTCGTAAAGCCAATCATTTCAAGTTTTGGCTTGATTGTTTCCAAGAGTTCTGGAAGCTGAAATAAATATATACTTTATATATTCAGTTACTGCTTATAAATCAAAGGAAGAAGCAATTCTATTTATACCTACAGACTCTAGGACACTATTAAAGTCCGAAACTAGGGACTTTCAGTAATTTTCATAAGAAAGCTAAATTTTTAATTAACTATCTCTCTCCAGAACCCCAACAACAGGGAAGCAGCACAGTTGCAAGACCTGCAGAAGGCAGCAAGTGTTCAAACACAAATTCATTTCTGCAAAGTTCTCTTAAAGGTAAAAGTAAAACCATGGGACCTATACAGAGAAAGCAGGAAGAAGTTTGAACAGTTCAGCACTGTCAAAGTACTGCTGAAGATTAAAGGTTACCAAGCAATATTTGGGTAGGTTACTTAGAAATAATTAAGATCCAATACACTAAAAGTTATGCCTGCACAGAGTTTAGTGAAATAAGTGGAGCATGGCTTGCTCTGATCTTGTAACATCACCCCTGGAAAGAAAGTGGAGGCGCCAGGCTAACACAGTACTAGGCTAGCAGGGTAAACAGAGAGGAAGAGAGCATGTCAGTCAGAGAAAGTTGGAGAAACACCTGAAAGGGGGATGAACAAGATGTTCTCTCTTGCATTACCCTGGGTAATGCAATCCTAAGGCCCCGTGGGATTGAATGATGTCACGTCTTTTCCCGTACAACTTTGTGAAAACTTGGAATTGGATTTGGAATTCTTCTGGGACACAGGCTTACCTGCTCCTGCAGCTTGTCCAGATCTGCGATGACATGCACAAGCTGAGTGCTGGAAATGGAAACTACAGGCTTCGGTTCCGAAGGGCCATTTCCTTGGTCTTCGCTATTTCCTTGGACAACAGAAGGATCTTTGCTACCAGTTACCAAAGACTTTTTAATATCCTTGGCATTTTCATTCACAATGGGCCTGAGTAAAAGCTGAAAAAGGATTTCAATCATTAATACTTTTCCATGAGAAGATACATCAACATCTATGTATGTGGGTCAACTCACCACAAAAACGGTATCTATAAGTACTCAGTAAATTTACCAAAATGGAAACACCATGACTCTCTAGAAATGAGGACAAACTACAACCCCTTAGACATTTACCTTTTGTGAATTGGATCTAATTTCTGGTGATACAAAGAGTAAAATAAATCAGAGGGAAAAATGATTTCTGGAACACCACAGTTGTTTAAAATTAATCTACTATATTAGGTAAATAATTTACTGAATCTAGTTAATAAATTTTTTATGATAATAAATAAGGGTTAAAAAATTAAAAACCAGACTTACTGTGCTTCAAATAGTACAAACAACAAAAATGCTCTTTGTATAACATATCGTTACAAGGGAAAAACCAAAAAGTATTACGCTGGCATCAAGGAAAGTGGAATAATGAACATTCAAGGCAAAATGATTTCATGAAGACATTAGAGGAGTAATTTCTGGATAGTAAGAAAGCAAACTTAGCAGGTGCAGACCTAACTGAAGAATTGTACCAACCCCACTGGGTCCAGGAATCACACAGCAGTCTTCAGACCTGGCTTGATGGACCCAGCTGCTAAGACCCTTCTGACAAGAGAGATGGCAAAAAGGAAGGAGAGAAAGAACTTGCATCTAGCTTGCCAGGTACTTTAGTCAACAGTTTGTTGGTCAACAAATCTGTTACTCTTTGTGACAACCATATACATAAACACTCTTTCCCTATTTTATAGATGAAGAATCTAATGGTCATAGAGCTAATTTCCCTAAGGTCACGAGACTAAAAAGTGAGTGGCAAAGCCAAGGTTTGATTTCATCTGGATTTCGACTGTACTCTTTCCATTAAAACACTGCAAGAAGACATTCCCCTCCTATTCCAGTTACCAAAGATTGTATTCTTTTCAGTGAAAAATGGTATCTTCTTCGTGTATCTTTCCGCATAACTTACACCCATCTGTCTTTTCATACTCATTGAGCTAACCGGGTGCACGTCTGTCACTTGAGATGTTCACAGAGGCAGGGCCTATCTGAGACTGACACGCTGGGTCAGGGACAGGCAGAGGCTGGTGGACTGATGCTTCTGTGGCTTTATGCGTAATTTCTAATAAATCAACATAGTTACTTTGACTTTTAGTATACTCAACTTCTTAGAAAGGGAAAAGATAGCCTGAAGTGAAGGAAAGGTTATTTTTACTATCTTTAAATCTCAATGAACATATTTCTTAACCTTTCAAATAAACCTATTAAAGTATGTATATTTTTATTTTTTTTAAAGACATTCTACTTATTTATTTATTTATTTATTTATTTTTTTATTTATGCAATCACTGGGTACAGTCAGAAGTGAGGGAGGGTAAAAGAATTTACCAGAGCCAGAGCAGGGAACAGAGCTGGCAGAGTGACAAAAAACACTGCTGAGGGGAGCAGCGGGCGCAGCAGGAGAGGTCTGTCGCACCATGTGGGACCCTTGCGGGCGGCCGGGGATCAAACTGGTGCTGCAGAGGCTGCGGGCAGCTTCGCAGCCCAGCACTCAACCACTTCGCCACCAGGGGAGGCCCCATATTTTTATTTCTAATGATTTTCATGAAAATGAACATCTTTGTTTTGATTTGGAGACATCTCAAAGATTCTGTTTTGCGAAGGAAAAATGAGCACATTATAAGTCTGTGCTTTCTGACAAGACAAAGAAGGAATATGAGGTAACATAAACCCTAAAGGCAACACTTACAGCAAGAGTAAAAAGGAAACTCAGAAACCGAGATGGCTACACACTTGAGAAGTTCCTATAGTCTCCCCCCAATCACTCTCTCATGACAAGATGGCCTTTAAAAATATTAGTGCATTGGTGTGATGTCTCACTTCTCTGTGTCTTTGACTGCAGATGAGCTACACGTCCAGCCCTCACCTCATTGACAAACACAGAGTACCGAGACAAAATCTGCAGTGTGAGTCTCCAGAGACGATGAACCAGCAGTGGCAAGAACATCTCATCTGACCAACACCTCTGGAGGCTGCTCCATGTTCTATGAGAAGCCAAAAGGCAGTAGGAACTTCCAGCTAGCAAAAAAAAAAAAAACATACATTTAAGGGATCTCATTCAATTAAGAGCTAAAATCTAGCATTTTCATTGTATAATTCAAGAAAGAATGAAGAAAGTGGTATTCTAAAAAACACTTTACAGTCAGCAAAACTGCTAGGGGAGGGAACAAGAGGACCACGTGGCCACTATCTGTGTCACTACATCTTTCACAGCAATGCATTTCTAATTCGATGATTCCATCTCCCAGGTTTTCGATAAAAAATAAATATATGCAACATGCAGGAATAATTTATTTGTTGGTACTTTATTCTAAGTCAACACACACGAACTGGAGTGGCAGTCAACTGAAAGGGTTTAAATTTTACATTTAAACAGGAATTAGTCCTGTTTCGTTGGCCTACTCTTCTATACCATTACCTGAATATACCATGTATATACAGGAAGTCAATTACATATGACAATTTTGGCAAAGACAGATGAAAACTAACTTCAAGGCTAAATTAGTTCAGTCTGACTTAGTTGCACAGAAGGGAACAGGAATTTACATTCCCTACAGACCACATGGCTATACCAACAGCCATGCATTACCTTAGCCACTCAAAAGCATCACATGATCTGTATTAATTAATGAGGCTGTAAGGAAAGCAAACATAGCTGGAAGCCTGACTACTGATGACCGTCACCGCCCAGTGTCACAGGACAGGAACCCAGGGCCTTGGAGGCCTAGGATATGAGCCCCAGTCACAAGGCGCCCCTGGGAAGGAAGGGCCAACCTGATCCTGGACCCCAGCCTGAGAGAAATGCAGAATGTAGTCAGTTTGCTATAAAATGGGCTGATTATGTAAGCACACCCTTAACACGTTATGAAAATGAGGTCAACTGCCTGTATCATTTAAGCATCCTTTTAATTATCTCTATAAAGCAAGAAGTTATATAAGCCAAAAAAAAAAAAAAGTCTGACTACTTTTTGCCTGTTAAAAAAAGTTGAATTAAGTTTTAAGGTCTAACTTACTATACTAGAGGAAAAGGTGAACGAACCCTCAGGATAATGCCTCAAGTGCCTCAGTGAGCTTAATCAACTTATTAAGTGGCATCCTATCACTTTAAGAAAGTTACCTGGAGCATCTTCCAGTACATCTGTAAGTGCTGCTTCTAAGGATCCCGCTATTTCTCTAAATCTGAGATAAAAACAAGAGCACAAATTAGTGTGACAACTGTTAGATGACTTTCCATATCCACTGTCTTTTCTTCCTCAGTAACAGCAACTTCTTCCACTGGCTTGCTGGTAAGTCCAATCTTAAAGATACCCAACCTGCCTCAGAATACTTGTTCTCCCATATTTTTTGTTACTGAGCAAGGAATCAACTTATCTTGATTAAGCCACTCTTGGGCAGGTTTTCTCTGCTGTTTGCAGCTAATCAGAATCACAATTAACTGCAAATTTTTCTAACTAAACAGAGTGTCCATTTAAGCCTCCATTAAGAAGTCATTTTTTTCCAAATTCTCAGTTAAAGAAACAGATTATGGAAGGGGCTGGAGGAAATGCGTGTGAAACAGGTAAAGGGGATCAACTGTCAAAAACAAAATGTTGTTTTCACAAGTCCACCTGGCTATAATCATGTCATTCCTTCAAGGCCATAAGACAGTGGTCTGCCCAATCCACTGTGACAGCACTGTCACAGGTAAGTGACCCCAAACTAAGAAATGGGAAAGTTGTATTCTGTATCTGTTTGCAGCATTTGGCATTCTAGAAAGAGTGCAATTAGAGAAGCCCCACCCTGTAAGGAAAAACATGTTACACATGAGCAAAATCAACAGATGTGGGACACATCCATTGTTTGAGGCAGGTGAGAAGATTGGGCAAATGGAAAGAAAGAGCACTATATAATTTTGTTTCATGATGAATGAGGAAATAACAAATAGTTGAATTAATCTGGGTATGGAGTCCAGCTCATTCTGTCTAGAGTTCTGAGCTAACTGCCAAATAATAAAACATTATCTTTTTGTTGTACAAACCGTATCTTTGGCAATCACGACACTTCTTGTACATTCCTACATTAAATCTTGTTTCCCAAAGACTTTAACATGATCACAAAGAAGGGGCTAATGGCAGTGACATTTATGACTGATATTCAAATTCTGTAAGGGTGCAAGTGAATAAATTACTGACCTTATTTGGAAATAAACAGGCAAGTTCCACTTATTATTGAAGCTGTGATAGGCAGGATGTGCTCTTAACCTTTTTACACTGGCCTGAGATCCACACTGCCGTTCAAATGTTCTTACAAAATCCATACTTATTGTATATTTCTAAAATAAGAGCAAACAGATGGAATTTTCATTGAAAGCAAACTAACCAGAATTAGGAACATATACTGAAAACTAACATCAAGATGAAGGAGGTTAATATTGAGAAATACTAGTTTCTAGAGCTGAAGGGAACTTATGGGATCTTCCTTCCCAGCTTCCCACTTAAAGATCAAGTAATGCCCAAAGTGTTTCTGTACATGCTCAAGGTCTTAAAGCTAAGCCCAGCAGGAAACTCAGGTAAACCAGTCCAGAGCTCTTCAGATGGCGGCTCTCACATTCCAGGGTACCCTGAGCCCATCAACTGAAGTTGACAGATTAAGACTGTAGCAAAATTTTCATTGCCTCTCCAAAAGAAGGAGAATATTTTAAAGAGGAAAAGGAAAGAATCAAACCACATGAGTTATTTGATGAGACAGCAGGAAATCTGACAGGGACTCTAACACCACCATTAAGAACAGCAGCTAATACAGGCCTCCCCAGTGGCGCAGCGGTTGAGCACTGGGTTGCAAAGCTGCCCGCAGCCTCGCAGCGCCGGACGCCGGGTGAGGGTCCCACATGGCGCGCAGACCTCTCCTGCAGCCCGCTGCTCCCCTCAGCAGTGTATTTCGTCAATCTGCCTGTTCTGCTCCCACTCTGGCTCTGGTGAATTCTCTCACCCTCCCACGCTTCTGACTGTACCCAGTGCTTGTATAAATAAATAAATAAATAAATCTTTAAAAAAAATTAAAAAAAAAAAAAAGAACAGCAGCTAATATTATTTAACAATGTGTTTGACACTGTATTACTGGGTTATCAGAAAAGTCATGATGTATTTTTTCTTTGAAACATAGAAAAAATGTGATTTAACTCCCAAGACTATCTTACCAGGCACTACTATTTATTATCATCCCTTATTTTGTAGACCACATTTCCTCTTCTGTTTAGGCTCAGAAAGAACTGGCCCAAAAGACAAAGCCAGGAACAGAGCAAACAGAACCCTGGCCAACTGGGAGAGCAAAAGCACAGCTATTGGGAGATGCATGTCCACAGCCCTCTTGTCGTGAAATGCGGGGCTCGAGGACAAACACTGCTGGCTTTTCCAGATACTTGTTTATGAGGGGTTCAATTCTGGGTCACCAAACTATTCATTTGATTATGCTCATGTCTGTGCTTAGACAGGAATTTTAGGGCAGGAGAAAACTACAGGTTTTAAACTGTTTTCAAATGGTTTTGAGCAATGATTATGGAATCCCAAGTATTGTCCAGCTTAAAGCAGAAAGCATTTCTTGAAAGAAATTAATAGATACCTTATAGAAACTATCACATGATCATTTAAGCATTGGTTTCAAAATCTATCATCAAATTGTGGATTCACATTTGACTTATCAACCACAATATCTTTTAAATAACATGACTTTGTTTTCTTAAAAAGTAAACATGTTATAGGGCAACCCCAATATAAAACGGGTTGCCTGACTGTGAGTCCTCACCTGCGCGCTTAAAAGGGACTTACGCTGCAGGCACACACTAAAGGTTAACAATGGTTTATTTACAAGGGAAAGGGAAATGAGGAAATTTACAACTTAGGGAAAAAAAAGGGACATAAATTCCTAAATGCGTCCTACCTGTTCCACCGACCTGGAATCCCAAATGACCTGCTGAGACCAAACCTGCCTGGCCAAGAGCATGAGCCAAGAGAGTGAGACCCCACTAACATGGCCAGTTTTATTTACAAACAGAGAAAATGGCTGCTTAACTCCGCCCTTATGTCCTCGCAACTTCCCTTTGGGGATCATGGGATTTGTAGTTCCCAGTGTCTTGAGGGAGTGGAGGTGGCATCCACAAAGCCTGAATGGAATTAGCTCAGGACATCCTTTCCCCCTAACAAACATAAGGTCTCCTTGTCTTTTAAATTACATAGGACACTTACAGACCACATTTTAAAATATAACCAATACTTTTTGTTTTACTTCAAAATTATTCAGCAGAACAAATTTAATTTTTCATAGATAATAACCTCAAAGAGAGAGGTTTCTTCCCCTAAAGTTAGAAAATATAGTATCTTTTTATAATAGTTATAAAATAACTTAGAATAAATAAAGTTAGAAAATAACACATGTATTTAGTTGCAATTACATCTTGACTGAATTATACTTTACATTTTAAATTAAAATATTATTTCAACAAGGTACCAGAAGCTAAAAATTGGATAAAATTATGTGTGTATTTCAAGGTAAATGTTCACTCAGCAACTCAGATATTTATTTTTAAAAAACCAGTCTTTACAAAAAGACTGTGCAGAAGACAACATGACTATTTTATACCCTCAGGTTAACTGCTTCAAGAATCAAAACAATGGAGGAAAAGGTACCTGGTGAAATGCATCTGGATTTCCAGGATTAAAAAGTGAGGGCAATTTTTCTTCTAATCCTCGTACTATTTCTGGCCACACAGAATTCACCAAAAAATCATATCCAGGAACAATGTTGCCTTTTTCACTGTAAGATAAGAACAAAATTTCAGTTAAATACACTATAATCTATTTTACGAAGACCAAAATCCACTGTGGTACTTTTAGTAAAAGTTCCTGAGCCTAAAACTTGTTCAGTTTTCTCTAAAAAACTGTATTTGTCAATTAGTTTGTTTCCAGATCCAGATTTCTATTTCACTTATTGATCTAAGTCTCATCTTGAACCTGACCTATATCTTTTGTGCTCTCTCCTATATCTATGACATAATGGAGAAGCTGGTGTCAAGGATAAAGCAAACCTACTATAGCAAATTGCCTTGGTAAAATTTTCTCCCACATAAAATAGACTACCGTATTTACACTGTGTTAAAAACAAAAAAAAGCAGCCTAAATCCATAAGGAAGGGAATCTTTGCATTCAACTTTAACACAAGCAAACCCTAAAAAGCATTTTAAATTATTCCAATTTACCAAATATTATGTGATAAAGCTGTCTCTAAGATTATCTTCAGTTCTAAAGTTCTACAACTTTTCATATAAAATCTTGATCACAAAACTTATTACAAAAAAAACCTGATAGCGGTCTCCCTTGTGGTGTAAGGGGTTAAGACGCAACCTATGAAGCTATTTGCAGCCACTGCAGCACGAGTTCGATCCCGGGCCAGGGAGCTACCCACATGGTGCAGCAGACCTCTCCTGCCTCGCCCGCTGCTCCCCTCAGCAGTGTATTTCAGTCAGTCTGCCTGTTCTGTTCCCTGCTCTGTCTCTGGTGAATCCTCTCATCCCCCCACACTTCTGGCCTGTACCCCAGTTGTTTTATGAATAAACAAACAAATAAATAAAACCTGATAATGTTTGTGTGTGTGTGTGTTTGATTTTACATTTTTAGCATTCTTCTAATTCATAACTCAGAAGAGAGGCAGCATCGACTCAAAAGCATTCAACAAAGGGCCAGAGAACCTGAGTTCAAATTGAAGGTCATATAAGTTCTCTGTGTTTTGGTTTCTCTATCTTTAAAATGGGAGTGGTAATAACATCTGCCTCATAAGATCATTATAAGGATTAATATTTGTACAGCAATTAGGGTAATTCTTTACATTTACCATGTAGTATAGACGCTAAATATATTAGTACAGTATAGCATTTAGATAATATTTAGGACAGTGTAATACATTTAATAAGTGTTGTTTTATACAAGTAAACAAATAAATGAGGTAGTTTCTCTATCTTGAACTTAAACATGGAAATATCTTCTAGGCAAACACCATCTCACTGCGCCACCCACATTAATGCCATATATTGAGTAACATGCCATATTTTATGGTAACTTTCCTCAAGAATAGTCAACAATTCAATATATGGCTTTATTTCAGCAAAACTGGGAGTTTTATAGATAAGTTGGCATATCAAATTGGGACATCATTCTATCAGGTATGCAAAATAAACAGCAAACAATTTTCTTACTTTTCTTGTTTAGCAAAAAATATCAATATAGGTCATCAAGAACTTTATACTTTACTGTCCAGAGAGAACTACTGTTACAGGAACGCAGGCGCCTCGGTGGCAGAAGCCGCAGCAGTGGTGCTCTCCCGCCCTGCCCTGCTGCTCCACCACAGGTTAGTTGTGGCATTGCTCCTCAGTGCCCAGTAATCTCCCTTTGACTTCCTGGATCATGGAGTGAGCCAATCAGGTGTCAACAATGAACTGATTGGTGCTAAATGGTCCAATCAGCCACAAGATTAAAAAATGGTCCAATTAGACCTGTGGGTGAAACACCCTGAAAGAGGACATAAGCCAGGGTTAGAGGAAGCTGAAAGAAGCATCATCCAGCAGCCAACCTCTGAGGAGGGAAGAGAAGCCAAAGACCTCTGTCAGAGACTGGGCCTCCAGTCCTGTCTCTGCAATTCCCTGAAATATCTCAAAAAGCTGTTACCATTTGGTGTCTCTGACGCTGCCGCAGGGGGACCAGTAGTGACCAGCACTACTGGCCAGTGTTGTCTGGCACTCCTGGTGACAAGTGACTGGTGCTCTGCTTATACTTCTGGTGGGCACTATCTGGGTGAGACAGCCAGCTATTTATGGCCACAGGAAGCTCTTTTTGAAATCCCATTTGTAAAATAAATCCCACGGTTGTTGTTTACTAAGCCTGAGGACTCTTGCAATTGTGCCCACAGATGAGAACCCACAGATAGTGACCTGTCATCTTATCGGGCACTGTCCTTTGTTTGGCTACAGTCCACAGGTCCCCTACTGTATAGCTATTGCATTACTATAGCCCTTTGTTTTGGTTTTTGGCAGCTCTCGTGTCTTAGAGCCTGGGCAGGTGGGTAGTCATTGTAGCCTATCCTGGTATCCCATCTTGCCCCTTTATGCCCCTGTTTCACTATTAGTTCAACATAGATAAGAAGTAACTAGTGGGACTACAAGGGGGAGGGAGGATAAAGAAGAGCCCACTTCCTACATCCCCAGCTCCACAGATTATATATATATATTATATACTTGTAATCATTCTAAGAACTAGCTCTATTGTGGTATTCGGGGAACAAATTCAGGATTTTAAAACCACAGATAATATAAGCAATATAAAATAACAAAATCCTAAAGTACCTAATTAAAGCACCAAAAAGAAAAATTAAATCTGCAAGAATAGTTGTTGAAACAAAATTAAATAGAAAAGCAAACCCACATTCTTTAGAAGACAAATCCTGAACATGGCTAGTGTTGCCAGTTATGAAGTCTGGGCACTGCGGGCAGTACAAGACAAAAGAGAAGAATGGACAAGGGAGGTGGCGAGCATTTGAGAACCTGAAGGCAGGAATTGAACCTGAAGGCAGGAATCACCATGGGGCTTGAAACATGAAGAGGACCAGCTAAGGTATAATTCTTGGGGCTTCTACATGAAACCTGCCACCCTGAAAACTGTGCAAGAAAACTCAGACAGCTTTGGAACTTGACCTTTTAGGACCAAGATCAGTTTTGTCATAACAAATGACTTGTTGTTTTATAATTACGACTTCTTTAATTTTACATCATGATTCTACTAAATTCTTTTTACAAATCCAAATCCAATTAAGTAACCATTATTAAATAAAAGTGCCAAAACCAGGCTTCATCTGAAACCATGCAGTGGAAACAGGATAATTCAAATGGCAAATGAACAAATTCAAGACCAAATATATTACTTACATATGAGACCTTATCTATCTTTCTAATGCTGAAAATGGACTAAGTAAGTCACTTTGCAAATATTGGGCAGTTGCTCTCTTCATGACACTGTGCAGAAAGGAAGGAAGGCATGGGCTATACAGGTGGTGAGCACATTGCTAAGTGGAAATCAGTCCTCAACAGAAGTGGAAACATCTAATGGCACCCCCACAAGGTGGATGCTGAACACTAGGGTAAAAAGTGGTCTCTTGAAAGTGGTCTCTGAGCTGGAACTTCATGTGGAGTGGACAGGTCATCAGAAAGGCAAAGGGAATGGAGAAGCAGTGAACAACAAGGAAAACAGAGAAGCACAAAAGTGCCAGGGGAAGGCAAGTGCTCCTCTGTAGCCAGAGACTAAGTGGTATGTGGGGGAAAGTTTCACGGTTGAGAAATCTACAGTGGAGAACCACCAAGGCCAGAGAATAAAGGGCTTCAGAAGGAGCTTCAAGATGTCTGGACTTTCCAACATAAGCAGTGAGAAGCCATTAGATTTATGAAGAAGGCGGAGTCTCAGAATTCTGGGCAGAGAGAAGGCTGAACTAGAGGGAGAGAGTGGCAGCAGGCAATCCAGGGAGGTGGGCAGGGGCCTGTTATTCTGGATGAGAGGTGACAAGGGCTGGACTGACAATAGCAGTGGTGAAAGGTAATAGTTATTTATGATACAAAATTGGGAAGTTATAGAATTAAATGAAGGAGGGAAAGCTGAAGATGACTTTAATCACAATTAGTACAAAGCATGAATTAAAATGAACTGGTATTTATAGATAGATTACAGGATTAGAATAGTGCAAGGAAATCAACTTTGAGTTCAACCTTGTAAAGAAGAAAAAAAGCATGGGCTTTAAATTGGAGAGAGCCTTCTACCTTAGCTTCATCTACTACAGCTTCCTGTGAGAAGCTACAAATTTCACCTCATAACATTGTTGTAACAATTGAATAGGAAAGTACATAAGTAGCCTGTTTACACCAGGCAGTACTCCGCAGTGCACTCAGAATAGGTACAACCACCCACTGAGGTGGGTTCTAAGCAGAGCACTTTAAACTACCTTGAGATGGCTCCTCCCGTGACTTCCCGAAGAAGGCGGCAATGGTGAGGAACAAACTCCAGGAGTTTTTCATACATGATCTGAAGGCCATTTGGATGAGACTCAACAAACTGCTCTATAATCACCTATTTAAAAGGAACATAAATTTTTACAAAAGCATCTATGAACCACATACTACAAAGAAAATAAAGAAAACCTTAAAAAAATACTTCCTCATGCCCACCCTCCTACCCAATTGACATATTTAAACAGGAAGGTTTTAAAAAAAAAATCATACTCAAAAAGAGTTCCTAGGATTAGGGTGCAGAGTCATGACCTTGGGGGAAACAGGCTGGGTGAGACACTAGCCTGAAGCTAAAACCAGGCACATTTATCTGCTTCCCTTCTGAACTTGAAAGATCAAGGCAGCAAGGACTTTTTTTTCCTACCATCATTCAGATGAGAAAAAGGTTTGAGACAAAGAAGGATGAAAGAAAATACATTTTACTTTTTGTGATAAGGTTCAGAATCAAGAGGTAAAAATGACAAAATAAGCATATTAATTTCAATAAAGTAATAATGTGGCCAGGTTTATTTAATATGCCACTGAAAATTCAAATATTTCTATAATATATTAGATTCAGTTCAATGAAAAATAAATGCATAAAGGGGCCTCCCTGGTGGCGCAAGGGGTTAAGCACCTCACTATGAAGCAATCCGCAGCCTCTGCAGCACAAGTTCGATCCCCGGCCGGCCAGAGAGAAACCCACATGGCAAAGCAGACCCTTTCTCACCTACTGCTCCCTTCAGCAGTATATTTCAGTCAGTCTGCCTGCTCTGTTCCCCACTCTGTCTCTGGTGAATCCTCTCACCCCCCGCATCTCTGGCCTGAACCCCAGCTCTTGTATGCATAAATAAATAAATCTTTAAAAAAAGAACAAATTAGTAATTATTTTCACATTTTGACAGTGTAAATAATGTCTTTTGTACCCCCATAGAGATAGCTATTAACTGCAACAGGACAGAGGGAATTGATAGATCATTTATTTTTTAGTAATCCAAATGAAGCCAATAGGATCATTGAAATAATCCTTACCTTTAATTTTTTCATTGCGATTCAATTTTCACCTTTTAAAACTGAACTTCTAAACTTTCATCCAGAAGTCATGGTGAGTAACAAGCTTTATATTACTGCACAGAGAGGAACTCACACTGGTACATGACTGGAACAAAGTGTGCAAACACTGAGGTTGGGCTCTGTGATTTCGATTGGCTTGAATTGTATGAAATTCCCATTTTTGTGTGTGTGGGAAATTGTTTGATATTGGCGACTTCATCGGACACAACTATGTTCTGGCTGCTCAAAGGCAAATATATTTACCTCCTATATTTTAACTGTATACTAATAGGTGCAGGACAATGAAGAGCCAAGTTCTGGAATTAAGGTAATTCTCTGCTAATTTGCCCATAAAGTCCTTTGTCTTTGAATAGTTCCTCTCCCCACCACCTTGGCCTAGCGGACTCCTCCACCTCCAACACTGTGCATGACATAGTGTTGCCATCTCCTCACTTATTTCAATCTACCCACTAGATCTGTAGTGCAAAAACTGTTTTAACGACTTTGTAATTTACAAGCCATCCAACCAAAATCAAAAGCATTTTGGCATACCTTTTTGTAGGCAAGGCCCTCATCCCCACTAAATTAAGATAATCCCTGGTTAACAGCATTACTAGCAAATACGTTTGAGCATGCCCAATTCCTGGGAGGTTGGTTGTAACCAACAGAGACTAACCAATCCTTTCTTACAACTGATAATGTAGTAAGTATGAGAATCTTTAAAGAAAGCTCTTGTATTTCCTTTTATCCCTTACTCCCATTTAGGTGTCAAAGACAGAGCAGATGCTCTCTGAACATTTGTAAAATGAGGTCTGGAAGTGCACACACCTCATCTACATATGGTTTCACAAGTACTTGACCAACTAATGCCTCCGCATCCCGCGTCTTGTCAATTGTGGCGTAAGTCCTCAAGCAGTGCCGTATAATATCGACATTAGAAGTCTGAAGACCTTCTAAGAGGAGACCCTCCAGAGACTGCTGTAACATAGCTGTAATGCCAGCTATACGCTGCAAACAAATAGATCAATAAAGTTTCAGTTGGGACAATTTTAAAAATTCAAGCATGTACATAACCAATCTCTTAATACCACAAAAGATAATACATGTAAAATTAAACCTTAACTTTTCCTGGAGAATAACATTGAATCTCTCTTCTTCCCACAATTTCTTTTTAAGTTTTAGACAAAAGTACAGAATGAAAGGGGCAAAAGTTATTTTCCTTTTAAGTTACAGATTAAATTTGACAAACATCATGAGGTTTTTCGATGAATTTATTATACTATATATTGTATAAGTTATAAGAAATTCAGAAATCAGTTACTCTTATAATTCAGAGTATATGCTTGTGTCTTTATATACTATAATGTGTGAAACTGATGAAGCAGAGGCCCCAAAAACAAAAACTGAAAGAAAATACTCAAAGCTAGCTTCAAAATCCTGTACATCAACATTTATCAGGGGCATCATTAAGTTAAATCAAAATTATTTAGCAAATTCCTAAATACCAAACTGCAAAAGTTTAAAATAACACTTACTGGTCTGATTTTGTCCAAAAGAGGCATGCCTTTGCTTTGGACAGCATGAAACTGTAACTGGTTAAATTCTGTGGCAATTCTCTCCAAAATTTGGCCAGTCAAAAGTGGGCTAGTAGAGAAAATTACAGATATTTAATTCCTAAGGTTTTTTAATTTCCAAGAAAACACATCACACAATCAGCAATGGCGATGCTTTAAATACCCACAGGTTAACTTTCTTCAGAGAATGTTGTTCCATGGCCCCCTAGTTGCAAGGTCAAAGCTGAAGCACCTTTCATGCCAGCAATTTTCACTCTGAGTCTTACCACAGCATGTTCTAAGTGCAGTGGGCAAGCAGTCCTTAAGTCTAAGCCATGACACTGCCTGGCCTCAGGCAACAGGGCCCAGAAGAAAAGCAGGAGCTGGACTTAGGTTGGTGTGGGTGTGACTGTTTCCATACTTCTACAGCCTCGCCTATGGCTTCCCATTCATCACCATTTTTTACCTTACACCTTTTTGTCACCCATGCCGTATCCACTTATGACACCCCATTCTCTGCTACTTCTTTACATGTCTCCTTCTCCCTTCTTTGAAAACACCTCCAATATTTCTGAAATTATTGATACTTTTGTCTCCTCAATAAAGTAACACTGGTCCTCTAGCAGCAATAAATGAAATACGTCAAAATAGCTTACTTTTTAAACAGGGCTAGTTTACTTTAAATTTACATTTACCAAACAGCTGAAAGAAAATCTCTATGTCCTGAGTCCCAGTGAGAGGACATACATTGTATACCTACCACAAAGTATAATAAATGTACTCTTCTGCCGCCCCCCCCCCAAAAAACACAATATAAAACATCAATCAATACCACTCAAAAGTAAATTAAATGACAAAATAAGAAAAAATATAAAGTCCTTGAAACACCTGCCAGGCTTTTCTGCGGCATTCTGTATCTGATGACAGGTCAGTGAGCAAAGCAGTCCACACGGTGAGGAACTATGAAGCACCATATTGAGATGATCAATGGTCTAATCAGTCTTGTATCTGGAGCATCCAAACTAGCTTAGAGGGAGAGTAATTGCCCAGTATGAGCTACCCAAAAGGCTAAAGTCTCTTTTCTGAAAACCTGCTGTGGACTTATTATTTATAAGTCATCTAAACATTTCTTGGCCTAACAAGCCTGAAATACAAACTATTCAGTTACACTTCGCTGGTTTTCCCTTCAAGACAATTCAAAGTTGTTGATTCAAATTGAAGAAAAGGTGATGAAAGGTGACTCTGAGCAAGAAAGAGCATAATGTCTACTACATCAAAAATGGAATGTTGCAAAGGAATAGTATCATAGAAATAAAATCACTGAGGTATTTTGATCAGAGGATCAGAGTAGGAAAAGGCAAAGATGGAAAGAAAACTGGGAAACAGGTGCCATGGATGGAAGGGACTGTCAGTGCTGCTGAGTGCAACAGAGAGGCACAGCAGTGACAGACACACAGGCTCCAAATCACTAGTCAGCATGAATGAAGGAGAACGAAAAAGGCAAAAACACAAGTGCAGCAGGCAGAAGGAACAAAGATGAAAGGAACTGACCATTTCTAAAACATCTTGATTTTGAAAGGAAGCAAAGACCTAGGACAGAGGAATTATTTTTTTTTGGATGTCTCATTTCTTAATCCATATAATTAGAGACACAGAGCATATTGCCTCAATGGTCCCTTCCAAATCTAAAATTTTGATTCCTAAAATTAAGAAATCCAATGTGCCTTTAAAATATGACCAACACTTTGAACTACAGGCATATTCAATTTGGATACAATTGGTTTTGCAACGGATTATCCAATAACTATATATGAAAACATGTTATGGCTATGAATATGACTAAGAGAAGCTCATGGTAGCCCCCATTAGACAGATATGAGGGCCTACTAAGTGCCAGGTCCTTGCCGACAGTGCCTCAGTGACTGTCAGACAAGATAGAAAGGTGATGTACCAAGACCCAGGCTACCTAGATGGTACAGGTAATCCAAACTTGTGCTCTTTCTGCTGGACCATGATTATGATGCTTATATCACCTAATCAACTCACTTTCTCAGTCACTCATCCATCTACTTGGGTGATTTAAAATTCAGACAAGGAAGGTAATAGGGCAGTCACAGTGTCACAAAGGAAATGGTTATCTTTTTTTTTATTAATAAGTTTTTTTCCTTGTTTATAAATTCCAACTAAATGTGTCCTAGAGTACTGTTAATGATCACATGTTAAGTGCATTTGAATCTCAAGATACATCAGTGCTATCACAATCAGCATGTCTAAAAAAATCTTGCCAGTCCATATGTAAGGCAATCCCAAAGAAAAAACTTCCATTGAAAGCAAACTGCCTCTGAGACCCCTAAAGATGATGTTTTAGAACCATGACCTATAATTACAAAGATTTTCTAACAACATACATAAACCTCATCATTCCAATGCACCGCATTTTTCTTGAACTAATTCAAAAGACTTGGTCTTTATTCTTTTCAGAAATGAGTTTTAACTCAAAAAAAATTTTAAGTCCAGGCATGAAATACTAATTTACATGATATTTAGTAAAACAAAATTCTTACCTGCTTGCTTCTAGTGGAGATGTTTCTTTAGAATTCTGAGAATTTAAGATTTTTTCAATTTTCTCAACTGATCGAATAACTTGTATAAGCCTTAATACACACATCTATAAAAATGAAAATTAAGCAAAAAAAAATATCATGTGGTTTAATCTTAATTATCTTATTTGCGCATCCTAAATGCAGGAAAATACAAGGCCAAAAGCCAACTTAGACTATTTAGAACATTTTATATTTTGAATATTTCTACATAACACTGAATTTCCAAGAAAGCAAATCTAAATTCTAGCTTACTAGATAGATAAAGCAAATTTCAATATACTACTGAAAGTCTATAATAAAAAAAAAACACTAGACTTTTTTTTTCCTTTCTCATATTCTCCACTCCCATTCTTTCTTTCCCTCCATTTAAATGAATCTCTCTATTTGCACTACATTTATTTCCTTATGACTCTCTTTGCATGTTTCAATTTTAATTTCTGAGAGTATTTACCCTCTCACTACACCTATATGCCAAAGGTCAATTCATTAAAGATACTTTCAGACTACAAATATTATTAAAGAGATTAAAGAACAAAACCTTTAATCCTTAAAAGAACAAAAGGATACAAAGTCATTCATCAGTTACTGAGCACCTGTTATGAGCTGGAGGACATGAGTGAACAAAAAGGCAAAAATGTTCTGCTCTCATGAAGCCTATAATGCTTTCTAGTAGACATGCACTACATTATAGAAACCTTTGGACAAAAAATTAGAAGAGATCTAAAGAATAATTAAACAGAAGTTCTCTAAAATAGGCTTCTTGCCCTTGAGATTTAAAAAATATATAAGTAAATTTACGAAGCAATGGACAGAGCACCAACCTAGAGTTGGAAGTTCTGAATTCTAATTCCTATTCTGCCATTATATCATTGTAACTCTAAAATTGGAAAATGAAATTAAAACATAGGATTACTAATAAGTAAAGGCAATAGATGCATTAAGGAGAGGAGAAAAGAAGGAATAAACATGGCAGAATTCAAGCAGCACGCTACTTTTTTAAAGGAATAAACCTACAGCAGAATTGTAAGAGTTTACTTTAGAAAACCCGACTTATTGCCTAATCTCTAAAATACAAATATCTCTTTATAGGTGTGCTAAGAGATTATATACCTGTTAAACTGTAAAGTACGTCACTGATGTCTGCTATTACTATTTCCTCTTCTGGAACAAAATAAGGAATTTTAAATATTTGACCACTCAATACCTCTTAAATTCTTCTTTTTACAAGTAGCTAACATGACACTGTAACGCATGAAGACACACATGCAAAAGAGTTAGTAAATAAAAAAGGGCCTGGGCTCTAACTCGGACTGTGCCCCTCACTGGCCCTGCTGAGCTACTGATGCCTGGGGATGGAAAAGAGACCTCACATTTGGTAGCGATGAAGACCCCAAGAGCAGTAAGTTAGGCCCATGCATGAAAGTACCTCAACCCCAACATGCCACAGTGAGTCCATGTTTTGACTCTAAGACACTTGACTTTACCTTTTTTTCCCTAATGTCCTCTTGTTTACACATTCGTTCATCTACTGCCCGAATTCCTTCACTGACAGATGACCTAAGACTCTTTAAAAGAAGAAAGAAACTGTATTATGGAAATTGTTTTATAACATGAAATTTACACATTAATTCAATTACACAGAAGTTAATGTTCATAGGCAGCATTATACAGATACTGACAAAAATATTAGCGTTAACTAATATGAGTAGAGGGTACTCATGATTTGGGGCAAAATGACACGTAAAGCCCAGGTCACATGGGATTAGCAATCAAAAGAATACTAATACATCTACAATGAATGTCATAGGTAGTCAGGGTAGAAAAAAAAATCTGAATCAAAGTACAGAAAACTTGGGCAATGAAAATGAAACTTGGGCTTGACTCTGAAAACCTGTGTGTGCTGACCAGGGTGGAAAGGGATTCCTAAAAGACAAATGGTAGGAAGACAGAATTGAGTACATTCAGAGCTGGTGAGGTACATACCCATGTGCGCTGCAGGATTCATTTTGGAGAGAAGTACAAGTACAAGGATTAACTGAAGAGGTCTTTACTTAAGGTCTTTAGACTAGATTCCATACACTCCAGAAACCAGAGAATGTTTAAGTCCTGCTATGTCATGATGAAATGTTGTTTGGGGAATACTGGTGATCAAGAAGTAACAAACAGAACAGGATGGCTAGGAAAAAGGACAAGTGATAGGTGGAGGGACATGTCTAAGAGCTAATTAATAAAGCCAAGTATAAGATAACTAGAAATTAGGGCCAAACTAAAAGTCATAGAAACAACAGAATAACCTGAACAAATCACAGAATTCCATAGAAAGGTGAAGAATTCATTAAATAAACGTTAAATGTCAGCTCTTGTGGTAGTCAGTAAGGTGTCAATGAATAAGACAGAAATAGCCCTCAGTGATCTTAGAATCTCACAGAGTAGCTTCTTGAGTGGGCATCAAAAGGAAGGTAAGGTCTACTGCTAATTTAGGAGAAATGTGTTTATAAAAATAGGTGGTGGGTGACAAGGAAGGACTAGAGCTTGTGTATGGAAAGCAGTCTACAAATTCAGAACAGAAGTCAGCAGGCTAAATCTACCTCCAGGGAAAAGAGTGTGGAGAGGAGTGGAAGCTAAAAACAGGCTGAGGCTAAGAAAACACCATAGCTACAAGGCTAAGGGGAAGAGGAAGCACACCAAAATGAAGGCAAGAAAGTCACAAAGAGACTGGTGTGGACTCCAATAGTGGACCACAAAAAACACTGCTCCTAGTTTTCAAAAAGAAACACTTTAACAAGCTTCTGTAAGATTCAAACAAGTCATAAACATTCAAAAATTTTGACTACTTGAAGGCACAGCTTGAGACATCTCTTATGTATTCTTTCCTGTCTACCATTCATCTGTACTTCTCAGCACTGATGTTTCTGGTATTCTGCCATTTTTTCCACTGTATCTCATGCACCATGTGTGCTCCAATGTGACAGGCACTGCCTTAGGGGCCAGCAGCACAAGGTCACACAAGCTGGTGTGGGCTATGGTGACACACACAGGTAATGATGGTGTAGTGCACCAAGTTTATGATAGGGCATCAGAGCTAAGGGAGCGTGGAAGTTGGGGTGCTGGCACAAACTTGGGGGTTGAGGGGAGGATAGAGCAGCACACTCACTTTTCTGTTCAAAGTGAACCCCAAACTTCCCCTCTACGGTTCATCCACATGGAAGCCCTATCCTCGATGGCTTAGAAGTGGGAAGTTCTAAGCAGCAGAGATCTTCTCAGAATATTAAAACATAATGCTTATTACATTACATGCATATTATCCTTCAGTTATATTAGGGGTTAAACAGCTGTTGCAATGTGGTCCAGAAACCTAACCACATACTAAATATTGTTTGGAAAATACTTGTAAAATTACCAATTTAACCAATATAAACCATTCATAGGTTAAAGACCACTCATATATGGTGAGGTAGCACTAATAAGTTGAATTTTGAAATAGCCTTCATCTCCTCCCGACATTTTAAAGCTCTACTCTGAGAATCTGTCATTTTCAAATCAAGTATGTTTTGCAAAAAACAGACCCATTTAACAGTTTTTTTGGAAGGTGAGTAATCATGGACCATGAAACAACCACTACCGACCTAACAGATTAAAGGAATTCTTGTGAGAGAAGACAAACAAGTTTAAGAGACTGTATAGCATATTGTTATGATTGTATGTGGAGACTTACCAGGACCTCCTCTCTCAACTGTCCCAAAGGCACAGAAAGCTGGTTAAGGGCTTTGTCCATGCCAACCTACAGGCAAAATCATGGGTGCACAAACACATCACAATCAGCAGTGATAGTGACATTATCTGTGTCATGATCAAAGCAGTAATAGACTTAGGTGATTCTTTCTGTACAACAAAAATGAACCACCACATATTATAAGTAACTAGTTAAATAACAGAAATGTTTATGTACAGCATGGTGTCTGTAGTCAATGCCATTGTATTGCATATTTCAAAGTTTCCAGGAAAATAAATCTTAAAAGTACTCACATAAACAGAGAAATCTGTTACTTGTGTGGTGACAGAGAACTAAAATTATTGTGGTGACCTCTTTTTAGTATACACAAATATTAAGTTATTGAGTGAAACTAAATATAATGCCATATAAATATATATTTGGTTATATACTATCCAAAACTAAAATAATGTTGTATGTCAGCTTTATCTCAATAAAAAAAATTTTAAATAATAAAAGTTATTTTGCCCTAAGTATTTTTTTAATAAAATTTATTTTGGGGCCTCCCTGGTGGCAAAACAGGTTGAGCACAGCACTATGAAGCTGTCCGCAGCCTCTGCAGCGCCAGTTCAATCCCTGCCGACCATGGAGATACCCACATGGCAGGGCAGACCTCTCACTGCTCTTCTCAGCAGTGTATTTCATCAGTCTGCCTGTTCTGACCCCCACTCTGTCTCTGGTGAATTCTCTTACCCTCCCGCACATCTGACCTGTATCCCGGTTCTTGTATAAATAAATCTTTAAAGAACAATAAATAAATAAAATTTATTTTATTTTATTTATGCATACAAGAGCTGGGATGTAGGTCAGGGGTGCAGGGGGTAAAAGGATTCACCAGAGAAACAGTGGGGAACAGAACAGGCAGATTGACTGAAATGCACTGCTGAGGGGAGCAGCAAGCGAGGTAGGAGAGGTTTGCTGAGCCATGTGGGTTAGTTCTCTGGTCGGGGATTGAACTCATGCTGCAATAGCTGTGGATAACTTCATAGTACTGAGACTTAACCCCTTGCACCACCAGGGAGGCCCGTGTCTTAAATATTTTGTCCCAAATATCACTCATAGAATATAAAAACATCTGCTGATATACATGAAACTATAAAACTTAGGAAAATGAAGCTTCCTCATGCACAATTTGCCTTTGGATAAAATTTCCATGAATTTGAATATTTTTACTAGGTGAACAGTTATCTGTCTGTAATTTAAGCTATTTCACCAGTTGATGAGAAAGTGTGATGAACTGTATCTATACTAAACATTACCATAGCCCTCCAGGAAAATTCAAATTAAATAGTGCAGAAATAGTTTAAACTTTCTGGGTTTCTAATCCTACTGGGACATTCATGTGAGTGGTATATTTCCCAAAAGCAAATATGGCTCATTAATTTTAATGGTTCCTGAAATTCCCATGGAGATGGCTACTTTCTGCACCTCTTTGGACAGATTTAAAAACTAATTAAAATATGAACAAGAAGACATTTTTGCATGTGTTAGACCTCAAGCATTTCTAAACCACTTTTACAAACAACTGATATGACCACCATCATAAACCATTCTTAACATGTTTATAAAATCAGGCCTCCCAAAGATAAATTTTTGCCAATGTTCCCTCAACCTAGCTATGGCTAGCACATGTACCTGAAAGTAAATTAAATATTTCCTTTTTAAAAAAAAAAACTTATTCATTTATTTATTTATACAAGAACCGGGGTACAGGCCAGATGCGCGGGAGGGTGAGAGGATTCACCAGAGACAGAGTGGGGAACAGAACAGGCAGGCTGACAAAATACACTGCTGAGGGAACAGCGGGTGCGACAGGAGAGGTCTGCCGCGCCATGTGGGGCCCTCACTGGCCGGCCAGGATGGAACCGGCGCTGCAGAGGCTGCAAACAGCTTCACAGCGCTGCACTCTACCTCCTGTACCACCAAGGGAGGCCCTAAATATTTCCTTACCAGCTGAAATTTGCCCTTAAAAAGTAGTGTAAACCAGTGAGACTTCATAGTAATCACCAAGCAACCCGTAAAAACACTCCAATAAAATATTTTCCTCTACTTTACATTAATTCTCAATATCTAATGTAAAAAACAAACTAGAGGACTTAAATGAGTTAAAAACTAAACAAAAAAATGTACCCCCAAAAAAGTCTATTTTTGTGTTAACGAAATTAGTAATATCTTCAAGTTCCTGGTTGGGGGAAATCAACTGAAAGGTTTCTAAAAACATTCAGCACTTTTAAGAAAAAAATATAAATGGGAAAGAAGGCATGTATGAGCGTATGTAAATTACTGATTACTACAGACTCTGTAGCTTTAAAGTCTTACCAAATTTGTTGAAAGGTTGACAAAGTCCGCATAATCCTTATTGATGAGTTCAACCATTGCTGTCTTGAGAAGTTTATAGTAGAGTTCTAGGTCATCTCTCAGTTCTTCCAACTGTACACGTTTCCTGCAGTCAGACACAAAATGATCGACATCGAAATCTTCCTGAAAATAAAACCAAAACAAACAAAAAATTACTGTAATGATATTACACTTTACATATAAAAAAAAGAGAGAAAGAATAAGACAGTCATGACATTCTATTCATTTAAAAGACTAGGTTGTCACAGCCAAAAAGAAAGAGACCAAGGAGGACCCTAACAAGGAATATTCTCTCCTGCTACCTAAACTCTACAAAGGATTTTATTTTTTTATCAAACATTTCAAATTGACTCTTCTCAAAAAGGAAGTCGCTTTCCTCCCTTAATTTGTAAAGTTATACTGTATTCACTGTAAAACCTTCAACTAACAAAGAATTACATAAAAGAGTATAAAAACTCACTCATATTATGATGTTCTAGAGAGAAGTACTAATGATTTCTTTCCACTATTTAATATTATTATGATTCATATTCTTTCAGACTGTTTATTTGTTTTGGTTTAGTTTTGCTTTTTGGAGAGGGGATAAGTTTCTCTTGAACATATAAATTATTTTTTTAAATTGAGATATAATTGATATAACATTATAAGAGTTTCTGGAGTAAGACATAATATATTAGATATCTGTATTACTGCAAAATAAATGATCATCACAATAAACCCAGTTTAACAACCATCATCATACATATTACAAATTTTTTTCCTGCGATAATACTTTTGAATATACAATACTATTAACTATAGTCACCATGGTGTACAGTACATCCCCATCACATTTTATAACTGGAAGTTTGTGCCTTTTAACCACCTTCACTCACTATGCTGAACACTACTTCAAATGGATTTATGCACTCCTATATTCATTGCAGCATTATTTATAACAGTCAAGCTATGGAACCTAAGTATGCAAAAATAGATGAGTGGATGAGGAAGATGTGGTATATATACCCAGCTGAATACTACTCAGCTATTGAGAAAGATAAACTTTTCTTGCCATTTGTGAAAACATAGGTGGGAATAGAGGGGCTCATGCCAAGAGAAATAAGTCAGAAGAAGATGACAAATATCAGATGGTGTCAATTATGTCTCGGATATAAAGAAATAAAACAAAGCGTCATATAAAGCCAAACCAGTAATAAACCCTAGAAATCTGACTTTAGAACTGAGTCTACCCAACACAAGGGAAAGGATAAGGAAAGAGAACGAAGTCCCAAAGGAGTTAAAAACTATGTCAACACAGAAACCTGCACAGAGATGTTTATGGCAGCCTTATTCATGATTACCAAAACGTAGAAACAATCAGCAATTAAGAGAAACAAAATGGTGGTACATCCACACAACGGAGTATTATTCAGAAAACAAAGCAAAACAAAACAATATCAAGCCCTGAAGAGATGGAGAAAACTTAAAAGCCTATCACTAAGTAGAAGACCACTCGGTATTAAAAGAAATGCTGCTTGGTCAGTTTTCTGTCTGCAGGTGAAGTGGAGAGGTACTGACCCTTAGCCCCTCGAACAGAGAGCTGCAACATGTGGCAGCCCAAGAATGCAGAATTCCATTGTATATCTCAAGATCTCTTGAGTAAAACAAAATGTTAAAACCAAGCCAAGGTTCACTGAGATAACCTAAAACAGGTCAAATGGCCCCAAAAAGAGCAAACAAAAAGGGTTTAATGTACATTACCGATTGTGAAAAAGAATTTAGGTGACATCCAGGTAAGACTGTAAATCCTCAGTACTCAATTAATGAGAAAAGGGGGGAGGGCCTTGCACACTAGAATATAAAAACTAAATGGAAATGTACTTTGTCATGCCTGCCTTCTAGACAAAGACACCCAGTCTGGCAAGACCATCAATAAAATCTCACTTTTCCTGTACGCCTTGTCTCCAAGCGCATTCTTTGAATTTGGGCAGCTGAGTGCGTGTCTCACAGCACGTAGCATGAAAAGGCTATATGCCATACGATTTCAAATATACACACTCAGGAAACGGCAAATCTTTAGAGATAGTAAAAAGATCAGTGGTTACAAGGGAGAGAATGAGAAGTGTAGGTAGAGAAGAAATGAATAGGTGGAGTATAGGGGGCTTTTTAGGCAGTGAAATTATTCTGAGTGATATGACAAAGCTAGATACATGACATTATGCATCTGGCAAAATCCCAAGACCTTACAACACCAATAATGAACCTTATATGAACGAGGGACCTCAGTAATAATACTCTATCAATACCGGTTTATCAGTTGGGACAAGTGTACCCCTGTCATACAAGATATTAATACTAACAGAAACTGTGAGGGAGGGGAGAAGGGATATATAGGAACTCTAAAAGTCCTTAAAAAAATAGCTCTTTAATTAAAAATACATCTAAGGTAGATGGAGTATTACTTTTTGAAAATTAGAAGGAAAAGGAGATTCTCTTTATACTCGGAGATATTTCCTCATTGAACCCAGGTAAAGTAAAAATCCCCAAAGGTTAGAAGTTGTGAAGTCATAACTTCTAGATAAATTTGTTTCTTCTCTTTCTAGGTTCTCCATAAGCCAGCAAAACAGACCAGTTACAGGCAATTTAAAAACCATTAACTAGAGTAGCAGGGACATCAATCAAATTTCAATCCAAATAAAGTTTAACAGTTTTATTACGTTAGTAAATATTTGCATTCTGGGGTGGAGAACAATGGCTAATAAGAGAGAACTGGGAATTAGCCACTTAACGCTGACCAAAGACCCAAATATTGTAACTTCAACATTGTAAGAATTCCACAGAACCTTCAAAAGATCAAATTTCTTTAAGCTGACTCATGCTGAAATGTCAAGTAGGAAAACATTCCCCCAATATAAGGAATTATAAAATCACGAGCTATTAGATCTGTGACAGAACCCAAATCCCCCCACATCATTACTCAGTGTTCTTCATTATGGGAGGTGTTGGATGCAGTATTCATTGTGGAGTTATAGTCAAGCTGAAAGCTCCTCTACATACTAGGTGAGGAGGACAAAGAGAATGGACACAGATACAAAAACAGGACTGTTATCAGGAAGGTGAAAGAGTTCCTACTAGATAGCATCTATTTTTTTCTGTAAAACCAATGAAGTCCAGTGCAGGGAGAGAAGAAGGAGGTTACGATTTCATTTGTACATCTAGGTAAACAGGACTAATTTATCTCCGAGAGCCTACCACTTTCTCTCCTCCCACCAATATCTTATGTCCCATCTCATCTTTCTTTTAAGGTTTATTTATTTATGCATACAAGAACTAGGGTACAGGCCAGAGGTGCAGAGGGTGAGAGGATTCACCAGAGACAGAGTGAACAGGCAGAGTAACTAAAATACACTGCTGAGGGGAGCAGCGGGTGAGTCAGGAGAGGTCTGCTGCGCCATGTGGGTAGCTCCCTGGCCAGGGATTGAACTCGTGTTGCAGTGGCTGCGGATAGCTTCATAGGCTGCGTCTTAACCTGCGGTGCCACCAGGGAGACCCTCCCATTTCATCTTTTAGTTGACTGTCAACCCTCTGTGAGAACTGTCCTTTTGTTAAGCTGATAAAGCTAACAGTGTTATATCATCTCTGCCCTGGGTGATTTTGCCATCTGCCACTACTAACTTTTGACCACCTAGTTTTTCACAAACCTGTCCCTTCCTCTGTATTTCTTAACAGATCTCATAAGGGACATTCAAATAACTTTTTAAGTAGACTCTTGTTACCAGCCATTGGATTGTAACAGATATGACTACACAGTCACTGCTTTATACCTGACTGCAGTACACAAGGCCCACTTGCACCCTCACGCCATCCACCTTTCTCTTTCCAATCTCATTCCTGGCCATTCTTCCATACTCCAGTACTGCAACTCTGGTACTGGTTAACTTTCCCACATGCACAAAGTCTATTCAATCACAACACGTGTTGAGACACAAATGTAGAAATATATCCCCAGCAGCAAGATCTCCACCCATCCTTTCTGCCACGGAATTATAACTGCTAAGATATCTCTCCAAAGGAAACATAATTTGCATAGAATTTTTATTTCCAGGCCCCACCTAGAAAACCAATAATATTTCACACACAACAGCTACTCTATCGATGTTCTTCCAGACTTATCTGGTAGCATTTACTAGTACTATAAAATGTTAAACATATTCACAGGTTGAAGAGCCAAGAATGAATATGGAATTACTGGCATTCCAGTCACTTCCCCTGTCTGCTTTCTCCTACCTCTAGGTTCTAATTTAGAATTTATATTTTAAGATTCTACTTTTTGAAGCTGCTTGTACCAAAGGCATTCTCTTAACTCAGAGTGAAAAAGATGGTGGTGCTAGTGAGTCAGAAAGGATGCTGGTGTTGGGAAGGAAGTCTGAAGAAGTCAACAACAGATGGGCAAGGTAAGCATTTTCTGTACTGGGAGATTCTTGAAGGCAGAGAAGTCAGAACAAGGCCCCTGATTTTTGTGTGAACTTCACTCAATGCACCTGTTCCACTACATATCCCCAGCTCTTTCCTTCTACTCTCTCCTCAAGGTAGCTCTTGGCCAGAGCATGCAACAAAGGGCTTCTGGAACCTGAATTCATTTTGAACTCTCAGAACTCCCATCCAAGTTGCAGCTCTTAATTCAGTGGCTGCAAATATCAATAGAAGATAGGCTAAACAACCTAGAAAAAGAAAAACATTATGATTTAAAGAGCAGCAAAAATTTTAAATTTACCATTCACAATGTTAAGGGTATACTAAGGCAAAACTTTTAACTTTTTAACACTAAAACGAGTTAAATGGTGCCAAAAATCCCAAAACTTAGAAATTAAACATACAGATAGGCAGATAGATAGATTATAGTTTAAGAGCTGACCCAGAGGAAGAAGCAAATAAGTAGGCAAAATTCCTCCTAGCTGTGATTCAAATCTTGACATTTTCAAGGGTGTGCCTGATGAACCTCTATTATCAGTAAGATGTTTTCAGTATGTTTATGTCCTAAAATTACCTGCACACCATCATCAGGTTCACCTTATTAAAATAAGTAGAACAGGGCCTCCCTAGTGGCGCAAGGGGTTGAGATGCAACCCATGAAGCTATCCACAGCCACTGCAGCACAAGGTCGATGCCCAGCCAGGGAGTTGACCCACAAGGCGCAGCAAACCTCTCCTGACTCGCCTGCTGCTCCCTTCAGCGATGTATTTCAGTCCATCTGTCTGTTCTGTTCCCCACTCTGTCTCTGGTGAATCCTCTCACCACCCGCACCTCTGGCCTGTACCCCAGTTCTTGTATGCATAAATAAATAAATAAATCTTAAAAAAATAAAATAAGTAGGACAATTTTACAAGAGGATAATTATAGTCTGGTCTGTTGTACTGCAACAAAATCAGTAAAATATCCCCACCTCATTACAGAACTGTAGATGACTGTTAGGCAATGTCTTTTTTTAAATTCCTGAACCGGTTCCAGGGTAGGTATTAAATTGGGTTGCAACTTCCTCAATACACACTGAACTTCTAGGTGCAGGGCAATCAATGGTCAACAAGCTTGTGTCGGAAGAAAGTGGCAATCTGCCTAAGTGTATGGCGACAGGGTCAGACAGTGACACGGCTTTAACACTTAGCTCCAAACCACTTCCCGGAACTTTCAGGCGTTTTCACTCCATTTGCACGATTTCACAGAACTGCTTTCTCCGGGCTGCACCTGCCTAACCTAAATCAAGACAGTCACCAAGCGCAGCGATTCCCTGCGGGGCGCGCACCCGCCGGTGGACCTCGCGGGGGGCAGGCCGGGGGCGTACGGGGCTCCGGAGCAGGAGAAGCCCAAGGACAGACCCCGGAGGGGAAAAGCTGCGAATGGCCCACCCACGGCCCGACTCCGAGGACAGGAGCCCCGGCGCCCACCTTCATAAACTCGTCCTTATCGAAGCACAGCGTGTCAGGCCCCTTGGGAAGGTTCATCCTACTTTTCTCCATCCCGCCGGCCGCCGCCTCTCAGCTCCGAGACACCAGCCGGGCGAGGCAGGAGGCGACTACGCGCAAGGGCACGGGGCCGCTGCCACAGCCGCTCCCCACTGCACAGGCGGCACCACTTCCGCCAACATGGCAGAGCCCGCGCCGCGGCCAATGAGCGAGCGAGCCGCGAACCGGCCTCCGTTTGTCGCCGCAAAGAGGGACCCGGGGCCCGCCGTCGCTGCGCCTCCGGGAAGTGCTGTCGCCCTGCGGTGGAGGGCGGTACTGCAGCCTGGCGCCAGTTCCTACTGGGAGACCCGCGCCCAGGGAGGCGGGGCTGTGTCTGCGAGATGGGTATGTGGGCCAGAAAGGGCGGTGGGCTTCGTTCTCAGCTCGCATTGTTTCTCCTGGGAAAAAAAATCTGCTTGCAGGGCTCTTCCTGCTGTTCCCTACTGTAGGGTAAGGTACAGAGTATCAGGCTTTTCCGCCCTCCCGCCATTAGGATAGATGACGGAACACTTTCCTCCTGAATTTCTGTTATTTTCTGATTTAAGTCTTTGATTTCTACCTCCAGTTCATTGATTTTCTGAGCTCATTTTTTTTTTGGAAAATTGTTTAGAACTCTAACTTTTCTGAGTTTGTAATTCTTACACTTGTATTTCTGAGTTCTCATATTACTTTGAGTTGCCTGTTTGAATTTTCTTCTATTATAATAATTCTGAACTTTTGAAGCAATGCCACTGCCCACCTGTGACTATGCAGGTGCCTCTTTTCACCATCTCTCCTCTGCAGGGCTGCGGCCTCCTGCCTGCTCATGACCTGCCAAGGCCACCTGCCTGCAACCATGCAGGCTTCTCTTAGCAAACCTGTCCCTTCTGGGGCAGCTCTTTCTGCCCGCTTGTGTCTCTGCAAGTGACTTTAAGTGTTCTATCCCTTCCCTAATAAAGTTTCCTTTATTCTTTCGTCCCTTTTCCTAATAAACCTGTTCTTTAAATATTAAAAAAATCTGAACTTTCTGATAAAGCCTCCCATATTCTTGTGTTTGGATTCTGCAGCATTTGTCTCACCGTGTGAGTCAGAGTCTCTTTAATTCCTTATTTCCATGTGTTATATATTTTTTGTCTTCTCATTTTGCTAAGTTAGGACTCCCTATTTTATTACCATTTTTAATATCTTTATAAGAAACTTGGGGGTGATTATGCTTTTACTTTTCCCATAGTTGTTGCTGTGGCTTTGATTTTATTTATTTACAATTTCTGCAAATCCTGTAACAGTACAGAATTGACTTACAATTTTGATGCCTAATTCCTTAATATATCCCTGATATGTGATTTCCAGAAACCTGTTAGCTGTTTGAATAGAGCCCAAGTATTTATTTACTTTGGATTTTGCTGGTTGGAAACTTGCACTCCTATGTACTCAGATGGTTTGTAGTTGCTGAGTCAGCAGAGTGGTGGACGGGCTGAGAAGATCCATGTTTGTAGCACCTGTGATAACAGTTGCTAGCACCTGTATAGCACCTGTGATAACCCAAACTCTTTGGGTTTGGGATGAGATTCTGTTCCTCTTAAACTACAGTCCCAGGGTGTGGAAAGTGGGTGTGAGATCAGAATGCTAGCTCTGTCTTCACCAGGAACCGAGCCTATGTGAAGTACTCCAGCTTTTCAAAAAGTTTCCCCCTCTTTCAAGGGAGTGTGCCGCTACACAGCCTCCTCTTTTCCCTCCCCAGAGCCTCTGATTAAGCTAACAGCCTTGCCACTGGTGTCCCCTACTCAAACCACACCCCCACAGGTCCACTGTCCACCTACCTCCTATTCAATGGACCATGAATATCCTCAGTGTCAACCCTGTTTAAAGATGCAGTGGTCTCTACAATCCAAGGGATAGTCAGTCCCACTTATATCTGAGAGACTATTTGAATATTGTCCCTCTGGATTCCTGTTCCAAAAGCAGCAACCATTGGGAACCAGGCTCTGCAGTTGTCTCTACTAAGCACAGTCTCATCTTCTCTCCCTGTAAGGGTCTGCTCCATTGCTTTCCAGAAACTACCAGATATGCTCTGCTTCTAGGACCCTTCCTGGGGCTTGCATGAAACTGCCTCCTGAGGCAGGCCTGCTTCCTGGCCCCATCCTGGGGCAGTGCCTACTGCCAGTGGGGCTACTATCAATGGAATTTTGTCTTTAAAAGATTCAAGATCATGAAATTCAGGAAAGACAGAGGGACTGTTCCCAGCGCTATCACACTATTGCCTCTGAGGCCTGAATTCAATCCCCAGCCAGGGAGCTAACCCACATATGGCACAACAGATCTCTCCTGTCTTGCCCAAAGCTCTCCATACCATTGAATTTCAGTAAATCTGCCTATTCTGCTCCCCGCTCTATTACTGGTGAATCCTCTCACTCACACACCTCTGGCCTACACCCTAGTTCTTCTATATATAAATAAATCTTTCAAATTACTAAAAATGGAGCTACCACATGACCTAGCAATTCCACTCCAAGGAATCTACTCAAAAGACAGAAAACCATTAATTTGAAAGGAAACTTGCACTCCTATGTTTATTGCAGCACTATTTACAGTAGGTAAGATATGAAAACAATATAAAATCCAAAAATAGATGACTAGATCAAGAAGATGTAGTATATGTATATATATATATATATATATATATATATATATATATATATACACAATGGAATACTATGAAGCAATCTAAAAAGATAAAACTCATGCCATTTGCAGCAACATGGATGGAGCTGGAAGGGATTATGCTTAGTGAAATAAGGAAAGAAAAAGAAAAATATTGAGTGGTTTCATTTACAGGAGGAATATAGGGAAACCAAGTAAGGGATCAGGAAAAAAAAAAAAAGACAAAACTAACAGGCAACTATAAATCAGAGATATTCAGCAGGGGACGGGGAGGGATTAAAACAGGGAGATAAGAGCACAAGAAGGAAGCAGAGAGATTAAAACAGGGGTGATAAGAGCACAAGAGGTTTTGGTGATGGTTCATGGGTGACTTGGTGGTGGGAATTTTACGGGGACTATACCTGAGAGGAGAAATCAAACATTGTACAAAAATGAAAAACGATGGGGCCTCCCTGGTGGCGCAAGGGGTTAAGCACAGCACTATGATGCTATCTGCAGCCTCTGCAGCACAAGTTCAATCCCCGGCCTGCCAGGGAGCTACCCACATGTGTCAGCAGACCTCTTCTGACTCACCTGCTGCTCCCCTCAGCAGTGTATTCAGTCATTCTGCCTGTTCTGTTCCCCAGTCTGCCTCTGGTGAATCCTCTCATCCCCCAACATCTCTTGCCAGTATCCCAGTTCTTGTTTGCATAAATAAATAAATCTAAAAAAATTTGTTAGATGCCAAGAAACATATATTAAAATATTATACAAATTTTCATCAGACAGAGAGATTAAAAGATATTCTCTTTTAATAAACATTTTTGCATGTCATATGTTAAGTGGGAAGTGATTAAAATGTTATATAAACAGCCCAAGAAATCAACTTTTACTATTTATCATTCATATCGTATACTTTTTCTTCAAGATCTCCATATATTCTTCAGATGCTTTCAAAAGTGGATCTTGATTTAATTTGGACTCTTCAGTAGGTCCTAAAGAAGCTATACAAGTTTCAAATTCATGTTCAGCAGCAGCTGGAAAGGAAAACAGAATTACATTCTAAAATATATTGTAGTTAAATAATTTGATAAAAAAAGTTGCAATCTGGGCCTCCCCAGTGGCGCAGCAGTTGAGCGTTGGGTTGCAAAGCTGCCCGCAGCCTCTGCAGCGCCGGTTCAATCCCCAGCTGCCAGGCGAGTGTCCCACATGGTGCGCAGACCTCTCCTGCCGCCCACTGCTCCCCTCAGCAGTGTATTTCGTCAGTGTGCCTGCTCTGTTCCCCACTCTGGCTCTGGTGAATTCTCTAACCCTCCTGCGCTTCTGACTGTACCCAGTGCTTGTATAAATAAATAAATAAATCTTAAAAAAAAAGTTGCAATCTTTAGCAGTGTTCAAAACAAATCATGTACCATTCCATCCAAAATACAGGATCACCACTAAATATTATTTGCCCATAGTTGCACATTGAATCAATTGCAGTTGTGGCTAAGTATCAAAGCTTTTGATTTTCTCAATTCCTATTTTTTCAACAAGCATGTGCCACTTTACTATGACAAGTGCTAGAATTACAAGGTGGAGATGGCACAGTCCACTCCTCAATGATCTTGTGCTATAAATTGAAAAAGAAGACAAAGAGGGAGTGTCCATTCAGACTCATATATTGGGCACTATTGGAACAGAGAAGGAACATCCCATGTTTGTGTCCATATTTGTTGACTTTTTGGTGGAGGTGATAAGGAGGACAAGGATAGAGTACACCAGGTGGAGGAAAGAAGCACATGCAGAGAGCTGGAGACAAGGACATACACTTGTGGCTTTGTAAGTGGTGAATTTGACTAGATGATAAAGGGAGGGCAGAGCAAGCAGCAAACACTAAGATTGTATAATTTGGCAAGAACTAAATTGATTTGGGATTTTACATTTCTATCCTAAGGATGTTGGAATTTTCCCTGGAGGCAAAAGGTAAACCACTGACAAAGAAAGTGGCAGTAGGTTTAAATGTCACACACCAAGTGACAGCTGTATGAACTCTAGTTGCTTGGCTGTGGACGGCTAGGTGAGTCTGGGGTGTTGGTTTTTTGGGGGGAGGGGAGGGAGGCTTTGGCCTTCCAACACTACTAGAACATGAGGAATTGACGAAGCCCATGTTTTCTGAGAACAGTTGTATGCAGGTTGATAGTTCCACAGGGATGGGAGAAGTAAAAAGAAGGTATAGCAGAGTAAAAAGAGATACATAGTTTTTTTTTATTTTTGAAAAGCTATGGCACGTGATAAATAAATGAGAAATAAGTGTAGTCTTTATTGTGAATGTTTCTGATTCTACTTTTTTCATATGCACAATATAGTTAGCATACTTATGTATTATAGAGAAAATGGAAAGAGATGACACTCATTTATTTCAGAAATCAATGCCATCTAAATTTAACTGAAATTTTGCAACATACCTTCTTTTAGTTCTCTTGTTACAGCTTGTTCGAACTCCTGCTTCATCTGAAATAAGTCAAATATTAGAAGGATTAAGTTAAAAAGAGCAGGGCCTCCCCGGTGGCGCAGCGGGTTGAGTACAGCACTATAAAGCTCTCCGCAGCCTCTGCAGTGTGGGCTCAATTCCTGGCTGGCCAGGGAGAAACCCACATGGCACAGCAGACCTCTCTTGCCTCGCCCGCTGCTCCCCTCAGCAGCGTCTTTGGTCCCTGGTGGCACAAGGGATTAAAACGCAACCTATGAAGCAATCCTCAGCCACTGCAGCATGAGTTTGATCCCCGGCAAGCCAGAGAGAAACCCACATGGCACAGTAGACCTTTCCTGCCTCGACTGCTGTTCCCCTCAGCAGTGTTTTTCAGTCAATCTGCCAGTTCTGTTCCCCACTCTGTCTCTGGTGGATCCTCCCACCCCCCCATGCCTCTGGCCTGTACCCCAGTTATTTATTGCATAAATAAATAAATCTTTTTTAAAAATTCCAATATTTGCTTGATTTTGAATATTTGGAAAATATCCTGTAACTGTTCAGAAAGAGGACCATATTTTATAGAAATTGAGATAAAAATGTTAAAGGTAAAATAGCAATTAAGGATATACGCTCACATAAAAAAGACAAAAACTTTAAAAACAGAAATCAATTTTTTGTCATTAATTTGTACGTTTATTTAATTCATAAAAAGGATCAACCTTCGATTACTTGAAATAATAAACATCCACATGTGATTAAGTGTTTGGATACATAAGGGTAGAAAAAGGGGCGGGGAGGCCGGTTTATAGGGAAACTTAAATATTGTGAGCCACTATCACACTGAAATCAATTAGAAAGTAAAGCCAAAAGCATCTTGCAGTATATACTTTGGTTATCAGGCAATAATATTTCATTTCTAACATGTAGAATATCAAGAACTTTTAAATGTGTTGGTTTCGTTACATTTATTCAGTAACATTAGCAAAGGTTTACCTCTTGAAAATGAGTGAGCCTGGGACCTACAACTATAAAATTTGTACTTTCTTAGCAGTAATAATTGACTTAAATTTAGTTAATATAAGTCCATGGAATAATTCAGAATTGCTCAAAATTACAAACAAGTCTTGTACCAGAAATTTAAAACCCAAGGATAAAGAGGTAACGTAACTAACCTTGTGGTAGTAAATGTCTTTGTTGTCACTTGAGGGCCCGGCATTGGTGGTTGGAGAGGTTGTTGAATTTTGCCTTGCAGTAAGATATCTATAGGGCACTAAATGATTTTTTGGCTCTGCAACATAAGGTAGCCCCGGAACTGGCATGGTAGCAAAAGTGCTGAGTAAACATCTGTTATGCATTTTCTCCATATGACGTTTGCTGCTGACCTCTGTTAGCCTTTCATTCGTTCTGTGAAGATTACAAAACCCAAGTGCTTAATATTTCATTTTTCTCTAAATGGCTTGCTTAAATATATGTATATATTGCCGTAACATTAAGTAGAATTTCCTTTTGAAGAGTTTTAACACTCAATATATGTTGGAACTTCCCTATTGTCTGCTATTGGAGGTTTAAACTGTTTAAAGAAGTGTGTTTCTGGGCAGAGTCCAAACTAACAAGGAATTCAAATCAGTGGGGGCTGTCAGTGATGCAGGTGCCCTCCAGGATAACACTCGTTGCCCTCTAGAATGGCGCTACCTACAGGATCCTTGAGGCAGCTATGAACACAGTTCAACATCCAGCTAAGATATCAAAGGAATAAAACGTCCCTCAAGGGCATTTTCAGGAGTTTGCCTTTACCACCCTGCACATTTCACTTGTACCCCTGAGAAAGGAAGCATTGGCACCAGGGAATAGCTGAGAGGAAGCACCTCTGAGAGAGAACAAGAGGGCCCCCTAGTGGTGATCAAGAGGAACTAAACAGCCCTGGAGGCAGTAAAGTTCTGTTACCAAGGCATTGGTGCTGAGGGTACCCTGTTGGTCTTCCACACACCCCTCAGCAGATCACAGGATTATTTGTAGTCACTTTCTGAATTATACTACCCTTCACCTCCAGGAGGATCTTTCCCTATTTCATTGTGTGCCTTTCTGTAGAGCAGAAAAACAAACTGTGAAGGACAGTTTGTCTCACAGCTCCCTGTAGTGATAATATAAAGATCATATAAAAAAAAACCCTTCATTTACCAATGCCTAATAGGCTGAGAGTAGTAGTAATACATGGCCTTTCGAGTTTAAGCTATAATCTTCAAAAAAAGAAAAGAATTCGTCAATATTTCTATTTTGTGGCATTCTTGCAAGCAATTTATAATAATATTTCTGTCTAAATTTATAATGCTTCCAAATCTTTGGCTTGAAGACAGTAAATCAAGTTAACTGCATGAAATTATTAAGGGGAAAAGCTAAATGAAGTAAAACCAAAAAAGAGAGATGCAGACATCCTGGAGTAACATTTTAAAGGTAAGTTCATTGATTAACATTATTTTTCAAAATTACATTATCTAGGGCCTCCCTGGTGGCGCAAGGGGTTAAGGTGCAACTATGAAGCTATCTGCGGCCACTGCGGCAGGAGTTCCATCCCTAGCCTGGGACCTACTCACATGGCGCAACAGACCTCTCCTGACTCACCTGCTGCTCCCCTCAGCAGTGTACTTCGGTCCATCTGCCTGTTCTGTTCCCCCACTCTGTCTCTGGTGAATCCTCACACCTCCACACCTCTGGCCTGTACCCCAGTTCTTGTATGCATATATAAATAAATCTTTTAAAAAATTACATTAACTAGTTAGCTTTCCCTTGCTACTAATCACATGAACTCAGGGCCTATAAAAAATTATGCTTTGGAGGCAAATTAATGAGCTAAGTTTATTTTCTGTGATCCCTATTTATTTTTTTAACTTACCTGCTTAACTTATTTTCCAAAGATTCTTTAGCTTTTACTTCTTCTAGGTAGAGTTGCTTGTATTTTTCCAATTCTATTCTGTTAGAATCTTTTTCAGTTTTCAAGTTGAAGAGTTCAGTTTCCAGAACTTTACAACTGAGTTCCATTTGATTTCTCACTGAAGTATTATGACTGTCTATTAATTGTTCTAAGTGCTTTTGAGATGTTGCTTGCGTCTAAAGCAAATGAAAAGAATACATTTTTAAATGATTTTCATCTGAATCACAATATTTGTTTCCTTTAGTTCTGAATCAGTGATTCAGAGAACAATTTCAAATGTGAAAAAGCTCATTCAAAATATTTATCATCAGTGTCAACTGAACTAAATGTGAACTGTAACAATGAAGCTACTTTTATCTGATAATCCAAAGAACAGTAGAATCAATTTTAAAACTGAACAAACATAATTCAAGAATAGTCTAAGAGCATGTTATAATTTTTTTTCTTTTTCTTTTTTTAAAAGATTTATTTATTTATGCATGCAAGAACTGGGGTACAGGCCAGACGTGTGGAGGTGAAAGGATTCACCAAAGACAGAGTGGACCAAAGTACACTGCTAAGGGGAGTAGTGGGCAAGTCAGGAGAGGTCTGCTGTGCCATGTGGGTAGCTCCCTGACCAGGGATCGAACTCGTGCTGCAGTGGCTGCGAATAGCTTCATAGGTTGCGTCTTAACCCCTTGCGCCACCAGGGAGGCCAGCGTGTTATAATTTTTAAATCATGATTCTTTTCTTCCTAAGCATAGTCTTCTTTTATAACAACTGATGAAATATTTAAAGGGAGAAACACATGCACCTTTCCTCCAGAAATTTCCAAACCAAATTGTTGTAAGGGAAGTAGAGGAAACACATACAGTGTGTTTACATATCCAAAATATATTTGGCAGTGAAATTAATCACATATTGAAGTTCAACAAACTGACCTGTAAAAGTATATTAACTTTTTTTACTTTTTCTTCTATATCCTGTACTGTTTGTTCAACTACTTGCATATCCTTCTCAACTTGACAGCATTCTACCAAATTCGTTTCCATAGGATTTTCGAGGTTTATTATTACTTGTTTCAATTTCTTTTTCTTCTTTTCTGGTCTTTCACATTTATGTTGCATTGCTTTCACAGAGAACTCCTGTTGGCGAAATTGATTTTCTGTAACTAGATGTGGCCAGGCTGAAGATGCTGTTTCTGGGTTTGCAGTAAGATCATCCATCTGCAGGAGTAAAATAATATAAGAATAGTCTAACTCAAAACCAGGATCAAATTGTAAAATAAATCTGGTTGCAATAAAATGTCATCTAGTCTAAGAATGTGAAACCTTGAATTACTCAGAAAATCCAGAAGAAAATTAAAACAACTAGGAGTCAGAAAAATATTTTTTTGTCACCGTCTTTGCCATATAACACTTGCACTTGATTTTATACTCTTAGTTGTTTTCCATGATTGTTTCATATCTTTCATAAGTCACCTCTTAGTAGAAAGTCTTTTACCCTTTCCACATCTTAACCCCTCATTTTTAAGATTTAATTGCCTCCCAAAATAGGACTTTGAAAATATGAATAGTGAGTCTTGAATTATGGATTCTAATGCCATAAACCTTTTTCTTATCTACAAATGGTTAATCTCATTGTTACTTTCCACAAAATAAGAAAACATACTAAATAAATATTACTCAGCATTCAAAAAAGATAAACACATGCAATTTGCAGCAACATGGATGGCGCTGGAAGGGATCATGCTCAGTGAAATAAGCCAAAAAGAAAAAGAAAAATACCGGATGGTCTCACTCATAGCAGGAATCTAGAAAACTTAAATAAGGGACCAGGAAAATGAATAACTATAAGAAAGTGAAAATCAAAATCAACAAAAAACTATGAACCAGAGACACTTTTAGGGGGGCGGGGGCGAGGGGAGGGATTGGGGTCAGAATGGGGGGGCTGCAATTGTATGGGGAATATAACAATAACATTTATTATCTAAAAAAAAATAATAAAAAAAATAAAAAAAACAACAACAAAAAAAAGAAAACATACTAAATAATAAGAAAAGGCATTCTGAAATTTCATTGATAGTGAGTCAGGAAGAATAAATATTTTTCAGACGTAACGATTATTTGGTAAGAAAAAGTGAGTGGATGTGGTGTTTCTTGACAAGTCTATAAATTCTTTGACATTTTTCCATAAATTTCCTCCTCTTAAATATGTGCTGAACTTACTCACTGGTTTCTAAGTATATCAACTATGGCAGAGCTGCTCTGTGACCTCGGTTAGAAAATGTGAAGCAGCTTTCAATGACTTTCTCTTTTAAGGACGCTCACTCACCCTTATAACCCAGCCACCATGCTGTGAAGAAGCCCTGGCTACATGGTGAGTCTGTGTAGTGGTGTTTCAGCTGAGCTACCCCAGCCAGTGTCCCATCCCAAATCCATGTGCATTAGCAAGCCTTCAGGTGAATCTGGGCCCCAGCTTCAAGTCCGCCAGCTGATACCCAAAGGAGAACACAAAAGCAGCCCTACTGACCTGTGCCTGAAATGCACATTTATCAACAAAATACAGACAAACACAAAATAAATTCTGGTTTGAGTCACTGGGTTTTGAGGTTGCTTATTACGTAGCAATAAGTGACTGTCACAGTTACTGATATTAAAAATGGGGTGCTCGGGGCCTCCCTAGTGGTGCAAGGGTTAAGATGCAGGGTATGAAGCTGTTTACGGCCACTGCCATGCAGGTTCAATCCCTGGCTGGCCAGGAGCTGCTCACATGGCGCAGCAGACCTCTCCTGTTTCGCCCGCTGCTCCCTTCAGCAATGTATCTCAGTCAGTCTGCCTGTTCTGTTTCCCACTCTGTCTCTGGTGAATCCTCTCACTCCCCCCCACGCCTCTGGCCTGTACCCCAGTTCTTGTATGTATAAATAAATCCTTTAAAAAATGGGGTGCTCACCAAGAATATACAGTGGGGAAAGAAGAATCTCTTTAAAGATGTAAGGAAAATTGGCCAGCCACATGTAAAATAAAGATGTTAGAACTCATAAGCTCCCTGACACAGGTCTTGGTGGTGACTTGGCAACAAAAGCAAGAATTAATAAGTACATGCACAGCTAACTAAGATATTCCTGCAAGTCAAAAGAATCATCAACAGAATGAAAAGATAACCTAATGAGAGAGAAAATTTTGCAAATCATATTTGAAAAAGGGTGAAAACCCATATTAAAATTCACACAATAGCAAAAAAGCAATCTGGTTAAAAAATGGGCAGCAGATCTCAATAGGTATTTTTCCAAAGGGGGGTAAGGGGAATCAATGACACTAATCTTCAGGGAAATGCATGATTTCTCCACTGCTGGAGAAACAGAACCTTATATAGTACTATTGGAGAAATAAAAGTCCTCTTCAGTGTGTCAGAATGAAGAGACTGACTTACCATACTGGCACTTTGCAGATTTTTCTGAAGCTGCTCAATTTTGCATCCTTGTTTTTTGACTGTACTTTTTAGCTTGGCATTTTCTATTTCAATCCTAAAAAGTATAAATATTTTCACACACCGATTAAAGAAAATCACATAATTTCTCAACACTTGAAGTAACAAGTACATAAATTCTTAAAAATTTGCAAAGCCGGACCTCCCTGGTGGTGCAGGGGATTAAGACGCAACCTATAAAGTTGTCCACAGCCACTGCAGTACGAGTTCGGCCCCCCGGCTGGCCAGGGAGCTACCCACAAGGCATAGCAGACCTCTCCTGACTCGCCCACTGCTCCCCTCAGCAATGTACTTTAGGTGATCTGCCTGTTCTGTTCCCCACTCTGTCTCTGGTGAGTCCTCTCACCCCCACATCTCTGGTCTGTACACCAGCTCTTATATGCATAAATAAATAAATCTTAAAAAAAAATTGCAAAGCCATTTTTCTATCTTTGTTGTAGATAATGTGCACATTTGGATATAATGTGCCAAATTCACGCACTTCAGAAGAAAGCAAGGTTGCATGAACATTTTACCAGCTTGACACTGATGTCGACAACATTGTAACACAATATCATACTACACTGCTGTTGGGCCACCATTCCAGGTGGGCAAAGTCATTGAGGATTCAGGCATACGAAAAGAGAATTTTGGAGCCTTTGATATATTTGACAGGCCTTTAATGCTCAATCAGGGGACCAGACTCACAGGCAGACCAGCAGGCAGGGAGGCAGCAACTGAGCCCCAGCACCTACGATCTCCCAATTTATCCCTTGTTTCTCAGCCCAGGTGTATATATAGATATATATATGCAATGATAGGTGCATGTGCCTGTGCTCACTCTCCCTAGCGCCCTCCCGCAACAAAACGTTATCACATGTGGGTGATGAAACCTGGGAGGAAAGCAAGGCCACAGGTGCAGCCATAGAGGCTAGCAGTGAGAAGTGAAAAAAAAAGTCATTTTCCTTACAACTGCTTATCTGCCTATAAATACTTATGTTTTTACTGTGTGGCTTTAAATTGTACTTTTGTATGTGATCTTGCATCTTCTCAGCACATCTTACGGATGCTGCATGTTGATCCTGTGCTTTTTGCAACTAAAGTAAAGAGGGAAAAAAAAAAAAAAAAAAACTTTTACCACCAATCACCTAGTACAAATCCACCACCACTCATTTTTGCAACTAGAACTCTATTGGAACACAGCCAGACTGTCATCTGCAAATTGTCTCTGACCACTTTCCTGCCCTAACAGCAGAGCTAAGTTGTTACAACAGAGACTTTATGACCCACAAAGAGTAAATATTCACTCTGTTTCTGCGCAAATGTACCGACCTCTCCAATGGTATTCATGTTTGTAGGCTATATTTTATCACATAAATATACACAGTCATCAATTGGTCTGATGGAGAAAGATAAGAAAATGTCTTATGGTAAACATTTATATTTTTGTGTCCCAAGCCCCCCATCAGCATTGATTTTAAACATCCACAAATGTAAATGAGCACAGGCACTCCAGTGAGTATAAAAGTAACGTGCTGCTTTCAGCAACAACCTCATGTTTCATGGGAAAGACTTAGAAATTTCTACATAGGAGACAAAGGCCTGGGGCTACATAGGAGACAAAGGCCTGGGGCTGGACCCGTTGCACCAGCTGCTAGGGTGTGACCTTCGATAAAGCACTTAACGTTTCTGTCTCACTCTCTTCCTGTGTAAAATGGAGATGAGAATAAGATCTATCTTACCAGGATTGGAAAGATGAAATCAGCAAATATACATAAAGTACTGAGAGAAGTAACTGGCACATGCTATGATCTAATTATTTGTCATTAGCATTATTATTGTTGACTTATTTTATGTTCTAATGAAAGTTGATACCTTAGACAGATGGCAGGCCAATGGAAGTGGTCTCCTAAACTAATGATACTGAAATCATTCTTCACACATCAAAAGTAGGGGCAAATGAGGGAGCCTGAGGCCCAGAATATATTCTTGGTACTTGAAAAGCTTCCACCAATTCTACTAGCCAATAGCACTGTTTTCCGCTTATATCTTTTACAACTTACTTCTCTGTACTACTGAGCAGGCAGCACTCATGGGCTACAAAGCAAATAGTGCCTGTACCGAGCAGTAAATAACTATAGGGTAAATGGAAAATTATTTTCCGTCCTCCCGCCATTAGCATCTATGATCGACACCTATGGTCTTACACGCGTGCCTGGTGGTGATGACACCTGGAATGTGGTGTGGGCGTGCGTGAGTGGGCAGGGCTGAGCCAAGAGACTGCGCATATAAGGGCAGCAGCAGAGGATGGGAGGCAGCAGAGGACCGTGCAGTGGAGTGCAGGCCTGCAGCCTCCAGGCCTCTAAGTCCTCCTAGTCCTCCTGCCTACCCTACACCGGGTTGCCTCACCACAAATGGTGTGGAAAGATCATTCAAAGCCTGAAAAAGCCACCAAGAGCTCGAGGACTCTCCTTTACCCATCTGTCCAGATCATAGAAAACCTGCTCCGTGCCTTGCTGGCACTACAATAACTTGCAGACCATCAGAGGCTGTGTAAAACCACTGATATGGAAATACTAGATTCTATTGTTTAATCAAAGTTCCAAATCAATTCATTCCCAACTTTTACACTGGGCTGCTTTAGCAAGTACTCTGAAGATTAGATTAAGGTTAAGTGATAGGCATTTCAGTTTTATAAAGCTTTATAGTTGGTCAAATGCTACAAATCTGTGAATCCCAGGTCTGCATCGTGAAGGAAGGCAAATTTAGATTTGTTTTTCATTGTGAGGGGAAATTTTGAGTATCTGTTTGAACAATTCTCTATTGCTAAAGTGCTTTTAATTTTTTATTTAATTGCTTGAAATATATTTTGAATAAAAGCTTTATTAAATCAGTGTCTCCAAGGAGAAATCATTGATATGGTATAATGTAATTAACTTTATCTTAACAGCTAAAGTATTTTCAATTTACGCAATGACAGATGCCACACCTGTCAAATTTTATGCTACTTTAGTAATTTATACATGTGCCGCGGACTAACGCAGCGGTAGACTTGCAGGACTGTCTCAGGATTGAGAAACTGTGAGGATGCTCAAGGAATCGGCGCATAAATGACAAACAGACACACTTCAAGAGTGAAAATCTGAATGTAATTTGCTCAAAATCATCATACACTTTTATACCATTTCCAACAATAGATGATTTCATACAATTTAATTCTTTCTCAGCATAAAATACTTTGTAAGGCATAAGACATCTACTTCATTATTCATGTGCATGTGATCGCTGTTCCATGACATGGCACAGTAAACAATCTCCAGGTACTGAATCTACACAATCATTTTTGCCTACACTGAACAGCATTCTTTAAGCTAGCTTTTCTTGATTCATATCCCAAAACCACAATGATCAAAAACATTGATATTTACCTACTGGCACCTCCTACTTTTAGTAATCACGAGCAATATATTCTCTACGTAAGCATTTTGATTTTTATGGTGTTGTCTCATGTGAGAAGTATTATGATTATTATAAAACTACTATTGCCACACACCATTTTCTTTATCATGCATTTCCTGAAACTGTACACATATAAAGAAAAAGCAAAGTAAGTGAAAAAGTAGTATGATTATAGACAGGTTGCTAGGTTGCTACTTATTCTGAAACAATGGCTATCTGATTAATGGTAAAACTGCTTTGTAGGTAATTCCATCAGGCTTGTTTGCAGGTGACGTTCTTAGCAGCCTTGTTTCCATCAAAGGAGGGGTTAATTACTGCGGGCTTGTTGCCTAAATTAGGCTTATAGGCATGTGTGCCTTGTTTGATCTGAACGCCAAAGTTTATCATGATGAAGCCCCTCGGGGACTGCGCCTGTCTTAGGTCGTCAGGAGTCACAGACATGAGGCTGGCCAGTGCCTTCTTTAGTCTGCCCCCGATCTTACCCGTCATTGACTGTCCAGTCCAGCGCACAGGGGAAGGGGGTCTTACTCACTCTGATGTGTCTGAGTGAAAGCCTCCCTCTTTCCAGTAAGTTCACTGGCGTTCAGCGGCAGAGGCTGCCGCATACATGTGAAAGATAAGCTATCTCTTATGAAAAACAAGAGCAATGCAAAATTAAGGGCTAAATTTTTCTGCACAGACCAGATGCCAAGTTCTTAAGAGAATAAGGTCCATGAGAGAACAGTCAGAGAGAGCCTGACAGAGCAGAGACTGTGAGACAGGTCTGAATGAGTGCAGGATTAAGAAAGAGAAATAGAAACCGAAAAGATGGAAAGGATAGCATGAATAAAGACCTAGAGATGGTGACTTCAACCCAATGCACTCAGAGGATACAATCCAACGGCAGAGAAATAAAAACTGTGTCTATGCAACAATTTACTAATTAATACCTGCCCCCCCCAATTAAACAGAAATGAATTTTAAGCATCCATTGTTCTCCCTTCTCCCTCATTTCTCCTACCCCTTGTGATTTATTCTCCAATTGCATTCCCAGGAGCCTTCAGAACTAATTGTTACATCTCTAACAAAATAATTTGTGCCCCTCTGAAGATGCTAACATCAAGGGCAAGCATCTGCTGGTCTTCACCAGCTGTTAAAGCCAAAATAACACTCTGCTGTAGAAGATAAACACCCTAAGGTGGCTGCCTATACTGCCTGGTGCCTCTGCGGACTTGGGGATTCAAACACCCTTCCCTAACATTCCGCACCTCCTCACATTCTTTCCTCCAGTCCTGATCACGGCACTCCCATCATCCAAGGAGCTGGCTTCTTTCAGGATATGAGCAATGTCAGCAACCTTGGTGACCACCTCAATAAACTCCTTTGTGAAAGGACGTTCTCGTGGTTCCAATTTTGGCTTTCTGGGTGGTGAGTGGAAGATCCAGCTTGGTGGTTTACAATAGCAGCATTATTAATAGCCAAAAGTTAGATAATACCCAAAGGTCCATGAACTAATGAGCTAATGAGTGGGTAAGTGGCTTAGCATACAAATGAATACTGTTTGACGAAACAAAGCAAGTACTGCTAGGTGCTACAACATGGATGAACTCTGAAAATACGTTATGTGAGAGAAGCTACTCACAAAGGTCTACATATTATATGATTCATTATATGAAACCTCTGGGTATATGTAATGGCAGGACTGGCCACAGTGCAGGTTTTCTGATCCCATGCAGACCGGGTAAAGGAGGAGTCAGAGTCCTCGGTGGTTTTTTGCAGGTCTTTTATTGGGGTTCACCAGGCATATGGCAGGCAGGGGTGCTGCGGGGCCGGGCTCTCTGGCCTTCTCTACTTCTGCTGCTTCTTCTGCTGCTGCTTCTCGGCTTCTCTCTCGGCTTCTCTTTCGGCTTCTGCTGCTGCTGGCGTCCCCGTGACGCCGCCCTTAAAAGCACAGTCTTAGCGCAGGTGTACCCACTTCAGGTGCCTGCCATCAGGCATGCATTCAGGATCACAGGGTTCCCTCATCTATCCTGATGACGGGAGGGCAGAAAAGCCTGATATCCTTCCTTACCCTACAGTATATTATCTACAGATCCAGAAAGGAGACTGGTGGTTACCTAGAGCTGGGGGAAGGGGTAGGCTGAGTATAACAGCTGAGGGGTAAAGTGTTTCTTTCTGGGTTGATGAAAATGTTCTAAAATTAATGCAGTGACACTTTCACTACTGTGAATAAAAGACACTGGATTGTACATTTTAAATGAGTGAATTGTATGACATGTGAATTATATCTCAATAAAGTTTCCTTTTAAATCCAACAGAGGATCTAGATAATTTTTGTAATTCTCTATCTTAGGAGTCCATAGTATACATGATCTGAACATTTCTGTGCTTTTACAATATATCATTTCAATAAAATGAAAATGAAGGAGATGCCTATTTCAAATTGGTTTGTAGAATAACCATTTTGCACAGATTATTCTGAAATCCATGCAATAAATATGCACAGATTATATAAATATCCATTCACAAAAATAAAGAGGAGGAAAATAGACAATTTTCTGGAACATTCTGTTAAGCATCTACCCTCTCTTCTTATCTGACTTGTCTCATCATAGTAATAGGAATATAACTATTACATAAATAATAGTTACAGTTATATAATATAACTATTATAAATATTTTTAGTAGAAAACATCTTTCAACTTCTGCGAGGTATTATGCATAAACCTTAACTTTTGTAAGGTTAAGTATTTTAAAATTGCATAATAAAAATGGCAGAATTAAAATCAGACTTTAAGAAAATGTACGTTAACAAGGTAATAAAATTGTAATAAATTAAAAAAATACAAAAAAATTCCTGTGAAAATTAATATCCTACAACATTTCATATATAACCAGTTAAAGATTAACTGTTGATGTTTTAAAGTTAATACATACTTGACTTCTGATTTGACTTAATGTCTTTAAATACTGTATCTCCTCTTCTAAATTAATCTGATAACGTGAGGTTAGCTCCAGTGAAGCCTCTGACTTAGATTGCTTTTTCAGGGACTCAGCCAGTTCTTGTTGAAGTTGTTTCACAATCACCTATTAAGATCTTTGTTACTGATTTTATAAATCACTTTATTATTAAATTATGTTAACAATACGCAGTACTAACATATATACCTTGAAAAATACCAACTCACCTTCTTTTCCTTATACACATACCTGTTTACTGAATTCACTTTAAGACTCAGAAGATATTATCTTCCTGCCTATTAAGTTACTTAGAAAACACAGTCAGCCCCAACCCCTGCCCTCACCATTTCTCCCTGATCAACTCATAAAGCTTTACAAACCAATGAAGTCTCAAAAAGAGAAAGGCATGTAGGTGGGGCTAGTGGTGGTAATTTCCACAATGGGAAAGTTTTACCTCATTTTTATTAGAGGCTTACATTAATTTTAGAGTTCCTCACATACTCAATCCTCTGCCCAAATCCTTCCACTGATAGATTTCTATCAGAATAAAAGGAAATCAATCCAAAAGGGCCTTCAAGAGCCTAAGTAACTTGGTCTCCACCTCCTCCCTGACCTCAGGCCCACTCACTACCTGCGTGCCGCTTAAGAGTCTGCGCCACCACTCCCCTGGCCCACACTAGTCTGAAAATGGAGATCTGATGCCAGAGTGACCAGTCTCAGATACAGTTCTCTTAGTATTGGATGATCTTATGTACAAACAATAATCACTGAGCCTTGAAATGAGAATTACTAACAATTTTTAAATAAAAATATTAAAGGTAATTTGTGGCTTGAGCAGATTAAATCAGTTTTGTTAAAACCACCTATGCCCCGAATTATGATTTCATGAACAGCAGATGGCTTTAAAGAGCTGCGCTGTCTTAATAATACATGATTTGAGATGAAAACATTTCCAGTTCAAATTCAAAATGACATGAGTAAAAACAAAACCCTGCCAACTAAATATGCAATATTAATAGCTACTGAGGGAAAAGTGCTATGAGATTCAGCCTCTACACCTCAGCTCATCTGGGAAAGCTGGAATTAACTGTCAAGGAAATCCACTTCATTGATTCTTCATTCCAAAACACTCACTTTAGGTAGGAGTATTTCCATCTCTCCGTCTCATCAGGCTATTAAAATGTGGTGACAAAGACGAAATTTTAGCAGTGTAAGACTAAATTATTAATATCAGTCTATACTGATTAACAATTGATAACTTACCCTCTAAAAATTTCATAGGCGACACAATGTATTTACATGGCATAAAGCGTCTATTTTTTTCTTTTCCAGACACAAGGTATGATTTTAAGCTGATAGAGCAAATACATTTATATTCTATACATTTATTAATATTCAACTAGATTCAGTATTGAGCCATAATCAAGTATTACTTTGGATTTTCTTTTGGGATGTTTGAAAAATGCTTACCGTTCAGGATACTTACTTCTCTTCCCGCTTTCTCGTTTTCATACTGACACATTCGTTCTTTTAAATGGCTGCATTCATCCATTAACTCCTTCTCTCTTTCTTCCAGCATGTGTACTTGCTTTTCACTTTCATTTTGAAGTCTTTTCAAGATATCCTGAAACTGGTCTTGTATATTCACTAGCGACTTCTCTTTATTGTCTGTTTTGTCATGAACATCATCCAGTTGCTCTCGAAGCAGCGTGTTTTCACTTTGCAGTTGAGATACTCTGTCCTCTAAGGATGCCTGCTTCCCAATGTAGTCATTCATTTTACCTTGTTCCTTTTCATACTTGTGCTCAATTTCCTTCTTTGCACACTGAGTTTGCCTGAGGTCTCTTTGCACATCTTCTAAAATCGAAGTCTTTTCTGTGAGAGCTTCTCTTGTGTGCTGGAGCTTGATTTCCAGACTGTTGAATTTACTTTCAGAGCTGGAAAGTTTTTGAGAGAGAATCTCATTGTTAACTTTTAGATTAGTCAAATCAAAATTCATTTTTTCTTGTAAATGAAGCCACTCCTCTCTTGCTCTCTGGAAAGTCAGCTCTAGGTCTCTCTTGGACGTCTGACTTTGCTCGTGATCACACAGAGCACTAGCCAGTCTAGAATGGCATGATTCCACTTCTGTTTCCAGCCTTTCTTTGTTCTGCTTTTCATTCTCCAGTTTGGAGTTGAGTGATGCCACCTCAGCCTTCAGATCATGAAGTTGTTGGCTGTGCTCAAAAATTGTTTTTGCTAAAGTTTCCTTATTCTGTCGTATTGTCTTTTTAAGCTCACGATTCTTTTCTTTTATAATTTCAATGTCATCAAAATATTCCTTTTCCTTTTCCTGTTTCTGATTTTTTATTGTGTCTATCTCCTGTTTTAGCATGATAATTTCATCCCGTAATAGTTGGTTTTTATGGAGCAGATCTTTTTCTCTTTCATCACTGCCAGAAACCTAAGGAAAATGTAGGAGATTTTTAGCTAGCAATCAATGAAATGATATAACATGATTACCTCTCAAGTTAAAATATAACTTATGTGTTTATGTAGCCTATTTGTTTATACAATGTAAAGGCTTAAATGGATACTATCAACTAAAAAAAAAAAAATCAGTTGGATCAGTTCCTCAAGATTTCTACATTGATACTCCAAAGTTCAAAATCTAATTGAAGATTTAAGACCATGAAAGTAAACTAGAAACTGTGAGAGAATTTTTAAGATTCTCAGTACTGAAACAGGATTTATTTTATTTTTTTAAAGATTTTATTTATTTATGCATACAAGAGCTGGGGTACAGGTCAGAGATGCGGGGGGTGAGAGGATTTACTGGAGACAGAGCGGGGAACAGAACAGGCAGACTGACTGAAATACACTGCTGAGGGGCACAACAGGAGAGACAGGAGAGATCTGCTGCGCCATGTGGGTTGCTCCCTGGCCAGCTGGGGATCGAACTCATGCTGCAGAAGCTGCAGATTGCTTCATAGAGTGGTGCTGAACCCCTTGTGCCACCAGGGAGGCCCCCAGGCTTTCTTTAAATTACCACCAATCCAGAAGGCATAAAAGCAGAATGTGCATATTTATTTATTTATTTATTTTTTTATAGTCTCCACTTATGTTTTTTTTTTTTTTTTAAATAATAAATTTTATTTTTATATTCCCCATACAATTGCAGCCTCCCCATTCTGATCCCAATCCCTCCCCTCCCGCCCCTCACCCCCCAAAAAGTGTCTCTGGTTCATAGTTTTTTGTTGATTTTGATTTTCACTTTCTTATAGTTATTCATTTTCCTGGTCCCTTATTTAAGTTTTCTAGATTCCTGCTATGAGTGAGACCATCCGGTATTTTTCTTTTTCTTTTGGCTTATTTCGCTGAGCATGATCCCTTCCAGCGCCATCCATGTTGCTGCAAATTGCATGTGTTTATCTTTTTTGAATGCTGAGTAATATTCCATGGTATATATGTACCACATCTTCTTGATCCAGTCATCGATTTTTGGGCATTTGGGTTGTTTCCAAAGCTTAGCTATTGTAGACAGTGCTGCTATAAACATAGGGGTGCAGGTGTTCTTTGGAATTGATGTTTCTGTGTCCTTTGGGTAAATACCTAGGAGTGGAATTGCTGGATCATATGGAAGCTCTATGTTTAGTAGGTCCAGAAATCTCCACACAGCTTTCCACAGTGGTTGGACCAGTTTGCACTCCCACCAACAGTGTAGAAGAGTTCCTTTTTCTCCACACCCTCGCCAACATTTGTTGTTGCTAGTTTTTTTAATATGTGCCATTCTCACTGGTGTAAGATGGTATCTCATGGTAGTTTTGATTTGCATTTCCCTGATGACAAGTGAAGTTGAACATTTTTTCATATGCCTGTTGGCCATTTGCATTTCCTCTTCAGAGAAGTTTCTTTTTAGCTCTTCTGCCCATTTTTGGACTGGATTATTTTCTTTGTTGTTGTTGAGTCTCATCAGCTCTTTGCAGATTTTTGTAATCAGTCCTTTATCATTAGTGTTGGGTGCAAAAATGTTCTCCCAGTTGGTGGGGTTTCTCTTTGTTTTTGTTATTGTCTCTTTTGCTGTGCAGAAGCTCTTTAATTTGATGTAGTCCCAGCTGTTTATCTTCGCCTTCACTATCACTGCTTTGGGTGATGTGTCTGTAAAGATGTCTTTGATGTGCAAATCACGTAGTGTTTCGCCTATATTTCCTTCTATGTATTTTATGGTTTCAGGTCTTATGTCTAATTCTTTAATCCATTTTGAGTTGATTTTTGTGTATGGTGTGAGGTAGTGGTCAAGCTTCATTCTTTTGCATGTAGCGACCCAGTTTTCCCAGCACCATTTATTGAACAAACTTTCTTTGCTCCAATGCATAGTCTTTGCTCCTTTGTCGAAGATTAGTTGACCATAAATCTGTGGGTTTATCTCTGGATTTTCTATTCGATTCCATTGGTCTGTATGTCTGTTCTTGTTCCAATACCATGCAGTTTTGATGATTATGGCTTTGTAGTATAGTTTGAAGTCTGGGAGTGTGATGCCTCCATTCCCTTCTTTTTTTTTCAGGAGAGCTTTGGCTATTCGGGGTTTTTTGTGATTCCATATGAATTTCATCAATAATTGTTCTATTTCTTTGAAGAATGACATTGAAATTTTGATTGGAATAGCATTGAATCTGTATATTGCTTTTGGAAGGATGGCCATTTTAATAATGTTTAGAATGTGCATATTTATAGATTGAATTTCCTGAAAGTCTTTTTTTCCTGAAATTCCCTAATATTCTACTTTTATAGAATGTTTATAGTCTATTACAAGACTTACATCCACAATCTGTTAAATCTAGGCATTGTACTAAGCCACAAACATCAATAAATTCAGTTATTACAATTCAGGAATGGAGAGGTTAAAAATTTAAGCAAACTGCATGAATTTTTCCTGGTCTTCTGCCTAATCCACTGGTGCTCTTGCACCAAACAACAGCAATTTCCATTCTGCAAGTATACAAATAAGAAGAATCTTCTATTTCAGAATACTAATGGCAACTAATATAAAATGTATAGAACTCTAAAAAGCATGCAATACTTGCAGCTTCAGTAACTTTTCTTTCTTCTTTGTAGTGTTTAAATAAGTAATAAATGTGAAATGGGGGAAATATACTGAAGTACTTTGCTAGGAATAAAATACTTATCAACAAATTATCACTAAGTATGCATTATGGCATATTATTGTTTTCTAAAGCTCCTTATATTGAAATAGGATACTACTTGCAGAAAATGCTCCTCTCAAAAGTGGCAGGTTATTATCCAAAATATGTCTCTGAACTGGCTACACTTCTTGGCATCAGTGGATGTGATCAACTAACCTCTATTAATCTATCAAACCTCTATGAATCACTGACCAAAAAAATCTGGAATACCTGTTGCTGGTAGCAAAAGTTTAGAGAATATAGGAAGTTCATGAATTCCTGTGGAAGTTTTAAGAAACTCTTTTGGAAGAGACCATTGTAAATCCACTATAGGACTATAGCTGACAAGTGGATTTGAATAAGCATATTATCACTTAATCCAATGGGTTGAAAACAATGCCACCACTCAGAAGAAAAAAAGAAATATATACATATGTATGTATGTATGCGTGTGTGTGTGTGTGTGTGTGTGTGTGTGTGTGTGTGTATCCCTCTCCCTGGTCTCAACCAAGGGGTTCAAGCTCAGTGTCAGAATGCAGCTAGTCTGGTTCTATGAAGAGACTGTACCCAGACAAAAACTGCTGTTTGTAAAAAAGCAACCTTTGCACTGCTGCCTCCAAACAAATTAGTAACTCAAAGAATGTCTATTCTGAGTTTTGTGACATTGTTAATACTTACAGTTAGCAGAAGATAAGGTTCTAAATAGTATAGGGTAAATTTTAACAATCTTTGTTTGCCTCAATATATAGCTTTGATCAGATAGATACATTAAAGGTATTCTGCCTGCATTTTCTGTGTCTTTAAAAATCCCCAAAATGTTTCAAGTTAACCCCCTTGCTAAATTGCTGCTTGGTTATTCTACCCTGCAACTTTATGCAAAAACAGGTAAAATGCATTGGAAATAAATTTAGTTTGCAAAAGTGTTTCACTCTACTATTGGATAGAATTGGATTCTAGGTGGAGAGGAAATGATTGTAAACAAAAAGAACCAATTTTAAAATTTTTCTTGCAGGGATTTTTCTGGTATCATGTTTGCTGTTTTGCTTTGACTAAGGCCTCCAGATTTCTTTTTCATTTTGGCTTGGACTGATGAATTATTTCCAGAAATGGAAACTTTGCCACACTGTACAATGCCTGGTGACTGCTGCTGTCTTCAACACACTGATGCCCCCAAAAAGAACTGTGGTCTGAGGTGGCACCCCAGCACCCATACATTTGACTTTTATCACCATAGAAATGACAAAAAATGAAAGGAGAAAACTGTTGGGGGAACACTACGCCCTGAATGAATTCCACCCACTAATGTTTTATGGACTGAAGGTCCGCCTCAAGGCCAAAGAGATTCCAGGCACCTATGATTACAACTCCCATCATGCTTTGGATCCACCATAATCCTTGACTTGTTGAAGGGGATTTCTGGTAACAAAGGGCGGAGCTAAGCAGCTATGCTTGATAAATAAGGGAGGACATGTAAGCTAGAGGGAACTTAATTTTTTCCTGCGTTCAGAGTGCACCCAGGGTCCCAGCTCAGGCAGTGTTACCAGTAGGACGCATTGACCAATTAATCTCTCTCTCTCCTCCCACTTTTATTAATTTTTCTATGTGTGCCTGCCCTGAGATCTTATTATTCTGATTTTTTTTTTTTTTAAGTGCACAGGTGAGGACTCACACTCAGGCCATCCCATTTCCCTTAGGGGTTCTCTGAAGCAAGAACACCAACTGTATAGTCTCACTGACAAGCACAGAAATTGGGAAACTTCCCCAGAGGTGTTTGGAGGCTATTCACAGGCTGGAGTCCTCACTCTCCATTCTTCAATAAATTCACTAATATTTGCTTGCCTCAGTTTCTCTAGGTAGACGTTTTGAAACCCTCTGTATTTTCAATGGTATATAATGTTGGTTTTTAAAATATATACATATGCAAATACATGCACACTCATATTTGAAAATGACTAAAGAAAATATCTCAGATTTGTTTTCTTATGAGTCATTTCTGTTATGATTGGTCAGAATGTTATCTTGTAATATTCTGGCATTCTTTTCTGGAGAAAGTTGTCCTCTATTGACATTTTGTTCTTCTACACCTAAGAAACATGTTTCATTAGGATTTTGGTTGTCCATTAAAAATAAAGTAAAAAGCTTAAGAGTAAAATATTTTAAAAACTGTACAAAGGAAGTAGCTTTCTCAAGTACAGAAACCTTTGATCCCATAGAATAACTCAAATTTTAATTTAAATGACAGCTTAATCCCATAGCAAAACTGCAGGCAGACATTGTATTGTAAAATTAAATTTCCTTACACTTAAGTAATTCCATACACTCTCAAGTCCATTTATGTATTTTAAAATAAAAAAGCAAAAATTAGCATTTAGGATAATGATTAAGTTCAACTTATCTTCATTCAGAAACCATATAAGAAGCATCTATTCAATGTCATGAATTACACCAGGTTAACAATTTTAGTTACAAATGTCATATTTCATGTTCGGGATGAGATTTTTTTATTTGCCTTAAACCTAAATAATACACATTAAATGAATAGGATATTATAAATAATAGTGATGAAATAATGTTAGAAACACAAATTTTTTAGCAAAGGTTAATTTACCCGCTCCAAGTTATTTTTTACAGTCCTTAATTCCATGTCTAGTGCTCGAAGCCTGAGTTCAAGCTGCTGCTTGGCTTCAACTTCTTTACTAAACTGCTCTTTCTTTTCTCTTAACTGCTCCTTAATTTTTTTATGTATTATATCAGCATGTTTTCTTTTCATCTCTTCTTGTTTCAAGGTTTCTCTGCAATTAAAAATGCTCAATTTAAAATACATTTTGTTAGAAAATTAAAAGTTCACCTTATGATCTGCTTCTAAATCTCTTGGATTATTATCTTGAAGTCATTTCAATGTTCTTGAATTTTTTACTTTCTAGGTGACATATTTTTCCCCCACTACCATTTCATAACGCCCCTTTGATGCTTTCATTAATGCCCACTAGTTTTTATAGGTGTTGTGCTTTGTTAAATCATCCACTATATAAATAACCACCATTTGTCTTTGTCATTCTAACTTGCTTCGCTACACATTATTCCCTCAAATTCCTCCCATTTTGCTGTAAATGGCATTATTTTGTCTTTTCTTATGGCTGAATCCATACCATGTGTGGCTAGACCACTGCCTTTGAAGCTGATCATCTGTAGTGGACACTTAAATTGTTTCCATGTCTTAGCTATTGTAAATAATGCTGTATCTTGGTTGATACTTTTAATTTCTCAGTTCAGTCTCTTCATATATATACTGAGAGGTGATAATGAATAAACACTCTACTACTTAGTAAGTTTTAATCAACAGTAACCCTGGTAAATGTGATAGGAAAGAAATTTGAAATTATTCAATTAAAAGTTGAAAATGACCTTTTCCCCCCAATAGTTATAATTATTTATAACTATATAATAGTTAATTATTTATAATTATTTATAATGATATCTTCCATTGGGACATGTAATTTAGATACAACTGGAAAAGAGAAACTGTTGTTTATGAACAAGTTTATAAATTTGCTAGGAAAAAAAGGTCAATATCACAAAATATTACATATAAAGCTAAAATGATTTGCAGTGTAAGATGGCATCTGCCCATGACTTTATACAACATAGCTCTACAAATCACTGTAACCCAAGACTAAGTTAGGGATTATAACAGTTGCCCTACTATTTTAATGTGCCTTCTTTTGCAAATTACCTTGTTGATTATTCTGTGTTTTGCAAATCATTAAAAAATCACTTTTGGGGGCCTCCCCATTTGTGCAGCGGTTGAGCGCTGGGCTGCGAAGCTGCCCGTAGCCTCTGCAGCACCGGTTCAATCCCTGGCCACTGGGCAGGGATCCCACATGGTGCGCAGACCTCTCCTACCGCCCGCTGCTCCCCTCAGCAGTGTACCTCGTCAGTCTGCCTTTTCTGCTCCCTGCTCTGGGTCTGGTGAATTCTCTCATCCTCCCGTGCTTCTGACTGTACCCAGTGCTTGTATAAATAAATAAATAAATCTTTAAAAAAAATCACTTTTGGTAGGATAGGATCCACATTAATTAATTAAGCAGTAAAGACAGGCTAAAATATGCTTTTCACAGAGACATCTGAATTAATTTTATCTAAGTGGGAATGAGATGTTGAATAATCACTAAATACTTTCTACTTTACCTTTTATTCTGTGCATATGGTAAGAATAAAACTACATAAATTTAAAAATTCCCTTGAGCACAAAGGTCATTTCACATTCCGTTGGAAGGAATGTAAATTAATTTAAATTTCCTTGAGAACAATTTAGAACATGGGTCAAAGTCTTTCTAAAGTTCTTACGCTTCAACCAAATAATACTATATTGAAGAATTTATCCAAAGAAAATAATCAGTAATACAGACATGGGTTTATAGGTAAGATAATTCTAACAGTATCAATCATAATACACAAAAATTATAAACTACTTAAATTCAAGCTGTGAAATAGTAAGTTCCCATATGGTGGCCTTCCTCACCTCCTTAGCATGGAGGTGAGGTGTGGTGACATCCATCTGAGAAGGTGTGGACCTTCACATCTGATATATACAGTAGTGTAAACTAATGTTACCGTAGTACACTTATTAAAAAACCTATGAATTATAAAAAAAAAAACTATGAGGTAGATGAATGCACATTAATGTATTAGCAGAAGGGTTCACTGTTAAAAACGGCTACATTATTTCCAAGTATTTCACACTCCATAATAAGACATCACCTCCCTGTGCAGAGGGTAAACTGGCAATCACGAAAGGTCTCCTACAGACCCGCAGCATGTAAGTAAACAGTCCAGATATCTCTTTCAAAACAAGGTGTTCGATACCTCAGGTTGGAGCATTCTCGTTTCCATTCCATTTTCTGATGTTCTATCTGTGATTTTGTTTCTTTTGCTTTTGACAGCTCCTTCTGTAGGACACTAAACCTATTTTTCATTGCTTTAATATTTCCTGTCAGTAGCTCGCAGTGATTTTTTTTAAGTTCTATTAATCTTTCATATGAAAGAACTGCATCCTGGATTTTCCATAAGCTCACAGAATCTGCATGGGAAAGAAATCACAAGGAGAAATTAAATGTTAAGTTCTTTGTGTGTACAAAGCGCTGTGCATTTTCATAGTCACTTTTACATAGATTGAACAAATATACCTTTAATACCTGCAATGTGAAGACATTACACTAAGCTCTGTAGATAAACCTATCAGAAAACTTGGCTCTTGTAGAGCTTAAAGGCTAGTAGAGGAGGAAGACAAATGAAACGATGATTATCACTTTATACAGCCACTACAGAAAACAGAATTCTACGATCACGTAACAGAACTCGATGGGCCCAGAGAAGATATCCCTGATGAAGGGACTGTTACCCTGAGAATGGAAGGATGAGCAGGGGGAGGAAGGGCACTCTAGACAGTCTGGAGCATGTGCCGAGTCCTAGTGCCATCTACTTGTAGCCAAACGAAGTAAGAGGGACTGATTTATCTCCTACCTGAAACAAAGACGAAATACATTAGAAAATGATTTTCAAGACAAAGAACATCAGGCAATGAATGTCAATGATTCCTGAAGTCAGCCTAATGAATGCACCAGCTCACGGCCTTGAGGGGATTTGAGGCCATAACACAGGAAGAAGGCACTGGGGTAAAGTCCACCAGACACCCCAGGTGAGCAGAGAAACCGAGAGTCTAGTGAGGCCAAGGCAGGTAGAGGTCACAGGTCAGAACTCTGGAGAGCAGAGAGTCAAAGAGATAAAGAACCCTGGAGCCCTGCAGAGGGGCTTCCTGGGGGTTTTGGCAGAGAAATGTGAGGAGACACCTGAGATCAGGGAGAAACCCCAAAGAATTTGCAGAGAAACTCACAAAGAGTAGAAGAAGCAGTGTCTGCTGCTCACACACCACCAGGAATAGTATCTACTCCCATTAGCCAGGCTGGAAAAACTGTCAATTCCTAAGACCATGAATAGAGGAGTCAGAAGGGTCTTGCCTCAGTAGTGGGAATAATGAACCCAAGGCTGACACCATTCAGGAGTCACCAAACAAATGACTAAGTACAAGAGCAGGGAGGATCAAACCGTTTACAAGTAACTTAATTAACTGTGTCCTAAAACAAAGCTCAAAAAAGATAAAGACATTGAATGCTGTTAAAAAGAAGAAAGAAAAAAACAAAGACTAAATATTGGAGTAAAAAAATATGTCAGAGGGCCTCCCCGGTGGCGCAGCGGTTGAGCGTTGGGTTGCGAAGCTGCCTGCAGCGTCTGCAGCGCCAGTTCAATCCCTGGCCACCAGGTGAGGGTCCCACATGGCACGCAGACCTTTCCTGCTGCCCGCTGCTCCCCTCAGCAGTGTACTTCGGTCCTTCTGCCTGCTCTGCTCCCCGCTCTGACTCTGGTGAATTCTCTCCCCCTCCCGTTCTTCTGACTGTACCCAGTACTTGCATAAATAAATAAATAAACCTTTAAAAAAAAATGCCAGAGATGAAAAACACACTGGTTGGAAATAAACACATATTAGACATCACAAATTTTAAAAGTGTGATATTGGTGTAAAGATGGCCATATAGATGAACGGAACAGAATAGAGTTCAGAAACAAACCCATCATGTCAGCTTATTCTAACAATAAGGCACACAGTCATGAAGTGGAAAATATATCGTCTTTTCAACAAGTGGATCTCCATGTGTAATAGAATGAATTTGGATCCATACCTCATATTATATGTGAAAAAGAACACAGGGTCATAAATTTATATGTAAGACCCAGAACTCTAAAGTTTTTTAGTAAAAGCATAGCCTTTCATTTTAATCATAATTTTCAAAATGACAAAAGATTTAGACAGACAACTCAAAGATCTACAGATGGCAAAAAAGCACATGAAGAGGATCAACATTTTAGGTTATTGGGGAAATGCATATTAAAACCATAATGAAATATATACTATACAGCTATCATTTAACAACTAACAACACTGAGTGTTCGTGAAGCTATGGAAGAATTATAAGCTTCTGTTGGGAATGGAAAATTGTCCAACTACTTCAGAAAACAATTTGGCAGTTTCTTAAGGGAATATAAAGGGGCATGAGGAGAATTTGAGGGGTGATAGATCAGTTAACTATCTGGATTGTGGGGACAGTGTCATATGTGTACAAGTACATCAAAACTATCCAATTACATACTATATATAGATGTCTTTAAAGCTGTTGAAAACAAACAGCCTTATTGTAGGAAAGGCAGGGGCTGAGACACAGATGGAAAGGAGGGAATGAAGTAATACAAAATGCAGATAGAAGGTGGTGCCCTTTAACCTCAGAACAATAAGAGGTAATTGCTGGGTTTTAAGGAAGGGGGTGACATATGAGACCTGAATGTTTTTAAATCAGTAGTAATCATGGTTACAGCATAGAACAAGGTTTCCAGAAGTGAAATGGCAGGGAAAACAGCTCTGAAGATATCTCAGTATATTTTAGAAGAGAAATAACAGTAACCTGACTTTGGGTGAAGGCCTAGGAGAGAGCAGAGTCAACAAAAAGTACAGTGGGGATTCACAAAGCTCATCGGGAGGGAGCAACCAACAGTTCTCATTTTATTTCAACATAAAACATATTTTTGAGATGAATAACATCGGGACAGATCTATGCCCCACAGCACAGTACTAGGCAGAGTATGCTTGTAACACTACAGAATAAATAAAGAGACAGTGTTTCCACAAAGGTCCTACCTTTGCAATTCGCACCATGTTGTTCAATTAGTAACATAAAATTCTTATAATTACAGGAGGGCAACTTGCAATCCTCTGAAGCTGTTTCAGATGACTGAATGAGGTCATCAAGGTCATCCACAGACTTAGTTTTCTGTTTGACCTACAAGTAAATAATACTATTTCAAGGTGCCCCAAATCCTTATAAAATATTCTAAGTAGACAATGGTGTATAGTCATCTTTTTAGGAAAGTAAATGCATAGATACTTTTTAAAAGAACTGATTTTATCAAAAGGATATTTTTATCAAATCTACTGTTTCTAAATTACTTTTTCAAGCTAAACATCTCTACAACTACGTTAGACTTTCTAGCTTTTCACTCTAGCTTTTACAATGCATTTTTTTAGTACTGAATGTAATTTATTATAATTTATTTTTTACTATACCTTATCCTTTCCATCAGATGCTTTGTCTGCACACCTAAAAAACAAACAGCAATCACAGGCAAAGAGTAAATACTTAAATATAAAACTTGTTTTCTATATAAAATGTCTGCATTTGCAATTAATTTTCTAAAAGGAGAATTTAATTATAAAAGAGGAACATTAAAGAACAGAGAAAATATACTACTAATTATAGTAACAAAGTAAAATCAAGATGACAGTCAAAAGAGAAAGGAAAAACATTGTTCTTTGCATTCTTTGATAGGAAGATATTTGCATTTCTTTGATACTGTCATTTTAAATAAAGAGTTTGTATTGGCACAAAAGCGTATTTGGAAAGTATTACTTAAGTCTTTATGTGGAGAAAATCCCTTTTAATTACTTGTGACATTAGTTAGCATTTTGAGGGCTTACCATCCAACATCATTATTTTAAGCATTTACATGTCTGAAAGGCATTTTAATCCTCACTACAAATCTGGAGGTGGCATAATAAATTTGGTATATTACAAAGAAAAAAAGTAGGCACACAGAGGCTTAGTAAATTGCTGTGACTATGTATTTGCTGGTCCACAGCAGATTCAGAATTTAAACCCAGGAAATCTTAAATAAGGTAATAAATGTATCTATATTGTTGTTCCATTTCTAGCTATAATTATAAATTATACTTTCTGAATCTTACACACATTATTTTAATAAAGAGGCTTTATACCTAGGCAATATTGGAAGCCCACATATACTATTGATTTCTTTTTTCTACAGAAATTCATCAACAGGTACTCATTCATCCACTCAACTGTTTATCATGCATTCACCATCTACTTATTAAATACATAATATGTATTGATGACACTGTTGGAAACTTGGCTTTCATACTTTAGAACTTCATCTCAAAACAATAATCTGTGATAAACTGTTAATAGTTTTTTTTTTCTATTGTATATAAAATACTCCTCTTTGTCCCCAGATCTAAACAACTACGAAGGTTAACACAAGCTGATAAACTTTAGAGTGCCTTACAAAATCAGCTATGATGATGATACCATCAAAGGCACTAGAATATCTAGAATCACCAAAGAATGATCAAATTCTAATCAGTATGGCCTAAGTGTTTTATATTTATTATGATATAATATTTTTAAACTGTGTATAATAATAGAATATTAAAGAAATCATCTGTATATTCAATTATTTGAGAATAATCCACTTCAGAACCAATTCTAAACAAACAAACTCTCAGCATAAAAATAAATATGAAGAGAAGTGCTAAGGACAATTTGTTTACTATAATCTTTAAAAGATAATATCATACAATCAGCAAGCTCCTAAGCCTGGAAAGTCATAACACACACACACTTAGATATGTCCTTTTCCACAGGACTATTTCCAAGCACAGGAAACATGTCCTAAAACCTCCCATCTCATCATAAAAGAAATTCCTTGAACTCCACATTCATGCGTCATCAGTTTCTCTATTGCCTCTCCCAGTAAATATTCTTCTCTAAAGGAGCTGCTCGCACTTACTCATTACTGTGTAACTTCAAGGGCACTAATTATTGAAATGGCTCTTCCTCAGAGTCAAGGGTCCCCCTCCTCACCATTCAGGAGACTGTCTGACATAGCTGAGGATTGCTTTGGGTTATATCACTACAAGGTGCTGTTTTATTTCCAGAAAAGTCATCACTGCTAATATTCCTTTCCTTAGCAATAGAGAATTTATAGGTCTTACCTTCCATCTTCCCAATCTATTTCACTTAAACTGCTGTCATCAGTTATTTGAAGCACACCACCAGCAAGTAAGGCAGCCTTCTCAACCATTGGTGGAATCACAGGTTCTTTTGATGTCCTTTTTTTAATTTCTTTTTTCTTTCCTTCCTTCATATGCATGCCAGGATCTCTATTTTAAAGAAATCCATTAAGAAGTCAATGTTTTATAGTAATTCTACCAATAATAAAAAAATTATTTTTGTAAAATTCCAACTTTTTAAAAAATGTGTGTGTGTGTTTGTGTGTGTGTGTACATATACATTACATCATTGTTTATTTTTGTACACTGATTTCTTCTCTCGGGTGTAGTCCCCATAAATTCCTACCACCAAGTCACCTGTGAACTATCACCATAGTGTCTTAGGCTCATGCCCAACCCCGTTTAAATTTTTTTGAGATTTATTTCATTTATTTATGCATACAAGAACTGGGGTGTAGGCCAGGGGTGTGGGGGGTTGTGGGAGGATTCACCAGAGACAGTGGGGAGCAGAACTGGCAGATGTACTGAAATACACTGCTTAGGGGAGAAGCGAGCAAGGGAGGAGAGGTCTGTTGTGCCATGTGGGTCAGCTCCCAGGCCAGGGATTGAGCTGAGACTTTAACCTCTGCATCACCAAGAAGGCCCTGTTGCCAGTGGTAGCTCATTGTGGTTTTGATTTGTACTTCCCTGATTATAAGTGATGCTGAACATTTTTTTTATATACCTGTTGGCCATTTGCATTTTCTCTTTGGAAAAGTGTCTTTTTAGCTCTTCTGCCCATTTGTTGATGGCAAGGTTTGCTTTGTTTTTGTTGAGTTGTGCGAACTCTTTGTAGATCTTTGTGACCAGTCCCTTATCAGTTGTATGGAATGCAAATGTTTTCTCCCAATCAGTAGGGTGTCTCTTTGTTTTGGTTATTGTCTATTTTGCTGAGCTTTTTAGTTTGATGTAATCTCAGCAACATGTTTATCTTTTCCTTCACTTTCTTTTCTTCTGGGGATGAGCTTTTAAAGATGTTTCTGAGATGTATGTCATATAGTGTTTTGCCTATATTTTCTCCTATATATTTTATGGTTTCAGTTCTTCCTTGCAAGTTTTTTTTATCCATTTTGAGTTGGTTTTTGTGTATGCTGTGAGGTAGTAGTCTAGTTTTATTCTTCTGCATGTGGTGGTTCAGCTTTCCCAGCATCATTTATTGAACAAAGTATCCTATACCATTGCATATTCTTTGCTCCTTTGTCAAAAATTAGTTGTCCATATATGTGTGGATTTATTTCTGGGTTTTCAATTCAATTCCATTGGTCTGTGTGTCTGTTTTGTTCCAGTGCCATGCTGTTTTAATTATTAAGGATTTGTAATAGAGTTTGAAGTCGGGGCATGTGATACCTTTTTAGTCAGGAGAGCTTTGGCTAGTCAAGGTTTTTTTGTGATTCCATATGAATTTCATCAATATTTGTTCTATTTCTTTGAAGAATGCCATTGAAAATTTTATTGTAACTGCATTGAATCTGTAAATTTCTTTTAGTAGCTTGGCCATTTTGATGTTAGTTCTTCCAATCCATGATCAGGGGATGTCTTTCCATTTCTTTGTATCTTTTTTTCTTTTAATAATGTTTTATAATTCTCTTTATATAGGCACCCTCCTTTGTTAGGTTTATTCCCAGGTATTTGATTTTTTGGGGTATAATTGTAGATGGGATGATTTTCTTGATTTCCTCTTCTTATTGATTGTTTGCAAATAGGGAGGCTACTGATTTTTGTGTGTTGATTTCCTATCCTGCTACTTTACTAAACAGGTTCATTATTTTAATCAGTTTTTCGGTAGAGTTTCTAGGATTTTCTATGTATATTATCATATAATCTGCAAATAGTGATAGTTTTACTTCTTCTTTCCCTATTTGGATTCCTTGTATGTCTTTTTCTTGCCTTATTGCTCTGGCTAGGACTTCCAGTATTAAATTGAAAAACAATGGTGAGAGTGGACGTCCTTGTCTTGTTCCAGATCTTAAAAGGAAAGCTTTTATCATATATGGGTTTGTCAACTATAGCTTTTATTATATTCAGGTATGTTCCTTCTATTCATAGATTCGAGGGCCTTCATCACAAATGGATATTGAACTTTGTCAAATTCTTTCTCAACATCTATTGATGTGCTGAATTACATTAATTGATTTTTTTAAAGATTTATTTATGCATACAAGAACTGGAGTACAGGCCAGAGGCACGGGGGGGTGGAAGGATCCACCAGAGATAGAGTGGGGAAAAAACAGGCAGATTGACTGAAATACACTGCTGAGAGGAGCAGCAAGTGAGTCAGGAGAGGTCTCCTGTACCATGTGGGTAGCTCCCTGCCTGGGGATCGAAGTCATGCTGCAGTGGCTGCAGATTGCCTTATAGGTTGCGTCTTAACCCCTGGGCCACCAGGGAGGCCTGCATTAATTGATTTTTGGATGTTGAACCATCCTTGTGCCCTTGGAATAAATCCCACTTGGTCATGGTATATTATCTTTTTGATGCATTGTTGGATTCTGTTTGCTAAGATTTTCTTGAGAATTTTTGTGTCATTGTTCATTAAGGTTATTGGCCTGTAGTTTAAAATTCCAACTCTTATCTCAATTCATTTATTGATTCACAAAAAATTATGACGTACCACATAAAAAAGGAAATGTGTTCTTTTCCTCTAAGACAGATATTCAATTATGATACAATAGGAATATCAGAGTTGACACATGAAAAGTTGTGAGCACAAGGAAGACTTTACAGAATAGGTAAAATAAACAGAATTCACCACCAGGAAAGGAAATGGGAGAGAAAGCCATTATAATTAGAGATTGCATCGTGAGCACAAATATTAGGCACACTACAGTTAGGTGCTTCCTAAGAACTTTAGAAGTATAAAATACATTTTTGAAACAATAAATCTGTTCAGTAAAGTTACAGGCTACAATAGCAACATACCAAAATCATTTGTGTCCTTATTTGCAAACAATGAACTAGAAAAGAAAGATTTCAAGAAAACACTCCTGGTTATTATCACATGAAAAGAAATAAATACCTAGGAATAAACATAACAAAAAAGGTAAAAACAAACAAACAAGAAACCTGTACATTGAAAACTATGGAAGAATCAACACTGTCAAATGGCCATCTTACCCAAAACAATATATAGATTCAATGTAATCCCTATCAAAGTTTTACTGGAATTTTTCAATGGTACAAATATTATAAAAATTTAATTGGATACCACAAAAGGCCCCAAATAGCCAAAGGAATGCTGACAAAAACAGAAGAATGGAGTTACCACCTAAATTTTAAACAAAACCACAAAGCTCTAGCAGCCAAAAAATGTTTTAGCATGGTACTGGAATAAAAATACTCACAGACCAATGGAGTAGAATACAGAGCCCAGAAATAAACTCACACTTATATTGACCATTAATCTACAACAAAAGAGCCAAAAGTACACAATGAGGACAGGAAAATCTCTTCAATAAGTGGTGGTGGGAAAGCTGGACAGCTATAAGCAAAAGATTGAAAGTAGACCACTATCTCCACCATACACAAAAGTTAACTCAAAATGGATTAAAGATTAGGGTGTAAGACCTGAAACTATAATATATGTAGTAGAAAACACAGACAAACTCCCTAGAACATTGACTTCAGGAATATCTTTGGACTTGATTTCATTAATAAGGAAAACAAAAGCAAAAATAAACAAATGAGAATCCATCCAATTAAAAGGCTTCCACACAGTGAAAGAAACTATCACAAAAATGAAAGCACCCAACCTTGTGGAAGAAAATACCTGCACACCATAAGGGGCTAATCCAAGATCTACAAAGAACTCATACAACTTAACAAAAAGAAAACTAACCAATCAACAAATGGATAGAAGAGCTAGTCATTTTTCTAAAGAAGACACATATCTGTAGTGAAAATACAAAATTTGTTAATCATGACATTGGTTCAAATTAGAATTTGTTTGTAGGAAAATAGCAGTGACCTACTGTAAAATAGCATGATAGGTTTACCTCTCAGAATCTTCATTCCTTGTTATAGGAAACAGCTGGTTATCCACCTTCCCACTCTTTCTTCGTTGAATGAATCCATCAAAGGCATCAGCAGCATCATATATGTTTTCTGACAATTCAATTTTACTACTTTTGTGCTGCTCCTTTGCTCCTTCCACCTTTAATGAAAGTTTGATATTAAGGAAAATGTTATTTCCTTATTCATCCAAAAGAATTTTTGTTGTCATTAATTTTACCCTTTAACTCAGTCTGTCATGACTGCAATAAATACAAATATTGTTGTGCTTGCTTTACTTTTATCATTACAGGTCACCGAAAGTTTTGTAAATTCTGCTTCATACAGAGTAAAAGAAGAATTTTCTCAGATTTCTAAAAGGACATTCTTAGTGTGCTTATTCACAGCCACTCTCACATTTTCGCTCTGTTTGGCACCTGGACTTTGCAGTCAGCCACCAGAGTGAGAGGAAGTGACATCATGTTGCTTCTCTTACAAAAAGGAAGATTTTCCCTTTCTGCACTGGCCTCTTCCCCCACTGCCTTTTACATTTTTTGTTTTCTTTATTATTTGGATCCATGAGATCTTAAAAAAGTGATGACATTCACACTAAATTATCAGAGCCGAAGTTTATCAGAATACAGTGAAACTGATTGTTGGTGTAGAATTCTGAAAAATGAGTGATGCTTCCCAAATTTCACCTTCAGTAACAATAAAATGTGATAGCTGGAGGATAGAGAAATAATCACCTACTTATGGTGGGAGTAAGTGAAGGAAGGCTAAAGATTTATTCACAGCGCCCAAAGTGGCATTACCCAGCACTTAATGGCACTAAAAGGGGTGGTAACTAATCTTTAAGACTGACACAGATAATTTCAACAAATTAATCAGGTAAACTAAAAGTGTGCTTTGAAATGGAATTAAATGCCTAAGCTGGGGGCTAGGGCTCATCAGCACTGTCTTTAAAAGGATAATATCTATAGATTGGTGTCTGTCTTTAAAACTCAATGCAGCTCAAAAATCAGCTTTTTCCTTCTGTTAAGGACAGGGAGCAGGGACCCCAGAACCCCCAAGCCTGCCTGCTCTAAAAAGGTTCTGCCATCCGTCATATCAAGATAAAACATGAGAACTTTAATGGAAAGGAATTTTAATACAATTAGTGTGCAACAAAGAAAAGGGGAAGAATAAAGTTTCCAAACCAAGGACCCAAACTTAACCATCCCGTAATGGGTAAAAATCTACCCAAACAGGATTGGTCCAGAGAAAGTCCTGATAGCCTGCTACAAGTCTAAAGCTCCTTCCAACAGGAACCCATAGAAAAGGATCAGAAAGAGATAAGTTTGGAAAGAAAAGAACATAACCAAAGTAAGATATTTAAAGCTGCCATTGGTAACCTCCCCACAGCTCTCTTACCCACATCTGTTCCAACCAACCCAAGACCAAGAAGCAAGTACTGTTTCTTCGCACGTCTCTCTGCTCCAAGTGTCTTGTTCAGGTCTCCTTCTGGCTCCCCTTCCTGCTTCCTTCCTTACCCAGCCTCCTCTCCAGCTTCTCCTACTCCCTGCACAGCTCCACCCTCCCTTGGGTGGGGCAGGGAAGCTGGAACCTCCCCTTTTCCTGGGGACCACCCTGTCACCCTTCTGATTTATTTTGCTTAGCATTCTCTTCTCCAGTTATTTTTTTTAAAGATTTATTTATTTATGCATACAAGAGCTGGGGTACAGGCCAGAGATGCTGGGAGTGAGAGGATTCACCAGAGACAGAGCAGGGAACAGAACAGGCAGACTGAATGAAATACACTGCTGAAGGGAGCAGCAGGCGAGACAGGAGAGGTCTGCTGCACCATGAGGGTTGCTCCCTAGCCACCGGGGTTGGAACTCATGCTGCAGAGGCTGTGGATTGCTTCACAGTGCAGTGCTTAACCCCTTGCGCCACCAGGGAGGCCCTCTCTTCTCCAGTTATTGGGGCACTGGTTGTGGGCAGCATGTGAGAATATACATTTGTAGTGGGGCTCAACCCTATAAACCCCAAAGCAGATGCAGTAATAGAAACCTACTTGACCTCAACAAACTTGCACCTGAGGAGGTGGGGCCTGCTCCTCTGAATCACACAGTTACTTAAATTCTTTAAAAATGCTCTATTAAAGAGTGCTTAAATTCTTTAAAATTTTACTTACTAATTTCTTACGCCGGAATGACATAAGTTAGAAAGTTATTGTTTGTATCTGAATGACAAAGGTCTCACCCTAGAAAACATAATTCTCTTAATAGCTGTTGGACTAATTTTATGACTCCATATGCTCCATGAATGTAGCAGACTCTGAGGTCGATTACACTGAGATCACAAGGCAGAACAAATCTTTCATTTCAGCATCAATGACTGGTGACATGAAACTGCGAATTTTGAACCACTGGGCATGAGGACTACTTTTGCATAAATGCACCTCAGAGGCCATCGATGTGTTATTGTTCATCACCTCACCTGCTTAATCCTATGATTCAGCATTTAAATGTTATCTTTGTACTCATGTAAGGAAGTTATAAAAACAGAAGACGCAGACGATGTCCAGAAAATTTGGCCTCAATTCCAAGGATAAAGTTTAGCTCCAAGTTACTATTCATTCTAACCTCACTTTCCATTTTTAACTAGTAAAATGCTATTAAAACTAAATGTTAAATTATGATTTACTGATCTATAACATTAGACTGAAAAGATGTTATGTGAACTATGCCCCATTTATAAAGGACAGAACGAGTATGAAAGTAGAAATTTAACTTTAAACTTTTACATACCCATGGGTGGTTACTTTTGCTACTATCAAGCCTTTCTTGAACTTCCTTTGATGTCACTTCTAGGTCCAGTGTTGCTGACAAATCTATATAAGTAGTTAAAATGAACCATTTAGAATGGTTTGATAATAGAAAATAACATTTTGTTAATTGATAGTTAAATTAAGCTTACTCTATCACTGAATTTTTTTTTTTCAGAAATTCTTATAATTACCTAGAAATTCAAAACCATTTGGGAGCCTCCCTGGTGGCCTAGGTGTTACATCTCAGTGCTATCACCACTAGGGCCTGAGACCTATTGCCAGCCAGGGAGCTAACCCACATATGGCACAGCAGACCTCTCCTGTCTCGCCTGCTGCTCCCCTTAGCAGTGTATTTCAGTAAATCCCCTGTTCTGCTTCCCACTTTGCCTCTGGTGAATCCTTTCATCCCCTGCCTCCCCTGCACCTCTAGCCTACACCCCAGTTCTCCTACACATGCACACATACAAACTATTTGGGAAATACTTGATTCAGCTGGGTTCAAGGGATATAAACATTTCAGAGATTCATTTCCAAATTCACCATGCAACATCAAAAAACAAAACAATCACAATTAAAACAAAAAATTAAAATAGAGTATAAACACATACAGTCACACTATAATACCTACCACATAATATTACCTTTTGAGCTACACACTAAACTTCACCTGCATTATTATTCAGTTTCCTAAATTACTGTTACTTTTCACACATGTATAGTGTACAACATTCCTCAATCTGGAATGTTTTCTTCGATTCTGACAAAGTTCTTTTCATCTTTTTAGACTCCACTTAGGTTCACCTTGATTATGGATTATGACTCTGTCTCCAGATAAATAGGTACTTCTTTCCAAGGGGCTACTTTCATACTTTACAGATTTTTCCTTTGTAACTTCACCATCAGATCTGCAAATTATATCTTTACATGGAGTAAAAGGGATATGTGAGGGCCCCCTTTACTCCAACTCTGAAGAGGACAGTCTCTTAAATTACCTTTGCATAAACAGATTTTATGTATTTCACTCAAAAATTACTGAGTTCATGCTAAGTACTATGGCATTTTTAGAGATAATGACTAGCTGAGACATAAACAAACCAGCCAGTTTCAAGGGGGTAGAGGACAGGAAAGGAGTGGGGCATGCAAGGTTGCAGCAAGATAGAGAGAAGCATAGAAAATGGTATGTATTTGTCTAAAATATAGGGATTAGTGAGGCAGGCATCAATCACCAGTGTTTAGAATGCCAGAGAAAAGGGCAGACAGAGGAAGGGACTAAAGATGGAGTCGGGCATATATCATTTTCAGATGCATTCATATGTTTTAAAGAATGAGTAGTTTGTGGTCATATATGCTTGTCAATATCCTTCATTCAAACACGGATACCTACAATGACATATGCAATATTTACATAAAATCTTTCATGTAAACTTGAAAAAAATTAGAAATAAGAGGACTGTAACCATATTAAATACTTTAGTATACTTCTTTCCAGGCTTCAATTTTTATTGCAAAATTTACCTGATTGAAATGTTTGCACATCCTCGATTTCTACTGCCTTCATGGGAACAGAATCTTTCCCTTCAGTGGTAGGCTGGATAGATTTTTAAAAATAATTAATAAACAATGCACATTTCAAAAATCTGTAGTTAAGAATCCAAGTTAAATAAACATAATTACCACCAAGCGAGCATATTTTCCAGGAGTATCTAAAAAGCAGAAGGAACATATAATCAATTCTATGTGAATATGAAAACCAACTGTATATATTGATTTTGATTATATAATTCTTCCCCAATAATTATGTTTTTTGAGGCAAAGTTGGTTTATATAACTGTATTTGTTTTAGAGGTTATGGGTTCAAAAATACAGATGTACATATTCACACCATGCCCATCACCCAGACCCCAATCATCCTCCACCACGCTCCATTGGGCCCCTCTCCGAATCCCACTCCAGCACCCTCCCCTCTAGGTTGCCTCAGTTTTCAGTCAGATGTCATGGGCTTTTTATTGGTTTGTGCTTTTCTGACCCTTTGTTTTGTCTCTCTGTATTCCACACAGTCATCTTGCCTTTACCGCTTAAGGTCGTCTGTCCAAATGCTGTGAATGCTGACTGATTTGGGATTGATGGCTGTGATACAACTGGACATCTATCATCAATTTTCAAATTCCAAGACCTTTGATGAGTCTCATTAGTAAACACTGAAACAGTAGAATCCCAATCTGAAAATACAGTTTCCACTTATTAGAAAATAAATAATAAAGCAAATTTAAATACAAAATTTTTCTTCAGAGAAGCAGTTCCACATCACCCTCTCCCCCACAAACACTTCGTTTCCTCATATTTTCCATGTCCTATACTGGTCATTCACAAAGAGAAATTTAATTAACTATTTTCTCTTTTTGTTTACTTTCTAGTATTTAATTTCTAGTACTTTCCAGTGTCATGTATGATTCATTCAGGATAATCTATTCCATATTCTTTTTTCCATAAAAGTTTTGGTTATAAGTAAATAAATTCTTCATGGTATGAATTTTCTTGTCAGCAAAATTTATGTCTAACCATTTCAGCTTAAGTATGCATGAAATTATTATGCGTGTTTCAGAGGTTTGGGTTTAAGAAACACTTTTCATGAATGGTACTACTAATTCTTGAATTACAATGAGGTGTTCTGCATGAATAACTTTAGAATTCAATTTTTATGCTTTAGATAAACATCATACCTGTATGAGAAATGATAGCCTTGTGTGACCCAATTGGAGACAATTATAAAAATTGAATCAGTCTAAGATAACACTACATTTAAAAATTGGATCAGTCTGAGATAACACTACATTCATGCATAGTGCCATGAGATAGAAAAGAATATATATTTTAAACAAAATTGTTAGATGTCTATTTCTATAGACAAGTGAAAGAAATAAAACCAAGAAATGAATAAGTAAAACTTATAAGCCCATTCATTTCATCATATGGGCCCCTTTATCATTTCACACCCATGAATCCTGTATGACTTAAAACAGCAGTCCTCAGGTATTATTGGAGAATCCCAGGAACCCCAAGATCCCTCTTTTCAGAGACACCCAAGAGGTAAAACTATTTCACAATAACATTAATGTTATTTGCCATTTTCTCTCTCATTCTCTTATAAGTGTACCATGGAATTTTCCAAAAATATATGTGACATCATAGCTCTAATGACTAATAGAATTATGATTGTGTATGATTCTGTTTAAATTGTTCAGTTTTAATTTCTAATATTGTAAAATCACTGGGTAAATCCATTTAAACAAAAGAGTTTTGGCATTCTTAATAATTTTTAATCATATAAAAGGAACCTAAGGCAAAATAGTTTGAAAATTATTATATTAAATGATTGTGCCTACAAAATATTCATTAAGGTATGATTGTTTCCCTCATTTTTAATAATTAAAGACACCCACACACAAATGTGCACACACACATGTGCACACACACACACATAGAGAAACATAGTCACATAAGAACATCTGGTCAACCTAGGTCATCAGTGTAACAACACTAAAATGAAATAAAGTTAAAACACAAATTGACATGTTATTAAATGGAATTTTAATCTATGTGAAAATCATAATTCAAATATGAATTTAAATTTTTTTTAAAATCTTGGCATCTAAAGATTAAATTCTGGAAATCCTTAAGAATTAGAGTTTCAAATTCTATGGGGACTACACCTGAGAAAAGAAAGCACACACTGTAAAAAAAAAAAAAATGAAAGAAAAATGAACAGTGATGTAAAATGAAGGTTCAACAATCCTCCAAAAAAAAGAATAATTACAGTTTCTAAAACATGAACTTTCAGGAACCAAAACATAAAGGAGAAACATCTGAGTTAAAGATCCTATGGTAGAGGACTCCAGGTGTCTCGGTGGTGGGTGCTGTGTGGTAACAGACATCTAAGCAGATGTGACCCTATACCTCTGAATCATATATATCACCTCAATAAGAAAACAATAAAGTTAAAAGAAAATTACATGAAAAATCTCTTTCCTATGCTTGTAAATACCTTTCATTCAAACATGGATACCTACAATGACACCTGCAATATTTATGTCAAATCTTTCTAGTAAGCTTGAAAAAAAATACTAATAAGAAGACTGTAATTATCAAATAATTAATTGTACTTCTTTCCAGACTTCAATTTTTATTGCAAAATTTACCTGATTGAAGCGTTTGTACATCCTCCATTTCTACTGCCTTTGTGGGAACAGAATTTCTCCCTTCGATGGCAGGCTGGATGGATTTTGCAACAAGATGATTAATAAATAAAGCACATTTCATAAATCTGTAGTGAGTTAATAACTCACGATAAAGAAATAAACATCATTACCTCCAAGTGAGTATATTTTCCAGGAGAATCTAAAAAGAAAAAGAACATATAATCAGTTCTGTATAAAGTCAACAGTATGTTCCTACACAGTTATGGAGCTGAATCCTCATGCTTGCCTTGAGAAGTGATTGCACTAAGTTTTGGCGGCCTGGGTTTGCTTTAGGTTACAACACTCACAAGAAAGAAATATGAATCCAGAGCCTGGTGCAAGGGCTTAAGATACAAGGGGTGGTGCAAGGGGTTAAGACACAACCTATGAAGCTCTCTGCAGCCCTGGCCAGGGAGTTACCCACATGGCACAGCAGACCTCTTCTGACTCGCCCGCTGCTCCCCTCAGCAGCGTACTTCAGTCAGTCTGCCTGTTCTGTTCCCCACTGTGTCTCTGGTGAATCCTCTCAACCTCCACACCTCTGGTCTATACCCCAGTTCTTGTGTACATAAATAAATAAATCTTTAAAAAAAAGAAATATGAATCCAACATGACACTGAAGAAAAAGCTAGGTATGTAGGTTTAAGAAACAGGCAGTTAAGATTTCAAAAGTAAGATTATGTTTCAAATGATTATCACTAAAATAGAAAAAAGCACACCTAAGCCACCAAGGCAAGCAGGCTGATTGTTGGGAAGAAAAATGAAGGTTATAATTCACAACCCTAAGAGGATAATTGTGAGAGTTTATCTTAAATGCAAGACATCGGAATCATTTCTACCATTATACCAAAGGTATTTCTCATGTTCTTCAACTTGTTCTACAATAGAGAAAGTACACAGCTGTGACGACAGTACAGCTGAATGCACAACTCATTTCTCTTCAGAGAAAATGTTATGAACTGGATATCTTAGATAAACTCTTGTAGAATAATAGCTAACAAAATTATTCATTTTTTCCATACCATTCTGAGCTACCAGAGTGCCTACATTTCTTGCATCCTTCAGTTCACTTTATCCTTAAAGATATTTGTTCCGCTCATGTAAGAAAGTATATAAAACACATTTAAGAAATAATGTATTCAAAATAATATTAATATAAATTGAAAATAATTTTAGCACTGAGGGAATAAACTTATTACTTTGGTTACTACAATGAATTTGGTTTGAATATTGTTAGTCTGTATGAAAAAACCATCTCATCAAAAATTAACTACCTTTGAAAAATCAGCCAATCATTCTTTGTTCAAATTAGTCTCATTTGAATAACAAAAATTAATACAACACCTATTTTTGGAGCATAGTTATGAGGAGGATAAATGAGCGAGTAGCATTAACCCCAATTCTAGTATGCCCTCCTACTTCCAGTGTTCTGTGGAGTAGCATGATCTAATCTTCTGTCTCAGTGCAAATATACTAAAATCACCTAAAATTTTCTCATCAACTCCAAAATGGCTAATCTTTTCCAACTGCATTGCTTTTATGCCTTTGACTTTTCTAAGTCCTTTGACTAGTCTGCCAATACCATGTTGAACACCACAATAGACATCCTTGTCTTATTTCTGTATTAGGGGAAACAGTTTGTTTTTACCATTAAGTAGGGTTGATACCTGTGGGTTTGTCACATATGGTCTTTACCACATTGAGATATGTTGCTTTTTCCCCCAGCTTATTCAATTTATATCATCAATGGGTGCTGAATCTTGTCAAATGCTTTGTCACTATCTACTGTATAATTATATGATTTTCCCTCTATAATTATATTTACTCAGGTAAGGTTGGTTTACATCATTGTATTTGTTTTAGGGGTTACAGTTTTGAAAATACAGATGTCTATTTTCACACTATGCCCATCACTAAAACACCAATCATTCTCCACCATGCTTCATTGGGCCCTTTCTCTGCACGCTGACTCCCACCTCGATGTCTTCCCCTTTTGGCTGCCTCAGATTTGTAGTCATAAGATACAGATTTTTTACTGATTTTGTCTAACTGTTTGCTTTTTGTCTCTCTGTATTACACATACTCATCTTATCTTTACCTCTTAAGGTCGTCTGTCCAAATGCTGTCAATACCGACTGATTTGGAATCGATGACTGTGCTACAATTGGACAGCTATCATCAACCTTCAAATGCCAAGATCTCTGACAAGCTTCCTTATTGAGCTTCAAACTAGTAGATTCCCAATCTGAAAAGTCTGAAAATAAAGTTTTCACTTACTAAATAAAGTTTTCACAATAACGCAAATTTTAATATGATACCAATCCATTATTTAGAGAAGCAGCCCCATTTCTTCCTCTCCCCCACAAATTACTCCCTCATATTTTCCATGTCCTTTACTTGCCATTCACATAGATAAGTTTAACTATTTTCTCTTCTTGTTTACTTTCTAGTAATACTTACCATGATTCATTCATTATTTTCCACCACATATTCTTTTTTTCCATAAGAACTTTATTAGTAATTAAAAATTTTCAGGGCATGAATTTTCTCACTAGCAAAATTTATTTATTTATTTTTTATTATTTTATACAAGAACCGGGGTATAGGCCAGATGCACAGGAGGGTGAGAGGATTCACCAGAGACAGAGTGGGGAACAGAACAGGCAGACTGACGAAATACACTGCTGAGGGGAGCAGCGGGCATGACAGGAGAAGTCTGCTGCACCATGTGGGACCCTCGCTGGACGGCCGGAATCAAACCCACGCTGTAGAGGCTGCGGACTGCTTCACAGCATGGCACTCAACCACCTGTACCACCAGGGGAGGCCTCATTAGCAAAATTTATGCTTAACCATTTCAGCTTAAGCATACATGAAATTATTATGTGTGTTCTACTGCCATGGATTTAAGGAAAACCTTTCATGAATGGTACTACTTTAATAAAAATCTCCTTGAATTACAATGAGATGTTCTTTATTCAGTCTACGAATATCTTCAGAATTCAATTTTTTGTTTTAGATAAACATTATACTTCAATGAGAAATGATAAGCTTGCATGTCCTAATTGTTTCCATGTAAAAACAGGATCAGTCTAGGTTGACACTATATCCAAAGCACACATAGTACTGTGAGATAGGAAAAGGATATATTTTTTCAATAAAATTGTATAGGCAAGTGAAAAAGAAGCAAGAAATGCATAATAAACTTAGGAATCTCAACATCCCTATATTGAGAGGAATCCAAGAGTTGAATCTACTTCAGAATAATATAAGTGATAATAAGTAAACAGAGGAGTTTTCAAGCAAAATGATGTGGTAACGTCATAATGGTTAATATAATGGCTATGAATGTGAATGCTTTTATCTAAAGATTTCTTTTCAATTTCTAATATAGTAAATACTGATAGAAACAACCCACTTAAATGTACTTTGGCATTCTCAATGATTTCTAATCACATAAAGGGACAACTAAGGCCAAAGGTTTCAAAATTCCTGTATTTACTTAATGTGTATATGAATTTAAAATTTGGAAAAATCTTAAGAGTCTAATGATTAAAACCTGGGCATCACTAAGAAGTACAGTTCCAAAATAGATATTTTCAGATACCAAAATCTAAGGTAGATACATCTAAGTAAAAGATTGCATGGTAGAAGATTCCAGTAGCTTGGTGGTGGACATCTGAACAGATGTGAACCTATACCTCTGAATCCTATACATTACCTCAATAGAAAAAAAAAATTAAAAGAAAAAATTACATTAAAAAAAACCTGTCTTATGGGCCTCCCTGGTAGCGCAAGGATTTAAGACGCAACCTATGAAGCTATCCGCAGCCACTGAAGCACGAGTTTGATCCCCAGCCAGGGAGCTACCCACATGGCACAGCAGACCTCTCCTGACTTGCCTGCTGCTACTCTCAGCAGTGTATTTCAGTCAGTCTGCCTGTTCTGTTCCCCACTCTGTCTCTGGTGAATCCTCTCACCCCCGGCACCTCTGGCCTGTACCCCAGCTCTTGTATGCATAAATAAATCTTTAAAAAAAATCTGTCAAAAAAATCTGTCTTATGATTGTAAATATCTTTCAAACACATACCCACAATGACATCTGCGATATTTATGTCGAATCGTTCAATTAAACTTGAAAATATATTAGAAGACTGTAATCATTTTAAATACCTTAGTATACTTCTTTCCAGACTTCAATTTCTACTGCAAAATTTACCTGACTGAAATGTTCGTACATCTTCCATTTCTACTGCCTTCATAGTGACAGAATCTCCCCCTTTAACAGTAGGCTGAATTGATTTTGAAACAAGATGATTAATAAACAGTGTACATTTCATAAATCTTCAGTTAATAATTCAATATAAAAAATTAAAAGTTGTTACCTCCAAGTGAGTATATTTTCCAGAATCTGAAAAGCAAAAGGAACAAATAATCAGTTCTATGTAAATATGAAAGCTGACCATACGTTCATGCAGAGTTAGTATGGCACTGAATCATCGCATTTGGCGTTGGAAGTGACTGCTCTAGGTGATGGTGGTTTGAGCTGGCTTTGGTTAGGACAGTCACAAGACAGAAATATGAATCCCTTATAATACTGGAAAGAAAAAGAGGAAAATAGGAATAACAGGCAGGTAAGATTTTAAAACTAAGATTATGTTTCAAATTATTATAATTAAAATGGAAAAGCATGCCTAAGCCACCGAGGGAGTAGCTGATTGATGGGGAGAAAAGTAGCCCTGAGAGGATGATTGTGAGAGCTAATCTTTAGTGCAGACATCAGAATCGTTTCTACCACTATACTACAGGTGTTTCTCATGTTCTTCAACTTGTCCTGCAATGGAGGAAATTCACAGTTGTGACTCCAGTTCAGTTGAATGCACAACTCACTTTTCTTCAGAGAGAGTGCTAAGAACTGATCATCTTGTATATTCACATGTATTCAAAACATATTCTTTTTTTCCACACCATTGTCAGCGACTGGAATGTCTACATTTCTTGCAATTCTTTATTTTTGAAGTTGCTTAATCCACTCATACAGAGAATAAGCACTGCTAAAAAATAATGTATAATAAGCTTTCAATATTGTAATGTGGCTATCAAAAAGGAAATTAAATTTTATTGCCAGAGAATTAGAGGTAAAAATCTTTAATATTTCATAATACTTTTTAATATTAACTGAAAATAATAATTTTAGCATTGAGGGAATTAACTCATTTCTTTGGTTACCAAAATGAATTTGGTTTGGTATATCATGTTAGACTGTAATGGACATTTATGAAACTGGGGCTTCCTGGTGATACAAGGGGTTAAATCTCAGCACTATGAAGCTGTTTCAGCCACTGCAGCATAAGTTTGATCCCTGGCCAGGGAAGTGACCCACACAGTACAGCAGACCTCTTCTGTCTTGTCTGCTGCTCCCCTCAGCAGTGTATTTCAGTATATCTGCCTGTTCTACTCCCCTGTCTCTGGTGAATCTTCTTGCCCCCAGCACCTCAGGCCTGCACCCCAGCTCTTGTATGCATAAATAAATAAAATAAATCTTTAAGAAAAAAGAATATTTATGAAACAGTTATTGTATCAAAAACGAGTTATCTTTGATATCATCCAGCACTTCTGTGTTTAAATTAATCACATTTGAATAATAAAAACTAATATAGCACATATTTTTGAAGGCTTATAGTTATGGGGAGGACAAATGAGTATCATTAACCCCAATTCTAGCCTGCCCTCCTGCTTCCAGTGTTCTCTGGAGCAGCTATGATCTAATCATCTTAGGGCAAATATATCGAAATCACCCAAAGTTTCCTCATCTACTTCAAAATGACTAAGCTTTTCCAAAAGCCTTTTTCTTGTCACATACCCCATGCTTTTTCCACTGCACTCTACTAGGGACCCTCTCCCCATTCTGATTCCCATCCCACCTTCCCCTTTTGGTTGTCTAATTTTTGCAATCAGATATTACAGGTTTGTTATTGGTCTGGTTTTGCTGACCCTTTATTTCTCTGTGCTTCACATATTCAACTTTTTTTTTTTACATACTAGGGTCATTTTTCCAAATTCTGTGGATGCTGACTGATTTTTTTGATCATTGACTATGAAATAACCAGACAATTCCATATAACAGTGAAAACACCTGGTATTTGTCTGTCTGCTTCCCCTTTTATTTCTCTTAGCATTATCCTCTCTAGTTCCAACTTGTATGTTTTATATTTCCTTATGTTGATGTGGTGAATAGCATTGATACATGTGCATATGTTGAACCTACGCATATATCTGGGATGATCTCACTGGGTCATTACATTTGATTCGTAGCATTACATTGCTATATTTGATTTTCTAAATGTTGAGGATTTTTACTTATAGGTTCATCAGAGACATTGGCTTATATTTCTCTATTTTTTCTGACTGGTTTTCAGATCAGGGTAATGTGGTCTCATAAAATGAATTGGGAGCTCCCCGCCCCACCTTCTAATTTTTTGAAGAGTTTGAGAAAAATAGGTATTGCGTCATCTTTGAGCATTTAGTAGAATTCACTAGTGAAATCATTGGTTCTGGGCTTTCATTTTTAAGGAGAGTTTTGTTTAGCTTGTCAGTTTCTGAGCTTGTGATTGACCTATTCAAGCCATCTTTCTTTTTTTTTTTTTTTTAAGATTTATTTATTTATTTATACAAGCATTGGGTACAGTCAGAAGCAGTGGAGGGTGAGAGAATTCACCAGAGTCAGAGTGGGGAACAGAACAGGCAGACTGACAAAATACACTGCTGAGGGGAGCAGTGGGCGCATCAGGAGAGGTCTGCATGCCATGTGGGATTGAACCAGAGCTGCAGAGGCTGTGGGCAGCTTCGCAGCCCAGCGCTCAACTCAAACAATGTGCCACCAGAGGAGGCCCTCAAGCCATCTATTTCTTCCTGATCAAGTCTCAGATGATTGTATGATTCTAAAAATTTGTCAAGTTCCTCTAGGTTGTCCAATTTGTTTGCACATAGATATTCATAGCTATCATCATTTTTAGACAACATAGCATGCATAGGAAACCAAAAGACTCCATAAAAAAACTACAAGAAATAACAAAGTGACATGATACAAAATCAATAAACAAAAATCTTTCTTATTTTCATAGGCAAACAATGGATTAACTAAAAGAGAAATTAAGAGTTGAGCACCAGCAGCATTAGCTTCACCTGGGAATGTGTTAGAAATGCAGGATCCCACACCTACTGCTCAGAATGTGCATTTTTAATAAGGTCTGCAGGTGATTCATTAAAATTCATTAAAATTTGAGAGACTGTCTATAGTAAGGTTGCTTTCACATTCCTATACCTTAACTTACCCTTCTGGAATCTAGTCTCAACGCTCTGGAATCTACCACTTCCCCAAAACTGAAACTGCTTTAGAAGTCATAAACTTTTTATCAGGTCAATGAACTTTTTATCAGGCCATTTTGCTTCCTTAATTGCCCCATAACTGACCCTACTCTCTTGTTTTTAATTCTCTTATGATGGCCTATATGATACTATCCTATGATGCGGCAACATTTTATATGGCATTAAAATAGCTACATGTAGAGCTGACCACATATGCTTATGTCCACCCATGGAAGATAAAACAGAGCTTGCAGCATCAGGTACCTCAGCCCTGAAGGCCTCCCCAACAATGAGGAAAACAGTAAGAGTAGGGAAATTTTTGTATATTTCTGATAAGCTTTAGTACTTGAAACTCACTTTATGGTCTTCCTACATTTTGACACTTTTATTTTTATTACCACAATTATTTTACCACCTTCCACCTGCTTCTTTTTCCTTCATTTACTCCTTGACTCTCTCTCCCTTTCTCATTTTTCATTCCTCCTTTCACTCTTCTTTATTTTCTAACTTTCCTTGGATCTTAGAGGATCTGGAAATGTAATTAAGAATTTGGCTCCTTCAGGGGCACTTTCAATTTAGTCTGAGGTTGACACCTGATAAAACAACTTATTTCCTTTTCACTTCTTCTTTTCTTTACTATATATTTAGCAAAATTGTTTTCTTTTGCTATTATAATATAAATTTGTGTTTAAAATCAGCATACTATCAAATGAGCTTTTTATGAAATGTACTTCCTACCTTCTATTTGTCCACTTAATATATTTTTTTCTCTTTGATCTGCAGCTCCAGATAAATGATCAATGTGCTTCTCTGGAAGACACTCAGAAATACTCTGTTTAAAATTAAAATCAATAATTGTTACAGGGCAGGGAGGGCGCCCCCAACCCCGAATCTCCAAACCTGCCTTCACTAGATAGGTTCTGCTATCTGCTGCATCAAGACAAAACATACTCTAGTGCATAACACCTTTAATGGAAGGAACTTTAATACAATTAGTGTGCAACAAAGAATAAAGATTCTGAATCAAACACCCAGAGTCACCCATCCCCTGGTGAGGAAATGCTCAGCCAAACATGGTTGGCCAAAGGCAAGGCCACTGAGGCCAGAAAGCCTGCCACAAGTCTAAGGCACCTCCTTAGGGAACCGTAGGAAAGGGGAAGGAAGAACCCAGCTCTTCTGAGTCAGGGGGAGCAAAATCAAAATCAAGATAAAAGCTGCCATTGTTAACCTCCTCACAGGTCTCTCACTCACATCTGTTTCAATCAAACCAAGACTAAGAAGCAAGAACAACTTCTTTGCATGTCTCCTGCTCCATGTGTCTTCTCCAGGTCATCTTGCTTCCCATATTTCTTCCTGCCTCCCTTCTTCAGCCTCCTCCCCAGCATCTTCTCCTCCCTGCTCAGCCCACCCTCCCTTGGGTGGGCCAGGGAACTGGAACCTTACCTTTCCCTGGGGACTACCCTGCTACATAGTGAGCTGCATAAAGATTTCCCAATCCCTTCTTAAGAAAATATCTGAATTTCCAACTTTAAATGCAATTAGCTTTAACAGGAGAAGCATGTATTGAAAACCAAACTGTTAAAGTGAAAAACTTCATCTATGCTCCCTAGATCAAATATATCTTTACTCTTCAGTGGTGGTTGACTCTGTAAATTGAGCATAAATATTTACATAGACAAAATTGCTAGCTTACATGCACATTTAAACAGGAACTAACTTGAAAATGCCCAACTCTACATTGCTTTCCCCAACAAAATAAACAGGCTTCAAAATACATGTATTAAAAAAAGTTTTAATGTGCACACTTGCTATAAATTAAAAATATTTCCATTAATGATTTTTTTTAGTGTTAAAAGATACTTGGCATGATAAGAAACCATGGAGTATGTGGTATTGAGTATAAAAAATATTATTGAAGCTGTTTCATTTAGGGTAACAAGGACATGGAAAATCCAACATTTTTTTAAAGGTTGCATACACTTTATTTTCACTAAATATTATTATAAGTGGTGACTTATTTGTGGGGTATATCTAATGAGTAACATTTAAAACTGGATTATTTACTATATCTTAAAAGTGTTTTTATTCTTTTCATAAATAAATAGCAGACTGATGTCAATTTAATTCCATGATTGTATGCTTTATTGTATTGATCTTCCACAATTAATTAATCTATTCAACTATTAAAAAATGACCATGTTCCATAATAGAAAAAAGATATTGTGATCTGGGCTGCCATGAGCGATGTTTTAATTGCTCTTTGTACACAAGAGGCACAAATTTTCCCCAACGCATTCACAGGAGTGAAATTGCTGGGTAAATGTTTTGCCTTTCTGCCCAGTAGTTTTCCAATGGGATATTATAAATCTTTTCCACGGGGTCTGGTGTGGAATACATGGAGAGAGGAGTTAATGACAGTACAGGTGAACTGACATGGAGGAGAAATCAAATAGAAGACACAGGGCAACAGAAAACAGAGACAGAACAAGGCCTTTGTCACCAGGAGCTCAACAGTGCACAAGACGTGGGTGTAGTGACATCAGAGACCAGAGCTGTGGTCAGATTCTGAAATGTTCCAATTCTGGGGGTAGCTGAGAGATAACACCTCCAGTAAAGCGTTGGAAGTGAGAACAAGATTGGTGATGTCAGACATTGTTCTCCTCTTCTCAACTGTAGGGGACATTTTTTACCATTTACCACAGAGCATGCTGCTGTTGGTACATTTTTTGTGGATGGAGGAAATCTCCAGTAAGCCCTATTTTCTAGGATTTACTTTTTATTCAAAGATAGGGATCACATGTTGTCAAATGGTTTTTCTGCATCTTTCAAGATTGATTTTTTCCTCTTTGTGCTATTCTTGTGATGGATTACATTATTGTATATATCAAGCAACATTGCACTCCTTTCTAAAATGAACCCCAATTTGGGGGTCATTTTTCTTGAGTATTTTTGCATCTAAGCATATGAGACAACCAGGACTTTAAGTTTTCTTTTTTTTTAAATGTCCTTAGGACTTGGCATCATAAAATTAATTGGATATTTTCCTTTTTTTCTTTATAGAGGAATAATTTAGAGTAAGTATAACTGAAATGTCTGGAAGTGTTATTAGTGAGTTTTTCTGGACTAGAATTTTTTTTAAAGATTTATTTATTTATGCACACAAGAATGGGGGTACAAGCCAGAGGTGTGGGGGGTGAGAGGATTCAACAGAGACAGAGTGCGGAACAGAACAGGCAGACTGACTGAAATACACTGCTGAGGGGAGCAACAGGCACAACAGGAGAGGTCTGCTGTGCCATGCGGGTAGCTCCCTGGCCGGGGATTGAACTCGTGCTGCAGTTGCTGCTGATAGCTTCATAGGTTGTGTCTTAACCACTTGTGCCACCAGGGAGGCCCTGGACTAGAATTTTAATCATGAGGATTTTTTTTGTTTCTGTTTTATTACAGTTTAAATTTCTTTAACAGAAAAGACACTATTCAGATTTCCTATTTTCTATCAGCTTATATATTGCACTTACATAAGCCTGCTAAAACTTAGCATACCCTGAATTAGAAATACAAGTGTCCATTTTAACTTTTCCATTTTTTTATATTGCTGCCATTTTTATTGTCCTTTGGGTTTAAAAAAAAGATGTCCTTCATATTTAGAAGTCACTAAATGTCACTGTGATCATATTGTCTTCATCTTTTATAGAATCCTTTAGATTTTCCTAAGTGCTTTGACATTTGTTACTATATCTGTTCATTACACATACTTGGGTGGTGGGTATGACTATCATGTTTATAAATGAGGTCACTGACATTCAAACAGCTTCAACAAAACCATACAAGATTCTGTGGCTAGGAAGTCAGGAGGCTAACATCTTCTGACTTCAAATGTATGCCAGTGTCAGCATGCAGCCGCCGCCTCTGTTGAAGGGAGTTGGCCCTGCTCATCTCTCTCCACACTTGTCACCTTACGGTAGCCATCATTACATCACATGTACTTTACTACAAATACAGCTGTCGTACACAATGCAATGCACGCTATTTTAACTATGCAAAATGGTTTTCACTTATTAAAACACAACTAAACCAAGCTGTTGTTGTTATAATACCACATACTTATTACTACTTCCTGTGCTTTTCCTGGTCCTGAAATTTTCCTTGCAGAACTACTTGATGATCCAAATAAAACAATAAATTTAAGACCTACTCATTATCATTTGAAATAACAAGTTGTAAAAACTATAATCCAAGCTGTTTCTCTCTGAATCTCACTAGATATTTTACCATAATCATGTAGAAAATACTATCATGAATTTTGCCACAGGTTGACCAGAAATAATTCTTTAGTCTTTAGATCAACTTAATTCATGTCATCTAAGCCTTAGTTTATGGCACTGTACTATACTGGCTTCATTAATTGAAACTCGCCAATTAGCGGACTTGTAGGATGTACTAATATTTTCAACACATAATTATCTTATTAATTATTAGTTAAAGGCTATGAGGAAATAATTTTATAGCAAAATCAGAAGTGACGAAGCAAATTCAAAGCATCTTCTTTTATGTTTTAACACCATTCAGTGCTTATATTTTAAAATGTTGCTAATAGAAGACAGTACCTCAAGACACCAAAGTGACTGCACTTCTTCCTCTTCTAATCCTAATGCTGGTGTCATGTCTAGAAAATGCAGTCACAGAGTCATACAAGAGAACATTTTTTAAATTTTTTTTCTTTTTAAAATTTTTACCTCATTGCTCATTTTTAAATAATATTTGCTTCCTCCCACCCCCTCAGGCATAGTCCCTCTAGAGTTTTCTTCACCAATGCACCTGTATATACAAATATACAAGTCTCTCTTTATTCATGACTGTTTCAACTAAATAAAAATGACAGCAGAAAGGAAATTCAGAGGGCGGATGATCTTCAGGAAGTAAAAGTTGGTAGTAACCAGGGTACATATGAAGAAAGATAGCAAAAAAAAAAATTTTTTTTTAAGTGGAGGTTATATTTAGAACTACACGTTAGCTTTGTTTATATTACCATTTAAACACAGGACAAAAATTCAGAGATAATCGTTAACTTACCACTGCTATTATTTTTGTGTCTTCCATCAACGTAAGTCAAATGGTAATTCTTAATCTGCTGTTGTGGAGCACGTTCACTGCCAATCTCTTCTTTTTTTCCAATTACTGACTTTGTGGCCCCTTCCTATAAAAACAAAACAAAATCCCAACTTTAGAAAATCTCATATTCATCCACTTAACTCAGTCAATAACAACAAAGATTTACTGAATCAGTCAGATCCTAGGCCCTCACCTGGGAGCAGCTGGGAAGAGGTAAATGATATTTTAGGAAGGGTGGAGATACATGGAAACAAGAACAGAACAGTGTGGTCCACAAGTTCTGCAACTGAAGTGAATAAAGTATGTCAAAGCACAAAGGAGAGAACATTCTGCTGTACCTGGGAAGCTCGGGAAATAACGCAACGATTGGGATGTTTCTTGAAAGAGAAATCGCAGAGGGAAAGGTGTGAAGGGCATTCTAGACGGGACAGTAAGAGGAAGAAAAAAAAAAAAAAAAAGAGGCATGAAACAACATAGCAAATGTGAGCACCAAAGGCATGTGGTGACACCAGAACAGAGTGATGGGGAAATGTGATGGGGAAATAAAACCAGAGACTAACCCGAGAGAGGGGGTGTCCCACTAGCACAGGAACGTTCCCCTCCTGCTAGGGGCCTCCACTAAGTGAGCAGGGGTGCCCGTAGATCATCACAGCTATATTTTGGTTACTCTGGCAGTGTTGTAAAGGTAACGCAATGAGAGCAAAGCTAGAGATGTGCATCTCAAAATTGCAGGTGAGAAAGTGAGTTACGATAGTAAGATAGGGAATAAAAGTAAGCAGGTGCAAGTATCCAACTCGGCGAGTGGCCGGACACTGTGATCTCCAGGAGCGTTGGCGTCCAGGACTCTTCCTGCTTCTGGATTTGAGTGGTGAAAACAGAGTAAAGGACAAAGAGCCAGGAAAGAGAAAAAGGCTAGAAGGAAAGTGACTTCAGTTGGAACCCATCAAATTTGAGGCACCCATAGGACTTAGAAGAGAGATTTGGAAAAATATATTGGGAGCAGGAGTAGGTGAAGGCACTTAGTCATATGATGTTATGAAGGTAAATAGTTGTAAAATATACTAAATTGGTAGAATTAAATAATGCAAACCTACACAGAACTCTGAAATATGGAAAATAAAAATAAGAGCAGGGGAGAAAACCTGGGATTCCATTTTTCAATTACATATTTCAAACTTTGTTTCAAGGATATAAAATACACTTTTCTGAATCTATTCACTTCTGGAATTCTATAGCAATGTGCCTTTGTATAAGTTTAACAGAGGTATTTATATAACACCAGTTCAAGATGTTAAAAGACCACTCTCCTTTTTCTTTCCAATTTATTTATTTACCTTTAACTGAGGCAACACTGGTTTATAGCACTGCATATGATTTAGAAGTTTAGGATCACACCCTTCAGGTTTTATGTCACACCACATGCCCCTCGGAGGCACCCACAGTCCTCCACCACAATCTACTCTCCCTCTGACAATATTTCTAAATTTTAATCTTAAAAGCAAAGTTTTAAATTGTGAAAGAAAAATCCTTCATCTGGAAAGGATTTTTCCAGATGAAGCACCCAAAGTTACCCATCCCCTCGTGGGGAAATGCCCAGCCAAACCGAGTAGGCCCAAAGTAGGGCACTGAGGCCAGAAAGCTTCCCACAAAGTCTAAGGCACCTTCTGGTGGGGACCCATAGGAAAGGGACAGAAAATGCCAGGCAAGTCTGAAAGAAAAAGAGCATAATCAAGATAAAGGCTGCCATTGTCAGCCTCCCCATGGTTCGATCACCCACGTCTGTTTCAATGTCTCCTTCCATGTCCCCCAAGTCCCTGGTACAAGTCCGAGGCCAAGAAGCAAAGGTGGCTTCTTCACATGTCTTTCTGCTCCACCTGCTTCCTCCAGCCTTCTTTTTCTCTCTCTCTCCACTTCTTCTCCTTTCTTCTTCCTAGTCTTCCTCTTAGTTCCACGCCTAGTCTTTTCTAGTTTCCACACCCAGTACTGCTCCACTCTTCCCTTAGGGTGGGACAGGGAATCTAGAACCTCCCCTTTCCCTAGAAATAACCCTCTTGTATTAACATCACAAGAGTCTTACTTTGTTGATGTGTCTTTGACTTAATTTGCAACACTTTTAAAGGATACTTTATTTACATTTGTAACAATCAGGAGTCCTTGGGAAAATATTTCCTCTTAACTCAAAAATAAAATCTAAAGCAAAAAAATTATCCATGAGTAATTTAAAAGTGTTATTGAAAAAACTTACATTAAGAAATTTAAATTCATTATTATATTTTGAAATGTGTTTGCATGAATTACCTCTTGTAGGGGAAATTATGAGCATTTAGTTTTTAGTAGAATCTAATTTAGATGAATTGAAACAGTATGAATTGCTTCTATTCTGCTTATCAAAAACTAAAGACAAGTGACTGAGGGAAAGAAAAAAGGAAAAAGGGTGTGTAACAGGGTGGTCCCCAGGAAAAAGGGAGGTTCCAGGTTTCCAGCCCCACCCAAAAGGAGGGTGGAGCTGAGCAGAGAGAGAAGAAGCTGCAGAGGCGACTGAGGAAGGAAGGGAGCAGGATAGAGACCCAGAAGGAGACCTGGAGGAGGCACATGGAGCCAAGAGACACGTGAAGAAACTACATTTGCCTTTTGGTCGTGGACCGGGTGACACAGATGTGGGTGAGCGATCTCTGAGGAGGTGACAATGGTGGTTTTTGTCTTGATTTTGATTTTGCTCTTTTCCTTTCAGACTTGTCTGGTTGTTTCTGATCCTTTTCTGTGGGTCCCCACTGGAAGATGCTTTAGATTTGTGGCAGGCTTTGGGGCCTTGTTCTGGACCAATCCTGCTTGGGTGGACTTTTACCCATGAGGGGACGGGTAACAGGGTACTTGATTTAGAAACTATATTCTTTGCCTTTCCTGTATTGTTTTCTAATTGTATTAATTTTCCTTCCCATTAAAGTCTGATATGTTTTGTGCTGATGGGGCGGATGGCAGAAACTATTTAGAGCAGGCAGGTTTGTGGGTCCTGGGGTACCACTCTCCCTGCCCTGTAACAGGTGGAAGAGTGACACATGAATGAAAGTCATAGAAACTACTAGATAGAAAGTAAATTCTGTGCAGGAAAATTAATTTCGTGAGAACACTTTACCTGGTTTTCAAAATCCAGGTCATCATCACGTGATATAGGGCAGGAATCATCAATGCTAAGTTTGCTGGGAAGACATTAGAGATAAAACACACACAAAAATGAATTGTTTCATTTCTACATTTCAAAACTCAAGTGAATGTCAGCTCTATATATGGCAAATAAAGTCTCTTGCCATAACTAAAATTTGGCCTCTATTTTAAAAGCACTTTCTGCCTCTACCTCTCCCAACCTGTGAAATATTCAGTAAGTACCTATTGTTAGTGCCTGTAACAAAAGAAGACCTGATATTCCTTATAAAGATATTACTTATAAATATTACTTACAAAAGACCTATACTTCCGTGACCATGGATAGCTGAGATCTGCCCTAAATACCTTGATGATAAAAACAAGGTATTCGTTACCACTCTGTTGTCAACATGTTGCCACAAATACTCGGACTACCAGGCTTCTTAGCAAAACACTAAAGCAAAGTTAACACATAACTACATTGAACTTTCTGAGTTGATCTCATTGGGATATGTCTCTTTACATGAATACCTCCCAATCTATGCTGAGGGGCAAGAGAATGGATTGGGAGCCAGAGAGACTCATGGTGAATTCATGGTCAGTAGCCTTCTTAACAACAGCATCATGGGCCACTTAATCAGCCTTCCTGAACCACAGTTGCTAATCAGTAAAATGTAGGCTGTGCAGCACAGTTGCTTTGCAAAACCACTGTGATCGAGATAGGAGATGACAAATGTGATGCACATAATACGGTGTCTAGTCCACAGTAAAACTATCATCAAATGTTAGTTCCTTTTCTCTACATGTCCTTAGTTAACATAATTTTTCAAAATCCATAAAATAGTCTTACTTCCATAAGGAGTCTTCTTTAGAACACTTACACACTAGAAAAGAAAAAGTATAATATATTTTACATCACAATCGAAAAATACAGAATACTAAAAGTGTAAGACTGATGCTTTGCTGACAAGTACTATTCGTTTGGCGTCACGCCTGGAGACTGCACTAGAGGGCATATTAATTAGACTATTGGTGGGCAATTAATGCATTAGGAACTCTTGTGGGTTTTTTTTTTTTAAAGATTTATTTATTTATTTATTTATTTATTTATTTATTTATTTATTTATTTATTTATTTATTTATACAAGAGCTGGGGTACAAGCCAGAGGTGCAGGAGGGTGAGCCAATTCACCAGAAACAGAATGGGGAACAGAACAGGCAGACTGACTGAAATACATTGCTGAGGTAGCAGCGGGTGAGACATTAGAGGTCTGCTGCATCATGTGGGTATCTCCCTGGCTGACCAGGAATCGAACCCGTGCTGCAGAGGCTGCGGACAGCTTCACAGCACTGCGCTCAACCCACTGAACCACCAGGGAGGCCCTCTTGTTTTTTGGGTTTTTTTTTTTTTGCAGGAAAAAAAAAATCTATGTCCCCTCCCTTATATTTATAAAAGACAAGAAAAGAAAAATGTTATTTATCAAAATTTGGTAGCTACAAGTGAACCAATCTGTTCAGAAGACCATAGTCCTGAACAAACCCCCTGAGATTGAAACAAACTGGTATCACTAGCAGAATCAGCATAATAAATTTCCCATGACTGGCATGATGGCTGGATGCCCACCATTAGGAGTGGTTAGAAGACAGTGTAATAATTTTGCTGTGACACAAGACAACTTCTCCAGCTCTTTAGTCAGTTTAGGATGACAAACCCATTACAAGGAAACTTAGATTTTTCTCTCCCTTAACTTTTTACATTAAGTAATCACTGGGTCATATTATCTGTACCACTTTTCTGTCTTTGCTTTTTATTTTCACGGCTGCTAACCTCATCAGACATAGGGGGTTTGTTTTGTTGTTTTTGCTTGTGGTTCCTTTTTTTAATCAAAATCACAAGTTGACTCATATAACAACATGGCCATGGTGACTAATTCCTTTGGTAGAAATAAGAAAGCCATAAAGTCAATGTAATACATTGCTCTTTCATAATCAAAACTCCCTTATTCTTACTTCTTATCTATGCAGGACTCCAAGAGTACTTCATTATCTGCAGTCTTACCTGGATTTCTATTTTGAGAAGTGTTAAGTCTCGGCTCTTGTTTAAACTGAGAAATTAATTGATGAAAGCTATGTGAAAAAAAGGTGATCAATAATATTACTATATTAATACGGATATGGAAATCATTTAAATTCTTAGATTATTAAAGATAATGCCAGAAATTACATTCCATGTACTTCAAATATGAAAATTCTATGAACTTTTTACTAAGCACAAAATTTAAAGAAAAAAAAATAAAGCACTCGTGAATTGAGGCGTATATGCACAGGAAGTAGAGTAAGCTGGACATTATAGAAAGTGTTTTGAATTCAGCAGATATCTTAGCTGTATAACCAAGAGCTATTTGTTGATACATAATTCATTATTGTTCAGCTCAAAGGTTATCTATAAAATGGGAACCAGTCTTATTTCACAAGATTGCTGAAAGATTTGTTGAGATAATAACCTTGTTCCTAAAAAAAAATTACTCAGAGAAATAATGAGGCAATGGAATAATTTTCTCTTTAACTTTATTGCTGATGTTATTTTGGAATCCCAAGTAAAACCCAGTGTGCATGTGCATGTGCGTGTGTGTGTGTGTGTGTGTGTGTTTACATTCTAACAATCAAATATTGCAGTTTGTAACAAATGTTATTAATTGGGGTTATTACCTGTTTATTCCTTATGGTTTTTAATTCAAGGTATCTCAGCTATTATATAATCTGTAGCTAAATTTATTTATAAATACATTACCTCATTAGATAAAATTACTGTCCCCATTAATTGTAGCTAATCATATCAAGAACAGAAAACTAAGATGTTAGACTGCCCTTCGCTCCTACTACTCCTTCTCTACTTAATCCAACTCTGAGGCAGCAGCTCTTTATTAGAATGATGCTTAAGTTTCTCAGCACTATCACCACTATGACCAGAGTTTGATCCCTGGCCAGGAAGCTAACCCACATATGGTGTAGCAGACCTCTCCTGTCTCACCTGCTGCTCCTCTTAGCAGTGTATTTCAGTAAATGCACTTGTTCTGCTCTCCACTCTGTCTCTGGTGAATTCTCTCACCCCCCTGTACCTCTGGTCTACACCCCAGTTCTTCTACATGAAAGAAAAAAAAAAGGAATGATGCTTAACCTGTTCATCTCCAGCTGACCTAGAAGACATAGACATAAGCTTAATTTCATAATTCATGGATACTGGTGAGTCATGGGTGGAGTTTAGCTTTCCCAATGCAAACTAACCTACTTTAGACTCAGAGGTTTCTGCTGAATGACTTCCTAGTGAGGTAGAAGCTGAAAATATTTTGAAACTTGACTTAGATACAAGCCACTTATGAGACTTTCATTGTTATGTAAAATAGACCACATGAGGGGTCAACCTTAATTACGGAATCTCAGGCAAGTTGGTGCCCCCCACTCTGAGGAAGTGATATGGGATGTCCCATAACCTAAGAAAAAGTGCTCCATGTGATATAAAGCAGCTGTTGGCTACAGATCTCCCAACACAAGGTCTCTTCCTGTACCATTACTTGACCCTCTCTGACAGCTTAGAATGGTCCCAGCTACCATCTGCTAGCAGAAAAAGCAAACAAGACCCTCAAAGATAATTCATTGTGAAGGTCTCAGCTAAGATTTGGGCTCCATGTAATGATTTTGAGAAAAGGGGGAAGACTGTGTGTGACTAAAGCTTGGAGGCCCAGCTGCCTGAATGAGTGTTCATGCTCTGAATAGTGGTTAAGAACATGGGTACATGTATGTGAACTAAAGGAAGCTGTGGCTTTAAAGTCTAAGTGGGGATCATCATGGAGACTGAGGATCTAGATCAGCAGGGATACCCTGGGAGCAACAGACGATCATGAGCAGGTGCAGACCAGTTTCAATAGCTACGATGCAGCAACAGAGTCAACAAAAAAATGACTAGAATGTCTTCCCTCTGCACGCCCCATAGACATCTGAGTTGTGGAAGAAGAGAGTCTACCTTGGATAGAGGGAAGTCCTTAGATTCTTGGAATGTTCAAGAGGGGGAGTATAGGATAGCCCCCAGTGGGAAGTAGGGAATGTCCTGCTAGCAGGAATAATCCAAAACCCAAATAACTGACCAGAAAAATAAGACATGTTGCATCATTTTGTATCCCATGCACAGGGGTTACACTGAAGTGGTTACCGTTAGGATCCCAAAGGATAAAGATCTAAAATTATTAAGAATCCTGTGCCCATTCCTACTCCTAACTAGTCTAGCCTTGGCTTGCTTTCTGATGATGATGTGGACTAACTCACTGCCATCCACCACTGCCTGCCCAAATTATAGAGTCTTACCCGTTACCTAAGAAGCAGCAATTACATTACTTCAAACCTCAGGTCAGTGATAACTTTCATTTTAATGTAAACACTTACTCAGTAAATCCACTACTAAGTGCATGCTCTTCTGCAGTGTTTCCAAAGATATCTTCAGAAGAGACATCACTACCTTGTTGAAGAAGCAGCCTGATTAAACTTATTGCCTCACACTTTACAGCAAACATGAGGGCTGTCCTAAAAGAACAGAGAGATAACTTCACCCTTAGGCACTTCAGTTATTTAAGTAGCTAATTTGACTATTTCACCAAGTGAAAGTCTCCCCTGTTTGAATAGAATGGACCACTTATGCATGTAAGTGTTCAAGTTTCAGCCCTTAAGGCTGTAAGGAAGCCTCTTGTCCCACTGGGACATTCCATAGCAGAAATTTTTCATTTAAAGTCCTCAATGGAAACTAGGAAGGGGCGGAGCAACATGGCGGCGAGGAGACGCTGCGAGTAAGATCTCCCATTAAAAAAAGTTAATAGGGAGGAAAAGCGGCAGGTCCCAGTGAGAAGTGGGACACGGAAGATAAACGGGTGATGCCAGCGAACTGCCCGAAGAAGAAAGTGGCCATAAAAGAGGACTAGAAGGGAGGGAAGCGCAGAACTCTGCTCCCCTCCCCCGCCCACAGAGGCGGCACTCTCCGACCGGCAGAGAGGAGGAAACAACAAACCAAAACGGCCCACAAGTACAAACGACGCAGCAAGCGGGACTGTGAGTGGAAAGGAACTATTGCAGCCACCACACCCCGTGAACGGGAGCTGAGGCGAACCCTGCAGGATCCGCCGCGGCGGTGAGCGAACGGCTCCTGGCGCCATTAGAGAAGAACAAAGACCCCGGGAGACGCGCACACAGCCCGGGCTGCCGGACATTTCTTAAGACTGCTTGAAAAGGGCAGAAGGTTTCTGGAGGACCCAGTGGCCAGCCGGGAAGTTATTCCACGCCAGGCCCCTTCCGACCAGCAGTCTGAGCCCACAGAGGGAGCAGGCACCCACGTCCGGGGCAGACCGGGTGCGCAGAAGAGTGTGCCTGAAACCGGAGGCGCAGGGACTGCATCCCGCTTCGCCATTTGAGAACAGGGACATTTCTTCAGTAAAAACTGCCTAAAACCAGCAGAAAGCTCCCCCAGAAGACAGAGATGGCTCCTGGAAGAGCCAGAGGGGAGCGGAGAAGTTCACCCAAGATGTCAGTCAGTCCGAGCAACACAGTGTCCCAACGCATACGACAAATTAGAAAACAGACAGTAGGGAGTAGAAGAACCACACGCAACCTAAAAACTCCTCAGGAAAGAAGCACACCACAAAAAGAAAACCACTCCCCAGATTGCAACGACAGCAACTTGGAAGAACTTCTGAGCCTTCCAGAAAGAGAATTTAAAATTGCCATGATTAAAAAAGTGATAGATCAGAAGAAGGAAATTGAGTCCCTAAAGAGGGAAGTAAGAGAAATGCAGGAGATCAAAGAATTAATGGAGGAACTAAAGAACTCTGGGAAAAGCAATGAAAGCAGAATAGATGAAATGGAAGAACGAATAAGTAATCTTGAAGACACAGAAATAAAAAGAACCAAAACAGAAAAGGAAAGAGAAGTACGAAGGAAAAAGAATGAAGAAAGACTTCGGGAACTATCTGACTCCATGAGGAAAGGAAATATAAGAGTTATAGGAATTCCAGAAGGAGAGGAGAGAGATGTAGGAACAGAGAAAATATTCATGGATATAATTGAAGAGAACTTCCCAAATGAGAAGAAGGAGCTGAAAATTGATATACAAGAAGCAAGAAGAACACCAAACTTCCACGACGAAAGGAAAAACACAGCAAGACACATAATAGTAAAGCTCCCAAGAATCCAGGACAAGGAAAAAATAATGAAGCTGACAAGAGGGAAGAAACAGATAACATTCAAAGGAAAACCAATCAGGCTGACATCAGACTTCTCTGAAGAAACACTACGGGCAAGGAGAGAGTGGAGGGACATAGTCAACAGACTCCAAGAAAACAGATGCCAACCAAGAATACTCTATCCCGCAAAGCTCTCTTTCCTCCATGAAGAAAGAATATGGACCTTCCCAGACAAAGAGAAACTCCGGAATTTCATTGCGACTAAACCCCCACTCCAAAAAATACTACAAGGAATCCTAAAGCCAGAACCTCAGAGGGACGAATAACAACGAAAGAAGACCAAAAAAAAAAAAAAAAGTTATTAAAAGAATAAATAAATAAAATCAAAGGAAAGACAAACATAATGGCAAATACAGATGCTAACATATCAATATTAACTCTAAATGTAAATGGACTAAACTCTTCAATAAAAAGACACAGAGTTGCAGCCTGGATTAAGAAACAAAACCCAACCTTTTGCTGTCTCCAGGAAACACATTTAGCTACAAAAGATAAAAATAGGCTCAAAGTCAAAGGATGGAAAACAATCCTACAAGCAAATGGGCCAAAAAAGAAAGCAGGAACAGCTATACTTATATCAGATAAAACAGACTTCAAACTCAAAAAAATAAAAAGAGACCCCAATGGTCACTACATTATGATTAAGGGGACAATACTTCAAGAAGAAATAACACTCATTAACATATACTCACCAAACGAAAGAGCACCAAAATATATCAGACAACTGTTGTCCTCTCTGAAAACAGACATCAGAGAAAACACATATGTAGTGGGAGACTTCAACACACCACTATCAACAATGGATAGATCAACAAGACAAAAAATAAGTAAAGAAACTAAAGCTCTAAATAAGGACCTAGAGCATTTGGGCTTAACAGACATCTATAGAACACTAAACCCCAAAAAACGGAGTACACATTTTTCTCAAGCGCACACGGATCATTCTCCAGGATCGATCACATACTGGGGCACAAGACAAACATCAACAGATACACCAAGATTGAAATCATACCAACCATCTTTTCTGACCACGAAGGCATCAAACTAGAAATAAATCATAAAAAGAAGGCAAGGAACTATCCTACCTCATGGAGATTAAAAGCCACACTACTGGAAGACCACTGGACTAACGAGGAGATCAAAGAAGAAATTAAAAAATTCTTTGAATTGAATGACAAGGAGGACACCAATATCCTAAATGTATGGGATGCAGCAAAAGCAGTAATAAGAGGAAAATATATAGCAATAGAAGCTCACATCAAAAAACAAGAAAGAACTCAAAGAAACAACCTAATCTCGAAGCTCAAAGATCTAGAAAAAGAACAACAAAAAAACCCCAGAACCAGTAGAAGAAAAGAAATAATAAAAACCAAAGCAGAAATAAATGAAATTGAAACTAAAAAAACAATCCAAAAGATCAATGAAACCAAGAGCTGGTTCTTTGAAAAAATAAATAAAATAGACAAACCCCTAGCCAGGCTCACAAAGGAAAAAAGGGAGAAAGCACAAATACACAGAATCATAAATGAAAGAGGAGAAATCACAACGGACACAGCAGAAATCAAAAGAATAATCAGTAACTACTATGAACAGTTATATGGAAACAAGTTCAACAATCTAGAGGAGATGGACAAATTCCTACAACTCTACAATCACCCAAAGCTAGATAAAGAAGAAATAGAACACCTAAACAGACCAATTACAAGCAGCGAAATTGAAATGGTAATTAAAAACCTCCCCAAAAACAAAAGCCCAGGACCTGATGGATTTACAAATGAATTCTACCAAACATTCAGAGACGAATTAGTGCCTATCCTTCACAAACTCTTCCAAAAAATTGAGAAGGAAGGGACAATACCAAACACGTTCTATGAAGCCAATATTACACTAATACCAAAACCGAATAAGGACAACACAAAAAAGGAAAACTATAGGCCAATCTCCCTAATGAACACTGATGCAAAAATCCTCAATAAAATTTTAGCTATCAGAATCCAACAATGTATCCATAAGATAATTCACCACGACCAAGTTGGATTCATTCCAGGGGCACAAGGATGGTTTAACATCCGAAAATCAATCAACGTTATCCAACACATCAACAAAAAGAAATATAAAAACCATATGATAATATCAATAGATGCTGAGAAAGCTTTCGACAAAGTGCAACACCCATTCATGATAAAAGCCCTTGAAATTCTTGGGATACAAGGAACATACCTCAACATCATAAAGGCCATCTATGACAAGCCAACAGCCAGTATCATTCTCAATGGTGAAAAGCTGAAAGCAATTCCATTAAGATCTGGAACAAGACAAGGATGTCCACTCTCACCACTGCTTTTCAATATAATACTGGAAGTCCTAGCCAGAGCAATAAGACAAGAGAAAGACATCCAAGGAATCCAAATAGGAAAAGAAGAAGTCAAACTATCACTATTTGCAGATGATATGATAATATACATAGAGAACCCCAAAATCTCCACAGAAAAACTAATTCAACTCATCAATCAATTCAGTAAAGTGGCAGGATACAAAATCAACACGCAAAAGTCAGTAGCCTTCCTATACACAAACAATAAATCTGAAGAAGAAGAAATCAAAAAAACCACCCCTTTTATTATCGAAACAAAAAAAATCAAATATTTGGGAATAAATCTAACAAAAGAGGTAAAGGACCTATACAAAGAAAACTATAAAACACTGTTAAAAGAAATAGAAGAAGACACAAAGAAATGGAAAGACATCCCCTGCTCATGGATTGGAAGAATAAACATTATTAAAATGGCCATCCTACCAAAAGCAATATACAGATTCAATGCTATTCCAATCAAAATCTCAATGGCATTCTTCAAAGAAATAGAACAATTATTGATGAAATTCATATGGAATCACCAAAAACCCCGAATAGCCAAAGCTCTACTGAAAAAAAAAGAAGGAAATGGAGGCATCACACTCCCAGACTTCAAACTATACTACAAAGCCATAATCATCAAAACTGCATGGTATTGGAACAAGAACAGACATACAGACCAATGGAATCGAATAGAAAATCCAGAAATAAACCCACAGATTTATGGTCAACTAATCTTTGACAAAGGAGCAAAGACTATGCATTGGAGCAAAGAAAGTTTGTTCAATAAATGGTGCTGGGAAAACTGGGTCGCTACATGCAAAAGAATGAAGCTTGACCACTACCTCACACCATACACAAAAATCAACTCAAAATGGATTAAAGAACTAGACATAAGACCTGAAACCATAAAATACATAGAAGGAAATATAGGCGAAACACTACGGGATTTGCACATCAAAGACATCTTTACAGACACATCACCCAAAGCAGTGATAGTGAAGAGAAAGATAAACAGCTGGGACTACATCAAATTAAAGAGCTTCTGCACAGCAAAAGAGACAATAACAAAAACAAAGAGAAACCCCACCAACTGGGAGAACATTTTTGCACCCAACACTAATGATAAAGGACTGATCACAAAAATCTGCAAAGAGCTGATGAGACTCAGCAACAACAAAGAAAATAATCCAGTCAAAAAATGGGCAGAAGAGCTAAAAAGAAACTTCTCTGAAGAGGAAATGCAAATGGCCAACAGACATATGAAAAAATGTTCAACATCACTTGTCATCAGGGAAATGCAAATCAAAACTACCATGAGATACCATCTCACACCAGTGAGAATGGCACATATTAAAAAAACTAGCAACAACAAATGTTGGCGAGGATGTGGAGAAAAAGGAACTCTTGTGCACTGTTGGTGGGAGTGCAAACTGGTCCAACCACTATGGAGAGCTGTGTGGAGATTTCTGGACCTACTAAACATAGAGCTTCCATATGATCCAGCAATTCCACTCCTAGGTATTTACCCAAAGGACACAGAAACATCAATTCCAAAGAGCACCTGCACTCCTATGTTTATAGCAGCACTGTTTACAATAGCTAAGCTTTGGAAACAACCCAAATGCCCAAAAATAGATGACTGGATCAAGAAGATGTGGTACATATATACCATGGAATATTACTCAGCATTCAAAAAAGATAAACACATGCAATTTGCAGCAACATGGATGGCACTGGAAGGGATCATGCTCAGCGAAATAAGCCAAAAAGAAAAAGAAAAATACCGGATGGTCTCACTCATAGCAGGAATCTAGAAAACTTAAATAAGGGACCAGGAAAATGAATATAAGAAAGTGAAAATCAAAATCAACAAAAAACTATGAACCAGAGACACTTTTTGGGGGTGGGGGGCGGGAGGGGAAGGATTGGGGTCAGAATGGGGCGTTTGCAATTGTATGGGGGAATATAAAAATAAAATTTAATATTAAAAAAAAAAAAAAAAAAAAAAAAAAATAAAGTCCTCAATGGACAAGAAACTGTGCTAAGTTCATTTATCTAAATTTGATGAATGTTTATATGAAAAAAATCCCATTTCTTCTTTAGTCTGATCCATTGTACTACAAGTCAGCTAGAAGCCAGATAAGTAAAAGTGATTTGCAAGCTTAAAAAAAATATTAAGAAAATTAACAAATAATCAGTAATAAAATAAGAGATAGGAACACAGACTCTTGAGCAGTTGAATATCCCTGCTTTTAGCTGTCCCAGCACATAACTACTAATAGACTTCTGACCAGAAGTTTGAGTGATAACACAGTCGATTACTTTTATGCAATTATGAATGAACACTGCAAGCTTACATTTGTTTAATTTTCTCTCCATTGCAAATGGTGCCATCTAGAGTCTGTGTTTGTGTGCATCAGTTTTGATAAATTTTAACATTTCATAATAGATTTGTGTATATTTTATGGTAGTAAGTGATCAAATCATCTATGGCCTATCTACATATTATGCATTCATGACACACATAACTTTTTCAATATTTCTCAGCTGCTTAGTTTGCAAGTTTTTCAAATGGTTGCAAAGCTTGTAAAACTTTCCCCCAATATATTCATTACCCAAAAATGCTCTTATAAGTGAACCCATGCAGTTTAAACCCATGATGGTCAAGGGTCAAATGTATTTTTATCCTTTCATATTAGGAGACATATTTGGTGATGATGGGTAATGTTCCCAAGGCCACACACCTAGCAAGGGGGAAAGTGAGAAATTAATACCAGGCTTTGTAAATCTAAAGCCCATCTCAATTCACTTTCTCACCTACACATAACTTGTCTTCATAATGGAAAAGTTCATTTACAAAAGCTCATTCTTTATCCTATTCATACCAATTAAAAATAAAAACAGGGAAAAAGCAGAAATGACAAGGGAAAAAAATTCCTGAGCACCTAATCACTACTTAGGTATATAACCTAATAATGTAACAGGAGACTAAGACAAACGTTGTTACAGGTGGCGCCCCCTGGTGGGACAGGGGTGCTGGTGAGGATAGAGAGCCTCAGGGGAAATGCAAAGTAGCCACGTGGGTGGAGACTCTGATGAGAAATAAAAGGGACTGCAGAAGCAGCCCCAGGATTCAGCATTCAGGATTTCAGTGTTTTCAAATCTTCAGAGATTCCGGGGTCAACCATTTCTGCCCTCACCATGCCAATCTTCCAGAAGACTGGTGTGGATCTCTGAAGGATGCAGAGAAGCTTCCAGCAGCCAACCTCAGAGAAGAAATGTTTGGCTATTTTGCAGGTAGCCGAGCCTGAAACTGTTCCCAGCTTTGCTGCTGTTATAGCCTGGTAGGAAAAGGTGAAGACCCGGGGCTGGGTACCTCACTGAACTGTGAGTGTGGCCATTTGTTGGGACATTCCACTGCTGCGGCTGCTGTTTTGAGTGTCACTTGTTTGGTGCTGTGCTGGGTCATCTTGGCAGCTCTGGTGAGCATCTCCTGGTGTGTCTCCTGCTGTCTTCGTGAGTTGGATCCCGGCCGAAAATCTGACTGTCACGTGCTCCAGGCCCTTAAAGGTGGAAAGAAACCAACTTGGGAGGCTTTCTGTGTAGGACTTTAAAACACTGGACACTGCTTCAGGTGAGGTAAACGGCCATTTGTGGCCTCAGTGACTCTTTGTTTTTCCTTGTTTGTTAAATAAATTCCAATATTGTTGTTCTCTGAACCTGAGTAGTCTTGCAATTGTGTGCATGGGTGAAGAACTCAGATGGTGACCAGTAAACTATTTGAGCAATGTCAGTTTTAGTGCCCTTGCTACCCTGTATCAATAACACCAATATTGCTCAAAGGTAGCAATTTAAAGCAGAGTTATCCAAAAAAACAAAATCAAACTCTGATTTTGGCTTAATATGCAAGTTTTAAGAATATATATATATATATAAAATAAAGGTGAAAGAAAGACAATAAAAGGGTTAAGAAATTCAATGTTGATAAACTAAAATCAAAGTTCACACTTTACAAAGCTGAAAAATCTAATATGAAACCATGTAGTTAAGGCAGAACATGTGACCCAAAAAAGCTGATCAAAATGATGTCAGTCCATATTATCAAGGAATATGAGTACCGCTGTGTTCTTCACATTGCCGAGTCAGAATAACTGCTTTCCTTCCTAACTGATGATGTGCTGACAGTTTTCATTATATACCAATAACTGTAAGTTAATCCTCTTATTAATATAATCTTTCTGGAGTGTTTGTTACTGCTCTAGACCAATAATACTAAAGTTTTAAAAAAATGAACAGACTACCCTACCGTCTGTACTTATCCACTGCATGTATGTTTGCCCCCTCTTTTATTAAAAATTCAGCCATTTCCTGTTTCCTTTCATTTATAGCAATTAAAGCGGTGTGAGGCCAGCCTGGAAAAAAGCAAAAACAATTCATGGTTTACAAAATCACATAGTTTTAGACTGAATTTTAAAACTTACAAAGAGATGATCTGAATTTAACTATATAATGTGGAAATTAAATAAAAAGGAGTCCCTTTCCTTCTCAACCCTCTGTCATTTCCACATGCACTGCTCCTTCTTTAAAATGCCCCTCCTGGGCCTCCCCTGGTGGCGCAGCGGTTGAGCGCTGGGCTGCGAAGCTCTCCGCAGCCTCTGCAGCACCGGTTCGCTCCCCGGCTGTTCCCCGGCTGCTCCCGGAGGGTCCCACATGGCACGCAGACCTCTCCTGCTGCCCGCTGCTCCCCTCAGCAGTGTACTTCGTCATTCTGCCTGTTCTGTTCCCCGCTCTGGCTCTGGTGAATTCTCTCACCCTTCCGCGCTTCTGACTGTACCCAGTGCTTGTATAAATAAATAAATAAAATAAAATAAAATAATAAAAATTAAAAATATATATATAAAATAAATAAAATAAAAAAATGCCCCACCTGTTCCTCTTGGTCCCATTGTGAACTCTAGTTGGAAGAGGGAAGTCCAGTCTCAAAATGGAGGACCATGACCCAAAGGAACCACAGCAGTTGAGAAAACTGCTTCTTGGTGGTGTGGGCTTTGAAACTACAGATGATAGTTTAAGAGAATATATTAAGAAATGGGGCACCCTTACAGATTACAAGGTGATGAGAGACCCCCAAACTAAACATTCCAGGGTCTTCGGTTTTGTGACTTACTCTTATGTGGAAGATGTGGGTAGAGCAATGGGTGCTCGACCACACAAGGTTGATGGCAGGTAGTGGAGCCAAAGAGCTGTTTCTAGAGAGGATTTCTAGTGCCCATTAAACAGTGAAGGCATTTTTTGTTGTTTGTATTAAAGAAGATACAGAGGAATATAATTTGAGAGACTATTTTGAAGGTATGGCAAGATTGAAACCACAGAAGTTATGAAAGATAGGCAGAGCAGAAAAATGGATTTGCTTTTGTAACCTTTGATGATCATGATACAGTTGATAAAATTGTTGTTCAGAACTACATTGGCCTCCCTGGTGGCGCAAGGGGTTAAGACGCAACCTATGAAGCTCGCCGCAGCCACTGCAGCACAAGTTTGATCCCCAGCCAGGGAGCTACCCACACGGTACAGAAGACCTCTCCTGTCTCGCCTGCTGCTCCCCTCAGCAGTGTATTTCAGTCAGTCTGCCTGTTCTGTTTCCCACTCTGTCTATGGAGAATCCTCTCACCCCCTACGACTCTGGCCTGCAACCCAGTTCTTGTATGCATAAATAAATCTTTAAATAATACATTATTAATGGGCATAACTGTGACATGAAAAAGGACCTTTCTCAATAAGAAATGTAGTATGCTGGATCACAAAGGTTTGTTTAGGTAGATCGGGCAACTTATTGGGTCATGCAAGGAACTTTGATGGAAGAGAAGGATATATTAGTGAAAGTGGTGGCAGCAGAGGAGATTATGGAGGAGAAGATGATGAATATAATGGATTTGCGGGTGATGGTTGCAACTATAGTGGTGGTCCTAGTGATAGTAATAGAGGAGGCTATGGTGATGGTGTAGCAGGTAATGAAAACCAAGGTGGTGGATATAGTGGTAATGCGGAACATGATGGTTACACTAAAAGAAGAAATTTTGCCAGTGGTAACTATGATGGTAGTGTGAATTGCAATGATTTGGGGAGTTACTGTGGCCAAATGGATCCACAAAAGGGGACAGCTTTGGTGAAAGAAGCTCAGGCAGTCCCTATGCTGGTGGTTATGATCTGCTGGTGGAAATGGTGGAAAAATGTTATAGGCCTCGCAGCACAGAGAGCGAGATGTTGTTAGGAAAGCTAAAGGTTACTTTCAGACAGTCATCCCAAATCCATTAAAGGAATTGTAAAAATTTTCACAAAAGCAATGATGATCCACAGTCAGGAAAATTACTCCAGGTTTAACTGGAAGCCCTTCTTGGTCAGGACTGTCATAGCCACAATTCGCAAGAAATGCAGCTATTGATTAAAGCAATGGCATGTCAATTAAATGAACATTCCTTTTATCTGTTGTAGCTTTGTCTTTTTCTTTCCATTATATCAGGTATATTGCCCTGTAAATTATGGTAGTGGTACCAGGAATAAAAAAATAAGGAATTTTTAACTTAAAAATAAATAAATAAGATGCTCCTCCCTCTATCACTTCTGCAGATGCAAAGTCAGTCTCTAAAACTCACTCCAAGCATTTACTGGTTCCAAGAATCTTGCTTCCATCACAGAATTTACCATGAACACTGTAGTTATTGTATTGCTCCCCATCTAAACCAAGAAGCGCTTGAGGTTATGGGCTACTTTTTTAAAAAATCTCTGTATGTCCCAACTCTAAAGGACAATAGAGTAAATGCTTTAAATGTTTTTATTGAATTAATAATCTTAATAGTTATCTCTGGAGTAGTGTTTCTTAAAATATATTACAAACATTATCTACTTTAGCAGAAATTAAGGACTGTGAGCCACTAGAAACATTCACAATCATCTATTGTTAAAGAAATATACAAAACATTACATGGTCAGCTCTAAAGAAATCTGTTTAACTTTTCTTAATCCTTATTTGATAATACCTTCTTGTGGCAAACATCAACATTTGAGGGATTAAGACTTGTGGGGATTGTTGTGAGAATTTTACACTGAAGGTGAAGGTTTTCTGCAGGTTACATAAATTTGCTTGGTTCTCTTCTATCAATGGCACCTGGATCCCAGATGTCAAGATCTGGTGCTCCTACTCCAAATGAGTGACTAAGGAAGTGGACTCTGAATTAAAAAACAAAGACTTCAAATGAACTCTGGGTTGTCAGAGCTTCAGGGACAGGCTGTGTGTGTCCAGAGTAAAGTGCAGGTGCACTGGCTTCACTCTCACCTGTTCTGCATGTACAGCCTTGACCCCACTGGGGCACTGCATGATGCCAAGCAGGACTACTCCCTGATGGGGCAGACCCCATGGTGGTTCACAGAGGGCAGAATGGTGAGCAGCACATGTGGATGTCCTGCTTGGATGTCAAGACATGACCTAACCCCTTACCCTGATTTCCGAATCTTAGGGGCCTGGAGCACCCTGGGCCAGGCAGGCTGCCAATTCTCCCTTCCATCTGCAACCATGGGGGCTACATATGGAGTCTCCCTTCTTTTCCCTCCCGTCCCCAGTAGCACCCACTTCCTAAGCCCATGCATAATACCCAGTCCCCACCACGCCTTCAGTCTTTTGTGGCCCCTGAGCCTACATCCACTTCCAGGTGCCAGTTTTGCCATCTGGGGTGGAAAGGTGACCAGGGGACAGAACTTTGGCCTTTCCATGGGCACCATCAACTAGACCTCCCTCACTTAGCTTTGGACTTGTGTCCATAGCAACAGAGCCTCATGTATACTTACCAGTATATATATACATGTGTGCTTATGTATAAGATATAGACAGTAAAATCCTTTGTGGCTTAAAAATATTTTGTAAATAAAGTTGGTTGGCCTGTACCTTGTTTCTTGCTTCTATATCTGCATTGTGTGAGAGCAGCTTCCCTGCTATTGATGTGCTCTCAGCAGTGACCGCAGAGTGGAGGGCAGTCTCGCCGTAGATGTCTGTGACATTTGGATCAGCACCGTGTTCTAGCAGAAGAGTTGCACACGCCTCATCCTGGCATTGTACTGCCTGTCATTATCATACAAGGAAACAGACAGTAAAAGCTAGGAATTCAATACAAACATTCCATAGTTCTCGCCAATTAGATCTGCTTAAATGAGGTTCATAAATTCATTTCCAGTCTAAGCATGTAAGTCAAATCCATCTCAAGCTGGGGCAACTGGCTAGCACATACCTTCATCAGAGCTGTCCTGTTCTCACTGTCACACAGGTTAAGCTGGCATTTTCTCTCTATGAGGAGGGTTACCACTTCCTGATGACCATGGGCAGCAGCCAGATGGAGGGCAGTCCTATGAAAGTGAGAGGCTCCTTTAGGAAATTATAGTGCACAACCCCGAATACACCACTACTCATGGCGCTGTAGCCACGAGATAGCAGTTATCCCTGTGTCTTCTAAACAAATATTTCATTTTCTTTTGCAAAAGTACATTTACTAATGTACTCATCCCATTAATGAAAGAGCAGCCTGTTTGAATAGAAAAAGCATGACCTTTGGATTCAGCTCAACTCAGGTTTGAATCCTATTTTACTCCATCACTTATAGCTATTGCTTTAGTTTCTTTTTTTTTTTTTTAAGATTTATTTATTTATGCATACAAGAGCTTGGGCACAGGCCAGAGGTGTGGGGGATGAGAGGATTCACCAGAGACAGAGTGGGGAGCAAAACAGGCGGATTGACTGAAACACACTGCTGAGGGGAGTAGTGGGCGAGTCAGGAGAGGTCTCCTGACTCCCTGGCCGGCTGGGGAATCGAACTCATGCTGCAGAGGCTGCGGAGGCTGTGGACAGCTTCATAGGTTGTGTCTTAACCCCTGTGCCACCAGGGAGGCCCTATTGCTTAGTTTCTAACCTTAATTCTCATTGAGAAATTATCTCACAGAACACTTTATGCAAAGTGTTCAGTATAGTCCCTAGCACAAACAACAGCTCACTTTTGTCAGTTAATATTATTCTTATTATTACCACTTTATAAAGATAGTAAATCAATTAAGTAAAACTCAAGTACACCTACATTGCAGATATGTTTATGTTTTAGAGGGGCACAGTACTTCACTTTCTCACATTTTCACAACCCTGACCTTGGAATGCAATGTATAATTCATACTGTATCCCAACTACAATTGACAGCATGTAAAAAATATCTCACGGATACATAACATAGTGGGGTATATACAACCCAGATGTGAAAGTTTATTCAGAAATAACGATCCTCAAAAAAACTACTCTGACCATAGGAAATTGTAAAAGATAACCTTTACTTGCCTGTTTGAAAATTCATAATTGTACTAATTGCTATTATTAATTATTGGAAATACTGATTTTCCCACCATTTAGCAATCAAAATAGTGAATAAAGTGAACCATTCCTATTCAGAGGAAAGTTGAGTTTCTTTTGGCTTAAAGTTTCTTGAAAACCAAGGATGAGCAGTGGGCAACTTTTCTGCTAGAACACGATGCTAATCCAAATGTCTCGGACACCAACAGCGACACTACTCTCCACTCTGTGAATATCATTAAATATGTATATAATAAAATCTACAAGCACACATAAAAGGTTACCTTTACACCTCAAAGTTTAGTTAGAAATAACAATACTCAAGAATACTTAAAACAGAAAGTGAGGAATATTTTTTTTTTGTGAAAGATCCACATTCCTGCTACTCTTCAGGATTATTTTACCAATAGTAAACTTACACTAGAATTTATATACATATTCATTCTACAAATTTTTTAAGATTTACTTATTTGTATACAAGAACTGGGGTACAGGCCAGAGGTGCGGGGGGTGAGAGGATTCACCAGAGACAGGGCAGGGAACAGAACAGGCAGATGGACTGAAGTACACTGCTGAGGTGAGCAGCAGGCAAGACAGGAGAGGTCTGCCGCGCCATGTGGGTATCTCCCAGGTCGGCCGGGAATCGAACCCATGCTGCAGAGTGCTGCACTCAACCCTCTGTGCCACAGTGGGGACCAGAAATTAGTTTTTTATAAAGGAATAGAAAAATTTAGTTACACAGATGCTCAGAAATAAAAATTTGAACACATTTGGTACATATCTTTGGCTAACACAAGACTACCATCTGGGTGTATGTCTAATCAAAATGATTTTTCTCACTTAATGATCTACCAAAATTTATCTTTGATGTCCTGGCCATCTATGCCTCTGCCACTTTCCATGGTCACATGTCATCCTACGAATGCACTGAAATTTATTTATAAAATCCATTGTATTAGCATTAGTTCTTCCTAATACATTAATATTTTGAGCAGGGCTGAAAAATTACGTTATCTATCTCTGCTTCCTGAAGATATTTTAGGATAAATTTAATTGATTTGTAAAAGAAACATTTTTAAATGTGGTGCTTATCATCCAATTGCCTATTTGAAAAGTCAAAAGCAACTTAAACTTCAAACAATAGTACAAACATCATTGTCTCTTATCCCCACAAATTTTGTGCATGGAAAATGTTATTTCATTCCTCTTTTACTTACATTCCTTTACTAACTGGGACAACAAATATTTTTCCCAATGTCCATTGGCCACCTGTCGATATGCAAAAAAAGTACTTTTCACAATTTCAAATTAGAGTTTAGTTTCTTTCTCATTGACATCAAAGAATTCTCTGTAAATTAAGATCTTTTCTGACTAATATGAAATGTCAATGGTATCAGGTTCTAAAATCTTACACACATGTGCATATTTGGGCATTGTTTATTCTGCTCCATCTATTTCTCTGTCTTTTCAGTTGTTGTTAAACAGTGGATGACTATTTGGTAAAAATTGATAGCACATTTTGCTATCTAGAAGGGTAAGTTTTGTCTACTATAAAAAAAAGTTTCTAAGTTTCTTCACAATAGAAGACAGCAGTGTAACTCAAATTTTTTTAACCTTGATATTATTTGATTTGTGCAAAATCAACACAGAAAGAGCTCACATTTTGAGAAACTGAGTTTTTCTGTTCAAGAATCCAGAGCCATCTTCCCTCTTCAGTTAGTTTCCTTTGCTCAGAAAAGAACATGTATAAACAGATGTAAACTGATAAAAATGGATATTAGTTTATCCGAAGAATTTAGCCAAGGAGTTATTTTTCTCATCATGCAGTTTCTACAATATATAACACAATGGTTAAAAGTATGTACATCCAGGGCCTCCCTGGTGGCACAGGGGGTTAAGACACAACCTATGAAGCAATCCGCAGCCACTGCTGCGCGAGTTCAAACCCCGGCTGGCCAGGGAGCAACCCACATGGCGCAGCAGACCTCTCCTGACTCGCCCACTGCTCCCCTCAGCAGTGTACTTCAGTAAATCTGCCTGTTCTGCTCCCCGCTCTGTCTCTGGTGAGTCCTTTCACCCCCCGCACCTCTGGCGTGTACCCCAGCTCTTGAATGCATAAATAAATCTTTAAAAGAAAAAAAAAAGTATGTACATTCAAAATAAAGAGGACATAATCAATTTCCCTTCTTTCTCTTATTACTCAACTAAGTCGTTTCAAATTGCCAAAGTGTTCTATAAAAGCAGGCACCGTTTTTGTTTTTGCTGCACACCTAGACATCTGGGTGCTAGACCTTAGCACCCAAGGGTGCGCCTGCGGGGTCTGGAAGGCTGGGCTCTTCTCCCAGGACTACCCCCACCACCAACACCAACCTGCCTCCACCCTGCGGGCCTCGCAGTCCTGTTACCTGAGCTGCCTGTCCTGGTCGTTCAAGCCGCTTTTCCCCAACAGGAGAATCCCCTGCACTCTGGCTACGTCTCCGGCCACCGCAGCTTTGTGGATCTTCCCCAGGTCTTTGTCTTGAATGTCGGGGTACCCAAGCCGCCTCGAGTTGACATTCTCGGTGCTGGCGGTGTGGGGCTGCACGTTGATGGAGGAGCCCCAGAACCACCAGCCCTTCCTACTCCTCAGGCTGAAAACGCTCTTCATGGCGGAGCCTAGGGGCTTCAGAGACGCCTCGAACCCGCCGCCCCACCGCTCCGCTTTCGGCCTCCGCCAGCACCAGACACTAGCGCTTATGGAGGATGCGCCAACGGCCTCCCCAAAGCCTCCGAGACGGTTGGGAACCTTTCACTCCAGAAGGACAGTTGCCAAGCAACACCCGTGAGCATGAGCACGGAGGTCCGAAGCCAACGGTGCCCAGAGTTTTACCCGAGGCCGCACCTTCAAACCTCAGGATCCCTGCTGGGCTGCCCAGGACTCTCCTCTACCCCGCGCGGGAACAGGTACGGTGCAGGGCAGTCGCAGGGTGGTTCGCGCGCTCCTTGTGACAAGCTCCAAGCCCGAGCGCCCCCATCCCTACGCCCGCCCGCCTGCCCTCGCTGCAGGTGTGACAGCTGGCCGGGTCCTCACCAGAGCACCAGCGTGAGACCAAACCCCACGCAGTGCGCAGCAGCGGGTACCTGTCCCTCATGCACTCCCGCCGCTGGGGTGGGCGGGGGCGTGGAGCACTGGGAGAGCCGGAAAGCGCTTGGGAAGCTCTGGAGAACCCTGGGCCCAGCGCCCGAAAAGGTGGGGGGGAGGCGGGGGTGGGGGGTGGGGTGGGTGGGAAGAGGTCTTATAGGCCACCGCCAGCGCACGCGGCACAGGAAAACAGCTGGCACAAACTATTGTATTTGCCAGGGCAAACCCATCTGGCCTGGCTGTCAGAGGTCTGGGAGCACAAGGGCAGTCCCAGAGCACCCAGAATGAAAACCCGCCCCTATGATGCCTTGCAGGTTTCCCGGGCTCGGGGCTCAGTGCTGGGAACTCTCTCCTGTGCACACTACAACTTTGCATGCCCGTCGGCAGCCTGGGCAAAGTCCTGTGGCTCATCAATTCAAAGAGAAGGGATCAGGGCCTCCCTGGTGGCGCAAGGGGTTAAGACACCAGCTATGAAGCTGTCCGCAGCCACTGCAGCTTGAGTTGGATCCAGGTCTGGGGAGCTACCCACATGGTGCAGCAGACCTCTCCTGACACGTCCCCTGCTCCCCTCAGCAGTGTATTTCAGTCAATCTGCCTGTTCTGTTCCCCACTTTCTCTGGTGAATCCTCTCACCGCCCCCCCCCCAACACCTCTGGCCTATACCCCAGTTCTTGTATGCATAATTAAATAAATCTTTAAAAAAATTTTCTATGATTGTTAAAATTCATGAGTTATGTCACGGGATCCCTATTATTTTTTTTTTACAGCGATAGCAAATTAATTTATTTAGTACTTTTTCCAGTAATATTGTGCATCATCTTGTTTCTGTGGGTCCTCTTCGATCAAAGCGTCTGAGAAGCTCCAGAAAAACCTCTGGGTTGTTGCAGGTCCTGCTGCGGCGGCCACCATCCCTTACAGTTTCTGTTGTTACTGCTGGAGTTGCTACAACCAAGGTTACAAGCTCTGCTGTCGCCCAAGGGGGAAGCTTAGGATCCCTATTCTTTGCTCCTCGTTCCATGTTGGTAAACTCAAAGCCACACACATTCATCTAGTTGAATTTAACATGGTGAAGGAAAGAAAAGACAGCAGGAGGCTCCCAGTTAGGAGCAGGAAAACAGGCAAAAACTAAGGTCCTATCAGGTGCACACAGGTGTTGAACAGAAACAAGAACACAATTAGCACAGAAGTCCAAGGGAAGGGGGCCCGTCGAAAAGAAAGACAACATTCTATTTCTTGAGCTGAGGAGTGGGAAACAGGTGACTATGTACTTCTACATAGATGCACTGGACATGTTTCTGTAATTATAGTTCACGATGGGGGTGAGGTAGGGGTGAAGAGCAGAGGCTGTAGCCCAGGTTGCCATGGTTCTAGTCCTGATACCCCACAGCTTAGAGGCTGGTTGACACTTCTTTGGGCCAGTTACTCATCTGTGAGATGTGAACACTGATGAAGCCATCTGGTAAGTACACAAATCTCAAAAAGACCTTGTTCTCTGCTAAGAGAAGTTCTGTCCCACCCCCACCGCTGCCTACCAGGAAACACCCTGCCTGTGATGGAGACTCTCCTGTCTCTGCTGCTGGACTTAGGCAAGATTGGCATCTCGTTTTAACAGGGAAGCAGACTCAGACTACATTCCCATTCTCCTTCAGTGGGAGGGCAGGGGTTGGGGGGGTCTCTCCCTACTGTGGGGATAGCCATGTAGTCCCTATGCCATGCCCTGAGGGGAGCTCTCTTACTTCTAGTGGCAGGCACTGCTCCTTCCAGAAGGGCCAACCAGGAGGAGTCAGCATGCCACGTGGAATCCATGAGGTCCTGGTATTGTCAAAACAGTTGAGTCATACTCATAGATCAGAATCTTACTGGAGCAGTGGTAACTAATGTTTCAATTTGAGACAGACAGAAAAGATGAGAAATATTTGTGGCAAAACCAAGGAATTGAAAGACAAAATCAAATTGGACCACCCAGGTCCCATTCCTTTCAGCCTACCCACACAGCTCCCCCATCCTCCCCCACCCTCCAGACAGAGGACCACACAGAGACCAGCATCCCAGCCTTCCTGCTCTGACACTCCTAGGTGAAACTACTCAGTATCTCCCTCCCACTATATCTCTGCTGAGTTCATGGCCTCTCAGACCCTCTTCAACTTCCAGAAATTCTGCTCCTCGTCCTGGGTAGTTCACTATGCCAGCAGAGCCCCAGGGTTAACGGCACAGGCCTGGTGCTCTGACTTGCTCCACCACAACAAACTGGGTTCTAAGGGTCAGACCTCAGTTTCCTTATCTGCAAAATGGTAATCATTTCAGTTCCTACTTTAGGAAATTGTGCTTAGCCCCAGTGGGTGCATACACAGTGCAGGTCTTAACTGGGCCCTCTGGTCTGCATGGTGTAGAGTGGGGTGAGTGGGGAGTATTAAACAGTACGGTCCTGGGAGAGGAGGGCTGGAAGAGGAAAGACACTCTGGTGCAAGAGAAGGATAAGAAGCCAATCCCGGGGAGGGGGATTGGTGGGAATTGTACATTGTAAGACCAGCTTAGATTTCAAAATTTCTCTGTGTGTAATGTGTTCTGGGGCTCATGAGGAAATCCAGACCTGGGAGAGAGATGGGGCTCATGGGCTTACACCAAAACAAGAGGCCAAGGCTACATGAGGGGTTCAAAAGAGACAGGGGGTATAGAGCCAGGCCAAGGACAGAATAGGGGTGGGGGGCTAACAAAGGCCTGAGAGGGAAGAGAAAGGGAACGAGGAGTCCTAAGAAGGGAAGGTGTAGGCAGGCGCAAGGACTAAGAGGATTTTGGAGGAGACTCAGTCCTGAGAGAGAAGCTGCATTTGGGAGAAATGCAAAATACAGACTGGACTGACAATACACATTCCCCCTCTTCCCTCCATGTGCGAACTTCCTCACTTGTGAAAAAGAAGCAATTGCCTGCTTCATAGGGTTGCACTGAGGGTTGGATAAGTGCAGACATGTAAAACCAGCAGTGCCTGCCACAGACTTAGTTGACAGACATGAGCTATCATGTTTAAGTTCACAGGCAAGGAACTCTATGGGAGGGGGCTCTGAAAATGGTCTATAGCAGAGCTTCTCAGAGTGGCATCTCCTGAGAAGCTGTCAGAAATGCAAACTCACAGATTCCTGCTGAATCCTGGATGCACTTGAGGCCATGTTTCATTCAGCAAGCGCTCCAGGGGTGCTGGCAGGCGGGAGAACCCACCCTAAAAGCTGCCCCTGATTCTCAGCTACTGCTCTGGGTCTTGAGACAAGCTGGATCACCCCATGAGGGTGCTCCATCTTCCCCAGACTTCTCATTTGGCATGGCACCTGTGGAGACCCAATCCTGCACCTTCTGTGTGGGAAGAACACCCCAAGTCACCTCTCCTGATGACAACTGCTGGGGACTGCAGTGGCCCTGATGAAGCCAGGTGTAAATCTTTACAGTTCCTCATGTGAATCTGCACAGTGGGTTTTGCTATAAAAGTAAAAAAAAACAGGTGGCCTGAGAAGCTGAACTGACTCCAAGATCAGATAACCTGATAAAAAGTGATAAGGGCACTTGTGCTCAGGCCTTCACTGAATTGAAAAAAATTAAACTTAAGGTGTGTAAATATATCATAAGATGCATGGAACTGCTGTCTTGCTGTAGGATTTCTTTCAAGAAACCTACCTGCCTTAAGGACAGGGGAGGAAAAAGATCATCACAATGTGAGTCAAGAGCCCCAAGAATGTTAAGTATTATCAACTACAATCTCTTGTTCAAGATGGAGTTAAGTGAGTTCTTGGATCTCTAATTATCTGGAAAAATCAGCTAATGGATGGGAAGCACAGAATCACCACAAAGGCACTTATAGAGCCTGTTTATTGCATAACTAGCAGGCACATATTCCAAAACAATTTTACAACACTTAGAGGGTTGTACAGTAATTACAGGAGTAGAATGTACAATAAAAATGAAAAATAGGTACAGAATAGGGGTGACATGGATAAAACATATTTGAACAAAAGGCATTTCATTTTCCTATGCAGCATTTTCTTCTGTAAAAATAAGGGGGATCTTTGACTTGGACAAGGAAAGAAATTAAAATAATACCGGGAAGCTCATGGCTGCAGTTTGAGCACCAACACATGCTAGCTTCTCTCTTGGTTTTGCAACTTTAATTGCTTGAGGAATAGTCTAACAGCTCCTGAGTTGGGCACCTACAGTTCCAATTTTATGAAATTCTGCATTTGATCTTTGGGCCCAACTCATTGTTCTTTGGCAAATAAGAACTATTTGCATTCTGAGACAGATGACTTCAGTCAAAGGAGCTTAGGGATGGAGCTGTTTCCTTCTCTTCAGCAAGTGCCAGTTATGTAAAGTGCACCTCCACCCTATCAGCTTTGGGGGATGGAGGTCTGAGAATAAAGGGTAAAAAATGACATTACAGATGCAGACATTAGTGCAAGGCTATGGAACCCATGTGCAAAAAGGTGGGCAGAACAAGGTGCAACTTGCCAACAGGACCAACAAACCTCCAGACACGAGGCCTCAGACAATGCTGAGGAAATACAGGGGCACTTAAGGAGAAGGCCAGCTCGAGCCCTCCTGTCACTGTGTGCCACTACACCTGGAACTAATTTCCAGTTTTGGCACTGCAGGGTAACAGAGCAGTGGCATGATTCCGCAGTACTTCTACAAATAGAAATACTTTGTTGGTTCCCATGTTTCTTGGCTTTCTTTAGGGCACAGAAATAACATCCTCCATCGCAGTTCAGCGAATACACGGTAGATGACTCACTATTCAGAAGTCTGTGCTCCCAGCGAGGTCAAGGGCACCAACTCGGGACTGCCACAGGGTCTCTCCTGAGGGCCACTAGTAGGCTGAAGACGAGGACAGTGTTGGCAACCAAGAGGGTCAGTTAAGTACATGCAGCATGCAGACAAGGTTATCAACCAGGGCTTGAACTTATGGTAGAAGACATCCTTTCAGAGGGCATCCTCTCAGCATCCAACAGGAACGTGGCACTTAGGGTTGTGCAGACGAGCAAGTGGATGAGTTTTGACACTACTCAGTGTAGCAAAACCTGGCAAAAGCCTCCACACGCCTCAGCTTAGTAAACCAAACACCACTGTGGTGCTCCTTTCACGACAGCATACGGTCTAGCTATAAAGGTGTTTGTAAACCAAACAGTTCTGTGAATATACAGGCTTATTCAGCATGTATTTAGGCAACTTGATTACTCTGACTTCTTCAGGCATGTGCATTAGCACTGTGGGGCAGGATAGATGGCTAAAATGAGAACTAACAGCAACTTTAACATAGGGTAGGGCAGCCACATTACAGGTAAGGCTCAGTGGCTGAACCAGGGAGCAGGCAAACCAGGCCTTCACACTGCACAGGTTTTGGGACCCTGGAATGGAGTCTGTGACCCAGCAGTCTGGAGAAGAGAATTCAGCCACACATGTGCTTTGAATATGTTTACATTAGCCGCCAACATTTACAGAGAAATGGTACAAAAAATAGCCAGACTTCTGGTGTCTCTTGAAAAAATAATCAAAGCTCTGACAACCCCTAGCTTACTTTCTCACAGAGCAGCCTGAGTACAGCTGGGGAGCTACTGTCTGTGTTGGGTGAGCCCTGGGCTCCTTCATTGTACTCCATCCCCAGGTCTGCACCTGGCTCACCTCATCTACGTCACTACTGCCTGGCATCTCTGGTCTAGGTCAGGGTCTGAGACACATCCACAAAAAACTGTTGTGATGGCAGGGACAGGGATATGCATTAGCATTTAGGACAAGAAAGATCATTTTAGAAAAACAGAAAACAATCTCAATTGTTCCAGAACTAAATCTGTGCTCATTCTTAACTTTGGGATAGTGAAAGAGAGAGAATCTATCTAAGGGATTCTTGAAAGGTGATGTCTAATTTTTAAGTACCAGCAAGGAAATGAACATGGATGATTGGCATAAAACTTACAAGAAGGCCTTACAGGTGATGAGACATGTGAAGCAGCTTGTGAGAAAGCTTTAGGTGGTCAAAGGCATGACTGGATTTTGGAAGAGAGGTACAAGGCCTTGTCAGGGAGTTGGTCATCTCTCTTCTCATTTTATGGCAGTGATATCTGAATGGGTGGTACGAATTAGTTATGGTTTCTGGACTAATGCTCCTCTGCTGTTCTTTTGGAATGAAATGTCCAGTGTCCTGGGTGAGCAATGGACTGTACATGGTAATGTGGATGGTGTAGCCAACTGGACAAGACTAAATGAGACATGAGCTGGAGGATGAGTGCTTATCTGATGCCATGCAGTCTCAAGATGGGAGTCAAGTAGAGACAGAAGAGCAAGAGAGAAAAATTAAACAAGAGAACACTGAACATGCTAGAATAGTTAAAAGAAATGGAACGATTCATTGTTTCCTTCCAGGAGAGACTGCTACACTATTTTCAGAAAATGGCAAAGCCCTTTCTCTACATACATGCTTGGAGATATCCCAGACTTAAGAGGTTGGGCAGGAGGCTGGAATAGCCACTTATTGCACAAAGCTTGGTAGGGAACAGATTTTTAAAATCCAGCTCTTTCAATAAATTGTTTTACTGAAGATCTCATTTATAGTTTTAACCATAGGCAGGAAGTTTTAAGGGACGGAAACTTTCTAACAAACTTAAAACAATGAGGCTATGCTTTTGGATGTCTATGATCATGAACTAAACAGTCACTGACAGTACAACAAGACGTCAGAAAGTAAACTGGCAAATAGGCACAAAATAAGGCAAGTGGGTTAAATTAATAGTTGAAAAGTTGTTAGAAAACATGCAAAAATAATACTGAATTTTCTTTTAAAAAGTTTTAAACTTCCATTAAATGTTTGTTTCTGTAAAAACTGGAAGAGTTTCATGTCTAAATTTCAAACTGGACTTTAAAAAGCCTAGAAAACAGAAGGGCCAGCACCGTGCCATCAGTTGTTGTTCTCTTTGGTGGTGATGGTGACCAGCTGTTTAGCGGCCTTGGCGATGTCATACGCACACTGGATGACCTGCTGTGTGACCAGCTGGATGTCTGTGGGCAGGCCCGAGTCCCCGGGGAAGGTCTTCTTGCACTCTGACTGGAGTCGGTAGGCACTGGATGTCAGTAAGCGAAGGGATGTCCTTACCATGTCAGACTTGGGTTTCTAAACAGAAAAACATAGTCATTCGCTGTGAACTCCAAGATGGACACCCAAGGGCAGGGGCAAGTATTGTTCTGGAAACCAAGCTGTTCCACCATGAATGGCACTTCTGTTGTGTACTTTTTCAACCCAGAATGCGAGAGATGCTCAAGTGCTCTAGCTCATGGGTCAAAGTGCATGCAGCATCATTTCAGTAGTAGGTGCTAGTCTATGCAGATTTTAAAAATATTGCTCTACTTGGGTGAAATATTCCAAATAAAATTTCATTCTATTAATGCCAAGCACTTAGTCTGTACAGTCCTGTCTTATTAAAACCAATATTCATGTAGAACAAAAGTAATTCAAAGCCGCATAACTGTTTAGAAATTTAAAATTCTCTGTTACAAAAAGGTTAATCTAGTAAAAAAGTCATAAAGAAAGTTCTTGCATTTTGTTTAATAGTATCTGAACCAAGTAAGCAGGAAGTGACTTACTTTGGGGAATAATACTGCCATTTCTGTAACAGCTACATGTATCCTCTCTGAGCAGGGAATATAACTGCAAAATATTGAAGAGGTTATTCAAAGACAGTAAAAATAATTCAAAGCAAAGAATACTTAGAGGTTAGAATAGGATCTGTTTATGTTTCCTGAAGGGACTGAAGCTATGGCCAGTCTGCTGTGAGTGCCACACCAACAGAAAGCTTGAGTTATAAGGCAGGGTCTCCATTCTTTCTTGAAAGTTCTCTCAACCTGATAAAAGCAATTTCCAGGTGTGAACATAGGCAACATACACTACAACTAGTCAGGTGAAGCCACAAAACAGCCTATAAAGATATTAATTTATTTCCATCTGTCTCATCTTCCTGATTACTTGAAAAAGAAATGAGGATTTCCATGCAAAAGGCCACAGAAGTTAAAAAATAAAGGACTTGGGCCTCCCCGGTGGCACAACAGTTGAGCGCTGGGTTGCGAAGCTGTCCGCGGCCTCTGCGGCGCAGGTTCGATCCCCGGCTGCTCCCCAGCCACCGGAGGAGGGTCCCACGTGGCGCGCAGACCTCTCCTGCTGCCCGCTGCTCCCCTCAGCAGTATACTTCGGTCCTTCTGCCTGCTCTGCTCCCCGCTCTGGCTCTGGTGAATTCTCTCACCTTCCTGCGCTTCTGACTGTACCCAGTGCTTGTATAAATAAATAAATCTTTAAAAAAATAAAATAAAGGACTTAAAAATATTTCTTTATAATTAGCATTGGAGTCTATACCTCAACAAGCACCTGGTCTTTAACCAGTGGATGTTTCTCAATTCCTTCCATTCAAATATATCTGACTTGTTGGGGCATCCAAAGTTTTACTTCTTGTATAGAGAGAAAACAGAAATCTGCTTCATAAAGTTGTTCAGGCACTTATCCACTTTCTCATGAAGTGATCTGTAATAAAACGCTCTGAGCACAGTCAGTACTTTCTCAGCTCACTGACAAGCTCTAAGAAGACAGCACATTAAACCTGCTGTCCTCATCTTTCCTCCAGGCCACCTGGCCTTCTAAGGACCCCACGGACACAGAACAAGCACTCAGGCTCTATTCTCTGTGCTTTGCAGAGATTCACATCATCTCCCTAACAGCCCCATGAGATTGGTACTATTAATGCACCCCTTTTTCAAATGATGCACCTGAGGTCAGAAGAGGCTTAAAGACTGCCTCCACTCCCTCCAAGCTGGTAAGAGAGTTAGAGCTCAACCCTGGCCATCCAGCACCCGCACCCAACTCCTCACTGCTCCTCACACAGACCTCTCCTCACCTCTGAGGCAACAGATTCACATCTTTATTGCAAGCCCTTTTTCACTGATGACCAGTCTCACTGTTTAAATGATAAGTGGAAGAATTGAGACTTCAGATTTATCCAGACTTCTTAGTATCAGTATTGTGACAAACACATCTGGGGCTAGTTTCTTTCTTTATTAAATTTATTTATTTTTTGCATAGAAGAACTGGGGTGTAGGCCAGAGGTGCGGGGGATGAGTATTCACTAGAGACAGAGTGATGAGCAAAACAGGCGGATTTACTGAAATACACTGCTAAGGGGAGCAGTGGGTGAGACAGGAGAGGCCTGCTGCACCATATGTGGGTAGGTAAACTCCCTGGCCGGGGATCAAACTCAGGCTATAGTGGTGACAGTGCTGAGACTTAACCCCTAGGCCACCAGGGAGGCCCTGGGGCTAGCTTTTTTTTTTTTAAAGATTTATTTTTTATTTATACACTAGCTGGGGTACAGGCCAGAGGCGCGGGAGGGTGAGAGGACTCACCAGAGACAGAGCAGGAGGCAGAACAGACAGACGGACCGAAAGCACTGCTGAGGAGAGCAGCGGGCACAGCAGGAGAGGTCTGCCACACCATGTGGGAATCTCCCTGGCCAGCCGGGAATCAAACCCACGCTGCAGAGGCTGCAGACAGCTTCACAGTGCTGTGCTCAACCACTGCACCACCAGGGAGGCCCTGGGGCAAGCTTCTTATACCTTAAAAATGTTAGGTTTCTTCCAAGAGTTGTCTGTGTAGAAGATTCAGAGACAAAGACAAACTGAAAGTGGTATGAAGTAATAGTACTTAGACACCACATTGACACCAGGCCCTAGGACTGACCCAGGGCCCATGAGGGAGATATGGCAAGAACACTTAGGAGCACTGCTTTTAGTGTGTTAAGAAGTACTGATGTGAACACTTAGGTTTGGCTTTGCACAAGCACTCATGTGGCTGTGTTTTAAAATTTCTCTTCTAAGCTACGTAACATCTTAGCACTGAAAGCCTTCCAGTGACATTCTTTCTCCATCTTTTAACTCATGAAGTTCAATCCCTCTTAAAGACTGTCTGTCATAAGCAATCTTTGTACTTCATATTTGTAAAAAACCTACTATCAAAATGATTTTAATTAACAGACTACATTTTAATTTAACCATGAACTCAAACCAAGAAAATGGTTTATTCTCACCAAACATCTTCATGTGGGATTATCCTTTAGATCCATATACCATATACCATGTAATACCAAAAATGCTAATGAGCATTATTTAACTTGGAAATATAAGGGGGCTATAACCTATCTGATTACAGACACTCAGAAAAAAAGGCAATGCCCACAATAATTATTTGTATTGTGTAGGAATATTCTTGAACCACTATGTCTATTGAGACAGTACATTAACTGAGAAACATACCTAAGGGCTTTATATTTTGTTGTTTATAGTTTTCATTTTGACCTGGAAATATGATTCACCCTTTTCCTAAGTTTTCCTAAGGACAGTACTCAAAAATTCACTCTTGATGAAATTTTTAGGAAGTCCTCAATAAGCCACAAAGTATTGAGAAAGTTCTCCTCCTCCTTTAACAGAGAGACTTCACACTCACAACTTCCAATTCTTGTCTTTCTTCAAAAAGGCTTTCATGCATAGCATATAGTAATTCCTAAATTGTGCATTTGTGTGGGGATGTGTGAGTGTGGGAGAGAGACAGATGGACAGATACAGACAGGTGGGGAGTGAGGCTGGAGGCCCAGAAGGTGGAAGCAAGCCATAGGAAGTTGGGAGATACAAGGGGCTTGCTTGGCCCTGGGAACCAGGACCAAACATGCCCTCCTGGGTTCAGTCCTCTTAGCAATAGCTCAAGTGATGGATCAACATGAGGAGGAAATAGAAGAAAAGAAAAACCAGAAAAATGCAAGGCTATAAACCAAAATGCCTGAGGTATGCTAATAGAATATCAGTTTATAAAATATAAATTGTTTAGGCCAATTCTGGTTTAAACCAAAAGAATGAGCCAATGATTTAAATAATTTTTAAAAAGAAATAAAAAAAATTTAAAAATTAAATAATTTTTAAAAAGAAATTTTTAAAAAGAAATCCATTCAAATATTGAATGGATTTGTACATCTTAAAATTCCCCAATTGTAACAAACATATTGGGATCTTCAAAGCCAGAGATGTCTTCCAGGCAGGTATTTATATTTTTGACAACTATAAAAAAGAAATGCAAGGCAACACTTTTTTTTTTTTTTTTTTAGTTTGAAACATGAGGATGACACTTCTGAACCAGGGGAAATGAGAAAGGAAGCACATTGTTAAATGATGGGAAAGCCTGAGGAAAGGAGCTTATCTTGGTATTAAGATTACTGCAAAGATTGTACTTTGGAAGCTGTGAAATATTCTGCTTTATGTAACAAGATAATGAAGTGGCTTGTGGCCAAGGCTGTCGTATGAGCAAAGAAACTAAACATGCACAGCACATGAGTCGTCAGAGGCCTATAAGAAAGAGGATGCCTGGGGAAGGAGGAAGTCGACAGTTACATAATCTTCCTGGAAGGAGGCTGAAAAATTATGTAGGTTCCTCTTTCTGAGTCCAGCTGTGAAGACTAACTCATCGTTCCACAAAGGCTGTTCTACCAAGTGGGAAATAATAGTGCTGGGAAAAGTCTAAGTCATATAAACATGGGTAAAGGTTAGAAAAGAGATTAGCACAGCAGAAAATGAGACACTGACGCATCTTCATGTGAAAGAGAATGAAGAGGAGAAAGGGCTGGGCATGAAGAGAAGTTCTTCACTGAGGCCTTGCACGTGGCTGACCTCATGAAAAAAATGGGCTTGCTTTTGTATTTTGACCAACTCTATAGCTCTTTCAAACTCAGTGGGGTGATGTTAAGCAATGTTTCATGTGTGTGGCTAGGTCAGGCCACCCAGGTGAAACTAAGATGGCACCCAGATTAATTAACAATGTACTAGAAGTTCTTAGAGAACAAAAGGACAGAACAGGACAAAAGCAAGTTCCTCCAGACTCTTCTTTTTATGAGTAGAGAATAAGCTGGGTGATAATTAGATCAACTTCTATTTGTAAATCACTTGTTTCTTAGACATAGACACATGCACACACAGCAACACATAAGAGGGAGACAGTCAGGGTCATTTCAGGCATTATATATGGACAAAACTCTCCTTAGCTAAGGAGACCCCAGTGAGCACAATGGCTGGGAGGCCCAACTGTAAGTTTGGAGGTAACTTCTTTCCCTTTCTACCTTGAACTAGGAATATCACCATCCCAGCTATGCTGCAGTTATATTTCTACAGATAATTATTTTAAGAGTGCTTAAAATGACAAATTGAAAATACCATGTTAATAAAAAAAAATCCAAATTTATAAATTTGTTCCTAAGCCTGAAATTTCAAGCCTTTAAAATCAGCACATTGGGGGCCTCCCTGGTGGCACAAGGGGTTAAGCACTGCACTATGAAGAAATCCACAGCCTCTGCAGCATGAGTTCGATCCCCGTCCAGCCAGGGAGCAACCCACATGGTGCAGCAGACCTCTCCTGTATTGCTAGCTGTTCCCCTCAGCAGTGTATTTCGGTCTGCCTGTTCTGTTTCCCACTCTGTCTCTGGTGAATCCTCTCACCCCTCAACCCCTCAAACCTCTGGCCTATGCCCCAGCTCTTGTATGCATAAATAAATAAATCTTAAAAAATAAATAAATAAAATCAGCACATTGAAAGACCCCTGCTCATAACCGGAGCAGCATCTCTGCCAGAGCAAGGACATCTAGGGTTTCCAGCCCCCCTTACCTGTCATGTTTATTTTCTTGGGCTGCTCTTAGGAGCTCCTGTATGTTTTTGGTGATCTGTTCAGTTTTCCGGATGACATCCTCAGTGCTGGGGAGGGTGGAGCTGGGGGCTGTGTGGGGTTCTGCTGTCTCTGGCACTGAGCCATCACCTTGCCACACCATGCTCCTCTGCCTCCCCTTCCTGCTTGACCTGTGAACATCAAGAATTGGCTGGATGCATGGTTGCTTCTTAGCTGAGTCTCTACTTCAAGGAGATGCTTCATATGTGTTTGCTAAATTCATAAGCAGGCTGCTTTTGTGGTTTCCTTCATCCTGTCTGGCAGGAGACTCAAGTAAGGCTGTTTCAGCAATAAGCAGCCACAGCTCACATGGAGGCCGTTTCATTCTGCCACGGGGCTAGAAATCATGCCTCTCGTAGGAAAAGTAAAGGTGGGGGAAAGTGGAGTGCAGGAAAAACAGAACAAAGGGGTTGTGAACAGAGAGGGTGATACATTGACATGTGTACAGCATGCTAGTTTGAGGAAAAAACACCCCTGTGGCAATAGTGTGAGCTGAGAAGAGGTGTGAACTCTGAACCTATACCTCAAAACTTCAAGACCCTAAGGGTCTGAAAATAAGAGAAAAGGGGCATCGGTTATAAACTGTTTTTCCTGACCACAGCATGCAAGGTCTTGGATTTAAGAGCCCAAACCCTGGTACATTTTTCCTGCAGATGTACCCCATATCATCTGGGTCCATGTCATTGGGAGTGTTGTCATAGTCACTTTCAGGTGTGCTGTTCTGCTTCTCCAGCCTGGATGCCTACAAGGGATAAAAGGTGACCCCCATTAGTTTAGAGCACAAATTACTTCTTGGGAGCCTTCCCCAGGAATCATTACCTTCACGCTCAGGTCTCATTTGGAACAAGAAACAACCCTTTTTTGAAAATTCAGTAAAAGATGAACAGTGGATCCAGAGGTTTCTTTCCTTCTTTGCACCATTTTCTTCTTAGCTCAGATGAACAGTCACAAACAGATCCTTGTGAACAGTCACAAACTAGCACTGACATACAGGGCAAATCACCCACACTTAGTTCTCTAAGGAATATAGGGTTTAACTATAATGAGACCCATTTAAAAAGCAAATGAGCCAGCACATATACACCCACAGATGGTCAGCGGTGAAGGTTACCCGAAGGCTGTCTAGTCTAACGAGATAAAGGATCAAAAATGCAGGTGACACAATCAGGCTGTGAGTCAGGAAAACACAGGTCCAAGAACTTAGGTCCCATCCCCTATCTCCAATGCTCTAATCCTGGTACTCTGAGGATCACCTGCCACCACTCAAAACATGTAAGGCTCTCCAAGAACTGGAGAGGGCTTGTCTAAGCCACACTAGTGAAGACTAGTCTTACTAATTTATTGTCACATGCCTGTGAACCAAAGTAGATTAACTCAGTGTGATACTAGGTTTCAAGCCACTTTTGTCATCCAAAACATCTTTTTCTTAAAATAGAAAGATTTGGTACAACTGTGGTGATTCAAAAATAGGTCAGAGATTCAAAAGAGGAATCTTAAAAATGTTTCCAGCATATGGCAGGACTCAGTACAGGAGCTTCCAGGGTGACAGAATTTGAAGGGATCTACATTCCTTGAATGTGGACTTGACAAGGACTGTGGTCATATTTAATAAAAATGATTTTCTCTCAGTATTTATTTTATCCATAATGTTTGACAATTTCTTTGTTAAGAACAAAAATCAGAAGCTGATTCAAAACCTAAACTGATTACCTTGCAGATTACAAATATGAGCAATTTCTGGCTCTATTCCTTGAATTTAATCCAAATTAACCAAAATATCTGACTAAGGAAATTTTACTGATGCTGCATTAAAATGTGGCTCAAGTTATAGTTGTAAATTAAGAACCTTGTTTTAGCATTCAGAGACTCTGTAATCCCACCAAAAGAATGGCAACTTTGGAGTAAGTCAGTTTAAGGAAGTCTACATAAAGTCTAATCATGCCTCTGACTTATAATGACACTCACCCTCTGAAGGCCCTGTGGAAATAAGGAAGGCAGCCAGCCTTCAGGTAGGAAAACACTCCTATTTATATCCTTGTGGCTTCTCTTTTTCCTCTTGCAGGGCAAAGAAATCTCTTTCTCTCCTGAGCACTTTCACATTTCCTCCAAAACTCTGTTCTCATCATTTGCCCTCTCAAATTTATCAGGCAAATAATTTAAAATTTTGGCTTTGGAGTCATATAGTCTAAGTTCTATAAGTCTAAGTTCTATAAGTCTTGATTACACCTCCCACCAACATGCAGTTCTGTTTCACTTGCTGCCTTATTCTGATCTGACTTTATGAATGGATCAGGGAGTCACTGCTATTGGAAGTCTAGATGGAAGACCAAAGACAGTGCAGGGAACAAAGAAAGCAGGCTCTTCCAGAGTTGATCTCAACACCCATTCAGCCCAGCCAAAAAACAAAAAAATCCACCCCATCTTACCTTTCACAGGAAATGTTTGACTAAACTTTAAATTCCTTTTCCTCTATATACATACATTCACACACATATGGACAAATGTGTTTGCATGTGTCTACACACACACATACACAAATGGAATGTAAAAAAAAAACTTGCATTTAAACAATTATTCTAGAAAATCCGTCCAGAGCTGTTCCAGTGGAAAAATCTAGAAAACAGAATTAAATCCAGAAAATTCCACATTTTTATAATGGATCTCTTTAGTTTCTTTGATGTAAGCTTGATAATTACAAATCAAATGCATTATGTCACAATGATGAAAAGTACCAAGTTTCATTTAAACATTTCAGAAGCATTAACAACTCATATATCTAATAAAAGTACTCAGGAAATGTTTCTCAGGTACAGAAAACAGCGGATAGCAATAACCACCAGGGAAATCAGTTACTTATGTATTGAATCCTTCATTGTTGTCAACAAAAGCTTAGTACAGGATTTCAAATTAGCTAGTATTTAATGAAAATTACTGTAATCATGCAGAGTTAAGATCTATTAGTTAAAAATGCTATTTTCTCAAAACTGTTAATAGAAAAGTTACCTTATAGCTGGTGCTGGTTCAGTTTATTTAATAGAATTGCAGTATTCTCTGAATACAAACACACCATGAAAAACTAAACTCCTGATAAACTTATCAGGAACAATCAGGATTATCAGTTTAAATGTCTTGACTGTTAATCATGTATAAAACCTTGAGCAAGCAGTTCTTGCAATGATATTCAAAACTACCCCCGACAAAAAAGTTTTACAATGATTTCACAATGGACAAAAAGAGGCTTGACTCTTATTAACAAAATTGCAAGTGAGATATTTTTGAATTGCCCCTTAATTTAATTATTATTAATAATTTAATATTATTATGCACATACTGCAGGTCAGTATCAGAACTGCGCAGAAGACTTTATCATAAACCAAGAATTCCTTTGAATTGCCACTTCAAAAGCACAGAAAAGAACCCCCAAATGCCTTTATGAGCCATATAGCACTGGCAGTGGGAAGGGACGATTCTCTACCCTTCCTGCTAATGAAGAGGGAATGGACAAGGTCCAGTACAAATTCTGCCTTGTCTGTAAACGTGGCCCCTCAATCACAGCCCAACTTCCCTCCTCTCACCTCAGTTACAACACCCTTTGGTTAAAAAAAAAAAAAGAGCCCGGACCTGAACACAGGTCTTCAGAGCCTGTGCTCTTTTCACAACCTACCCAGTCTGCCATCATGGAAGTACTTCTTAAATAGACTGTGACTCTGGGAACAGATGTCATCTAAGTCCCTATGACCCTTTAACTTACCAAAAGGTTGGGTATGGAGTAGGAGCTTCATAAATATTTGCTGCCTGGTCAGGTCCTTACCTGACTGTACAGGGAATATACGTCATATTTTAACAAAGGTGACCAACTACTAAAGTGAACTATCATGACTGTTCTTCATAGTAGAACAGTCTATGCCTCAAATGCTGCCCTGTTACAATCCAGAAGTGGAGACAGGGACTGCAAAACCTTGTTCTGTCAAGTCTGGTGCTGATATTTACTGTGTCGGGAGGTTAAAAAAAAAAAAACTAAAAAGCATGATCTCTTAGTACTTCTGTTAATCCAAATACACTAGTTTTAACCTGGTAACTGTGGCTCTGTAGAAATTTGACAGATTTGACCTATTACAATATTTAACCAGCAGCCAGCTAATTTTCTGATTATTTAAAGACAGTATATTCATAATTAATGCTACAGCGTGAATTGTGAACTTTGTTAAATATTATGTGAAACTGAGCAAGGTGGAGTTAGACACAAAAGAGGCCACCTCCTACAGACATGCATGTGTGCATGTGTGTGAGACACCAGAAGGGAAGCGCTGCCTCATGCAGGACAGAGGGCAGTTAGGGAGGGACAGGAGGCCAGGAGAAGCACAAAGCGCCAGGAGCACTGCCCATCTTCCAGAGAGCAGACCGGTCAGAATGTACTTAACCCTTCTGGCGCTTTCGTCCCTGGACCAGGAGAGTGTGGAGGGGAAGGAAGGCAGAGATGAAGAGGAGGTCACAAGCGCACTCCTCCCGATCTAGAAGGGGAAAAAGAAACACACTCGGGAAAATACAAAACAAACAAAAACCCCACCAACACCTATCCTGGCTTCACCCAGGTTTCCCAGTAAAAGAATTCTAAAAAGCAACTCACTACATGAGATCATTGCTGAGATTTCTGTGACAGCCAGGTGAGCTGTCATGCTAGCTGAGTAGATTCCCAGAGATATTTAATCTCTTAGTGAAATGCCTCCCGTCAATTACCTGGAATTTATAGGCTACTTTTCTATAAGGGAAAAGATAATACCTAGCATAACTTACCAAATTCATCAAAAGCTTTTTTAATAGATAGCCTAAAATTAATACTTTTTTTGCGAGCAGGACTGGTAATATGAAATGAGGAACGTTATGACTAAAAGTTGATATTTGTTATATGTTAACAATCTATTCTTTAATACAGATGATACAGACCTGTAATAACTTGACATACTTATTGACATCTGTACATTCTAAATGTTTCTAAAATAAAAAGGTACACTATGAAAACTAACAAAGTTTGCTTTTGTTAAATTTTGTTGTTATACAAAAGTAAGACAATCCAATGGTATCACCATTACAAAAATATATCAAATAAATTGCCTTAGAATGTTTAGTAAAAACAGCTTAAAAAGTAATAACATTGTAATTTTACCGTACAAAAGTTTGACAAAATTAAAATAGGGTTTAATTTACCAGATCATAGCCTTTACTTTGCATTTACTCAGATTTTTTTGGAAATGCCTATAAAACTTGACTGAAGAAACAATGACATTGACATTCAAAGAAATATTACTCTGAAAAAACATCATGTAAGTTCAAAATGTCTGTAACATTCTTTCAAAACATAGGTGTTAAACATTAATTCAAAAGAAATATATTTGAAAACTTTCCAATATAATACGTATCTTCCTGTAAATTAAGACTGTTAGCATCCCAGTACAGAATACAATTTTTAGAATACAACACTTTTAAAGCCAATGTAGAGTTTTACATCCCTCTTATTCTTATGAAATAATAAAGTAACACTTTCCCTGGAGAGGAGGAGGGGGATGCAGAAGCTAAGCAGACATGCTGACCACATGGAAAGGCTGTGGAAGCCTAGAGGCTTCTAGACTAAACCTGCAAGCCCAGGCCACAGAGACACCTGCTCAATTGTAAGGAGCAGAAAAGGTTATCTAGAATTCTAAGGGTTCCAGTCCTTAAGGGGCAACTATACCTCTCCCTTAAAGAGGACAACACAAGGTGGTGACCTTAACTATCTGTTTTTTATTTATTTTTTTTTCTCAAAGACGTTTGTTACCAGAAAAAGTTCCAATACTGGCTGACTGGGAAAGATATTGCAGATACAGTGAAGAAAAAGAACCCCGAACTTTGTTGGAACACTTTGGAAATGGCCCTGTGTCTGAAATACTGCAAGCCTCTGTCAACACGTTAATACAACAAATACAAGGACAAGTCTCACAGCCAGATTTGGTTAAGTCAGAGAAGTAGGGGTGAGGGACTGGCAGGTTCAGAAGAGTTGCAACAGTCAGGCTGGACAGAAAGTGAACAGTGGAAGTGCCAGTGGTGTTACTTACGTGTGCAGGGAAAGGCTGGAGTCTTGTCCTGCTCTCTTCAGGGTGGTCCACTTCTCCCAGTGGGAGATATGGTTTCTGACCTGATCCCGTCTCGTACATGGACATGGGCCTACTGCCCCGGGCAGATGGACGTCGCTTTAAGGAAGAGTGGTTGGAAGTATCTGTGTACTCAGAACCAGTTTGCACCTGATATAAATTGGTTGTGGACTGTTTCCTGAGGTTCGAATTTTCACTCTGGAGTGTTTGAAGCTGAAAGAAATGTTTGGCAGTGGGACTGTGTTTTTCCACAGCAAGCAGAGAAAGTAAACACATACAATTACCAGCTTTAAACAATAAGAACAACAGCTAGCTGGGTTGTAAGTAAAAGGCAACTACAAACACAAACTCTCTTCTGGAGTGAGCGAAACACAATCAACTTACTTCATCACTTAAGCAAACTGAATAGTTTAATTTCTGGAAAAACTGCAGTTTGGGCTTTTTAAAAACAAAATGTACAATTACTTAAGAATTGGTCATGGGAAATGTCAACAGGCAAGCTGTCCTCTTAAGAATTATTTTAAGGTTGCTTCAAGCAAGAGCTTGAGATCATTAAAAAATACTTAGGTAACTTGCTTTTCAAACGAACACTAAGCAATTTATTTGCAAATGCCAAAAATGCCAGCAGACACCATGGAAGCAGCACAAAGATAACTAGAGTTGCTTTGCAAAGCAAGAAAAAGAGTGAAATTCAGCTTATGAAAAATCAGATCAGCTACTGCTCCCCAAAAAGCCAACAAGAAAAATTATTATCAACATGTTTTTATTATATAATACTCTTGACATCAAACAATTTAGCACTTTAAAAAAATAGAGGGAACTGAACAATGTAAGTATGCTATATTAATATAACATGAAGACAACTGGAGACCTATGAACTATGTTAACATCTTCAGCTGAACGCTCAACGTAGCACACTTGCGTCCCTCTGGCGATCAGTCAACTTTCAGCCAGGACTGGAATATCTGGCCTTTCTCTCCTTTGACTTTGTCACCCAAAATGTGACCACGGAGGTGTCAGCTTTAACCACGCTAATACGTCTGGCACCACCCCATTATAATTAGAGGCTGTCACCCGGAGACCCTGAATGCTCTTTCCACTCCTCACATGCAGGCTGCTTCATGGTGTTGGATGAATTAGTTAAGGGATCAGCAAGGAATCGGGTTACTCTTTAGTGGCTGGCATTTTAAACACAATTTAACTGAGTCCAGTTTGCAGTGTCTTTCCCCTCTGGTGCTGCTTCATCTTCCATGATATTTTATAAGCTGGGTGTGTATGAGTTCAGCTCTCTACTCTCTGACAGAGATTGCAAAATCTGACCAAATTCCCCACCATGGCCAAGCTTTTAGTCCACAAGCAACCAGAAGACCATTACTCTTTCAATAGCAAACACATTCAATGTTAGGAGTTACTTTCAATTTCTATTCAGAAAGCACCGATGTGTGAAAAATACACCAATAGTAGCTGCTCCTCTTCATTAATTAGCATCCTTTCCAAGCAACTGTTAAATGTGAAAGATCAGATATAAATCATGCTACTTTGTCAACTACATAGGTATCTATAAACAACCTGATTTTGAAATAAAATCAATGCATCTTTGCTAAAATAAACAAGTTCTACACACTTTACATTAAAAGTGCCAAAGTTTTGTGACACTGTGCTTACTGCCTCTTCCAAGAAATACCCTCTTTCGCAGTTTTCTCCAAGAGTGATCCATTAAGGAATAAAAGACGGGCTTTCTTTTATGTACAATGCTCTTATCAAAAAGAACAGCTGTCCAGTGACAAGCAGTCACTGAAAAGTCCTACATTCCAGGATACACACAGGCATGAGGTGACTGCCAAAACTATTTATTAAGGAAACCCTTGTCTCGAAGTGAAAAGGTCACGGTCCAAAGGGCAGGGAGCTAACCGACACAGACCTCTCAAGGAAGGGCTGGCAAACCTAGCCATACATTTGTCTGGCTATGTAAAAATCTTTTTATGCCTCTAAAACATCAGCCTGGATTTTGTTTGAATGTGTTTTGATGAGCACAATTTCCTGGTCTCAATTTTTAAAAATTCTGGTATGCTGTAATTAGAGATATTCTCAGATAAATTTGAATGATGCTTCTAATACAAACTTTTTTGTCCAGAAAGAGTACAACAGGGAATGAGAAGTCATAGTTTAACAGCAGTTAATAAATAATCAAAAGCATTTCTAAGAATTGAGGAGATAATCCACAAACAATGGCAAATAATTTCACTCTGCATTTCTTAAAAAAGCTTGAGACATTTGTTTTCAGAGATACACGGTTATCTCTGGCAACTTCTAGAAATACTAAAAGGAGCATTACAGAATCAAAAAGGTGATGCTTAGCAGATTAATTACAATGGCACAGTCAGCATATGTCAGAAAAAGTCACCTCAACTAATATATTAGTTCAATTAAGGGGACAAACTATAATCCATTAAATAAAAGACGTTTTATAAACGACAGAGGAAGTGCAAACCCTGTATGGTACAGCAAAAGGGGTCTTTGTCTTGCTCATGGCTGTACACTGGTCCCAGATAGGGATAAAATGCTACAGAACAAGTATTTGATCAAAATCTGATTTATCTTCAGGCATTCTTGTTCACCTCAGTTATACATATTATAGTCATTTATCTCAGCTCTCAAAAATGATGGAGAACTCAACACCAAAAGAATCCTAGGCCAAACCACAGGCGAGGTGCACTGCTGTAATTACTTCCCTGACAGCTTCTTTTTAGTTCTCCTGCCTTCTTCCAGGAAGTATCATTGAGAAGGGCCCACACACCAATAAAATGAATGATGTCCTGTTCTTGGTAATAACTCTGAAATGTTACCGAGTATGAAGACATAGACATTATACTGTTTTGTTTCTGTTTAAGGGAAATATACAAAATCTCATGTTTGTAAATTCTTGGGCAGAATTGAGAATTTTTCAACTTCTTTTTCTTAGCATTCCCGTAACGAATTATACACATATAGGGATAGGATAGAATGTTACAGAACATCCTATTAAGCATATTTTTTGCTATTACTAATAATAGTAAGCATATTCTTTGCTATTACTATTGCCATGCTCTTTTTAGGAATTAATGTATTCATGTATTTCTGACTCATAAATCAGTGAATGACAAAATGCTAGCAAAAAGGATAGTTTCTTACTAGTTCTTGCCACTGCACATGAAATGCTTTTTTATATTTATTGAGAACCTACTCTGTGGCAGACCCTGCTCTGGGCTCTGAGGATATCACAAATTAGTGGTAAGTACTGGCGAAAAAGAAAGCAGGGATATGGACAGGGTAGCCAAGGTAGTGGTAGTGATGGGTAACAATTTAGAATAAATGTGAAGAGGGAGAACACCCCTTGCATGGCATCGGGGTTAGGGAAGGGTGTATAGGGGAGCTGGAATGCTGCCAAACACATCCACCTGTCCAGGGTTTTTGTCTGTCTTCATGGTGAGATTACGCTTTAGAACCAGCAGTAGAAGAGTCTCACCCATGGAGAGGTATCCAGGTTCCCAGGAAGCACAGAATAATTCAAGTATTACTACAACTGACACAAACAATAGGTTGTTATATTTCTCCTACTTGGGAAACTTCCTCCGGATTTAATTCTAATCAAAGCTATTTCATTTGAAATATCCAAATACATACTGCTTCCAAAAAGACAGCTTGGCCCAAAGACTTTTAGAGGTCTATCAAAAGTACAACTGTTTTTTGTTTTTTTGTTGTTTTTTGTTTTTTTCATTCTGATCACAAGCATTGCGCCTGGGATTCTTCCTTATACTATGGGGTTAAAGAGTCAATTATCCTGGCATTTATTAACATGTTACCTTTTTCTGCATAATTCTCAGCTCGTCACTCAAGTTGTTATTCACCTTCATTAGCTGTTGTATCTTGGCCTCAGAAGCCACTAGAGCGTTTTTGACCTCCATAAATTCCTGTACAGTGACTGGTCCATCTGATAAATCTGAATCTAGGCTCTAAAAATAAATTGGGGAAAATGTTCACAATCTGAGATGATAACATTCAAGACTGACAGCTAAAGAATTTCAAATTCTGATCATGCCAGCTGGATTGCAAAGTTAATCAAACCAAATAAAGGCTTCTGAGAGTAAAACAAAACTAAAACATAAAGGTAGGATTACTACAATATATTTGAAAATTTTTAAAGGCACTATTTTCTAAGAGATTAGACAGTGGGGCTGAAAATCTACTTTGAAATTGACTAAATGCATTTGTCTTATCTAGCTTTCTCTTGATCATTTTTTTTTTAATTTATTCTTTCATGAATGCATTCATTCCAACAGATTTTTATATGCTAGTAATCTAAGGGCCTGGTATAGATCAGAAAAGATAACAAAGATTCCTGCTTCCATGGTGTTGACATCCCAGCAGAGAGAGAGGAAACAAAAATAAGTATAACACAAGAGTATAACAAAGTGGTACGTGCCGTGTAAAATGGGTAAAATGAAGCAGGGTAAGGACCTGGAAGCTGAAGTAGGTGTGAAGGGGGGTACATTTTAATTAGGCAAGTGGGGTAAGCCTTTGGTAGGTGGACTTGAGCAATAGTCCAAAAGAGGTGAAGATATTAGTTGAATGGCTATCTGGAGAGAGAACATTCCAGCCAGCAACAGAGCTCAGCTAGAGGGAGCAGGTATTCAGGGCAGGGGGTCTGGGGTCATCAGTCCACTAAGGACCCTGTCATGTAGGGTCTGGTCATGACTTACTCTGAGTGAACCCAGTGATTCTGGGGAGTTTGGGCAGGAGCATTTCAGACAGGATGTATGACATTCTTGCCATTCCCTCCATGTTCCCTCCATCATGTAATGCACCACCATGTTACATTGTATGAGCTGGAAAACTCCAGGCACACCATCTATAAGTCTAGCTCCCCACTTTAAACATCTGGCTCATTGCCAAGGCCTATCCACTCTTTCTTCCTGTTTATCCACTCTCCAATGTTTGCGGGTCCTCATTGTGGGCCAGGTCCCAGGGAAGGTCCTGGGGATTCAGCAATGCGTAGACCAACCAGATCCCTGCTGCCATGTCCTCAGGCTAATATTTTGCTACAGCAACTTCTCTCTCTCTGCACCCTCCTAGTTCAGGTCCTGAGGCAGCCTACATCAGTGCCTGTTTGAACTTCTTTAGGAGTTTCCTAACAGGGTTTCCTTCCTCTAGCAGAACAGTCCTTCCCCCCCAAAAAAGGAGGACCCAACATGGCTCTGAGCATCACCTTCCTGTCCTGCTAAAAGCTTCCTGGCTCTGGACTGCTCACCAAATTCTAGGTTCCTCAGTCTGGCAGCAAGGTCCTCTGTGGTGTGACCCCAACCTTCTGTTGCAGCTTTGAGTACCAATCTTTTTAGGTTGGCCCTCACATGACCAGGTTTCCCTAGATGTCTGTTTCTTTTTCTACCGTAGATGCCTGTTTCACCAGCTACCCAGACCATCCTTCCCTGCATCTGCACATGTACTGTTTATGACACACCTGAAAAACAATCCCACTCATAAAGCCTCCCCAGATATGCTTCCTCAGCATTAAGTTTTATTTTTTCTCACCCCTTATACCCTGTCTCTGTCTGTGCTTCTTATAACACTATCACTTTGTACCTCCTACTGCATTTATGTCTCCTGGTTGGCAGGAACAGTCTCACGGGAAAGGGGCTAGCCTCATTCAGCAGAGTATTATCCAGAATATAGCACTCAGTAAACATTTATTGAGTGAATAGAAAACACCAGTTCCTCCTCACAAGTTTTATAAAGTCACCACTATAGTATGGTTGTGATTTAGCAATTGACTCAGAGACTCAAAGGAACCCTCTATTTAAGAATTATTTACCTTGTTTCACTTTTGCTTGGCCAAGCTAGTAGTGAAGTCAACTTTACCTCCCAGCACTTGCCCAGAACAACCCTTAAATAATTTACAAATCAGGCGATTTTTTGGGAGGAAAAATTTTAGAAACATTCGCCCTTTGTGTACAATGTGTCACCTTACCTTCTGCCTGTTTGCCTTGGGGGCAATGGCTTCCAAATCTGTGTCCTCATCTGAGGCCACACTGTCATAGTCAGGCTGGTCATTGTCTTGGCACTCAACACTGTGCTGGTTATTGATTGCTTTCAGTATGAGCTCCACGTTGTCTATCAACAAAAGCAAACACATTACTTTAGGCTAATACAATTTTTTTCCCATAAAAATATTAGGAGGGTTTTGGGGTCTGGCCATTTGAAAGACTGAAAGGACAGAAATAACCAATGGAGGGATAACAGTAACTGATCAACTATCCAGGTGGCCTACTGTAGCAGCACAGATACAAGCACCCTTCTAGACACTTACCAAATGTGGGCAAATTAAGAAGCTGGTTTCAGAAAGAGACTGTTCATACTAAAGAGACAGGTTTCAAGTTTCTAGTGATTCAATGAGATAGAGTGTGGCTTCAAATCAGGAAAATAAAGTTATCACTAAATGTGATTCAACTGTAATTGTAATCTGTTTACAAGGTAATAATGATTTGACATTATTGTGTTAACAAGTTACACTAGTGTTAAAGAGGAGCCTAGAAATTAGATGCTCAAAGAGCAGGTACATTGGCATTGAGTCAGCTAAATGTCAGTGACAGAAAGAGGAGAATGATCCAGTGGACACACATCCAGAAGATATGGTTTATGGGGAGCAAGGATGTTTATAATTCTAATATGTTCCAAATAAAAGATTTCAAAAATTATCTAAGTAATTCTAATTTCTTTCAAGCAACTCAAGCTAACCCAATTTTCAATACTGTTTCTGTGTATTTTGATGTCATATTAAGGTAATAAGTTATGTTTACTTACAAGGAATTTTAATTTTTTTGAAATTGATATTTCAAATATATGTCATCTGATTACAGTATAAAGACTCAATACAGAAAATCTGAAACTATAAATGAGGAAAAAAGAATTATCATTCATACCCACTGACATATTTCAGTCTACTTACTTCTAGTCTTTTTCCCCCTAAACATAAAACATAAAGTCAATTCTCATTTTTTGCTATAGGAAGTTCTATAAGGTTAATGTTCTAAGTGGAAATATGGGGTTAGGTTTTTGTGAGACTGATGACATTTTCATCAACTGATCAGTACATAAACTTGTTTTATGTGTTTGTTCAAAGATACCTTCTTTACTACATATTGTTGACTCTGCAGCTCACAAGCACTGTTGAGCACTGTAACTCATGACTGACTGCATTTTATCTAGCACACCTCAGTATGTCAGGTACCTCAATGTACTGTGCTCAGGACATCTAGACAGCACTTCAGCACTATGCTTAGGATAATTTTAAATAGCAAGATCACCACAAAAAGCACAAAAATATGTGGAAAACGTGGCACTAAATAGGCCTCGAAAAGGACACCTGCTTACTACTGTATGAGAGCTCTAACAAAAAGCAGAGGGTGGCCTTGCTCAATGTCAGCAGGGAACCTGTGTTGGGTGACTCAAATTTTTTGCAGCTCTGTACATGTCCACAAATTACCATGAAAGCACCATGAGTACTGATTTGGGGTTGCAAATAAACTTTAGCTAATAGGCAAATTTGCAAATATAAATATAATATTTATATTTATAGGTGATATGTTCACTTATCTGTATGTATATAAATGTTTTCTTTATCAAATTGGGCCATACTACAGCTTAATTACTCTATGTCAATTCATAAATTTTAAGGAAAAAAAGTCTATACTTTTCAAATATGTGACTATTATTTTGTTTCGAATTTTTTTAGTGTTATATATTACATATAAATCTATGGTTATTTTCCTTCAATTAACACTTAAAAATGGAACCACCAAATCAAAGCATGTATATTTTGAGACTTCAAATTCAAGAAAGGACTGCTATAACAGTACCTTCACTTAAAACTAATAAACTTTCTTAGAACATGTTTATTCCTGGTTGAACCAATAAAATCAAGAACAAATTGCTGCCATGAACGATTATTGTCTTTGGGGGATTCGATACTAACTGACATTTTTAGGGTACATATTTCTTCTGTTCAAAGGTCTTACAATAAAAATACATTACTTCTTTAATTAGGAAAAATTGCAGTTATAATACCTGGGATGGAGAGGAAGAGGGTTCCTAAATACAGAGACAGGACCCTCAGTTACTGAACTAAAGACTCACAGGGAGCCTCAGGAATAGGCGATCATGCTCTCTTTGTAATTTTAAATAACAGCAATTCCCACTGTAGATATTTTAAGTTTACAGTAACAAATTTCAATTATTTAGCACTCCATTTTGTAGGGAAAGAGCAGGTAAGATCTAATTCAGTCTTTGCAGGAGTTAATTTCAGGATACAATTTCATAGGGAAAAGAACTGTTTGTAAGACAGATCTGACTAGCAGTTAGTAATGCTGAAATCCTTATAATTCACCAGGCTTAAAGGGGTAAGTTTTTCATCAAAACATATTACCAATAAAACTTATGCTGTCACAATGATAATTATTTAAATTAATTTATAACTTTAACACTTGTATCAAGTTTAGAAGGCCAAGGAAGCAAATATTTAGAGCTTTGAAACAGTTACCTTTTGAACTAGAGAGAGGACTGCCTTGTTGTCTCCTCTTGGCATCACTGAGAATATCAATAACCAGGGTGGCAAATTCATGGGCATTAAATCGAGCTAATTTCTGTCTGCCCTAAAGGTCAGAGAAAATTAGAAATATTCCCAAATATAAAAATACAATAATATCCACATAAAATTAGTCAGACTATTGCTAGATTTTGGCAAAGGCGGTTTAGCATGATCAAAGCATCAAAGCATTATAATCATAATCAAGTCAATTATTAACACTATCCTTGCAGTTTTAAAACATTTACATAAGAGTTCTCACATTGCGTATTTATTTTTGTGAATAAAAACAAATGTTCTACTTAATGCTTTTCTTCTACTATCAATTCAGTCCTGAAGTAGACCTCATAGTGAAAACTTAATTTGAAAGAAAATTTTTAGATTTCAATGTAAAGTCCAAACATTGGGACTCCATCCTTGTACATAGCCATTACTCAATAAAAATTAGAAGACCTTCCTAAGGTTCTCTTGATGGATGCTTAGGCTGTTTAAATGCTCTGTTACTATACAGAGTTGTGGTGAAATCACTATGCATAAATCTTTATATTTTTATTTTTCAGAACATGTTCTCAAATAAGGAATTCCCATGTGAAAGGATGCACTAAATTTTGAAACTTCTGAAACTGGTAACAAATTGCTTTACTGAAGCCTGCACCAATTTTAAACTCTTTATTTGTAGCATGAGAAAGCCCATCTTACAACATCCTTAGCAGGTTGGAGTAACCTTCATTATAAACTTTATTAATTTGACTAATGAAACTTTCACTAAAGACTTTAGGGTGGTGGTTAGGATTACTAATGGGGTTAAACATTTCACATATTTAACCCATTTATATTAATTCTATGAATTGTTTTACATTTGTCTGCAGTCATTTATTTACATAGATCACTTTTGTTATCAATTTGTGAGGGTATTTGTGTGTGTGTGTGTGTGTGTGTAAAGGATATTAACATTTTCATCAATCTAAACATTTTAAACGCCTGTCCTGAGAAAATAAGATATAACATCAACCATTCCCAAAATACTATCACTTTTTTGACTCAGTTACTTGCCTGGTTCCGTGTGGATGAGTATTCAGGATTAACCGGAAGGAAGGGGACGACAGTTGTCTCCGTTACCAGGGTGCTGTGGTTTTGCGTGGCAAGCCAGACTAGCCGAGGAAAGAGCCAGAGATAGAAATCTCATCATCACGGGTGTGTCACTGCCCACGTTACTAGGGAGACTTGGGGGGGGGAGGGGAGCACATTTCCAAGCAACATACACATAGGTAAATGTGGACACACACACACACACACACGCTTTTGGGGCAGCAGGAATTGGGCAAAACATTGAGGGTGGCAGCTAGACACTGCCCACTGATAACAGCTTATTAGATAATGACCACATGTTAAGTCACCTGCATCAGTTTCTCGCCTGTCAACTTCATCGTACACATCCATGGCAAGTTCTTCAAACAAGTGATTACTTAGCTGAAAGTAAAAAAATATCAGGAACACAAGGGACAAGAATTAACACTGGGAGAATGCGCAAAGACTGTGACTTATCCTCTTTTATCTCCGGTTTTAGCCGAAGTCAGAGCTTAGTAAATCCCCACCTTTAGACAGTAACATTTCTAACAGTACAGATTCCTCTGGAAACATTTGTCCCCCAAAAGCAGCCTATTTTCTGATATTCAGATTAGATTTCACTCTAAAGGTGGTAACAGGGACCTAAGGAGCGTGATTGCAGAAGCGGGGTCAAGTTCTCTACTTTTTTTGAAATCACCTCGTGAGAGTATTTGCCAGTACCCCCAAATACATGGCAGCCTAAGCCAGAGGTAGGAAAAAGAAACTAAAACATGCCACCTAGATCGGGTTAAGTCTCTTTGTTATCTTTCACAGCAGCAGTCTTCCAATCCTTAAAACAACCGAGCACCCCCAACAGAGGACGGCCTGTCCAAGCAGTATGCTGTACAGTGGCAACCAATAAAACCAGCCTGACACAGATGGGGGTACGCCTGGCAACAATCAAGGTGGGTAGGACAATCAGGGCCTTCCTGACTTCCTGAGTCAGGATCTAGCTCTCTCCATACTTTTTTTCCTCACACAATAACCCCTAAAAGCTTGGTGGCTGCTTTTTAACTGACTGCTTCCCTCCTCTGTGAGGGCAGGGAATTTGTTCTGTCCTCTACTGTGTTCCTTACATCCACACAAAGTATCTGGCACATACATACAGCTGTAAATATCCACTCACACAATGACCAGAAGATATATTATGCAGCAGTTTAAAATGCTGGCTATACAAACCTCAAGGCAACTTGTGAAAATGGGTACAACAGACTGTCAGGTGGAAAAAAGGAGAATATAAAATTCTATCATTATGATTCAGCCTCAACTGAAAAAGATATACATATGAAACAATAATTGAAAAAGAATATACCAAAACAGTGAACTTAAATCCATCAGGGATAGTTATCATGATTGTAGATAATGTCCCTTTTCTATTTTCCAAAGTTTCTCTAGTGTGGCTACATTACATTTATAATTAAAAACAAAAACAAAATAAAAAACTCTGAGGGCCTTTTGGTGGATAAGATGATGAAGGACTGAGAACTTGAACTTGCATCATAAATATCCAGTCTCTTTCCTCCAAAAGGCTCCAAGCTAACGGTATTATTACTAACAACTACAACAGCAACACTGAATAGGGACTTATATTTCTCCTATAAGTACTCATGCCTCTACGAAGATGCAAACTACTATTATCCTAATTTACAAATAAGGAAATTGAGACACAGTCAGTATGTTGCCTGAAGTCACAAAGTGGGTAGTGATGGACCTTCGATTCAAGGTTAAGTCTTCCCAAATGTTAACATTTACTAACTCAAAGACTATATTATAGTTTTTGTTACATTTTCCCAGCTTTTCATTAGGAAGGGGGAGGAGATGGAAGATACTGAATGAGATACACTAGCACTGGCACTAAGAAGAGTTGTCACCTGTGAGTAAATGATAGGTTGGAGTTAACAAGCAGCAAGGCAGCTCATTTTTACTGAGTAGTTCTGATTTGCAACCCCTGCTGGATAATTATTCCCCTTTTTCTAGGAAAGGAAACCAAGGTACAGAGAGGCTAAGGAGGATGTCAGCGCTGAGATCAGTATATGACCAGTTGACCCAAAGTCCAAGTTCTTGGGACTATACCTCAACTTTATCACAGGTAATTAACTAGTGCTTGCCACTGCTAGAGTTATTACAGCCCTAACCACGCTTTCCTGGAGCTGCAGCATAGCAAGTGTAGGAAAGTCAAAGGGAACTTGGATTTCATGGGTGATGTTTGAATTTAAAATAAAAATTTGCTATACACTGTACGTAATTAAAAGGAAATCATACAATATTTAGTGCTGACTTCAATACTACTTGACCTCCTTGATTTAAAAAGGCAATAAAACACAGACACACAAAACCATAGATAGACAACACAGAGACACCGAGTATATTGTATAAAATAATTTATTTCATATTACAGTTAAATGCTAGTAAAGATAAATTTATTTTTATGTAATATTTAGTATTTGTATGAAGTTCTAGTAAAAGGTCTTTCATGAAAAGGGGAATGAATTAAGAGAAAAGTCATAAATTAAGGAGTTGCAATTTCAGTTAGGCCTTGGGAAAACTACCTAATGTGAAGGTGGTTAGATTTTCAGCTAAAAATTTTTAGCTCCTTGCATGATTACAGGGGTGGAAACTGGGAAAGAGGAGCACTGCAGGCAGAAGAGGCTTCCTGAAAGAGGACGGGGAGTGGCAGCTCATAGTCTCAGTGTGTCAACTCATGAAAAAACATTCAAAACACACACAGGATGAGAAACAGGGCAAGAACTAAACGGTGAGAGTTGGATGATGCCCTTAAAGGTTACAAAAGGAAGAATCTTCGTTCTGATTCAGAGAGTAATGGGGACAGCTGAGGAGCATAAATAGTTAAAATAGCTGGGGAAGAACCCTGGTGAAGTTTCATTTGAGGGGACTAAACAAAGAGAAATCATTCCCAGAGAAAAATATTTCTTGGGGCCCTGGCTAACACTGAGGTGGGAAGGATGGAAAGAAATGCATAGGTTAAAGGAAATGCACAGAGGGCAAAACCACCAGCTCTTAGAAGCATACACTTACACAGTCTAATGAATAGCACAGGACTGGCAGGAGAGCTCCAACAGTAGCTGGACCCCAGTGGTAGTTAGCAAATCTGCAGTACTTACCAATCCAGCATTAGCTTTGATCATTCTCTAGCATCCTAGAGGCTACAGAGTAGCCTGTAAGAACAGTGTCTTACTCATTAACATTGAGAGATACTAGGGAATGCTCACAAGAAGAAACAAAGTCCTAATATCAAAGGAACAGTTTTCACTTTTAAAATGACAGAGGAAAATGGCATTATTTGAAACACAGATAATAAATTGGTCATACTAAACTTAATAGTAATTTCAGTCTTCATTGCTATATACACAATGGTCGTCTAATTTAACAACATCAAAGAGCATGAAATAAAGTCATTTGATACAACAGGTAACCTGCAGAGAAAAGGTATTAGCGGGTTACATGGATTCCTATATGGGCGTGCACTAGGATACAGAGATACTCACAGATTGAAGTTTCTTCTTAGCAGCTTTTGCCAATTCAGACAAATCCAGGCTGCTAAGAAAATGTACAAAACTAATAAGCAAATGAAACCATTTTTGTGAGATTAATATAGGCAAGGGATCAAGATATTAATTAGTCTTCCATGGACATGGCCAAGATTAAAATGCTATAGCACAACAGTCAGTGAACCACTAGATTAAAACAGCCTGATTGATAAAAGTAACTCCTTCTAGAAATATCATAATCTTCTAAGATCATAACAGGAAAAAATAATCATCTGCCAACTGAAAGACAAAAACCATTGCCAGATCAGTCCTCAGGCCCTTATGTGAGAAGTCACTATTTTTGAAGTATTATTTAAAGAATGATAGAAGAAAATGCAAACAGGGAAGGCTGAAAATCAGAATGGCAAGATAACAGCTGAAACAGCATTTAATTATTTTATAAACTCTTGACAATGGTTGTACAAAGGTCACTGGCTAAGTAGAGGCTTAAATATATTCCTTAGCCAAGAATCCATCTGACCTCACACAAGGAGTCAGCAGCCCCCTGAGTTAAGAATGGCTTTCATAACTTAAAATGGTTGGGGAGAAGAGGGAGGAGGAACAAAGGCAGAATATTTCATAAAGTGAAAATTACATGAAATTCAAATTCAGTGTCCAGAAATAAAATTTCATTAGAACAGACACAAACTCCCTTTACACAGTGTCCGTATATGCTTTCCTCTACAAATGGCAGAGCTGTGTAGTTGTAACAGAGACTGAATGGCCCACAAAGCCTAAAATATTTACAATCTAACCCTCCCTTAGTGGCAAAAAATTTGCTAATAGAGAAAGAATATACTTATAGACAAAGAATATACTTAATACAGAAATATTGTGAACAGCATCTAAAGTCATAATATACTATCACAACTGGCTGAAACTGTGACATTATCACTGACTCCAATTTTCTTATTAGTAAATCTGGTACTTGTGCTCTTCAAACTTAAGTTTTATATGATAGTTTACTTACAGCCGTCTTATTTCCAAATTGTATAGCCATAAAAGAGAAAAATGTATGGGCTTTGTTAAACACAAGATACAATACACTTAAACACTATACAACCAAGGAAATATCAGTGACAAAGTTGATAGGTATTTAAATGGACTTACCTGTCTGCCATTTGAGGTATTATAAAGTGCTGTCCATTTTTGTGATCTGAAACAGAAACCATGCCAAAGTTTTGTTCATATAAATATTGATAAGATCTGTAAAGGAACAACATCAATTTATGTTTTGCAAATAGTATTTTCCTATAACTGAATTACAAGGTGGGGATGGAAGTTACCAGATTGACAACAAATTCCTGAAGAACTGGTCAGTAGGAAGGATATCCTTATTTCTGGTACAAAGGTTCAGACATCACTAAGCAAATAAAGTCACATTCCTTGTACTTCATTCATCCCCAGTATAACTGGTGATCTTCACCCATAGGAATAACATTTAGGGAACTGAATTTGCTCAGAGCAAGATTCCTTTAGCTCTCCATGTGGGATGGTGACGCTTCTTCGAGTTTTATTTCATGGCTCACTTTCAAATTAATCAACAGTCAGGGCTGGGGTAAGTGGTTTTGGAAATAGACAGGTTCCATTTCTTACAATGCTTACTGACAAGGCTCATCTAGCTTTTGGAGGATATTGATCACATGCCAATGAAGCATGCCACTGTAAGCATTCACACACAGGTTTTTGTGTGAACATATATCTCTATTTCTCTTGAGTAAATGCCGAGGAGTGAGACTATTGGTTTATATGGTAGAAGTGTAAGTTGGTAAGAAATTGCTAGATTTTTTTTTCTCAGACTAGTTTTATCATTCTATATTCTTTTTATTTTAAATAATGACTTTTATTTATTTATTTTTAAAGATTTTATTTATACAAGAACTGGGGTACAGGTCAGAGGTGCAGGAGGGTGAGAGAATTCACCAGAGACAGAGCGGGAAGCAGAACAGGCAGATAGACCAAAGACAATGCTGAGGGGAGCAGCGAGTGAGACAGGAGAGGTCTGCTGCACCATGTGGGTTTCTCCCTGGCCAGCTGGGAATAGAACCTGCACTGCAGAGGCTGGGGACAGTTTCACTGTGCGGTACTCAACCTGCGGTGCCACCGGGGAGGCCCTCATTCTATATTCTAACCACCAATGTATGAGTTATAGATGTTCTGTATCTTCCCCAGAACTTGTACTGCCAGCTTTTCTCTTTTATAAAAAAAAATTCAGTCATTTTAATAGGTATACAGTGATATCTCATTGTGGCTTTAATTTGCATTTCCTTAATAGTTAATGGTCCTGGGCTTCCCTGGTGGCGCAAGGGGTTGTCTCAGCACTATGAAGCTATTGGCCAGGGAGCTGACCCACATGGAGCAACAGACCTCGCCTGTGCTCTCCCACTGCTCCCCTCAACAGTGTATTTCAGTAGATCTGCCTGTTCTGCTCTCCACTTTGTCTCTGGTGAATCCCCTACCCCACCGCAACTCTGGCCTACACCCCAGCTCTTGTATGCATAAATAAATCTTCTTTAAAAAAATAGTTAATGATCCTGACCTCTCTTCATGATGGATATGTGATTTTCAAATATTTTCTCTTAATCTGTAGCTTGTCTTTTCATTGCCTCCTTTTTTTTAACCCCAAATCAGTAACAGTTTTTATTGCATCTTAAAGACCTCACAACTAAGTCTGAGGAATCACCCAGCGTCTTACCTGGACAACTCAGATCTTATTCATCAGCCTGTGGAACTGTTCTTTACAGATAACATAGATATACTACTCTAAATTTCCTGCTCTCTTTGCTTTTAACTATTGTGGTTTGCTGAATCTAAACAGCTGAATTTGATACAAGTTCAATGTCGTTTCTTTTAAGAATTAACTCATCTATCTGGGCTTGAGATAATGAACAAGGAACATTTACTCTCATGTGCACTCTGAGGTTGAATTTTTCACCCAAGAAACTTGAAATTTCAACGACACCCATTCTCCTGAATAACAATGGTGATGAGGAAGTGAACACACACAGACCTCATCTTGCAGGGGAAGCCCAGTGGAACACTCTTGATCATGTTCTACACGTGACTATACACAGTGCAAACAGTAGCCAATTCCTTTCTATTTTCCCACCATTTGTCAACCCAGGGCCTCTTCTTTCTTTCCAAGGAGACTGACACTGATGTGACTGAAGTCCCTCTGCAGGGTGTGTCTGGGGCCCTTCACAATAACAGTGCAACCCTTCAGGGAGATGTTGACGTTTTTCTGGAATGTCGACAGTATAAATGCTGAGAATGGTCTTCATTCTCACAGTAGGTGAGGCAAAAAGACTCGCCCTTTCATTCTTTTAACTACAGTTTTCACATAGTAAGTTTTAAATTTTGACGAAGTCCAATTTATCAATATTTTCTTTTATGAAATATGCTTTCGGTGTTACATGTACTTTACGTAATCCCAGATGACAAAGATTTTCTGCAGTTTGCTTCTACAAGTTTTGTTTTACATTTTAGACTAAAATCTATTTTTGTGGAAGGTATGAGGCTTAGAATTCCTTTTGTGTACATGACTGAATATCCAGTTGTTCAACACTATATATTGGAAAGACAGTCCTTCCTCTATTGAATGGCCTTTGCAACTTTGTGAAAAGCCAATTGAACACATTTGTGTGCGTCTATTACTGGATTTCCTATACTGTTTCATTGCTCTGTGTGTCTGTCTTGTGACTACAGTCTGTGTGACTGTAATCACAGTCTTGAGCACAATGAGCTTCAAAATTCTTACTACTGCAAGTTCTACAATTTGGTGGTGATTCCTCCCACATTATTATCCTTCTCTGCAAAACTGTTTTAATATACTAGTTATATACACTAGTTCCTCTGTCTTTCCAGTTTCAGAGTTAGCAAGTCCATGTCTACCAAAAACATCCTTGAAATGTATTAACTTTACAAATTAATTTATGGAGAACTGACATATTAACTATATCAAGTCTTCCAAGCCACAAAGAGTATCTCTCCACTTATTCAGGTCTCCTTGATTTCTTTTATCAGAATGTTGTTTACAGCATACAAAACACACATACATTTTGTTAGGTTTATACTGAAGTATTTAAGTGAGAGCCAGTGAAAAATGGCTTTTTCCTAGTTTTGGCTTCCAATTGTCCATTGCTAGTCTATAAAAATGACAGACTTTTGGTTGATCTCCTTGTACTCTGCAGCCTTGTCAGATTCACTTCTTACTTCTAGAAACTTTATTGTAGCTTCCTTGGGATTGTCTACACAGAAATCATCCCATTTAAGAAAAGGGAGAGTTGCATTTCTTCCTTTTCAATTGGTATTCTACTTATTTATTTTTCCTATGTGATGGCACTGATTCAAATTTCCAGTGTAATGTTTAATGTGAGTGACTAAGAGTGGACATCCTAGACTTGACTCTGATCTTTGGGCAAAAGCATTCAGTCTTTCATACATGAAGGATGACATCAGCTGTGGGCTTTATATATCTACTCTTTTTCAGGTTAAGGAACTCCTGGATTGCTACACTTTTTTTTTCTTTTATACTGAAGAGATATTATATTTTGTTAGGTGATTTTTCAACATCAACTGATAAGATTACGTTGTTTTTCTTTTTCTAGTCTGTTAATATGATGGATTACATGGACTGATTTTCTTTTTTTTTTTTTTTTTAAAGATTTACTTATTTATACATACAAGAATCAGGGTACAGGCCAGAGATGCTGGGGGATGAGAGGATTCACCAGAGACAAAGTAGGGAACAGACCAGGTAGATCAACTGAAATACACTGCTGAGGGGAGCAGCAGGTGAGTCAGGAGAGGCCTGCTGCGCCATGTGTAGCTCCCTGGCTGGGGATCGAACTCATGCTGAAGCAGCTGTGGCGAGCTTCATAGGTCGCGTCTTAACCCCTTGTGCCACCAGGGAGGCCCTACGTGGACTGATTTTCAAATATTTAATCAGGTTTGCATATCTAGAAACCCCACTTGATTGTGTTGTATTTTCTTTTTATTTATTGTTGGAATCAATCTGTTAACATTCTATTGAAGATTTTGGTGTCAATGTTCATGAGGGCTATTTTTTGTGCTGTCTTTGCTGGGTTTGGTGTCACAGTAATACTGGCCTCATATAATGACTTGAAAATATTCCCTCCCCTTCTAATTTCTAAAAAGTATGTAGAATTGGCATTATTCTTCTTCAAATGATCGGCAAACTAGTCTTACATGCAAAACTTGAAATGTGATTGGAAACACTTAAAAATACGTGTTAAGAATCACAACTACAAAGCTAGCAAACCATGTGAGGCATAAGCCATGTTTATTACATTGCTACATGGTCACAATACTTCAGCTGGTTCATAACATTCACTAGTGAAATCATATGGGCCAGGGTTTTCTTCAAAGGAATGTTTTTAAATACAAATAAAATTCTTCAAAATGTATGATTATATATTTACATTATTTCTTTCTGTTTGTGTAGATATTGGTAGTTTGTGGTTTTCAAGGAATTGGTTCATTTTATCTAACTTGTCCAATTTATGTGCACAATTATTTATAATATTTTTTTAAATTATCCTTTAATGTTTATAAAGCTTGTAGTGACAAACCTTTGTACATTCTTTCCCTTTTTTGTATGGTTAGGTATTTATCAGTCTTATTGATCTTTCTGAAGAATTAGCTTAAATGATTTTTCTATTGTTCTTATCTTTCCTGCATTCTGCTTGCTTTGGCTTTACTTTGGTCATCCTTTCCTAGTTTCTAAAGCAGAAGCTTAGTCTAATGATTTGATACGTTCCTACTTTCCCAATATAAGAATTGAATGCTATAAAATTTCCTCTAAGCATTACTTAGCTGCAAATCTAAATAAATACATTGTATTTTCATTTCTATTCAGTGGAAAATATTTTCTAATTTCCTTTGAGACTTCTTAAATTCATGAATGACTCATAAGTACAGTTTAATTTCCAGGCATCTAGATACTTTTTAGTGTTACATTTTTGTTAGTTATTTCTACCTAATTCCAGCTTAATTCCATTATGGTCAAAGAATATACATGTTGGATTTTAATTCTTTTAGATTTGGTAATGTCTGTTTTATGACCCAGGATATGATCTATTGTGGTGAATGTTTGCTGTGTGCTGGAAAGGAATGTGTACTCTGATGTTGCTGGGTAGATTTTCCTATGCCAAGAACCTGTTGATAACTTGTTTCAGTTCAGTATCCTTGCTGATTTTTCTATCCACTAGTTCTGTTTTTAAAGAGGACTGTTAAATACGCAACAATAATTGTGTTTGTGGCCTTTCTTCCTTTCAGTTCTATCAAAGTTTCATGTTTTTTGAAGTTCTGCTATTGCACATATCCTCATTTAAAACTATTCTCTCTTCCGGAGAACAGACCCTTTATCTCATGTTCTGTCCCTGCTAATATTGGTACTTTGAAGTCATGTTTAAATAGCCACTCTCACTTTCTTCTTTCCTTGAGAGTTTGCACAGTATGTCTTTTCATTCGTTTTTGCTTTAAACTTAATTATCATCATATTTAAAGTGGGTTTATTATAGGCAGCATACAGTTAAGGGTTGTTTGTTGCTTTAAGTTCATTGTGACAACTTCTACTTTTAATTGGTGTGTGTGAATCACTTACGTTTACTGTAATTATTCATGTGGCTTGATACTACATTTCACTTTATGATTTTAACATTTATTTTCCATTTTGGCCTTAGTTGTTTTTCTCTATTCTCTTCCTCTATTCTTTTGAGTATTCTGAATAAAAATATCTTGATCGGGCCTCCCCTGGTGGCGCGGCAGTTGAACGCCGGGCTGCAGCAGCCCGCAGCCTCTACAGCACCGGTTTGATCCTCGGCTGCCTGCAAGGGTCCCACATGGTGTGGCAGACCTCTCCTGCCTCGCCCGCTGCTCCCCTCAGCAGTGTATTTTGTCAGTGCCTGTTCTGTTCCCAGCTCTGGCTCTGTTGAATTCTCTCACCCTCCCGCGCTTCTGACTGTACCCAGTGCTTGTATAAATAAATAAATCTTTTAAAAAAATAAAAAATTAAAAAAAAAAAATCTTGATCATTTGAGAAATTTTACACCCCATTTTAATCTGTCTCTAGAGAATGTGAATATTTATCTTTATATATTTTTAATGTTATGCTAGGGATTACAATACACATACTTAACTTTTTATGATCTACCACTTGAAGAAGAATGCAGAAAACTTCATCTTTTTTTACACTCTCCCCTTTTATCTATAAGCTGTCAAATATATTACATTGACATATACCGAAAACCCCATCAAACAATGTTAAACCTTTTACTTTCAACTGTCATATATACCTGAAATATATGAAAGGAAAATATAGTTTATTTTATTTAATGAGATATTATTATTTTTGCTGATCCTCTATCACTCCTGAAGTTTCAAGATTCCCTATATCTCCCAGAACTTTCTTTAGCATTTGCTTTTAATTCTCTGTTCCTTCACCTTAAAATGTTTTTATTTTGTCTTCATACCTGAAGGTTATTTTCATTGTATTTGGAGTTCTGCACTGGTATTTCTCTTCTTTCAGCACATTAAAAGTATGCTACTTCTTCATCCCCATGGCTTCTGATTAGAAATTTACAATCATTCAAATAAATGTTCTTCTATATTTTATGTGTATCTTCTAAATATTTTTCCCCCTGGCTGCTTTCAAGATGCTTTCACTGTCTTTAGCTTACAGAAATTTGATTTTGGTAAGTCTCAATGAGGATTTCCTGAGTATATAATGTTTATCTTTTCATATCTGTAAGTTTATTTTAACAGCCAAATGTCGTTTTTGACCAATATTTCTCTGCACCACACTCTTTCTCATAAAAGTCAGACCTTTTGATCTTGCCCCACAGGCCCGTAAGGCTCTATTCAGTTTTTTGTCTTTTCACTCTGGTTTTATACTCCCTGTTGTTCAAAGTGGATAATTTCTAGTGACCTATTTTGCTATTGTTTTCTTTTTAGTTCTTTTCACTTATTTATGCATACAAGAACTGGGGTGTAGGCCAAAGGTGTGGGGGGGGGAGTAGGGAGGAGAGGATTCATCAGAGACAGAGTAGGGAGCAGGACAAGCAAATCAACTGAAATACACTGCTGAGGGGAGTAGTGTGGGAGACAGGAGAGGTCTGCTTTGCCATGTAGGTTAGCTCCCTGGCCGTGGATCAAACGCATATTGGCGTGGCTGATGATAGCTTGATAGTGCTGAGATTTTTTTTTTTTTTTTTTTTATTTTTTTATAGAGGCATGCTTTTATTTATTTGTTTGCTGGTTTGTTTGTTTGTTTTTGTTTATACATGCACTAGGCACAGTCAGAAGCACGGGAGGGTGAGAGAACTCACCAGAGCCAGAGCGGAGAGCAGAGCAGGCAGAAGGACCGAAGTACACTGCTGAGGGGAGCAGCGGGCGGCAGGAGAGGTCTGCACGCCATGTGGGACCCTCCTCCGGTGGCCGGGGAGCAGCCGGGGATCGAACCGGCGCCGCAGAGGTCGCGCGCAGCTTCGCAACCCAGCGCTCAACCGCTGAGCCACCGGGGAGGCCCGATAGTGCTGAGATTTAACCCCTTGTGCCACCAGGGAGGCCCTCTAGTGACCTATTATGAATTCACTGACTCTGTCAATTCCATTCTGCTATTAAGCCCATCGTTATTATATTTTCATTTCTAACATTTTATTTGGTTCTTTTCTACATCTTGTGTTTCTCTGCTGAGACTTTCCACATCTCTATTTGTTTCACAAATGTTCACATATATGGGTCTTACGAATTGCTTTAAAATCTGATAATTCTAACATCTGTGACATTAGGATTGGTGTCTGTTGACTGCCTTTTCCCTCGGAAGTCTTTCAGATGTTCCTGGTTCTTCATATGTCAACTAATTATACACTGTATCTTGGACATTTTGAATACTATATGCTGTGAGACTCTGAGACTTCCTTACAATTGATGCAGAATGTTAATTTTTCTGTTTTATGAGGCAACTGACCAGGATAGGCTCTGCCCCCTGGTTCAAGTTGTGAGAGAACAAAGAAAATTAAAAGTAATCAGGATTCCCCTCACGCTCTTGGTCAGAGATTTAGGCACCTCTGCTGCCACTCTTTTTGCTACTTCTATAGTCATGGGATTGTCAAGGGGACAGGGTGGGAGAAAAAGGAAGAATTAGGAAAAATCCTAGGGAATCTTCCTGTTCTGTCCTTTAGGAGCCCTATCCTATTTCCTGCCCCTCAACCAGAAAAAGAAAGCATCTTTGCACCAGTTGTGCTGTTTCTGTTCTCAGGCTGTCATACAGGCTATTTCAGAAATAAAATAAACAGGTCACTCACCACCAGCTTGATGGTACTTCAAGATCCCTAATCTCCCAGCTAGCATTTACTTTCCAGAATCCTTACATAACTACTCCATGCATTTGGTCCCGGGTTTTAAATTATATTCAGAAGCAGGGACAAGTGGGGTATGCTTACTCCATCTCATCTCGAGCTGAAACATCACCAATTTCTTAACTCTATTGTACAACCAGAGTAGAAAATCACTGTAAGTATGTATGTGGATGTTCTACATCGGGGTTTGGCAAACTTTCATTAAAGGGCCAGCATGTGACTATTATAGCTTTGAGGCCATCTGGTCTCTGCTACAACAATCAATCTGCCACTGCAGTGGAAAAGCAGTCAGACAATATGTGCACGGATGGTGATGGTTTCCTTGCAATAAAACATCAGTTAAAAAAAAAGAATAGATGATAGGCTGGATGTGGCCCAACATCATGATTTGCCAACTCTGGTGCTGCATTACCAACAGCAACTCACTTTTGGACTTTTCCTAGTCTTTAGCCATCTTCTTAAATGGCTATAAAAACGATTGTTTTGCTCCTCCATTTCTGGTCCTTCATGTACAAGAACAGTTGTACACATTCAATTTTGGTTCAATTATGTTCTGATTCTTGAAATAATCTAGACCTTAAATAAAGTTTTAAAGACCAAAAATTCAAGGAGATTCAAGGGCTTATATATTATACACATGACTGAAAATGATGTTGTTATTTCAAATAGAAGTCTTTATTCACAATTTTCTTTCTTTTTATTTGATTTTATCATTTTATTCTGTAATAAGTGATGACATAAATCCCTACATATATAGCCTTTCTCTACAACTGTTAATTTCTGCAATTGTTTTTACTTTCATTTTGTTTTTATTCAAAATCTCTCAAGGATGTGTTAAAGTAGAGGAGATCATAAATAATAGTGTACCAACTTGTTTTTCCAGAGTCTGGCTGACTGGAGGTGTGGAGAGGCTGCTATCCTTTCACTTACCTGGTTTCCTGCCACAGAGATAGAAGGCTAGTCTGTCAGTCAGCTCATACTGTATTTCTACAAGGCGATCTGCCAACTCATGGTGCCCTCCTTGCCTACCAAGAGAAAACAAAGTACCATTGATATTGCTTACCAGCCACTGGCTCTAGAATAGAAAAGTACAGAGAAGTGTCCTGAGACATATGAGCAGTTTATCAAACATGACTTTTCAGAATAATCAACCTTTTTGTGTGACCTGTTAAGGTCTACTTTGATTCCCACCTTTATAATCTGAACTTACCCCCTTTTCTTTCTTCTTTTTTTTAAAGATTTATTTATTTATGCATACAAGAGCTGGGTACAGGCCAGAGATGTGGAGGGTGAGAGGATTCATCAGAGACAGAGTGGGGAACAGAACAGGCAGACTGACAGAAATACACTGCTGAGAGGAGCAGTGGGCAAGACAGGAGAGGTCTGCTGTGCCATGTGGGTTGCTCCCTGGCAGGCTGGGGATCGAATTCGTGCTACAGAGGCTGCAGACTGCTTCATAGTGCGGTGCTTAACCCCTTGCGCCACCAGGGAGGCCCCCCTTTTCTTTATTAATTTACAAAACAGAATGCTTAATATGAAACTTAAGGACATGAGAGGGATAAAGAATAACTTCCTCAAAAAGAATAGAAAATAAATAAATGGTCTAGGGTAGAGTTTCTCAAAAATTAACTAGAAAGCTATGAAAAATAAATAGACATCTATGGCCTCCCTGGTGGCACAAGGGATTAAGACACAACCTACGAAGCTGTCTGCAGCCACTGCAGCACGAGTTTGATCCCCGGCCAGGGGCTACCCACATGGTACAGCAGACCTCTCCTGCCTCACCCGCTGCTCCTCTCAGCAGTATATTTCAGTCAATCTGCCTGTTCTGTTGCCCACTCTGTCTCTAGTAAATTCTCTCATCCTCCTGCACCTCTGGCCTGTACCCCAGTTCTTGTGTGCATATATAAATCTTTTTAAAAAAAAATAAACAGACATCCAGACTCCATGCTGGGAAATCCGCATTCATTAAGGTTGTGATGAGCATGGACATCAATATTTTAAAGAAGGTCCTTCCTTTGGATGTTTCAATATAGCAAAGTCTGATTCTGGATGAGAATTCAGTAGCCACCTCAAGGTCAATGATTTAGGGGAGACTGACCAATCTTATCCACAGATCACACCTGTAGCTTTCTTCACCTCTTTCTCTCTAATTTCTATAACCGATTAAACATTAAGTTTGCCATTCTTCATTCATGATATATTTAACAGCTGCTTGAAATCCTTTTAGTAACAAGGCACATAAATAAATTATTACATTGAGAGACTGTTTAATGCAAAGAACACATGAGGAAGTATCAAAGTAACTAAAATTACCTATCATTTACTAAGGACTCTCTTACTCTTAGAAGATAAAGTTTAGTTTCAGGCACTACAAATTTTTCTCTAATCTACCACACATCTTTGACTTTTGTGATACATATATTTCCCCTCATTTGTTAATATTGAAATCAGGAAGTATCCGATAACTGGTGGTAAACTATCATTTAATTGGCTGAAGTGTTTTTTTTTTTTAAATGTCGTATGAAATGATGGTGACCCACATAATCAGTGGAGCCTTATTTCTTCAATACTTACATCTGATTATTCCCAGACACACTCTATTCAGTCCATTCAGGTCCCTGATATGAACATATGCCACCAGAACTACCTCCTGAACATGACTCAGACCTTCCTTCTCACCCAGAATACATCAGCACTTCCTTCAAACACACAAATCCAGCCCCCTCGAAAAGACCAATCAAAAATACTTCTTTATTTTTTAAAGATTTATTTATTTAAGCATACGAGAACGGAGGTACAGGCCAGAGGTGCGGGCGGTGAGAGGATTCACTACAGAAAGAATAGAGAACAGAACAGGCAGATTGACTGAAACAGAACAGGTAGCTCCCTGGCTGGGCATTGAACTCATGCTGCAGTGGTTGCGGTTAGCTTCATAGGTTGCATCTTAACCCCTTGTGCCACCAGGGAGGCCCCTCAAAGACATTTCTTAAAGTTTTGGGCTACAGGGGCCTCCCCGGTGGCGCAGTGGGTTGAGCACAGCACTGTGAAGCTGTCTACAGCTTCTGCAGCGCGGGTTTGATTCCCGGCCAGCCAGGGCGATACCCACATGGCACGGCAGATCGCTCCTGTCTCGTCCACTGCTCCCCTCAGCAGTGTTTTCAGACCTTCTGCCTATTCTGCTCCCTGCTCCATCTCTGGTGAATTCTCTCACCCTCCCGTGCCTCTGGCCTGTACCCCAGTGCTTGTATAAATAAATAAATATTAAAAAAAAAAAACAAAACTTGGGCTACAATGAAGAAACCCTATATGCATGTTTTTTGAGACCAGTTACCCATTTGTCAATAAATTACATTTTATCATGCCTCATTTAACTCTTCTATATATATATGAATGATCTCCTGCATGAGATAGTAAATTCTGAGACAGCAGTTTTCTATCTCTCTCATTTTATTCTCTGCAGAATACAGAATACAGCTTTGCAGTTTAATAGTTAATTTGGAGGACCTCCCCGGTGGCGCAGCGGGTTGAGTGCAGCGCTGTGAAGTTGTCTGCAGCCTCTGCAGAGCAGGTTCAATTCCTGGCCGGCCAGGGACATATCCACAAGGCGCGGCAGACCTCTCCTGTTGCGCCCGCTGCTCCCCTCAGTAGTGCTTTCAGTCCATCTGCCTGTTCTGCTCCCCACTCTGTCTCTAGTGAATCCTCTCACCCTCCCGCACCTCTAGCCTGTACCCCAGCTACTGTATAAATAAAAAATAAATCTTAAAAAAAAATAGTTAATTTGGAAAAAAGAAGGAAAGAAAGATGACCTACCTTCTATCATTTATGTGATATTCAAGACTAACCTATGGGGTTCCCTTCCCCAGTATTTCATAATTAAAATTGTTAAAAAGGATTTTATAGTGAGCACCCAGATTATCCACTCTCTAGACCCTATAATTAACATTTTACCATACTTAATCACAAATCTATCCATACAGATTTGTTTTTAAGTTCAATCAATGACTAAAAGTATTAAAACTTGAGAAGAGAGTTCTGCAATTCTTGACTTGATTCAGACTGACTATTGCTGAAATACCACTATGCTATAAAAGAGCACATGAAGGACTGGAACCTAAGCACAATTGTTTATGATTCTACCTTCTCTGGCTTTACCAGATTGTGAGTTCATAGGTGTTTTTATGTCCTCATCTGAAAAATAATAGAATATAAATCTTTAAAGGGGTTAAATGTTAATCTCACACAATTTAGCCACTTAACCATGAATCATACACAACATAAATAATCTCCAAGAGAAGTGACAAGAATCTAGGTCTCTTACCTTGCATAATCAACAGGAGTCTTCCCACTAGAATCTTGTGTACCTGGGTCTGCTCCATATACTGCCAATAATTCTGCTTGTAAAATCTGCCCTGCTTTGGCGGCAACATGGAGTGGGGTGTTCCCCTTTTCCTGAGAATCATTTATAAAACACAGGCAAGAAAGCAAATTACATAAACCAAAGGCCATATAAACACCACCCACTTAGTTTCAATTTAATATCTGAATCAATTCACACTTCCTTACAGGGTGAAAGAAGTTGGCTTGTGCTCCTAAAGATAACAGCCTCAAACAGGTTTCAAGATTCCCTGTTCTCACGCTTGAATGGAGTTGCTGAAAACACATAAACCAAAAAGAGTATTTGTTAAAAGAGTAAAGAATGATATACTAGGGCAGCTGGCAGACTATTTTAATAAATGCTATACTAGTATTTAATCTTGATTTGGTTGTGAGGAACATAGAGCAGTCTCTCCTTGGATGATCACAAACACACCTGGACTCTAAGGTACGGTCAAGGCCCATCTCACTGATAAGGAAACCAGGGTTGGGAAGGCTGACTTGCCCAAATGCATAACTTTTCTTAACTGGCACAATGAGAACTTGAGTGAAGAGTCCTGTGGTTATGCTGATAGGTCACAATTTCAAAGTATACTCTTCAAACTGTGTGATCTTGAGGAAGTTCTTTTTTTTGAGGAAGTTCTTTAAGGAATCCAAACTTCAGTTTCCTCATCTCTAAACTGGTGATAAAATACCACTGATTCACAGGGTTACTACAAGGTTCACTTAAAGGAAACCATCTGCTGGGATATCATGCATATCAGTACTTAGTACTTAGCACTGAGCCTGATACACAGAAAATACTCAAATAATATAGCTACTATTAATTAGTATTGCAACTACTATTATTAGTTGTTACTGAACCTAAGGTTTTAGGGTTTCATATTCTACACCATGTAAACAATAGGATTCTGCCTTATACCAGATCCTCTCCACGAAAATATTCTTAGCCTGTACACAATGCTTTCATGGAAGTGTTTCAGGGTGGGAAATAAGCATGTGGTACATACCATTCTTTTTACCATTGTAGAAAAGTTCTTGTGCACTCAGAAGATGAGCTCCCTTACTTCAAGTCTAACACAGAACTGTCCAAAATGCAATAACCCTTATCACAGAACTAGAAAAATCTACTCAAACATCAGCAGTCAAATATTTTTTTAAAAATTAACTAATTTTATTTTTTAATTGTGGTAAAAATGCATACCAAGTCTTAATTAACAAAATTATATAATTGTTGTTTACATTTCTATTGCAAAGTTTAAAATTCTGAATTGTATGGGCCTCCCCGGTGGCGCAGCGGTTGAGCGCTGGGTTGCGAAGCTGCCCGCAGCCTCTGCAGCACCGGTTCAATCCCCGGCTGCTCCCCGGCCACCGGAGGAGGGTCCCACATGGCACGCAGACCTCTCCTGCCGCCCGCTGCTCCCCTCAGCAGTGTACTTCAGTCCTTCTGGCTGCTCTGCTCCCCGCTCTGGCTCTGGTGAATTCTCTCACCCTCCCGCACTTCTGACTGTACCCAGTGCTTGTATGTATAAATAATAAATAAATAAATCTTAAAAAAAAAAAAAATCAATCACTCTTTTAAAAAAAAAATTTTTTTTAAATTAAAAAATAAAATAAAATTCTGAATTGTGAGTGCCCATGTTGGATGAGCATTTGTTCTCAAAAGCAGTGCTTTGAAAATAAAGATATGGATTTATCATAGCATCTCTCAAAAACATGCAAAGGCCCTTATAAAGAAAGCCATCTACTCATTTCATAAGTATAATAAACTATCTGGGTACTACAGCTTTGAGTCACACTCTGCTCCCTGAAGATGCCACTCAGCATATAATATAGAAACCTGAAGAACTCCCTCAAATTTTCACTCCCTTCTAGAAACAAACTGAGATGGCTCCTATTTCAAAGTTTAACAAACATAATGCCTATAGAAATAATAATTTAAAATCACACCTGACAACAGTTTTCTAGATACTAATTTTTGCTCTTTGCCTTTGTATCTCCATTCACAAGAATGACTGTGATTTGTATTAAGATTAAAGATCAAACCAACTGTACAAAATGCTGCTATTAATATAGTGTGCTATTAATATAGAAGCTTTTGCTTTTTTTTTTTTCAAACACAATAATAACAATGTCTCACCCAGCAATTTTAGGGATTTTGAAAGGTATGACCCACCTTACTGAGATCTTTGGCAGTTACACTATCATCATCCCGGCAGGGCAAGCGATGGACAAATGCTAACATCTGATACTTGGCTCTGATGAATTCTGCTTTATTAGGACTGGTTTGAAAACAAAAAAGAAGGCAGTTCACTTACAGTTCAGATACAACATTCCCCATTCTTTAGACTGTAAAAATAAGAGGAAGTGACCCATATCCCCTATTCAAGAATAAAACGAATACGGAAATAAGTTTCAGAAATGTTTAAGACCTAAAGTTTAAAAACATATATTAGTCATTATAATGGCCAGGACTGCAAATGCTTTTTATAGCATCTTTCTTCTCCTTGTAATTTTCTTAATTGACCTGGCAAACTTGTGAGGAAGTAGCACCGCATCCCATCTTACATGTGAGGCATCAAGCAGACTGGAGCCCAGAACCTAGATTTCAGGTCTGACTGCCTCTGGTTGGAGTGCATAAACTCAAAACTGGTTACCTCAACAGCCTCCAGCCCTTAAGTCTCAAACTGGAGAAACCACTAACTTGAGTGCTTGGTAACCATACAAAAGATGGTCCTGTGCCTGGCCTTGTTCTGCATTTCTAAGAACAAAGAGCTTCATGCACAATTAGGGTGGCTCCCTCCTGTGCTTCCCTTGTGGAGGCTGCTCAAAAATAGCTGCACTCCTTGCAGTGGGCCCCATGTGTTAAGAATAAATAAGTATCTTAAAAACATCCACTCACTGTACTTTATCCTGTGGGTTGGCTTTACGTCTTCCACTCATAATAGAGGCAGGGTCCAGCAAAGAATGCTCCCATATAGAATTAGCACCATTATTATACAAGGTTTCAACCATCTACAATCAAGCAGAGTAAGATCATATTTTAATTTCTTTCCACAAATACTTTGTAGGAACTGGTGACTAAAATGGGAAAACAAAGCCCCCTTACAAACAGCATTATTGGGATATCAAGCACATCACTGTTTCCTGATTTTAGAATGAGAAAGATCAACCTATATGTGGGAATCAGGATTAACCAGTAGGCTAGCTAAATACCTACATGATTTGATTATATTTTTCTTACAGATCATGAAGGCAGAGTTTCCAAAGTCTGATCCTTCAAATACTGTTTCAAGATTCTTAACAACCCATGTACCATCTAGATTATCCACTTGTTTTTGTATTCACTCATTTAAAAAACGTTAATTAGCAACTATGGTCTGATATGCTAGGTATAGTTTTATGCAACCATTAAAATAAATACTTGAGTATTACCTACATCTGGCCTTGAGCACCTCGAGTGGTTCAGGTGCCATACTTAGGGAATTGTTATTTTGGGGTCATCCCTCATATTTTAAACTACTCACCTTTGGATTTTATTCAAATCCTATAATATAATCTATAATCATTATACTCTGAGAGTAGTAAACACCCACCTTCACATGAGAACAAGCTGTTAGAAACTTCCAAACAAAAGTTATTAAGAAACCTTATCTTCCAATTTCATTTTAAAGCATGACTCTGGACACAGTCCCATCTGCTATTGCTATTAGTGGAGATATTTTCACATGAGAAATCCAAGCCCATTTGATCCAGTCCCTTGGTTTGTACAGGCAAGTTTAAGGGACGTCTTTGTGCAGCTGCCACAGGTTTAGTAAAATATGTACTCAAGACAAATGAAGGCAAAACACATGCTCAATTCTGAGTTCCAACAGAACGTGAAGAATGCAGACTCCAAAATAGAAATACAGGTGACATGACACTGGACCACAAAATTAAATGCTAGGCATTTAATCAAGCTATATTAACTTAATTTGGTCTCTTAACTAGTAACAAGAACTTTAAGAAAACATAAATCAGATGTTTCTGAAATTTCTGAGGAATGCCAGGCCATGCTTCTATCAAAGCAGAAAAAATGTTGATGATACTAAAAAGTCAACAGGGAAACAGTACCAATACTCAGGTTTTAGGAAAATATTTATGTTAGAAGAGAAAAAAATCTCAGATGATGAATTCAACATTTGTTTACAACACTGATAGTTATGGCATCTCTTCTCAGCTATGATTAAAACATTTTTGTCAAACAGAAGTAGTAGGACAAATTTTAATTGCTAAGACAATTGTGAGAATTCTTTTCCTTTACCTGAAGCAATGTTGGAGGCCATGGTGTGTGTTTGAGATGCCTTACTTGAGAGATATGGCGTCCTAGACTCCGATGGACACTGCAGCACTCATCACATATAAAAGTTCCCCTATTTACTGATGCCCAGGAAGGATCTAGAAAGAATGAAATGTCAGTTGGTTGGTTTTACTGCTAGATGGCAAAATATGACTGAGATATGGTTTTTTAGGATAACAAGACATTTTTGTTGCTTTTTATACGCTAGCCAACATATCAAACTGATGAGCATGTCTGATGATATCACCTATCTTGGCTGACTGGGTGTAATGTTGAGACTAAAACACCCATGAAATGAAACCATAAATAAGCAATTCTCTCCTTACTGGTTCAGAGCCACAGACTATAGGCCTACTGGGGTTCTACCATCATAGATTCATGCCTTTCATTCAACATTAAAGAAGCAAACTGAGAGGGCACAAGTGAAATATTTCAAATCCATCTTCATAAATGCCAAGGTAATATTTAATTGTGACGGCAAATAATCCACACAGCATCATCTGGAATAAATGGTGAAAAACTGCTGCAAATCTACATGCCTGGATGCTTAGCAAAAAGCTGCAAGTGGCACAACTACAAAAATGCTCAGACTCTATAGTTATGAGGACAGACTGGGAAAGCTGGTCTGCAAATGTCCTATGATATCCATTAGTTAGTTGTCTAAAACAAACCAATGAGTCCAACCTTGCAACTGATCTGAAAGAACAGAAGCTATAATAACCGTGGCTTCACAGAGGCAAAGATATAAAAACAAGTGATGTTTTTGGTGTGTGTACAGTATTTTTTTTTCTGTGACTCTGTCCTACAGAGTTTCACCAGACATTCTTTAAAACAAGCAGTAATTCATTCGTGGTCAGCAGTAAGAGTAATTCACACTGGGTAAGCAAGCTGAACACTGAGAAGACCTAAGTAAAGACTTTCCATATTTCTTTAGACTCACTATGAGGAGACAATAGGTGCCACTCAAGTTGCTTGGATAGAGGTTATATTTCAAAATTCTTCAATGTCCACAAAAATCTCCAAAATGCATGCACACCATCTTTACCATTTTTAACAGTTTATTCAAATCCTTTCCAACCATATAATGAAAAGTTATGGAATTTCAATCAAAGACAAATCCCGGGAATCAGAGAGAGTGCGGTGGTTAAGAGGGTTGGCTCTGGAGACAAGCAGTCCAGGGCTTGCACCCCAGCTCTGCCACTTCTTGCACTCGATCTTAGACAAGTTATATATTTGAGCTGCCTCACCATAGCTCACATGGGAACGAAAACACATCCCAGGGTAGTGAGGACAAAGAGTACGGTTCCTCCATATAATGTGGGCTGTTATAACTTCTCTAAATTATTTTCTAAGTACCATTCAGTTATTTTCAAGAGTCCACTGAAATTCATGACCACTGGAAAAGGTTTTCATTGTTAATACTAAAAATACTGAATAGTAAAAAATCTCTGCAGAGTCTTTGGGTAGTTGAACTAAGAGTAGGACAAATTTATACTAAGTAAGATTCTTTTATTAAGTATTTACTGATGTGATCATGGCTACATGTCTGCCAGGAAATAAAACAGAAACAAAATCATTCAATGAAGTACTACTATAGCATTCTAAAAAGCAAAGACTGGGGCCTCCCTGGTGTTGAAAGGGGTTACGACACAGCACTATGAAGCTACCAAGGTCACTGCAGCATGAGTTCGATCCCCAGCCAGGGAGCTGACCCATGTGGTGCAGCAGACCTTTCCTGTCTTGCCCACTGCTCCTTCAGTAAGTCTGCCTGTTCTATTCTCCTTTCTGTCTCTGGTGAATCCTCTCACCCCAGGCATCTTTGGCCGGCACCCCAGTTCTTGAATGCATAAATAAATCTTTAAAAAATAAATAAATAAAAATAAAAAGCAAAAACTGGAAACATCAAGATGAGGATCCCTACAGATAACCTAAACATTTTTTGTTTTTGCAGTATTGAACCACTATTAGTAACAACAACAAAAAAGACTGTTTTGAAGCACAGCGTGAGAGGTGTTCCTGGAGGAAATTAAACAGGAACAAGACAGCAAAGATCTAACACATGAAGCAAGGTTCTCTATTAATGACTTTAACATCACGGATAAGAATCCTGTGGAGCATATCAGAAGGTAACATAATAAAATGAAAATCAAGTTCATCTGAATGAAGCTGGATGAAACTCTTGCAGTTTATCTAAATGGTTTACACCAGAGCTTCTTAATCTGAGTTCTAGGAACACCATAAATTGTTTTCAGAAATGTCTGTGACTCCAAGTCTTAACATAAATTCTGCGTGAATGAATATATGTACTTTTGCTGGGGGAAAAGCCTGACCATTCATCAAAATCTCAAAGGGATCCTTAACCCTAAAGGTAACTCCTTCACTAGGGCTTTGCAGAAAAGGCAATACAAATTCCTAGCTGCTTAAGTTCAAAGAACATTTCAAGGTGGCCTAATTATATTCAAAACAGGAAGGAAATGACTCAATCTACAGATTAGGCTTTCAAGACAATAACTAAAATGATACACTGCGGCAAAATATATTCTAAAACACACCCAAATACTGCAGTTTTCCTTTGCCCCACATCACCCATTAAGGAGTAAAGAATATGCATTCCAAGATTCCAAGAGGACGTTTGAATCTAAACTCATATGAATCAAAAACATCACAGGAAAGTTCAACTGAAAACAGGCACAAAAATAAGGAAGTGGAACAAGTAACATTTTTAGAGAATATGTATGTTAGTCTGTATAAGACATCATTTATCCTGGTTTATAAAAAATATCTCTCAAAATACTCCTCCACCCCTCTTTCTATCTTCAAAAGAAACTGGTAACCCCTCTTGCATTATACAGGCCATGAAATAACCACATAAGGTTTGATTTATCACAGCACTACTTAAAATCAGCCTCCACTTCCAAATGACAAGATGAAGTTCAGAACAATTGCAAAAACAATGGTGTTCAATGATTTCATTAAGAATGTTTATTGGATGCTATGGTGCCAAGGAAGCCATCTTATCTTTGAATTTTAATTACTTTGAATTACTTCAAATTCAAAGCACATAAATCCAAGCCCTGGAAACAGCATAGAGACCTGTCAATTCAGTTCCAACTGCTAGGGCAGATCCTAATGCTAAATCTGAAAATCATTCAGATTTTGCCTAAATAGAAATGGTTTGGCCTTTCAGTGACCCCATGTGCCTATACTGCCTGGATGCCCAAATGTGTTTATCTGCCAGTGATTTTTGTTAGCGTGTTTTGTAAACTGTAATTACCGCATGATTTAGAAATTCAACTCTAGCTTTCAGCGACTGCTCAACTAAGAAAAACTTCGATTCAACGATTCTAAAACTGAATCTTCCTAAACCTTGAGTGTGATATTCCCCCATTAGCCCCACTGGAAAAAAAAATGAGGAAATTGAGGCCAAACCAAGTGAAGTCACTAATCCAAGGTCACTCAAAGGCAAAATCTAGTTTGAATCCAGGCCGTTTTGATCCCAAAACTTGAGACATGCATTGCCTCTTCAGTGCTGGTTGTGTCTGCAAGAGCCCGTCTTGAAAACGTCTGGAGAGTCTTCCCGGTGGCTTGAGAGCCGAGATTTCAGGAGCCAGGAAATTATCTTACTGGGGTTCTCGACCGAGTCTCAGTTGAGGGAAGAGGCAAGAGTCGCTCACCCCGGAGAGGCCCGCTTACGGGGCAAGAGTCTGAGGTGAATGTAAAGGAGGGGCTGATGACACCTGCAGCTTCGGCGGGCTGCAGCCAAGAGGACGCTGCCGTTTTCCTTCAGTCATTGGCCTTCCAGTGCACTGCCCCAAATTCTCCCTCTTGGGGGGACGGCTACCGAGCCCACAGCCTCCCAGCCCGGCCCCTGGCACAGGGGACGAGAGGGAAGGGAGGGACTGGACCGAGGGGAGGGCGGCGGCCCCCTGCCCGCCTGGCTCTGACAGGCCCAGGACGAGTTCCGCCCCAAGGCCGCCCAGGCATCCCCTCGCTGGGACCCTGGGCAGGGGGTACCGGGTTCGACCGCCGGGACCCGCCCGACCCGAGGGAGCGGCCCGGGGCAAGAGTGCGGACAGAAGAGCCGAGGGAAGCGGGCCCAGCCGGTACCACTCACCTGGCCCGCTGCAGTCAGCGCACACTTCGCTGCTCCGGAGCCGCTTCGACATGGCTCCCGCCTCCCACCTGCCGAGAACCAGGGACCCCCCCGAGAACGGGAAGACGGCCGCGGGTACGGCGCTTCCGCTCTAACGGGTCCCCGCTGTGGCGCTGGCGCTGGCGGCGCAGCGCTTTCCGCACCGCTTCGTAGCACGCATGCGCGAGGAGGCATCCTTCAGTGACTGACTGGTCATGTGACCGGAAAGGGCACTCTGCCTTATCGCCATCTTAAGTGAGGGCAGATTTGTGCCCTAGCGTCCCCTGTCCTGCTTCTAAATACTGAATTAGGGTCTCAGTCTCTCTGTGTGTCTCTCTGTCTGTCTCGATTCGCTTCGTCTCAACATGCTAGAAAATCTAGTCATCAGTAGCCAATAGAATAACTGACTAAAGTCATCATTTATTCATTGTTTTTCGCAACAAGTCTTTATTAAGCACCTACTACATTTCACACATGTTCCAGAGACTGGGGAAAACAGTGGAGAGCAAAGAGGACAAAATTTTCTGTCTGTGTGGAGCTTACATTCTACTGCAGTAGAGCTACAATAAAATAAGTCAAATAAGAGTAGGTTAGATGTTTCTTTAGGTTATACGTCTCATTTGCACATAGAAGATAATATCTAGCCCACAAATCGCGTGTCCATGGTCTGCTACCTAAAGATAATTTTTCAGTGTTAGAAGATTGTAAAGAAGAGGAAGAGGAAGAAGATTTCAGGAAACTCATCTGACAATTTACAGAAAAGTGGTGTTGTTAGGTAACAGTGTCACTGCCCCACAGTAAGCCTTCAATAATAGTAGCCCCTATTATTATGGGTATTAATATTAAAGTTCTAATCACAACTTTTTTGGCAAATAAAAATAGATAATTTATAGGATGATGTGAAATGAACACTAGATGAGGTTAAGCAGTGTGGAGAGATGTGATCCTAATCCTAATGAATATCCTAATAATCTACTTGTTATTTGTAAACATAACTATGATCTCAATTCTCTCAGGTACTGTCTTGGCTTTAGATACTCCAGTAAACGAAACAGACATAATATTGTGGAGTTTTCCTACTAAAGAGATTGAAGAGATGATCAATTACCACAGGATGATGAAATTGCAGGAGACTTCTGGAAAAATGAGAAGTCCTGGAAGAGGTCTCAGAAGCACTGGTCTTTGGTTCATCTCTCCATTTTAACAAGTGTGGTGTGGGAATAACCACATAATTCCCACACATTCCACAGTCAGAGCCTCTGGGTGCCATCCTAATGCTCCTGTATCTTGTTTTCATTTTCAGACTCACACAAATCTTCTGGACTCAACATGTGTGGAGAATGGATTAGGCCAGGATTCTTGAACAGCTGTTGTTGCAGGCATCTGAGAAACTGGATGTGTGCAGACAGGGAAGGCAGAAGGTATGTATTCAGGATGCATTAAATAACTTCGCCCAGCTATGTGCTGTAGTTGTAGACAGCTGTGCGAAAAGCTCAGACTTGTGAGTAGCTATAATTTGACTGGCTCGTCCTTGAATGGTGACATATAGAGTCTTAGGTTGGAGCCCAAACAATGAACTTGATATTTGTGTATCATCTAGTTTGGGTATCATCTAGTAGTCCTTGCAGCTGTGACACAAACTTTAAATGGCTAGCTTCACAAATAAATGACACAGATATGTGGAATAAATTATCACCTTTGGTAGCTTTGACTTATAATCAGATTTGGAATTCAGATAGAAAAGTGGTTCTCAAGAGTCGTTTCTCCCCCAGGGAACATCTGGCAATGTCTAGAGACATTCGCAGGGGAGGGGGGTAGGGAAGGGAGTGCTACTACATCCAGTGGGTCGACAGGCCAGGAATATCCTACAAAGAACAAACCCCATGCAAAGAATCATATGGTTCAAAATGTACCCAAGTTGAGAAACCCTGAAATACAACAATTCCTTTATTGTGCAAAAACTTAAAAGCCGCTTCTCCATGGTCCATAGATTCCCCCCTTTAAAATTGCATGGTGCTGCCCACTTCCAAAATGACTCTCAACCAATGGCGCTAGCACTTGCCCAGGTCCAAAAAGGCTGCAAAGGAGTCAGAGGCGGGAATGGTTTGGTCCAGTCCCCTGTAGTCACCCCTGACAACAGAGCGGATGGAAGAGGCCCAGTTGTGGACCCAACCATATGAGATTGCTGGAGGCGGAGGAAAGCTCCCAACTAAGGAGAGACCCAGCTATCCAGGCCAAGATCCTGGGCTAAGAGAGAGAATTTTCAGCTCCGTTTGGAGGGTTACTTTGTGCTTTCGTTGCGGAGTTGAAGGTGGGTGGGATCGGGCGGACCCGGGGCCGGGTACCTGGCTGCCTCTCCCCCCAGCTGCGGGGTACGGTGGCTCGCGCCTCGTACTTCCCTGTTTGGGGCAGTTCGGCCCCCAGAAGTCGGTTCAGGAGCTGTCAGCTTGGGCGGGAGCGCGGCGGGGCGTGGGGTGGGCGCGGCCGACCCCTGTCCCCGACGGGGCCCACGATCTGCGACCTCCCCCGACCCCCCCCCACCCCCAGCGGGCCCGCTAGGCCGCCCAGCCGCATTCTGCGCCCCTGGTTCACTCGCCTAGTTTCCTCTGGGCGCCAGGCAGGAGGGCGGGCGGCCGAGACCCCGCCGGCGCTGAGGCTTGGCAGGCGGACAGTGCGGGCCCGGCCGCGGCCTCCGCGCCATGTCCTCGGCCAGCGACGCCAGCAGTCACTTCCCCTTGCACCTCCTGGTCTGGAACAACGACTACCGGCAGCTGGAGAAGGAGCTGCGGGGCCAGGTGAGGGGCGGGGCGGGGTTCGCCCCCGGCAGTGGGGGAGACAGAAATGGGGGTCGTTTCGTTTCATTTAATCTGTCTCCAGCTGTCTGGCCTCAGCAAGGGAGACCCCTTCCATTCTGCAGTCGTGGACTGGATGATGATGATGATGATGATGCTAATGCACACACTGTGTGCCAGACCCTGTGTGCCAGGACACTTATATACATTCTATCTTTTAGCCTTTCCAGCACCCCTAGGGAGTAGGGACATTTGACAGCAGGAAAGTGAGGCTTTCAGAGGTTATTATGTTCCTTGCGCAAGGTCGCCCACCTCATAAATACCAAGTCAGGATTTTTCGCTAACCGGCTGCTCCATCCAGGGTGCATCCTAATCAGGCTTAACCTATTAGATTTTACTGCCTCTCCCAAAGATGTAAAAACAGCACAGGCCCCTCGCCCCACTCGACCTTTTTGTAAGGAAGGACTTGGTTGGCTTTGTAGGTTTAGGTTCTAACTCATCCTGTGACCTTGGTCAAGGAATTTTTCGTCTTTGGCCCATTTTAACTATTTTGTAGAAAGAGTGTCATACCAATGCGGGCAAACCTGGTACTTGGTTATATGGATAGGTCTAGGGCAAGGCTCAGGAATTTGCAGTTAACAAGTACCTTAGGGAGACTGACATAGAGCAACCTTTGAGGCTTACTGGTGCACAGGATCCTTAAAAATCACTTCCTGTTCTAAAGTGCTTTGATTCCTTGTCTCTTATTTATTGCCATTTCTTTAAAGCAGTGGTTCTCAGTCGGAGGTGATTTTACCCCCACCCCCACTTCCAATTTGGTAGTGCAGGGAGATATTTTTTGGTTGTTGCAAGTGAAAAGTGGGTGCTACTGGCATCTATAGGTAGAAACCAGGAATGCTGCTCAATATGTACAATGTGCAAGACAGCCCCCACAACTGAGAATTATCTGACCCAAAATGTCAGTAGTGTTTTACTGAAGAAACCCTGCTTTGAAGCCATCCCAACTCTGGAAGGTATGGGTGTCCTCAAGTTACAAGTTAACACACTTAGCAGTTACCTACCATAAGGATTTGTAATTATTTGAAGCAATTGTTTTTGTTCATGTCTCTTTATTCAATGTACTAAAGCTCTGGTTTTTGAATGGCTCAAAACTGACAATATAATTGTCAAGGAATTTTAGAGGAAAAAATGACAATTTGGCAAAAATTGAGCAAGATCAGCATCAACCTGTTTGGTGGTCACTGCTGAGCATGGCACCCCACTGTATTTCCTTTTTAAGTCTGTTGAGTACCCACTGGAAGTCAAATGTCCCTTTCTTTTCCCATTTAAATCCTCTATCCAGACAGAATAAACTTTTATTGTAAGAGTCATTGGTCTTAATTAGATCATGCCTCCAGGGTAAACGAATCACAACTGGACATTCCAGTATACCTGCTGATTTAATTCGCTTTTTGTTACCAGACCTGACTCAGAGGGGTCTTCCATCATTTTGCTTTTAGATCTTTGTCTAAATCTAACCTTGGACACTTTAAAAATGGCCAGAGAGTCCTCTTTTTTTGGTCTACTGCGTTTTGCATCTGTACTTCCTCAGTGTTGGGTGTATTCAGCTTCTTGCAAAATGTTGAGATAAAGTAAAAGCTAAGTCACAGAACATAACTCTTGCTAGAGAGGTTCATCATCATTGAACTATACACTTTCAGTACCCATTTCTGGAAACAGCAGTTTTTCTATTCATTGGAGGGTGAAGAAAAGAGTTTAAATGAAGTGCAGTTTTTCTTTACAGAAAAACTTCTTGGGTAAGAACAAAATCTTGGTTTATAATCTTAAATGTGACATAGTTTAATGATTTTTGTTTCCTGCAAGCTGTGATAAAAGTGTCCACTGAAAGTTCTCTGTGCTTCTTACCTTGAAGAATGCTATGACATTTATGATTAGGGAATTTTAATTTTGCAACAGATTTTCCTGGAATAAATTGGTCCTTACTGCTTTTGACTGTCAATGAGGTAAAGAAGAAGATTCATACTTGCTAATTATTTGGTTTTGACTTTATTATTTGTTATCACTGCAAATCATTTCATAGTATACCAGTTCCCTCTGAGGAGCAGATAGTTGAAGTATATCCATAAAGAATATCTTAACCATGGAAGTGTGACTGTCAACACAGGGTAATCCAATTTCAGTCCAGAAAATTAGCCACTGAAGGGGTCAGCCCTTAAAAGGGCATACTCTAAAGGGGTTTTTGTTTGACTTGAAGCTCTGCTATTACTGTCTTGGAATTCATGAATTTTTTTTTTTTTTTTTTTTTTTTGAGTAAGGGGCATCAGGTTTTCATGTTTCACTGGGTCTTCAAATTATGTAATTTCGTTCAGGGTCAAGAAATTGATTAATTGATATCATTAAAATTAGGTGGTAGGAATTATTTTGTTCTCGTATTTTTTTGAGATCCTCTCATTATGACCCAGCTACTTCTTATGACTTGGAGGTAGTTGTTTTAATTACCAGTATGAATACTGATTAAATTGTGAGTTTGGGTGTATAATTTACTCTTTTTGAGTTGTGTCATTGCCTATAAAAATGGGGAGACTAACATGAAAGCTTATTTTGTTGGCACTGTGCTGAAATGTTGTATGTGCAATTTTAGGTTTAATTCTCATACCAATCCTCAGGGTGAGTGCTGTTACAATTCCCATTTTACTATAAGAAAGCCAAGATGAAGAGGCTCAGTCACTCAGCCAATGGCCAAACCAGGTTGTCAACCCAGAAAGTCAGGCTCAGTCCTAATCCTGTCTCCTTAACCTTTACTCCATACAGATAGTCTCTGACTTGTAGTAGTTTGAGTTATAGAAAAGCAATACGAATTCAGTGAAAACCATACTTTGGATCTTTATCTTTTCCCGGATTGGCAGTATTTGGTACAATACTCTCCAGTTGCTGGGCGTGAGCCACAGTTTCTAGCCACCCACCCAGATATGAGAGTAAACAACCCATATGCTGGAGTACAGCATTTCTTGGATATTAAGTTCTGAGTTAGTCATCCCATTATGTCTACTAAATGCTTATCTGTGTCTCCTGCTTCTGAGATATTCAGAACTTTAGTATAAAGTAGGCTTTGTGTTAGATGATTTTGCCCAACCTTAGATTAATGTAAGTTTGGAGCACATTTAAGGTAGGTTGCGCAAAGCTGTGATGTTTGGTAGGTTAGGTGTACTAAATGTATTTTTGACTTAATGATATTTTCAACTCATGATGAACTTATCAGGACTTAATCTTGTCTTAATTTGAGGGAGACCTGGAAGTTGAGACTTCCAGGACTGCGCCTCCATTTCAGGTTTGTGAGAATAAGGCAGAGAACAGATCTGAAAGTTCAGACACATGGTAAACGTGCATGTTATTTACCATTGTTATTGCTGTTATCATAGTCATCCTGGAATTTTCTCTGCTTTTATGTGTGTTCGGTTTTCCTGTAAGGCATATGTATTGACTGCCTAATTAAAATGAAAAAAAAAAAATTGTCACCCAGCAATGAAACTGTTTCACTTAATGTTTTGTTTGGGACTATGTCTGCTGTCCATTCTCTCCTTCCTTCTGTCACATGAGTGAGGCTTGGAGGAGGCACACTGGTAGCTGTAAGAATTTTATTTCATTCTAGGAACAGCAGCACAGAAAGAATCAAGTTTATCCAGATGAAGAGGCTAAGTACATGTTTGAGTGTGTGTGAGTCAGCCCCAACCCCACCTTCTTGCTAACTTTGCCAACTGTGAGATTGTTTTAAGATTTCAATATTTGCTCAGCAGAGGCACTTAATAAAGTGCCTCTTTACTATCGTAAATAGTCATCACCTTTACTATCATTAATAGTCAGTGGGGCTTTGAAGTTGATTGGTAAAGTTGGAATGATTTGTATTATAGATAATGTCATTTGGAGAGGCCTGTTAACATCTTTCACCTTCTTAGGACCCTCCTCCTAAAGCTGGGAGAATGAATGAAAACCTAGGAGACAAATGTAAAGACCAGTGCACCTTACAGGGTACAAAAACCCTGGGCCCAGAAGGGTGGAGGATGGCAGGTGTGGCCTGACTCTTGTGTCAGCCCCAGGTTAGAAGCCAGCAGGTGAAAGTCCAAAATCCAGGCAAGGGGATGATCCAGATAGCAGCAGCACTCAGAGCCTGACAGGGAGCCACCCTTGGATTCTCACCCCAGTCTGTGGCAGGCAGGGGGAATTCACTGGGCACACACTCAAGTCTGTTGGCTGGAGGCCTGCCACAAGCCATGGCCTGGCATTGAGGTTGAAAAACCTAGAGCCTATGGTCAGAGTGCTTCCCTACGGCCCTCAGGGGTTCTGGCTTAGCCCTTGGGAGCTTAGGGAACCTAGTCTATGGATACCTTCTCCCCAAACCCCTCTTGCTTGGGGTGGGAGAATCAGCTTGAGCCATAGCCATAGATGACCACAGTGGACTAAGAATACACGGGAGTGAGAGTGATTGACTTTGTCAAGAATGGAGACTTAGCAGCCTCTTGGTAGAGACCCCCCAAGAGATACCAGTGATAGTTTATGAAGTACTTACTAAGTGCCAGGTTCTGAGACCCAGAGGGATTGAATAATTCACCGAAGAGAGCTGGAAGCCTACCTGACTGGCTCTGCAGCCTTTACTCAAAGGTTGGCTTTTGGGGCCTCTGGAGGAGAGCAGGTTGGTAAAGAAGGCTTTCATGGAGAAAAATTGGTAGACTGAAATGAGCAAATAAGAAGAGAAATCTCGTTACATTCTTCTTTGGGACACTATGGTAATTAATAGGCACGGATATTTATAATTTGGTACAACTCACATCTGAAGAAAGTTAAAGGAAAAACTTAAAATCAGATTTCAAAGCCATTTCAGTTATATTCTGAAAGCTCTTGCTCTTGAGCTAACATTATTAGTTGAAGACCTAAGCCCCACTAAATGAAATTTAGGAAGAATCCGTTTTAGGAAGAATTTCACCTCATATGAAACCATGCTGTGTGAGTGTCTGATGGTAAGAACTAATGCTTAGTGTTTACTGTGGACTTGGGTGTTGAGCCTTCACCCTCTAAGAGCTCTGCAAGGCAGGTGCTTTTATAATTTATAAGGGAGCAAACTAAAGCTGGAGAGAAATTAAACAAAAAGACCATAGATACAGTGATTGTTTTTTCAAAAAAGTCTCTAGTGAAATATAATTCATTTATCATAGAATTCACACTTTAGAGTAAATTATATGATGTAAATTATATGATGCTTTTCTGTGCTTTGAGTATATTCACTGAGTTGGAATGATCAAATTCCAGCACATTTTTATCACCCCTAAAAGATATAGTCACTCCCCACTCCCAATCCCTTCAGCCCCAGGCAGCCATTGATCTACTTTCTGCCTTTAGAAATTGGCCTGTGCTGGACATTTTATATAAATGGAATCATATAATGTGTAATATGTGTGTGTGCTTTAGTCAATATGATGTTTTGAGGTTCATCCACATTGTGGCAGGTATCAGTAGTTTATTCCTTTGTTATGGGTGAATAATATTCCATGGCTTATCCATTCTACACGTTTTATTTATACATTTATCAGTAGATGGACATTTGTTTTTTTCCCCACTTTTTGGCTATTATTGTAACGGGTGGTCTCCAGGGAATGGGGAGATTCCAGTTCCTTGCCCCACCCAAAGGAGGGTAGAGATGAATAGGGAGAGGAAGCCGGAGACGAGGCTGGAGAAGGAAGGAAGCAGGATGGAGAGCCAGAGGAGACCTGAAGGAGACACATGGAGCAGAGATACATGTGAAGAAACTGCGCTTGCTTCTTGGTTCTGGACTGGTTTAAACAGATGTGGGTGAGAGACCCGTGGGGAGGTTGACGATGGCAGTGTTTATCTTGATTTTGTTCCTTTTGTCCCAGATGTGCTGGGCCCCTTCTGCTTCTTTCCCGTGGGTCCCCACCAAAGATGCTTTACACTTATGTCAGGTTTTTGGGCCTCAGTGGCCCTGTTTTGGGCTAACCCTGTTTGATTGGATGTTTGCCCGCGAGGGGATGGGTAGTTTCGGGTGCTTGATTTGGAAACTATATTCTTCCCCTTTTCTTTGTTGCACCCTAATTATATTAAAGTTCCTCTCCATTAAAGGTCATATAAGTTTTGTCTTGATGCGGCAGATGGCAGACCCTATTTGGAGGAGGCATATTTGGGGTAATGATGTGCCCCCTCCCTGTCCTGTAACATTATGAATAATGTTGCTATACACATTTTTGTCCAGGTTTTCATATGATTTTATGTTTTTATTTCTCTTGGATAAACATCTAGGAGAGGAATTGCTGGATCATATGGATGTATGTTCAACTTTTTGAGGAACTTCCAACTATTTCTCAAAGTGACCACACTATTTTGTATTACCACCAAAAGCGTATGAGGCTTCTAGTTTCTCCATTCTCTTTAACACCTTGTTATTGTCTGTCTTTCCGGCTGTAGCCACTCTAGTGGCTATGAAGTGGTATCTCATTGTGGTTTTGATTTGCAGTTACCTAATGAGTGATGTTCAGCATTTCTTCATGTACATGCTGACTTTTTGTATATCTTCTTTGGAGAAATATCTGTTCAAATCCTTTGTCTTTCTAAAAATTGGGTTGTCTTTTTATTCTTGAATAGTTAGAGTGCTTCTTTTATTCTGAATATTGGTTCCTTATCAGATGTGTAACTTGGAAATATTTTCTTCCACTGTGTCTTCTTTATAACAGCATTTGAAGTATAAAAATTATCAATTCTGATAAATGCTGATAAAGTACAGTTTATTTATTTCTTCTTGTTGCTTCTAAGAGTTTTGTTTTGGCTCTTACATTTGGGCTTATGATAAATTTGGAGCTAATTTTCATATATTGCTACAATAATTTCATGTGTTGTGTATAAAAACTTACCAGTTGTTCAAGCACCATTTGTTGAAAAGATTGTTCTTCCCCCATTGAATTATTTTGGCACGCTATTGAAAATCAGTTGACCATAAATGTAAAAATTTGTTTTTGGACTTTAAATTGTGTTCCATTAATTTTTTTTTCCCCTCCGAATGCCTTCTCTTACCACATGGCTCTTTCTAGTTTCCTTTTGAATTCCATTAATATATATGTCTGTCCTATGCCCATGTGGGCTGCAGAGCCAGCCAGGTAGGCTTCCACCTCTCTCACAGTTCTGGTGTCTAGGGATGTAAGAACCTATAGATTTGACGTGGAGGGTGTCCTTCTTGATTCATAGCAGGTATTCTTCCTTATCTTTTTTAAATGAGAAAGGCACAAGAGCCTCTGAAGAGATAATTAGCTATACTAGCATGCTGCCGTGTGGCTCATACGTTCTGTTTTCCCTGTAGTCCAAAATAAGTCAACAACCTAATATATCTGACTTTGTTGAAAAAAGTCAACAACCTAATATATCTGACTTTGATTGTACACATCATATCTCAGCACTGCCCAAGAGCTAGAATATTCATCCTTAGTCTGAGATGTTAGTTTCATTCTGCCGAGTGAAAGGCGGTTTCCCCTTTTGTGTGATAAATATCACTAAGCACCTCCTATATGTTAGGCACTGCACTGAGCCTAGCACCTTTCATATAAGTTGATCTCACTAGGCTTGTATAATAGATGTATAAGAGTGCCATTAATTTGCTAAATATTTATTTCCTGCTAAATTATTTCAAGTTCATAATTTTTAGCCTTACTATATATTTTTTAAAAATCAGGTTGGCAGATGCTAGGAAATATAAGACCTGGATTTCTTTGGTGAAATACACAAGCTATACCCTTGGGAAAAGTCAGGGATTCCTGAGAGGTGATGTGGGCCCCTTTCTAGGAGACATGTTGGTAACTTCAGCACCTTAGAGGACACTGAGGCTTGGGATTGGTCCAGGAGGATGTGTGTTCACTTAGCAGAATCCTTCAACCATTGTGTTGTTCTTCAGCAACTGTTCTGTCTTCCCAGCACAATTTTAACAAATTGACTTCAGGGTATTCAATAGCTGTTGGATTGTAGTTATGAATCCACAGTCCTGTTTACCTTTTTTCCCTGTGGCCAATAAGTGGCACGTTCTGGATAGAACATGGAGGATGCAATTGATGACTGGACAACAATTAGCTTTTCAAATCAAGATAAAGCACATTTCCTAAGAAGTATTATGGCATTTAAAATGCTTTTGCATTCCAAAATTCCCATGGCAGTTTGCTGTTATCCTTGGAAGACTGTTCAGAGCTGTCTTTAGAAGGCAGTGCCCAGCTATTCAGACTGAGTTCACGCCAGATAATCTGCTGCTCACCTCTGGAGATCCACTGCAGGTCCCAGAAGGAGTCAGAATAGGAAGGAAGAGTAAAAGCCAAGTCTGCATATCTGGCATGAAGAAGAAAGCCCTCGAGGGGAAGTGGACCAAAAAGGCATGTGTGTGTTTTCACATTTATCTAAAAATATATCCACATACATGCTTCATGGCACCTGCCCATTGTCTGGAGGACCCACAGATGCTGCCTCTTCGGGGCACTTGGGACTGAATACACTATATTGAAAGTGGTGATTTGGTGGTTATCCAGCTAAAGAATGTAATTTTATCCTGACCTAAGTTATCTTCTGTACTTTCAGTTTTGATTAAAATCCTGTACTTCCTGTTCTAGACTTGAATGCTGATATGTGCTTGAGAAATCCCCCATGTTCCATGTCATGAGGTGCTTACCTCTCTTGAAGGCCCCTGCTTAGCCTTATTTAGACTTAATTTGAATGCTGTTAAAAGTTTGTGCTTGAAGATATAAGGTCTATAGCCAGTGTTTCCTTTTTAAACACTTAACTTTAGAAAAAAAGAAACTCAGTTAATTATAACTTCTTCACTCCCCAAATTTGTATTTCCACCATGCCATGTGCAAGCATTCATTTTTCCATATATTGCTTTAAGTATTTTTTTCCAGCTAAGTAAATTCCATTTATTAATTAAGATTGGGTTTAAATCTTTCCTGCTCTGTCCCACAAAGATTTCCCATTCACGTGAATGCTGGACTCACCTTTGCTGTTTTCTGCCCTGCACAGTGTTTTATGGTTTTACCACTCAAACACCAAGCCCAACTCAGGCTCTCAAGGAGAAGACTATGGCTTCCAATGTTTTTGACTCCCCCTCAGTGGCTAGAACCAGATGCAAAGATTTCCCTGAGTAAGAGCTGAGCACTGATGCAGATCATTGTAAGCCTTGTCTTTCAAATCCCATCCACTTTTCAAGACATGGCTCAAACTGTTCTGGGCTTTTATTCTTGGAGAGACTTTTCTTCACTCTCTCAATTTCAGCACTTGTGATTGGACATAGTGCTGTAATTAATGTGTAAATACTATTTCCTTTTATATATAATATTATCTCATAAGCACATTTCCAAGTTTTATGTACTCTATCCAATTATAAGTGGTAGTGTTTGCTTCACAGAATGTGGAGGCTCTGGATCCACGAGGTCGAACCTTACTGCATCTTGCTGTTTCTTTGGGACATTTGGAATCTGCTAGAGTCTTGCTCCGGCATAAAGCAGATGTTACAAAAGAAAATCATGAGGGATGGACAGGCAAGTATACTTTTATAATAAAGCTTTTCCCTTCAGTTTATCTTTTTGAATAAAGGCCAGTCCCAGTAATAATCATCCTTGGAGTAATCTTTATTTTAGCACTCTTTCTCTCTTGGGAATGGGGCATGTGGGGAGCTTGCCCCATGGGGTACACAGGGCTCAGGAAATGGGAGCTGGGATGCTGCTGACTGATCTGCAGCACAGTGGCCCAAATTGTTTTCTTGCACCAAAAGCCTCCCAGAGGGTGGCTCCCTATCCAGAAAGCAGCTCTCTGCTCAAACCCTTTCTCCTATATGTGAGCATGGAGGCCAGACTTCCTCAGAGGAATGTGATGGTAACTCCAGTGAACCCATCAGAACAGGCAAAATTAAAAAGAAAGTGTGACTTGAAATGGCCTTTTCCAGTGAAATCTTGGTACTGTTCTGCAAGCTAGATTACTGATCCAGTAATGTTGCATTGACTGAACAAGGGTACACACAAGCACAAGTTTGCCTGTCCGCTCTGTGTGTCACCACAGCTGGCTGATCACATGCTTAAGCCAGCTCTCTGAAGATACTGTCTGATTTATAAACCAGTGATAAAATTGGGGGGAGGGGAGAGAGCAGGACAGGGGCGGATGGGAGTGTTCTCTTTTCATCAATTAAGAGCTAGCAATTAGAAGTCATGGTCATAAATGAAGACGTGGGCGTACAGACTCTTGCTTTTGTAGAAAATGTGGGTCTTTGATGTGTAGAGATATTTTCAAACTGGCTTTGGAATTTGTCTGCGGGTATGAGAATACCAGGTAATTAAACTTTATCTTTTTATTTTCCAGTTTTACATGAGGCTGTCAGCACCGGTGATCCTGAGATGGTATACACAGTTCTTCAACATCGAGACTACCACAACACATCGATGGCCCTTGGGGGAGTCCCTGAACTGCTCCAAAAAATTCTTGAGGTATCTGTGAAAATGGGGCGATGCCACATTTTGAGTTAAATGCTAATGTGATAGCTGAAGACACAGCCTGACATCCTTGCGTGCCTTCCAGAGAACTTTAGGAATCGTGAATATGATATGAGTACCAAATAACATTATTCCTTGCCTTTCCAACTTGTTAAATGTAGGAGATCTTTCACAGGTTATGTTTATAGGTCAGCAGGCTTACCTTGTAAGTGTCATTTAAAAATTTTAACTTAGGACAAGTGGGCATCTAGCAATTACTTTGACTAGACACCTGTTTTCTTAAAAGTAGCATCCTGAACATAGGTCATCTTGGGGAAACAATGATGAGCATCAGTTACTATACGAGGATTTTCAGGCTCTGATAGGACTAAGATTTGTGTGCTACTTCTCTCTGTCACATCCAGCCATTAGCACTTTGCAACTTCTAATCAATGTCTTAGATTATTTAATTACTAGCTTTCAGGGCATTTATCTGTCTTGTGAATTTTAGCGTAGGGGTTCTGTGACACTTGAAAAACTTTCTTAAAATTGACTCAGGCTCGCGCATTGTTTGGATGATGGTTGCCGTTCTTCGGATAATCCTTGTTACCTGCAAGAGCCATCTTATCTTTTAACCATATTGGAAAGCAACATTTCCAGGGTGATGACAAAGTACCAATGGTTCAATTTTCATGTTGTTTATTTTCAGTTTATGCATAGACTGTGAGCTTCTGAAAATAGCTTCAAAAATATTTGCTAAATAAAATCAGCTGTGCTACTTTCATCTAACACATTTCTTAAGAAAAATTAATAGCTCTTTGCTATGTCAGACTGCCACTGCTTGTGATCTGAATGCTCCTTTAAAAAAAAAATCATTCTCTATGACTCTTAAGTGAGACACTGCCAAAGATATGAAATGGTTATGGAAATATGAAATATTTGAAATGGTTGTGAGCATTGTTTTAAAAACAAATGTGTGTTTGAATGTTAAATTTATTGTTCTCCAACTCACTGTAATGGGAACCAAAAACATCATTTGCCTGATCATTTAACCAGGAGTCACCTCTCTTTTAAAATATTCAGCGTAAAGTGTTTTCTCTTTTCACCTACATTGATCCACAGTTATGAAAGGCATTGAATAGTATTCTCTGCTTGAAGTTCCACACAGCCCACAAAAGGACCACGAGGGCTTGGTGGCAGCGGGGGCTGTTTTGGAGTATTGGTGTTTCAACAGTTTCTCCTTATATCCCACCTTTCTTACCCAATGCCCCTTGAAGAGTGTCTTTGCTAATAACCAGAAGTCTGACTGGTTTTACTCTATGGTGTATTTTTGCTTTTTCTGCCCTGTGCTCCTTTAAAAACCATGGCAAAACCTTGGGGGTGGGAGGGAACAGAAAAATATCTGGAATTTCTAACATTTCTTTTTCTTTTTCTTGGATGGTAACTATTGGATTGTGTAAGCAGTCCTCCAAGAAACTTCTAGACAAATTCATAGTAGGTGAGAAAATCATCCTAAACAGGGATGCCCTGGTGGTAAACTTCCAAAGTCAAATTCTCAAAGCTTTAAGAGCGAAGTGGGAGCATGGATCTTGTGCACACTGGAGGGCAGAATCACCTTCCTGAAGAAGTGATGATTAGCAGCCTCTTTTAGTTCCACAGAGTGGCCTGATAAGTGTGAAGCACTTCCCAACACACAAATCTTTTACAGTCAAGTTCCCACAGAATATGTGGAATCCCACTGCCTAGACTAGCCAGTTACCCCTGCTGAGTGACTTGTTCTTGACTCATCCTCCCAGGGGTGTCCTTCTGTTCTGTTAGGCACCTGGTTAAACTCTTCAATCAGATCTAACTCTTGTCCTCTCCAACTTGTTTTGTTGGGGTTTTTTTAAAGATTTTTAAATTTATTTTTACATAGAAGAGCTAGGGTAGAGGCCTGAGGTGCAGGGGTAAGAGGATTCACGAGAGACAGAATAGGGAGCAAAACAGACAGATCCACTGAAATACACTGCTGAGGGGAGCAGCAGGTAAGACAGGAGAGGTCTGCTACACCATGTGAGTTAGCTCCCTGGCCAGGGATCAAACCCAGGGTGTCAGGGTAGTAGTGCTGAGACTTAGACCTGGGCCACCAAGGAGGCCCCCCCCCAACCTTGTTTTTAGTTAACTTTATTAACTGTCTCTATGTATTTTTATTTTTTATTTTTTTAAAGATTTATTTATTTATTTATACAAACACTGGGTACAGTCAGAAGCGCGGGAGGGTGAGAGAATTCATCAGAGCCAGAGCGGGGAGCAGGGCAGGCAGACTGACGAGGTACACTGCTGAGGGGAGCAGTGGGCGGCAGGAGAGGTCTGCATGCCATGTGGGACCCTCGCCGGCAGCAGGGGATTGAACCAGCGCTGCAGAGGCTGCGGGCAGCTTCACAACCCAGCGCTCAACCGCTGCGCCACCGGAAAGGCCCTCTATGTATTTTTATATCAAGATAAAATAACAACCTGAATAGAAAAATATAATAATAACAACTGAATGGGTTTACATTTTATATTTCTTATTTTCTCTGTTCTCCCCAACCCTCCCCTCTTTGAAAAAAAACAAAACAAAACCCTATTCACCCCTGCTATATGCATATTTAGTTAATAGTGCTCAGGGTAATTTATTTCAAACTTTGTCCTTCAGGCTCCAGATTTCTATGTGCAGATGAAATGGGAATTCACCAGCTGGGGTGAGTGACTGTGGACTAATAATTCATTTTTATTTCCAAGTTTATTTAGCCTGAATATATGTGTGTGTGTGTGTGTGTTTATTTTTCCTTAATAAAAGTTACATGTAATTTTTTTTAATCTAGGAAATGCGTAGATGAGAATAAGAAAAGAAATTCATCTGAGCTGCATTTAAGTACAGCTACTATTAGTGCTTTGATAATTCCCTTCCAGTCTTTTCCTCCATGCATAGGACTTTTTCTCCCAAGCACCCACAAATAGAATATATAGATAATTTTCTCTTTCTTTTGCCACTTATATTCATAAGTGACTGACTTGTATCTATATTATTAATTTTTTAATATCTGTTTAAATGGCTACTATTTTAGTAAGTAGATTTACCAAAATCTAGTTACTTGTTTCCTTCTGTATTTCAGCTTAATTCTTTTAAATTAAATTCTCCAAGGAAGAAGAGGAGATGAATATTGGAATAGCTTATTTTTTTAACAAAGTGAATCTTACATAGGGCAAATTGACAGTCACATTTTCATAGATGTTGTATTTTTATTTCTTGCACATCAGTTAATAGCAGCTCCTGACTCCCAGATTTTTAGTCATTTTCTTTTCCAGACTAGTTTCTTCCCTTTCAGGCAAGAAATCATATTTGTAATTAAACACATAAATGATGTAAAAAGTATATAAAGAAGAGAAGTTCAGATTCTTCTGGGAAACTAATAAGTTCTTTTCTAATGTAAATCATTGCTCTGATTTTAGGTTTTATTAAAGAGTGGCATATTTTAGACATTTGATATTTTGAATGGTGAATATGACAATATGATGGGCCACAGCCATATGGCAGGAGTAGCACGAGTGAGTGAGAAAGGCCAGATGGACACACTCAAGCGCTGATGGCAGTCAATACGAGGGGTCCATTTGGGGATGGAGAATACTCTTGGGAGATTCATTTAGAGGTTTTTCTCTGCACATGACTTACATCTGTACTTTTATTAAGAGCTATACAACAGAAGGTCCATTTTAATTTATGTATTTTTTTAAGAGTAACTTCCTATGTAAAAATGTACGGGAGCCTAGTCCAGTTCTATATGATGGTCACCATCTTGCAACTCCCATTCATGAAAATGTGAATCCCAATTTCTGCTTGGCCCTCAGGTTTTTCTCAGTTGTGTGTTTCTCTTCTGCAGTGCCCTTAGTTTCCAGAATATGTCCGAATGATGTCTGTCGCATTTGGAAAAGTGGTGCCAAGCTGCGTGTCGATATCACATTGCTGGGATTTGAGAACATGAGCTGGATAAGAGGGAGGCGTAGTTTTATATTTAAGGGAGAAGGTGAGTGAGTCCATTGTAGTAATCACTGCTGATGCTAAGTGATGGTGGGATTTCTAACCTTCAGAATGCATTCTTATTTATGTGCCTTTTCTTACCCTGCCCAGAACATGTTTTTGGGTTTTTTTGGTTATTCTTATTAACTATTCAGCGCTCAATCTCTATATCATATTTCTTGTCTCCAGAGTGGTCTTGATTGTGTGACTTGCCACCCAGCACAGTTACCCTTTGACATGTATCTGTCTTAGATTCCTTTTGAGTACAAGACTCTGTCTTATATTTCTTTACATTCTCTCCATAATCAGGCATGACCCTCCTAATGGAGGGTGAGAAATGGCATTACTAACTCTGTCATTTATATTAATTATATAATCATATATCTAAAAAAGCACATGGAGTTTTGTTGTTAATAAAGAAATTACTTTAAACATCTGTATCTTTGGGAAAGATGGTCCATAGCCTCCTAGATGTTGCGGAAAACTGGCTAGGTAATCCTTGTGCAGGTAGGTCATTGATACTCAGTAGTCTTTAGGGTTTATCACATTGCCCCCTGAGGGGGTTGGGGGATGGACTTGAAAGATGATGCCTTTTAACTAAGACTTTCTTGTTTTGCATTTTTGCATTGTGCTCAGTTACACCCTTGTTTTCACTAACAGACAATTGGGCAGAGTTGATGGAAGTCAACCATGATGACAAAGTGGTCACCACCGAACACTTTGACCTTTCCCAGGAAATGGAGCGCCTCAGTCTGGACTTGATGAAGCCAAAAAGCAGGGAGGTTGAGAGGCGGCTCACAAGCCCAGTCATTAACACCAGCCTTGATACTAAAAATATTGCTTTTGAAAGGTATGAATTTAGATTCTGTATTTTAATGTCTAATCCTTTTGCCAGTATAATAGTGGCTCATATATATGAATTGGAAATTATAGATGGACTGGGATTATTCTAATATGGCATAAGAAATACTAGTGGGTTTTAAAGTTGATCTCAGCTGCAGTCAAATAGAAACCATAGCTGACATCCTCACTCATATCATTTTTATAGCACATTGATTCAGTCTTGGAAAATTGTCTTCATATTCTTTTATGGGCCCTTTCTAATGGTGTTTACTTAAATTTTATTTTTGTTTTGGTGTTTGGGGAGCCACAAGACTCCCTAGTTCCAAACTGTGGCTCTCAGAAGGTCCAAAAGCTAGAACTGATCCAGTATTAAATGTAGTTATACTGATACTGGCCAGTCAAATTCACACTTATGTGGTTAGATGCGGTTCTCTTCGCCCCTGTGAGGCCTAATTGTCTAGAGCAAGAGTCTGGAAAGGGTTCAGTTCTATTCCAGACTCTACCAGAAGAAACCTCGGAGAGGTCTGTGCCTTGGCTAACCTGGATGAGAACACCCTCTCTGGTCACCTGCCTCTGGCCCACCCAGAGGGGCAAGGGCCTTTGTAAGGGAAGCAAAGGCTGGCACAGCTGTAGCTGAAGTGTTTCTAGTCTAGAATGCCATGACCCAAGGGAGTCCATAAGAGCCGAGTGTTTGCCTAGGATGTCACATCCAGCTCTCTGTAAGCCAAAGCAGCATAGCATAACCCAAGCTAACATGGACATCATTATCCTGGGTGTAGACTTTGTTTTCTCCTGAAGGATATATTAACTGGCCTCTTTTCCTTCTTTGTTTCTAATATAAAATTTGTTAGTAAAACAAAGAGTTTTTTGTTAATCAAACATGAAACATATTCGCACCCTTTTCTAATTTCCAAGCTTGAAATTAGAGTATCTGCTATGGTAGAAGAGAAAAACCCAAATGCCATCCTGGTGGGGTCCAGGTACTGCTGATGATTTGGTAGTGACACTCCTGAAAGCAGGGTCCACACCCCCCACACACACCCTCACCCCCCACTCCCACCCCCCCCCCACCCCCGTCACCAGCCTCCTCACATCGGTCTTGCCAGGTGATGGCTGTTGTCTTCAGGGACAGCAGGGTTTAAGGACTGACTGTGGCACCCCTGGAAAGGTTTTGGAAGGACATTTCCAGGCTTTGGCATATACTTCTACAGATGGGGAAGCTGCAAGATAGGGCTGCCCTCACTGCCAAAACCAGCAGCAGAGCTGAGATTTGGAAGATCTGGGTGTCACTTGAGGACTACTTAATAACTGTGGCTTTGGGTCACGGTTTCAATCTCTCATGTTTCTGTTTCCTTAGCTGAAAGAGGAAAGAATCAATCTAGAGATGGCTCTCTGAAGTCCACGCCTCTCAGATGTTATGGGAAGAGCCACTGTTCCCTCTGGTCTGGCCAAGTTGCTCGAGTCATTGTCAAGTGTTATTTATAAAGAGACTGTGATGGTGACTGTCTATACCCCACTGAGAGTAGATGAGAAATAATAGCATGTACCATTTGTACCAGGGACTAAGGCACATTTTGTATTTGTATGGTCACTAGGCTTTCAAACAGTTCAAGCTAATCCTTCTTTTGTAACTGACTGGCGGTTGCTGAGACAGAATTTCTAGAAGACAGCTGCTTTTCTGGTGGTACTTAGAATTAAAGAAGTGATCAGTGAGCTTGTACATCAGGTGAGGATTTGAGCCGCTCTTGAATGTGAGGTTTGCTGGTAGAACAAGTGTGCCCACGTCTTTCTTACTGGAGGTGTGAGTGTTCATTTGATTGAATGTGGAAGATGTGGCTTTTACATCACAACAGTCATTTTGTTCCATTTCTTTCTTCTGACTTCTTCCTGGCAGCTTGGTGCTTGCAAATTAATATCCTTCCCACATGAAGTTTTGGCCTGCTAGTATTTGCTCTCTGATTGTAGTTTGGATTTTTCTCTCCTCTGAAAGCTTATGCTTTGCCCACCTTAAACAAACCTTTCCTGCACCCTCAGATCCATCAAAGCCTCCAGAAGGCTCAGTAATTGCTGCGGTGTGGTAGGCTCAGTGGGGACAGACAGAGATGAAAGTGGCAAGAGAGGGAAGCTTGTTTTGTCGCCTTCAGTGCCTCTGGATGTAAAGTTAATCGGGGCCCAAGAAGTTCTAGAATCTTGATTTTAAAATAGGGTGTAGACATTAAGTTTAGGAAGTAAACTGCTATTAGAAAGTGGGAATGGAGAAGGAAGTGGCTGCTGATGGAGGTGTAGAGGACTGAGCAAAAGTGCAGCCTTGTTTTCTCAGCACTCACAAAGGATGTGGTGGAGTGGACCCCGTCATCCTTTGGTGCCTCTGTAGACCATGTGCAGAAAGCCATTCTTTCCCGGGCCAATTATCAAGTGACTTAGTGAAAGTCAAGAACTCTGAGGGTTGTATTGGTTTACTAAAAGGAGTATCTTGATTTTCAATTATTGCTGACTTTACGGGGACTGTTTAGCAATGAGTCAGAGCCCACCCTGCCTCACTCCAGGTCAGAGCAGGAGACGGCCTGTTGCCCTAGGCAGGGCCAGGTGCAGCAGTCACAGTGGAGCTAGGATGTGATGTCCTAGACAAAAGGGCAGGCTGGTCAGGGCTCCCCTGTGAGTGGTAGCATTTCCCAGGGTGAACTGCTTTGGAAAAGAAGCAGAGCCTCTTGGCTGCTCTTGGTTGCTAAATGCACTTTTTCCAGGAGTATGTTGAATTGAATCACTGGGTTGTTGGGCACTTGACCAAAGCTGCAGCTGCCGCTGGTATGCTGAGCTACTTTAAAAGCAGTTCCCCAGAGCTGGAGCAGTGGCTGGGCTGAAAAACTGCTTTTACCATCCCTACCCCCTGAACAACTGCTTGACTCCCAAGCCATTTTGCAGGCATTCGTGGCTTCTCTAAGTAACTCAGTGACGAGTTCCCATCGTGCAGGATGGCCTGCATCTTACTGTTTAATTCCTCGATTGAAGTGTGGCTACTTAGGGGAAGGAGCCGCTGACATCCGTGCCCACAGTTAAGATGACCCAAGTAAATCCAACCCAGATACCAGCTTGTGATGGGGCCCTAGATGCTGGTTATCTTCACTTACTCCTTTGGGACAGCTGTCCAATAAATGTCACCATCTTTGCCACCTATGCTGGCAGTTTTTGTAAAGAAGCCAAGAACAGGGACTTTCTATGCCAGGGGTGAGGCAAACTGATTAATAACTGGGGGAGGAGGGAGGAGAATGCTTATACCATCTGTCATGGACAGCATCCTGGTAGACAATAACGACTATAACTTCCTGGTGTCCTTCACTAACTTAAGCTGGGGAAAAGCTATAAAGGCTGCAGGGATAAATCTGAATGGCATATTGTACATGTAGAAATTTGTGGTGTTCACTTTTTATCAGAACTAAATCCGGATTCTGGGGCTGGAGGACAGATAAAGCAGAAGTTGTTAATGGTTACGAAGCAAAGGTAAAAGGAAACTCTTAAAATAAGATTTAATATAGCTATTTAGCTTCTCTGCAAATGAGGAGTCTGTTCAGATTTTTGTATGCATCTGTGCCTTGGAGATGCTCTGGGGAATAAGAACTGTTTCATGTCTCTCCCTTGGATTTTTGTCTTATTTGACTTTCAGAAAATGGGAGAGCATGTCCTGAGGAGGTCTCTAGTTATGCCAAAGAGAAAGAGAGCTATGGAGAAAGGAGTATGAGTACTCAAGGCCCTGGGGAGAGTGACAGTTCCTTTAATACCTTAAACAAAAAAAAGAAAAAATATTGGACTTAACTTGTTAGTTCAGTGTTTTTTTAATAGCCCGATGGGTCTTTTTTAAAAGCATATAAAGTCACTTTGATGGGTCTCCATTTTCAAAATCAGCCCCATTGTAACCAGTAGGCTTATAAGCCCATTTACGTGACATGAATGAGTTTAGAAAATAGTCGTAACAGTTGATGGAGTCATCTGGCATTTTGTCAGCTGGAAAGCTGTTTCCTGGCCTTTCCTTAGCTCTGCAGTATAGCAGGAATTGATGGCTCATGGTGAAGGAGCCAGGCGCTGCGGGATCCTCTGGTGACCTCTGAGTGAGCAAAGAAAGCTTACATCATGCTCAGCAAGACACATCTAGAAACAGTCATTCCAGGGCTGCGTGTTTTTCCTGAGACTTTGAACGTTGGGAATCCACGTATGGCATACGCAGTTAATTCTCTATTCACTGTGATTGGATTTTCCAGACCCCCTATATTCTTCAGGCAGACTTAATAACAGAACACTGTTACTGCTGTGAAAATATTTTTTTTTGTCTTTATGCAGAGTCCTTCTTAAATAGTAACTTGCTGGATTGCCCATCATATTATGAAGAGAACCTTGCGTTCATTCCTTTCCCTTCTGCCCAGCAAACAGATGGCTATCTAAGTCTACCCCATTATAAGATCCACACAGATCAGTAGAAGGACAGGATGCAGGTTTGGGTACTTCAGTACACTAGAGGTCCAGCTGGGAAGCCTAAACTGCAGGACATTCCTTTGAGATTGTTTGGCAACAAGGGCGAGTAGGAAGATACAGCCTGTTGCATTAACTCCTCGGTATTTAAACTGTCAGAGATGCAGAGTAACTGCTGATGCATATCTCAGTGATAGCTTATATTTTTTTCTCTGAAGGATCCTAATGATTGTTAACCATTTCTCATTTTTATTTTGCTGTAATTTTTTTTTTTTTGGCTTCAGCATTCTTGCTCTTGCTATGCTTATTTCTCAAGTTTTGATTCCCTATGTCACTGTTTTCTTTTGCACACATCTCTCAAGGTTTACACAGTAAATAATGTAAGTGTGATAACCAAAATACGGACAGAACATCTGACTGAGGAAGAAAAAAAGAGATATAAAGGTAACCTTCCACCTTTTTTAGCCTAGAGAGCCCTTGTCAGCTGTGTTAAGTTTGGGGGGTTAATGGGACTGGTCATGCTTGTCCTAACTCCAACTTCCTTTTTATACAAATTTCCTTTGTCTGACTCATTCTTGGAGGCATTTCCCCATAGTTGGCTTCAGTCATAATTAAAGCCATTCATGAGCCATTCATAATTAGAGCCATTCGTGTAACATGTTTACATGTTACAAAAAAAACAATGGTTGGATTGGGTTGAAAAAGTAGATAAGGAGATTGGAGATGATCACTGGAATAAGTGATGTAGCCCAAACTACCATAATGAAAGATTTGGACTGAACTTGGGTTCTGATCGTCATATCCCAGTTCCACCAGTGGCAGTGTCTGTGGTCTTGTGAAGTTACCTAACCCATAAGCCTCAGTTTCCCCAGCAGTGAAAATGCAGGTGCTACCAGACCTTCTTTGGAGTTGTTGGAAGGATTAGATGAGTTACTGCATGGTATCCTTCAGGCTGCTGCCTGTGGCATGTGGCGAGCACACAGTAATTCCTAACTTCCAGCACCACTTCTACTGTTGCTCTTACTCTAGTTTGAGAGATGAGGAAACTGAGGCACAAGACCATGGATAATGAGATGCCAGGGTGAGATGAAAATCCCTATCTGGCTAACTCCAAAATCCAAAATCTTTTTACTTTTCTGCTTTAGTTCTTATAACCGTTGTTTAGTCTAGTGTAGAGATTCTAATAAAAACTGCCCTGTACAGGATAAAGTAGTTTATGGTCATTGAAGATGCTTTTATTAGCCTGTCCTTCAGAGGATTTCCTTTAATGCAGGTAGCTTGCATCAGAGACTATAAAATATAAGAATCATTTTGTGCAGTTAACAAGTAAGGGATAATATTCGACCTTAAACTTTTCTTCTCCTCTGTAGCGGACAGGAACCCACTGGAATCTTTGCTGGGAACTGTGGAACACCAGTTTGGTGCTCAAGGGGTAAGTTGAAGCAATGCTCTTTCAGTTTAAAGAAAGCAGATGACTTTTCTGTGCCAGGTGTCTTGAGCAGGCCACTGCATTTGAAAACACTCGAGTATTCTCAAGGTGGAATTGGAGATATTCTTTTGAAAGAGAATTAGATGGGTGACTCTTTAAGAAAGTAAAGATTTCAGAGAAGTGACAGTGATTATAGAAGCTGGTGCTTTTGATCCATTATAAACTAGGACCTCTTCTTAAAGATGAAACCCGAAAAGGATCCAGGACTGTATTTTACGGAGCACCTTCAACATTTTCTTACCTGATCCTCATTGAACTAATGAAGGTGGTACCATGCATGTCACTGTGAGTCAGAACAATGAAATGACCTTTCCAGCGCTGCAAGCTTTAGAATGACAGAGCTGGATTTTAAACTCTACGTCTTCCAGATCTCAAGTACTTTCAGAAATTTTTTCTCCGTCTTTTCCCTCTTTTATAATCAGGAGGTAAAAATGCAAAGAGGGGAGAAATGTGTTGAAGTAGAGAAGTCCCCTAAGACTTGCAACATCATTAGGCTAACACTTTTTTAGATTTTCTTGTTCTGTGTAGAAACTTAATTAAAAAAAAAGTGAGTGATTGGGCTTCCCTGGTGGCGCAGCGGTTGAGCGCTGGGTTGCGAAGCTGCCCACAGCCTCTGCAGCGCTGGTTCGATCCCCGGCTGCTCCCCAGCCACCGGAGGAGGGTCCCACATGGCGCGCAGACCTCTCCTGCCGCCCACTGCTCCCCTCAGCAGTGTACTTCGGTCCTTCTGCCTGCTGTGCTCCTTGCTCTGGCTTTGGTGAATTCTCTCACCCTCCCGCGCTTCTGACTGTACCCAGTGCTTGTATAAATAAATAAATAAATAAATAAATAGATAGATAGATAGATAGATAGATAGATAGATAGATAGATAAATAAATCTTTTAAAAAAAAAAAGTGAGTGACTAGTACTTCCTGCTCTATAGCTGGTTAACATGTGCACCTCAGAGGCTGAGGGCTATAGGCATCCACTTGTGAGCAGCGTTTGGCATTTCTGATTCCCCTGAGTTCTGGCTCAGCAGGACCTCACCACAGAATGTGCCACTGCAAACAACCCCACGGCCATCACGCCTGACGAGTACTTTAATGAAGAGTTTGATCTGAAAGACAGGGACATCGGAAGGCCAAAGGAGCTGACGATTAGAACACAAAAGTAAGAGATTCAGGTGGCCCTTTTTAACTTACAAAGCCTTATTTGTTTCATAAGGTGTGCTGTTTTATGTTGTCATGTCAGTCATACTCTTTTGTCTCTTTTAGAAATAATTTTAAAATTCCATTATCTAATGAAAGCTAATAGTAGATTGTCCATCTTATTATTAGCCCTTTCTCAAACAGACTATAGATTGGATGAAAGAATGTCTTTTTTTTTTTTTTCCTGTTAGCAAGCTTCATTCCAGCAAATGAGATGGTCTCCATGATTATCAGCTTCTTCAGGCTTGCTAACAATTCAAGCTGTGGGAGGTGGTAGTACGGGTCACTTCCCTTGATGGCCGCATTTCAGAGTCCTCTGAATTCCTTGTGGTTCTCGTCTTCCCCATGCTTTGAATGAAGAGATGTCAGCAGTGTGGGGGGAGTGCAGAGTGAAGAAGCTGGTGCTGCTCGCTTACTATACAGACTTAATTCTGCTCTCCCTGTCTGGTGGAGACTCCCTCAGTCTTTTCTCGGTTGACTCCTACAGGTTTAAAGCAACACTGTGGATGTGCGAAGAGTTTCCCCTCTCACTCGTGGAGCAGGTCATCCCCATCATTGACTTAATGGCCCGAACTAGTGCTCATTTTGCAAGACTGAGAGATTTCATCAAACTGGAATTCCCACCTGGATTTCCTGTCAAAATAGGTACCCTGAAATCACAGGAACACTTGTCGGTTCTGCCTAGGTTTTGTTTTGTGTTTGTTTTTGGTGTTTGTGCTTCAGAGAATTGGAGCACTTTTGGCAAATTAGCACATAGTAGATATAACCAGAAGAAGTCAGAATTATCCTTTAGTTAGTTTGGTTTAAAGAAGTGTCATGATTTTAGCTCATTTACATATCAAAATTAGAAGATTCCCCCTCCAGCAGTTCTATTTACTACAGATGGTGCTGCCAGATGTGAAAAGAAATAAAAATGTGACACATTCATTGTTTTAATGTCAAATGTTACTTAAGTAGATAGTTTTTCAGGAAAGACAAAAATCTTTTGACACCAAGCCCTTTCATACATTAGTATGTTTTAAGGTCTGCGCTAGTATGCATAGTAACATATACAATACATACAATGTGAGAAGTTCGATTGTTGTGTACTCATGACATTAGAATCTAGCTCGATCACTTACTGTGATCTGGGGACGGTTGCTAACCTCTCTAAATCTCAGTTGGCCATCTGTATATTGGGGAGGGATGTTGAGAATTAAATGAAATCATGCTGATAAAAGGTATTTGGTACAACATCAGCATAGTAAGCATTTAGTACATGATGCCTATCATTATTACTATTATCCTCAGGAAAATTTACTTACAAAGCTTTTATTTTGTTAGAAATTCCCTTGTTTCATGTCTTAAATGCACGGATTACGTTTGGAAATGTTAATGGCTGTAGCACTGCTGAAGAAACTGTATCTCAAAATGTGGAAGGGACCCAGACTGATTCAGGTAAAAGAAAAGTTTGGGTTTTGTGATTCTTAAAAACTTTATTACATTCAGTCATTTTATTAATTATTTCATTTACCTTTGGGATATCACTGGAAGTAGAGCTGTGTTGAAAGAAAATGTTAGATTTAGTTTCAGTTAATAAAGAAAGACCTTATAGAATATGTGTGACCTCACTTGTATTAAAAGGTAGCGTAACTTTTAAAAAACAACTTTATTGAAGTGCAATGTATGTTACAATAAAATGTTCCCATTTTTAGTGTGTTCAGTGACAAATGTATATACACATGTAACCACCACCACAATTAGGTATGGAGTATTTCCATCACCACCACCCCAGATTTTCTCAGGCTCCTTTGCCTTCAATCCAATTCATATTTTGGATGCAACTGTAAATGCATCCCAATCTGATTGTAAGTGGATTTATTTTCTTAATTCTGGTTTCCAGTTACTTGTTGTGTCTAGAAACATAACTGAATTTATCAAAATTTTCATTTATTGTGGTAAAATAGTGTTTTGTGTCTTACGCTAGTTGAAGGATATATGGCATTTGTTTTATTATTAACACTTTAAAGTTTACAGATTTCTTATTACTCTTTATGTGTACTATACTTCAAAATAAAAAGGCACATTCATGTCATTGTGTATACAAACACCCACTCACGTGTTCACATCACATTCCTCAAAGGACACATAAGTACACATTAGTTACCTGTGGAATTTGGAAGTGAGAGAAAAGGGTGTAGGAATAGAGAGCTTCACTTCTGATTTTACAGTCTTCTGTATTGTTTTTGTTCATTGATTTGACTACTAAAAAAAATTAAGCAAAAAGTAGCATCCCAATGCTTTTTCTATCAAGATTAATCCTCAAAATCTCTTGCATAGTAACAAGCCATTATTTTAATCATTTTCATCAATTCTTTTAATTAAAATTATAAAAAGTTGAAATTTCTTTACTAACTTGGGCATCCCCTGTTGTGTTGCCTTTCAGCTACCCAGGTCACAAACTTTGAGGTCAATCAATCTGTGTTTGAAATTCCGGAATCTTACCATGTTCAAGACAATGGCCGGAACATGCACCTGCAAGATGAAGATTATGAGATCATGCAGTTTGCCATCCAGCAGAGTTTACTGGAGTCCAGCAGGAGCCAGGTGCATTTATCAGAATAAATGGAAGGGCCTGGGAGGTTTATAGCTAACCTGAAAAAATTCACTCTAAATAACAAGTTCAGCATATTTGCAGTATTGAGAAATTTCTTCTTGCCCTGAGGCTTTCCTGAAAGCTGTTGTGTGAGTGCATCTGCAGGAGCCCCGTCGGCATCCTTCACAGGATCACTGCTGACAGTCTTTCCTTTCCTCAGGTTCACCTGTGTAGCTAATAATCATGTATCTTTTGGAGTGTGCTATATAAATTTTTTAATATTAAACTGTGAATCATGCTAGTTTACACCATTGTGTATTTCCTGGACTGTTATTTGTGTAAGGTATGTGGATTTTAGTCCTAACTTCCTCTCTAAGAAAGACCAGTAAGTGTGTGATGAAACGGTAGTTGACTTTTTGGTTTGTTTGTTTATTTGTTTACTCAAATGTTTTATTCTGTTGGAAGGGGTATTTCTCAAATGTTGAAGTCTCCCTAAAAGCAGAGCTAAGGATAGGACAAGACAAGTGTAAGAAGAGCTGTCTTTTGTATTATGTGGTTTTCTCTCTAGGCCCCACCTGCCTGGGACAGTCCAGGGCTGAGGGCCTGCTCCTCCACCATCAACACCTGTGATTCCCGGCTGTATTATGGTGGGGTCTGCTTCTCACTCGACTGCCCTTGGTGAAGCAGCTCCAGGCTCAACCCTCATGGGGCTGTTAAGCTTGAGAATAGCACCCACACTCCACCCTCCCTAGGTTTAGGTTTTTGGCATTTTTGGTTTTATTCTAAGTCTTCATCTTGAATAAATGTGAACACTCTCCCACACTCCATGAACCCATTTAGAGAACTATTCAGTTTTTTGAGGTGCTAAGCTAAGGGCTAGACCTCAGAACATATATATAACATATATTCTCTTTGGGAGACCTCCCGGGAGACTGCTAGCCCCTGAACATCACTCAGTCCAGTTTGTGTCCTTACCCTACGTAAGTGAGCTTATTTTTTGCCCCAATGTCTTCATAAACTTTGTTGGACCATAAATTTTGCAAAGGGGAACTGCCAGAGTCCAAGATGACAAATAAGGAATTATGTACTCTTTTCAGAGCAGGTAATTTGCTCTGAAAGAATGACCTGCTTTGTTCACGTGAACATTATCCAACGTAGCTCTTTTTAATAGATTAATTTTGCATCAAGTATGAGAAGGCTGTGGCTATTAATCAGTCATGTACTGTACACTACCTGACACTTAGGTGTGGTTTTTGAGGTAACCCAAGTCCCTATTAGTTGTTCACATGTCACTGTTAATAATGGGCATGCCAATATCTTAAATTTTGTCCCGGCTGCTTTTATTTCCTTGTCAGTATGATGCCCGTGTCTTAGCTAAGAGAGATTCATGTCTACCATGTTTGTTTCTCCTAGGAACTTTCAGGACCAGCATCAAATGGAGGGATCAGCCAGACACAAGTCTATGACGACCAATATGAGAGGTGAATCACGTGACTCTAATTGATTAAACTGAGCTTTACACAGGCATCTGCCTGGCAGGCAAGGCATGAGGAAGTGTTGAGCTCTCCTGCTCCTCTTGTGGCAGTTATCGTTAAGACAGCCCTCAACTCTTGGAAGCTGAGTTTCCAGGAACAAGAGAGTCAATGATTAGTTCCTAAGCTACTTCCATTGGCACCGGAGAACTGTAATGTTTTTCGGAGTAAATGTTTTTCTGATTGGTCTGGTCTTCTCTGGGGAATGTAGATGTCTTCAGCAGGATGTTTATATAGTCTTAAGGATAATGACACTTTGGGCAAGAGGTACAGAAATGATTCCATTTTTTTTAAAGGGGGCAAACTAGAAAGATTGATTTTATAAAGCATTTGCCTATACATAGGCATCATTAAATAGGTTTAAGTTCAGTTCCCAGCCCCAGCACTTAGTAGCTGAGTGATCTTGGGTAGTTTTCTTAATGTCTCTGAGTCTCAGGTTTCTCCCCTATCTCCAGCCCATGTCCCCAGAGTGATGTGGGATTGCTTGACCTCGTGCACATACAGTGCATAGAAAGTGCCTGGCACAGCATGCACTGGGAAAGCGGTCAAGGAATGTAGTTGCTGCTGCTGCCACACTGAAGATAGTAGGCACGGTTTCATTTTCCCCTCTTTTTTTCTATCCAGGGCCATCCAGGAGAGCCTCCTCTGCAGCCCGGAAAGTCTGTGCTCTGAGGTCTCAAGTGAGACAAGCCGTTTTGACAGCGACTTGCAGCTGGCTATGGAGCTCTCTGCCAAAGAGCTAGAGGAACAGGAGCTCAGGCTTCGGGAGGAGGAGGCAGAGCTCCAGCAAGTCTTACAGCTCTCGCTCACTGAGAAATAAACCTTTGTGTCCACGGGCAGCACAAGCAGAGGCTCTGGGCTGCACGCAAGGCCACGACACAGAAGGACCACCTCGCATGTCTGCAGCAGATGCAGCTGCACCTTCAGAGGTGCAGGACCAGGGGCTCCCAGGCCCATCCATGATGCTCCCTGGTGAAGGGGTTGGGGACTGGCAGGTCCCATCTCCAGGCTAAGGGGAGGAGAGCATTGTCACTTTCCATTAGCTGTATTGGCTTGCAGGTCACATTTTTACTACCAGCTTTAGACAAAAACAAAACAAAACAAAAACCCAATCCCCGCAGGTTTGTAGATTAATTTTTATCAAGGAGTGATAACGAAACAAGTTATTGCAGAGTCAGGGTGCTTTTATACATGAGAGCAGCAGCCTTTATAGAGTGTGATTTATGAGAATTTATGAGACACTTCTTTACAGTTCACCAAAGAAATGGATAATCTGTGCCGATCTCTTTTATTTTTACCTTTATACAGCGTTTCTAGAACACTGTCACTATTCCTCATCCTTCTCCACCTTATGCCATTCCTTCCACCTCCCCACCCCCACCCCCACCCCCAACTAAAGTTAAAGAGGAGATATATATACAGGATCTATTTTAGATTAGGGTTAACTATTTACATCAAATTAAGATATACAGATGACCACGGTTGTTGCCTTAGCCTTAAAAATTACTAATAGTTTCAAACCACCTCACTCCACTTATTGAGGGATCTGATTTGAATTTGTAAAGGCAGTTCCTCTGAGAATAGGACCCTCCAGGCTAAATCCAAGGCAGCTAATTCTGGCCCTGAAGGCGCCTAGGAGAAACCAAGGCGGTTCTTAAAGTAGGCAGGCTGGCCAAAACATGGGAACAGCATAGAAACAAACTAAGTGTGTGTTCCACGTCTTCTCTAGCGAAGGGTTTCCATGCAGAGGCCTTGGAAGTGCCTACCCTGTGCCCTAAGCTCACGTGCCAGGAAGGGAAAGACATGAAATTAGGAAGGGAGCAACAAGGGGAACTGATGGCTATCTTCAAAAGGGAAAATGATGATTTCACATTGCTTTTTAGAGTTCAAATCGACATCTTTCTGGATAAATATATTTTTTAACAGAATCTTTTTATTATTTTTAAAAGATGTAAAAACGACTACTCCCATCAGTAGCAATACAAGGTTATACATTTTAACCAGATTTTCTCAGGCCTTTTTTGAATACCTTTAGTAGTTAACTATTTTGTCTAACCCTTCTGTAAATAACCATGGCACAACGTACAGAGCCTGGGGAATACAGCTGAGGGCACCCTCACTCCAGCCCGTGTATTCATTCCCACAGGCTGCACTGAAATAACTTGGTAAACAGTATCCTCCTCTGTTCTGCGTCTGTTTCCTATCTGTTGGCGGCCTTTGGGGATGGGAAGAGAAACCATTCAAGTTAATGTCTATATCATACAGTTAGTGTTGCCAGTAAAATGTTCCTAGTCACTAAGAATTGTGCTTTTGATTCCATGTAACCATCTGCCTTGTTTGCCATGGTCTGACCAAAATTCCTTCTCCACACAAGGCCAGTATATGCAGCATCACATTTGTTTCAAATACGCAGCTTGGCCCTTTGTTGACTTAGCGTTGGCCTGGAGGGAAGGCGCTTCTTGGGAGCTGCTGCAGTCAGGCCATATCATCGTTTACTCACGAAGGTGAATCATAAGTAATTTCTCTGTTTGCATTCCATTGCTCTGCTCCTGGTGTCTTGGACTTTCTCCCTGGGGAGTCAGTTAAGAGAGGGACTGAGTGTTGTGTCAATCTGTGGCAGCAGGAGTTCTCATATTTGTGTTCACTCTCTTAAAATGCAAATAAAGACTGCTTCCTTAGAGGGTGCTCCTGTAATATTCCAGACAGCTTTTGAGTCCTTTTTTCTTTCCACATTGTTTTCCTTGTCACTAATAAATGTGCCACATGTCCTGGTGTGTACATACTGGGACCCCAGACGGCTCCCGGTCAGCTGTGGGTTACATAGGTGACACGCTTCTCTCAGCCTTCCTGCCCTAGTCGTACAGGCCAGCACCCCACTCACTGTTTCAAGTGGAAACTTAAGCAAGCCAGTGCCTGACTCGCTGAAATGTCTCTGTGGTGCTGCTCCTTGAGGTGGGTGGCCAAGCAAACAACAAATCTGAGTGAAATGTACTCTTCTTTGAAGCCAAATACTTGGTGAGGCTGTTCTGAGGTCATAGAAGGTGATCATTAGAGCTTTCAGATTTATCCTACATCTTAATCTGTTGGTAGTAAATCAAGAAAGGCGGTGACCAGTAAAAATGGGATCTAGAACTTGGGCTTTGATATTTCTGAGAATGTGTGAAGGAGATGCTCTGCTTTGGGCAATAGTGATACTCAGAGCTCATGCAACCCTGGGAAGAACAATTACTCTCCTTAAAAAAAAGTCCTGATTCCAAGAGATGCAATATTTATTAAAAGTCCTGATGCAATATTTATTAAAAGTCAGTATTTATTGAAAGTCTTGATTCCAAGAGATGCAATATTTATTAAAAAAATAATCATTTCTTTTTTAGTTTTAAGGCTGGGTGACCCAATATAAGCAGCAAACTTTAGTTGAGCAATTTCTGCATGTAAGACACTGCTAGGAACTAATTATAACAAGGTTCCTGCAACACTCCTCCATAAACAAGCCTGTTATGCCATACATAATGTACAGTATGGAAGGCGAGTCTGCTCTAAATAATGACCAGAAAGGCAAAGACCATAACCATCAATTGGGTCATTTCCTGCTGAATGCAGATGACAAGGTGATAAGTTGGACTACGGCAACTTCAAAGGACTGCAATGCAGCAAGCGATGGTAGTCAAAGCCTAAGCTAGACACATGTCTAGTATATATATATGGATTTCCAACTGGGTTCAGCTAAGAAAAAGTGTCATGAGTTCTGAATTCCTACATCTCAAGCAGCACCGGTAGGCTTCTTAATCTCAACTTAAATGAAAGTTAAGATTAGTGTTTGCTAAAATAACTTGTGTTTGGTATAAATTAATTGAATGTGTTCACTGCAGTACATGACAGGTATGCCGAATAAGGGTTCTGTTTATAAGGTCTTGGGTTTGGCTTCTGCGTTCCCCCACACTCCGAAGGATGGTCAGGAAAATAATTCTTCTTGAAAGTATTGGTTGGCCAGTCTCTGGCACATAGAAGTTTTCGTGTAATTCTCTCCCACCCCAGAGTTATGTTTTCATCCTTCTTTACTCATATCTTGGTTATAATCTGTCTATCAAGATGATTCTTTGTCCTACTTTAGCTTGAAATCTCATAGGAACAGATGGCAATGTTGGAATGAAGAAGTTGGCTGGGTTCTGGATTTGTGTGTGGAGTAACTACTGCAAGGTTGTTTCAGGAATCTGGAACATGCTCCTCCTGTCCGGCTGGTTTTGCAACCATCCCAGGCCAAGTAGGTTCATTGTCAGTTCTCACAGACAAAAAGATATTTGGAGCCTTTGGTAGATTTTTATAGGCCTTTAATGCTGAATCAGGGCAGACCTGCTTTCTCTATTTCTCTGACTCTCCCTCTGTCATTCTGCCTCAGAGAGATGCTGCCCTTGTGACCTCGCCCCTTGGCATAGGTGACCCCTTTACATAAACACATGCTGAACCAGGAGACCGGCTTTCTCTATTTCTCTGGCTGTCTTCTCCCTTTGTAGTCCCGCCTCAAAGTGACACCACCTTTATATCCCCTCACCCCTTGAAACAGGTGTCCCCACTTACATATATGCAAGCCCCGTGCTCTCTGGGCCCAGGTGTCCATAATTACAGGTGTATGTGCAAGACCACAGGTCCTGGTCATAGATGCTAATGAGGGGAGGGCCTAGAAAGCCTGATTTTTCACTCATTTTCCCTACAGCGGTGTTTACTGAGCAGCAGCGGCAGGTTACAAGGGCCTGGCAGATTTCTATTGTTTTCTTTCAAAATCCCAAAATGGCGATACATTTTTAGGCATAATTATCAAAATGTGAAATACCAGATAAGGTAAGGATGTGCACTCCAGGGACTTAACTCTGTCAATGTCAGTCTCAGACTCCACCCTGTTCCTCCTCCCTCCAGTCGAACACTACAAGCTGCCATGGGGCACGTCTGCCATGGTGGCCCCACCTTCCTTTGTATTCCTTTTCGTGTCATTTGATCTTCACTGTATCTAACAAAGTTAAAGAGTGTGTATATCACCATTTATAAATGAGCAAAATGCTCGGAAAAAGTTAACCTGTTGTGAACTGGAACTGGGTCAAGAATCCATGTTTCCTGACACCTGGTCCTGCCTGAGAGGCTTACTATGGCCCAGTTTCCTGAACTCTGCCTTGAGGCGAAGAGTTGTTTTTGTTACAGGGCAAACATCGATATAAACTGGGGTTGCCTGACTGTGGGTCCTGACCCCCGTGCTTAAAGGGGACTTATTAATGCTAAACTGCAGACACACACAAAAGGTTGATAAAAGGTTTATTTACAAGGGAAGGGGAAATGGGAAATGAATAACTCAGGGAGAAAAAGAGGGAGATAAGTTCGTAAATGCGTCCTACCCATTCCGCTGACCTGGAATCCCAATGACCCGCTGAGCTGGCAAAAACCTAGCACGCCTCATGGCCAAGCCAGCGACCTCCTGGCCAAACGCCCAGAGAGCCTAGCTGTTTAACTCTGCCCTCAGGTCCTCGCAACCTTCCCATTGGTGATCATGGGATTTGTAGTTCCCAGTGTGGTGGGGGTAGAGTCCACAAAGCCTGCGTGGAGTCTGCTCAGGACATCCTTTCCCCCTATCAATTTCACATATAAAATTTAAAATTCCACTTCACAGTGCTTCCTTGAGAGGTTAAATTGGATTCAAACACACACCTGTATTGTAAACCCTTGGAAAACAACGACTAGGAGTACAATAGCATGCAGGATTTTAATTGAAAATCTGCTTAACAGCACAGAGCAATGAACATTTTAATGGCTCAATGGTAGGGTTTCAACAAAATTCTGAAGTCAAGCAATTACAGTATCCCATGTTAATTACTTCACATTAAGTGCGGGTTGTTTAAAGAAAAAGAAACCAGTGTTGTGCTTGAATGAAGCCCAAGACTTTCAATTTAATAACAGAAAATTAAACCTAGCACCATTAAAATAAAATAAATACTGATAACAACTTTGTTAGTATGAAAGTATCACTTCAGGGGGGAAATCCAGTTCAACAACAGTGCAAGCTAACAGCAGCATTTTCAAAGTTGAAATTAAATGTAATTGAATGTATGTAAACACACACCTGCCTGGCTGGGCACAGTGAGCATGCACTTGGGGGTCCCTGCACCTCCCCTCCCACCCCACCCACAGTTGAAGCTCCTTTGGAGTCTCTTTTAGACTCCAAATCTGAAAAGCTGCCACAAGTTTTAGGTCATGGGTTCGAAAGACTTGAGTACAACACAAGTGAGATCAATGTGTCTGGAGTTCTTTCTCCTATGGGCCAACAGGTACACATTTCTGGTCTGACCCCAGAGCCTTCCAGCCCAGGGGTGCACATGGTAACCGGCCTATCTGATGCAAGCCTACGTCAATGAGGGCACCTGTGGGCAGAGCTCCATGCAGCACAAACAATGATGGCCTGAGGGTCCCATAGCTGACACTGCTTTGCAACCAGTGTGTTCTAGATCAACTCTAGTTAAAAACACTGAGTCTTAACCCACTGTGACCAAACAGTTCTTAAGTGGGAAATGTCTATATATTAAGCCTTACTCTTGTTAATATTATCAAACATTGATGATTAGGTCTTTCCAGCATGGCTTGTTACATCACACACAGAGCTATTGTGTTTGCTTTCTCATGAACATACTCCATCTTTACACTGAAACTTGGAGCTTCAGATCTTACTGTTGACAAGTATAGCCAGATTAAAAAAAACATTGAGAAGCAGACTCAGGGGCTGATTACTTGCATTACAGTGTTAGGAAAAAGTAATTGCTAGATGTCTTATCTAAACCATTTTGTATTTACCAACTGTCCAGATCATAGGTCGTTTCCAAGAAGAAAGTCCTGATTCCAACTTCTCCACCAACCTGTATATAACACAACTTAATCTGTTCCCAAATACTTGTGGAAGAACTTGCTTGCTCAGCTGTCACCGACGCCGAATGGGCTTGTAGACGCAAAATGCCATCAGGATCACAGTCACCAAGAGGATGCTGAAGATGGTGCCCAGCAACACTGCAAAATGAAAACAGGTTACTTCCTCATGGCAGCCGCGGGGTCTTGAAGTCATCCATTCACTGACAGTGATTGCCAAATGCCACCCAGTCCCAGGAACCACACCACTGCCAGGTGTGGGGTAAACAAACAGGAGTATTTCACAAGGCTTTAAGTGCGGTGATGGAGGAGTGAGGCAACAGTAAGTAGGGTGCAAAGGAAGCACTTGAGGAGGTGACACACAAGCTAAGACCTTCAGGAAAGGTCTGGAGGGAAGGCACTGCTGGCCCAACAATGGCCTGGCACCAAAAATCCAGAAGCCAATGAACAGGGTGGATGCGAGTGTAGCAGTGGAGAGTGAAGGAAACATAGGAAATGAAGACAGAGGAAGGCTGGAGTCACTTCATACAGAGCCTTGAGGACAATGAAGGAAACAGATTTTGTGTTTAAAGAGAGGGTTATAGGCAAAGAGTGACTGATCTGATTTAGCTGGGGGAAGAGATCCCTTGGCTGCTGTGTGGCGAGCCATCTGATTACAAGACAAAACGGCAGCAGGGAGCCCAACTACATCTTTAGAACTATTCATAAAAACTGGACAGTCAACAGAGTATTGCGGTCTCCTCAGGAGTCCTGGCATGGACCGCTAGCTGAAAGAAGCAATTAACTAACCTCACAAACTTAAAAAGTTGTTGAGAGCAGACGTCTCATCTAAAATTTCCAAGGTGCTCAAGTGAGATATGGGGCCTACTACTGATGACACAAGATGAGTCCTGGCACAGGATTACCTATAATGACCTGGGCATTAAACTATCATAATTAGCATCAGAGTGGAAATGATGTGCAATTCTGTTTCATTTTCTCAGAGATTTTGGGAGAGGTTTAAAAAGATGTTACTTTAACAAGCAAATGTAAGTTTATGTGTAAGTATGTGGGCCTCTCTCAGGCTCCAGCTGGGGCCTAACCATGGTTATTCTCCAGTCTGGTTACTGTTCCCTCGAAAAACCAGGATCTGACCAGTTTTATTTAAGTCAGTGATTTGGGGCTACCTGGGACTCCCTACCCAACACCTCCACCCAATCCTTGCCATTTAACCCAGTTTTTTAAAACTGAGCACATAAAAATATCTTCTTTTGGTGACAGAGAGGAAGGATGAAGAAGATAACTAAGACAATGTGTCCTTACTCCAAAGGGTTGGAAGTAAATTTAAAGGTTCCTGTTTTCCAAAATCAACTAACACAACCTAAATGTCATTATCTCAAAATAACCCGTCAGTGAAACACCTGCTTTAATTTTCAAACTCCTGAATTCTGCAAGTTTCCAGGGATCTGACTGCAGTTGGAACCAGTTGCCTTAGTCCATTTAAACCATTTTCTTGCATTTTGTATTTTGTAAGGGCTCTGAAAAAAAAAAAGAAAACTCCCAAAGCAGGAATATTGGGGACTAGAACTGGGAATGGAAGTCTTTAAAATAAATAAAGCAAATTTTAAAAAGCTGTTAGATACACAATATCCACTTGGATAGCTGCGCAATTGGGGTTGGAGAAATTCTTACAGGCTTCCTCTTTTTTAAAAAGATTTTATTTATTTATGCATATAGAACTGGGGTTTAGGCCAGAGATGAGGGGGTGGTGGTGAGAGGATTTACCAGAGACAGAGTGGGGAGCTGAACAGGCAGACTGACTGAAACACACTGCTGAGGGGAGCAGTGAGCAAGACAGGAGAGGTCTGCTGCACCATGTGGGTTGCTTCCTGGTCAGGGATTGATTCAAACTCATGCTGCAGTGGCTGCTGATAGCTTCAAAGTGCTAGACTTAACCCCCTGTGAAACCAGTGAGGCCTGGGCTTCCTCCTTTTTTCTCTCCCACATTTTGCAAGTGTGTTAGTCACACTTTGCATGTGGTGTTAGCAGCCTGAGTGGCAGGCCCAGGCAAAATCTTAAGACTATGTAGGTCGTTCCTGATGATCACTGTATCTATAAAATGGGGGTCAACAAAATCCACTTCACAAGGGTTTCTTGAGGCTGAAATATTACCATATGAAAAGGGCTCAACACTGGGTATATAAGCACAGGACAGGTGAAAGTCATTTTTATGAGATGATGGGCAGCACACCATAGTGGTCAAGAATTCAGCATTTGGGGTCAGAGTACCTGGGTTCCCATCTACAGGGCTTATGTGACCTTAGGTAAGTTGCCTAAGTGTCCTGCATCTGTTTCCTCTTCTGGAAAAATGGAAATAAACAAACACCCACTGCACAGGATTGTCTAGGGCAGTGTTTCTCAAATTATCTGAGGTAAAGGGCTAGTTTTGGTAATTTTTAGACTGCCCCGGCCACTGTATAATCCTACCAGGCACGGTAATAAGCAGCACCCTGCACCTGCAAGCATTCCAGTTCAGGGTTGCCTAGAATGAGTTGGTCTCTAGTTGCTTGGATGCTGCAACAATATCAGAAACTCTCAATTTTTGTAGTGGCATCTTTGCAGATAACACAGTTTGCAGGACCACACTGATCTGTAGACCACTCTTTGCGGAGTTCTTAACCAGGGGGATTTTGCCCCCAGTGGACACTTGGCAATGTCTGGAGATATTCTGAAACTCTGAACTGGGAGTGGGGTGTGGTACTGGCACCTGGCTGGTAAAGGCTGGGCATGCTTCTGAACATCTCAGCGCTCAGGTTAGTGTGTCTCCCCTCCCCTATCTCAACACAGAATTACCTAGCCCAACATGTATGTAATTCTCAGGGTTGAGGAACCCCGTTCAAAAGGACTAAGCAGGAAACTGTCTGTAAACCACTTAGCAGAGTGCTAGGGACATATTATGACTAGCTCATATACAGTCTTAAAATTATGCAGAAATGATATTACATGGCAACGTTGGAGACAGAAGTACTGATGAGTCACAGTGGTACACTTTAGAGAAACAAGAGGCAGTTATTGCAAAAGTTTGCCAAGTTTTAAGCTTCCTGCACCTTTCAAAGCCACGCACTCCCAATTGTATATATGTAGTCCTGTGTATCTGTATGTGTGTTGAAAGGATTCCCTCAAGCTCCACAACACTTAGGTCCTAGTGCTGACTTCCACCACTTCCTAGCTGTGTAACCCTGGACAAACAACTGCCTGAATTTCATTTTCCTTACCTGTAAAATAAATGGGAAAATCATCTTTCTCGCCAAGTTACTGTGAAGCTCAAAGAAAACAAGGTGTACAGAAAAATGCCCACCAAACGTCAATCGCCCTTACGACTGCTGATCCCATAAGGAAAGGGGGGGGGAGTGTATATAGGACGCGCCTTGCTGCGCATCCAGGGCCGCGGGGAGGAGGCCCCAGACTAACACCCAGGTCTCCCGGCTAACAGGTCCTTCACGCAGCCAGCACATATCGAGCGCCTGCTGTGTGCTAGGCCTGGTGCTGAACGGCAAAGCCCAGGTCTTCTGCCCAAACCTTCGCAGAGAGGGTCACCCCTGCAATCCCCGCGCCGACGCTTCTCCCGCCAGGTGCACGGCGCGGAGGCAGCCCAGGCCCGACCCCGCCGCCGGCCAGCCCGCAGCCGCTCACCCAGGTTCTGCCCACGCAGCACCGCGTACGGCCGACTCCGCTCCGGCGGCCCCCGGGGCTCGGGGCCTGCGCCTGCCCCAGCAGGAGGCCGCACAGGCCGAGGCGCAGCCACAGCCTCACGAGAGGGCGCATCTTCCCGGGCCCGCAGCGGCCGAGGCCCACTTCCGCCCGACGCCCCGCCCGTGCCCGCCGGCGCCCCGCCTTCCGCCACTGCCTCCGCCCCCGGGCGCGCGCGGTTGCCAGGGTAACGGTACCCCTCCCTCCCCCGTCGGGGTTCCTGTAGGACCCAAGGTCCTCCGCGACCACCGTTTCCGCCCGGGCAGTTTTCAGCAGACTCTTCCTTCCGCCCGGAGCAGTGTCCCCCGGGGTCACCGTCCCCCCGTGAGCGGCGTTTCCCCCTCTTCCTCTAGCGGTTTCGTAGGGCCTTTTTTTTTTTTTTTTTTAAACAAAACAGTGATTTTTCTTTTTAACTTTTCTTTTTCTTTTTTTTAAAAAAGATTTATTTATTTATATATACAAGAACTGGGGTACAGGCCAGAGATTGGGGGGTGTGTGTGAGAGGATTCACCAGAGACAGAGTGGGGAACAGAACAGGCAGAGTGACTGAAACACACTGCTGAGGGTGTTAGGGGGAGAGGATGTCCTGAGCTAATCTCCAGACTAAAGCCATCAAGACATTAAAAAAGACAAATCCCGTCACCACCAAAGGGAGGGTGGCTGGGACCTGAGGGTGGAGTTAAGCAGTCAGGTTAGGTATAAAAACCAAACACGTGGGCCTTGGGCTGGCTTGCCTCCTGGCTTTAGGGCTCCTGGCTTGCGGCCAGCTCTCAGAGTGCCATTTTGGGATTCCTAATTGGCGGATCGGGTAAAACTCATTTAAAACTTTGTCTCCCACTTTTCTCCCTAAGCTGTACATTTCCTCATTTCCCCTTCCCTTATAAATAAACCTTTTATGAACCTTTCACGTGTGCCTACAGGAAAACATTGATAAGTCCTTTTAAGCACACAAGTGAGGACCCACAGTCAGGCACCCCGTTTTGTATTGGGGCTGCTCTACAACAGTTTGGCGCCCAGCGGATGAGGCAGGAGAGGTCTGCTGCGCCATGGGGGTAGCTCCCTGGCTGGGGATGGAACTCGTGCTGCAGTGGCTGTGGACATCTTAACTTTTTAATCACAGGCCTGAGACATAAACGCTGTAATTCCCATTTTACAAATCCCATACTTCCAAGAAGCACTTAGCTGGAAATATTTTTCAAAAATTGCAACCCGCTCCCCCCTCAACATAAACAGTGACTGCCTTTGTTCCGGCCTTCTACCCCCCCCCCCCCACCTAACTAACTCATCACTGTTTACCTTGTACATTTTTTAATTTTTATTTTATATATTTTTGACATCATTTTTCATTTTTGCACAATGTATGCATTTTCATTTTGGTTATAGTCCCCATACAATTCCCACCCCACCCCCCCCTTATTTTGACCGTCATCCCTCAGGAATTAGGCGTAATTCTTTTTCTTAGAGATTTTTCTCATGGTGAGTCAGGCCACCCTGATATTCATGCTTCCTGATGTCTTTTAAAATACAGCTAGTAAAGCAAAGTGACAAAGCTTCCAGTCTCAGTCTTGGTTGGGTCAACTCTCTGAATCTCAGTGTCTGAATCCATAAAATGGAGATGGTAATAAGAGAATTCTGATTTAGTAAAGGATTGAAGGAGATAACAGATGTAAATGACATCATATATTGTGATTGAGATTTTAACTATTATTTTTCTTGGAAAATAAAGTCTTAGAAACTTGGGTTTGAAATGGTTCCTAGAAATCATGTAGTCTAATTGTTTGTGGACTATTGAAATGTCCAGTTTTGTCACCTTTTTTTCTGTTACCCATCATGTACCCATTTTCCATTGAAACTCCCTTCAATTAAAGAGTGAGAGGACCTCCCCTGGTGGCGCAGGTGGTTGAGCACTGCGCTGTGAAGCTGTCCGCAGCCTCTGCAGCGCGGGTTCGATCCTGGCTGGCGAGGGTCGCACATGGCGGGGCAGACTTCTCCTGTCTCTCCCACTGCCCTTGTTGTAGAGCAACCCCGATACAAAACGGGGTGCCTGACTGTGGGTCCTCACCCGCGCGCTTAAAAGGACTTATCAATGCTCTACTGCAGGCACACGTGAAAGGTTAATAAAAGGTTTATTTACAAGGGAAGGGGAAATGAGGAAATGTACAGCTCTGGGAGAAAAGTAGGAGACAAAGTTTTAAATGAGTCCTACCCAATCCGCCGATTAGGAATCCCAAAATGGCGCTCTCAGAGTTGGCCACCAGCCAGGAGCGGTGAAGCCAGGAGGCGAGCGATCGAGAGCCAGAGAGACCCCAAGGCCCACGTGTTTGGTTTTTATATCCAACCTGGCTGCCCAACTCCACCCTCAGGTCCCAGCCACCCTCCCTTGATGGTGATGGGATTTGTCTTTCCCAATGTCTTGATGGCTTTAGTCTGGAGTTGGGGTGGGGTCCACAAAGCCTGTATGGGATTAACTCAGGACATCATTTCTCCCTAACACCCTCAGCAGTGTAATTTCGTCAGTCTGCCTGTTCTGTTCCCCGCTCTGTCTCTGGTGAATCCTCTCACCCTCCCATGCGTCTGGCCTGTACCCCGGTTCTTGTATAAACAAACATAAATGAATAAATAAATAAGAGTGAGAAAAAGAAGCAAAAGGAGAATAAACAACTGTCTAAAGACAATGCACTGTGTGTAATTATACTTCATGCTCTTTTACCTACTTTCTGTTCCTGCCTCAAGATCTTTACTGTCCCCTTTGCCTGCTATTCCCTGACATTAACTGAAGCTTTTAGCTGAATGTCTGTTTCTCAATGTCCTTTCTTGATACCCTAATGCAGCCTCCACAATCACTCATCTTCACAGCCCTTGGTTTCCCTTCTGCATCATTATCACTGTCCTAAGTTCTTTTGTTCTATTTTTTCCACTGTTTTCTGCTGTCTAAACTGTGAACCCCATGAAAGCAAAACAGGGTCTGATTCATTACTCTGACCCTGAAACAAAACTGTTTATCAGCTATGTATGGAACAATAATATACTGAGTAAGCAACAGAGAAACGTGTTTGTCAAAAAATGGGTGAGAGAGGAAGAAAAACAATAAAATAAGAAAAATATCCCGTTTTCTCTGCTTAATAACTTCATATATATTTCTACCAAATTCTCACAGCCCTTCTGATGCATGATTCATTGTTCTTTGCATTATGTGGCTGCTGAATATCTCTTACCTCCTTCTGTACTGTGAAGTTGTCCACAGCCTCTGCAGCGCTGGTTCGATTCCCGAGTGGCCAGGGAGATTCCCACATGGTGAGGCAGACCTCTCCTGCCTCGCCTGCTGCTCCCCTCAGCAGTGTACTTTTGTCCTTCTGCCTGTTTGTTCTGCTCCTTGCTCTGTCTCTGGTGAATTCTCTCACCCCACCCCCACCGCGCCTCTGGCCTGTACCCAGTGCTTGTATAAATAAATCTTTAAAAAAAAATTAGTAGGGCCTCCCCGGTGGCGCAGCTGGTTGAGCGCTGGGTTGCGAGGCTGCCCGCGGCCTCTGCGGCACCGGTTCGATCCCCGGCTGCTCCCCGGCCACCGGAGGAGGGTCCCACATGGCGCGCAGACCTCTCCTGCCGCCCGCTGCTCCCCTCAGCAGTGTACTTCGTCATTCTGCCTGCTCTGCTCCCCGCTCTGGCTCTGGTGAATTCTCTCGCCCTCCCGTGCTTCTGACTGTACCCAGTGCATGTATAAAGAAAACAAGCAAACAAACAAACAAATAAATAAATAAAACATGCCTCTATTTAAAAAAAAAAAAAATTAGTAAAAGTACATCCCAAATATTGCATGGGATATTTTATTTGTTATTTATCTGAAATTCAAATGTAACTGGACATCCTGTATTTTTATTTGCTAAATCTGCCATCTCTATCTTCAGAATACAATCTAACAATCATCCCTTTTTTAATGTTTCACGCCCCAGGTTATAGCATAATGTATGCTTTGCACACAGTAGATGATCACTATATAGTGAATACTTGCATGATTATAGACTGTAGTATTTATCTGTGCATATCCACGTCACGTCCCTATATTTCAGATTATAATTTACATTTATAATTTTCTACAAAAACATAAAAATGGCAAAATTTGGGAGATGCCAATTAATCGATTAGCTAATTCATCAATATTGTACAAAATATGTATAACAGGTATCATTTCTAATATTCACAAATCCAGTGCCATTAAATGTATTCATAATGTCATGTGACCATTACCATTAACTATATTCAAAACATTTTCACCATCCCTAATAAAACTCTACCTATTAAATAATAACATCCCCTTCCTACCTCCCTTAGTCACAGGAGGCCTGTATTCTATGTTGTTTCTATAAACTTGATTATTGTAGGTATCCCATGAAAGTGAGGGTCCCTTGGAAGGTCTTGTCTTTTCCTTAAGATCATGACATATCAACTCATTCACTGATTGGTGAGCGAAGGACACACCAAATTTTAGATTTGAAGGAGTTAAATGACACATTTGCACTGCAAGAGAATTGACAGCAATTGCATCACCCTAGAATTATGTGACTCAAATCCACAGTTTTTCTTAGAACATTCTAAGGTCTGGAAGGTTGCCACAACCCTATAATTTTCCTTACCACATGTTTCTAACTTTCCTTTTGGAAAGTCTGTTTATTTTCCTCTCTTCTCAGAGCTGCTCCATGTAAAAGTAGCATGAGTTACTTCACAAGCATGGAAACTAGAGTCAAGGACTTTGGTTCAGGTACTCATTTTGCTTCTTTTTAGCTATGTTACTTAAGCTCTAGAGGGCCTCAGGTGTCTTTTCTGTAAAATGGATGTGATAACAGATTCTGTTTTGTTGGATCCAAAGGCATAGAGGTGCTGTCTGTTTGAATGATCTGGACATATACAAAGTGTGAGAGACAGCACCAAGGGGCACCTAGGGACACCAAGCTTTTAAGGGATGCATACGCTAAAGCAATTCTGCCATCTGCTGTACAAAGATGAAGGAAGCATACTCTCAGTGTGATAGATCGTTAATAGAATTAGTGGGCACATAAAAAGAAGAAAGGATATTCCTAA